CCCACCTGTGGTGAGATCCGATGAAGAGGACAGCATGGAGGAGGTCCCCGCAACATCCCTGGAGTCCGGGGCCCCGGAGATGCACCCCGTGGAGCCCGGCCGACCGGAGCAGGAGGAGATGGCAGTCGTGGGTGGCTACTCACCGCTGTCGGAGACCTGGCAAGCCCTTGCAAGCCAGCTCGGGCAGCTTCTCCAGTCGGTCGCACAGCTTGTTATCAAGATGTCGGAGGTGGGAGCCTAGCCGCGCGCATCCAGCACTTTTTTGGAGTGGGATCATTCTATTCCCGCCATTTTGCCTCCAGCAGCGGTTGAAATTTACACCGTTTTTACAACAGACGCGACTCAGCAATTGGGCGCCATTGTTTCGCGGAACGCGACGCAGCATTCAGGCGCCATTTTCTCCACGACTCCGCAACCGGGCACCATTTTCTCCACGACTCCGCAACCGGGCACCATTTTTTCCTTGACTCCGCAACTGGGCACCATTTTTTACATAACTCAACAACCGGGCGATGTCACGCTGTCCGCGACGTTTCCTTCGGGTGTGGTGGTTGAAGCGACCACGCCGGTGGTCGCCTCCGGTGGTCAGAAGCTCCGTCGCCTGCCTCCCGTTCGTCCGTTCATCGCGGCGGGGGGTGACTGGACGTTGTTCCAGGACCGGTTCGACGTGGCGTACGCCTCGGTCAGGTGGCCTATGGCCGAGGCTCTCAAGGTACTCCCGACGGCTTTGGATGACAGAGCCCTGGCTGCCCTTAAGTCCATTCCGCCAGCGGATAGAGCGACGCTGCCCGTGGCCTACGCCCAGATGGCCGCAATTTTTGAGCCGCCCTCCAGTGCACGCCAGAAGTTCTCGCTGCGGAGGCGAGAAGAGACCGAGACGCCTCTCGCCTTCCGCAGCTCCTTGTTGGCTCTGGCTCGGGCGACCTACCCCAGAATGGATGATGCGGCACTGAATTCTTTGGCTCTGGAGCGGCTGCTCTCCCTTGCGCGGGAGCTCAAGGTTGTTTTGGCCATTGCCGAAGAAGCTGATATTTCTTCCCTTAGAGTAGCGCAGGGTATTCAGGCCCGCCTCGCTCTGCGCCAGTCGCCGGGTGTGGCGGCGTGCGCAGGGGTCCCGGGTCCTGCCGGTGCCCACGCGCCTCATTGCGGGCAACCGACGCGGGAGAGGCACTGGGGGCCGCCGATCGGAACAGCGGTGGCGGGCGAGGAACCCTCGCTCACAGGGGTTGGCGTCCACCTCCTGCTTCCGTTGTGGCCAGCGGGGACATATCGCCTTAGGCTGCCGCAACACGCCCGGGGCCTTCAACAAGACATCGTCTTCCTCCGCCTCCACATCGGCGTGATCATCCGAGCCCCAGTCGAGTCGCGACGTATCATTCATTCGGCCGCTCCCTTCCCCTCACACCTAGCGGGGTTAGGGTTCATAATCACACGGCCATCACTAGCAACTCCAGAACCTGCTATCACTACAGCAGTGTATACCGACTGTGGTGGTACCTGCTATCACGACAGCAGTGCATACCAACTGTGGTGGTACCTGCTATCACGACAGCAGTGCATACCGACTGTGGTGGTACCTGCTATCACGACAGCAGTGTATACTGACTGTGGTGGTACCTGCTATCACGACACCAGTGTATACCGACTGTGGTGGTACCTGCTATGATTACAGCAGTGCATACTGCTGTGGTGGTACCTGCTATGATTACAGCAGTGCATACTGACTGTGGTGGTACCTGCTATGATTACAGCAGTGCATACTGCTGTGGTGGTACCTGCTATGATTACAGCAGTGCATACTGACTGTGGTGGTACCTGCTATGATCACAGCAGTGCATACTGACTGTGGTGGTACCTGATATGATTACAGCAGTGATTATACGCTGAGTCACTCACACATCATACACTGACTCACTCATCATACGCTGACTCACTCACACATCATACACTCACTCACACAGCCACTGACCCATTCACTCATCATACACTCACTCACACTACCACTGACCCACTCACACATCATATACTCACTCACACTACCACTAACCCACTCACACATCATACACTGGGAGTGTCATGCTGCCAGCTATGGCTGCTAGTTTGGTCGTACATGTTATTTATATCGTTTATTGTTAAATGAGAATCACAGTTCCTATTATTACTGTTGTTACATTGTTTATGAAGCTTTATTTTGGTGATTTAGAAAACATATGGTTAATGAGAATCACAGTTCCTATGATTACTGTTGTTACATTGTTTATGAAGCTTTATTTTGGCGATTTAGAAAACATATGGTTAATGAGAATCACAGTTCCTATGATTACTGTTGTTACATTGTTTATTAAGCTTTATTTTGGTGGTTTAGAAAACATATGGTTAATCTATATTATGGTTGGTATTGTTTGACTTGCATCACACTGGGATTTGAGCACACAGCATTGTAATAAGTTTTTTTTTTTTTAAGATTTGCTGGTTTATCTAGAGGATAAATTTTTATTTAAAGCTTTCGTGACTGCAGTAATTCATATTCTTAGCTCTTTCGGTAAAGTCACATTGAAGGGAAACAATAAAATAATAAAATATATATAAAACAATAAAAATTCTCACGACGTTTCGACCATAACACAAACGGTCGTTATCAGGTGTGAAAAACCAACGGCAAGAAACATTTGAAAGAAGTGTCGGTTTGCATTTTTTAATTTTTAAACGGTGTCTTTATTTATTTATAAAAAATGTTAGCGCCACGCGCAGCGATTTGGCAGTTTATTTAGAAGGACGAGTCCATCTATGTTCTGAAAAGAGGAGGGGGGAGACGAAAAATGTATTGTTCACGCTTACGGTGGCTTTCAGACAGCATACATTAATTTTTCGTCTCCCCCCTCCTCTTTTCAGAACATAGATGGATTAGTCCTTCTAAATAAACTGCCAAATCGCTGCGCGTGGCGCTGACGTTTTTTTATAAATAAATACACCGTTTTAAAATAAATAAATTAATGTGAACCGCCACTTCTTTCAAATGTTTCTTGCCGTTGGTTTTTCACACCTGATGACGACCGTTTGTGTTATGGTCGAAACGTCGTGAGAATTTTTATTGTTTTATATATATTTTATTATTTTATTGTTTCCCTTCAACGTGACTTTACCGAAAGAGCTAAGAATATGAATAAGATGTTTATGTTGCGCGTCGTCGCTTTAAGACGATTCTAAAGTATCTACAACCTTCGATTCCTTTGCGCGATTTAAAGAATCGATTCTTGGCGCGCTCGGGTTTTATTTTAAATTAATGAGTTATCTTTTCATTTGTAAGTTATGTTTTTAAGTTTTCAGACGTTTTTAAATATATTTCCCCGCTAGTAGCAGTATATATCAACTATAGCACAAAGTACTCACCTGACAGATTGCCGTGACAAGACCTAGTCCCGTGCAGAGCCTCCGGCCTCGCCTAGATTGCCCGGCCGGCCGAGGCTGTGGGCTGGGCCGCTACCCCCCCCCCCCCCGCGCTTCAATAATCCTATTTAATCGCTATCATTTTAGTATCTACCGAGCCTATAATAGTAAGTGCACACATTGGGGTGGAGGGGGAGAGAAGAGGACGTGACACTTTGATGAATTTACCTCAGCGTTGTGTGTAAATTTTTTGCATTTTGAATGAGAAATGGCGTCCCCCCTGCAGCGACGGCGTGAGTGCGTTGCCACGGGCAACTCGTGTCGGCGTTTCGCGCATGAGCAGCAGCGATCCAGTTGGCAAAAGTAAATAAAGAAAATCGCACCAAAACGCGATTTTAACCACTTTAAAGATAAGGGATGGGAAAACGGGCGTGTCGCCCGGCAAAAAAATTTCTACACGAACCCCACGGTCCGAGAGCCAAATCCCCCGCAAGCGAGCGTACACAGACGTACAGACAGACAAAAAATGCCTTTTATAGGTTAGATAACAATGGATTTCTAAAAATGTCAGCAATGTTAGACTTAAATCACTCTTTCAACAAATAACGCAGCACCATACAATGGCAAGGTGTATCTTATGTAACGGAGTCATTTCAAATAATTACAGTTAAAACATTTTGTAGTCATGAAAAAAATAGCACCTAGGGCTTACTCGATGCTTAGCGTATTCTGTAAGATGGATGATCCTAGAGGGAAGATGGGCAGATGGGTGCCTTATGTTCCTTCTTTTTCGTTCACTTTTTGGTTTGTTATATTTGCAATGCCCCCCACTTCCCATGCCATGCCTGGGTTAGAAAATGAAACAGGTACAACTTAACTAGCTCCTGTTCAAGTAGGAAAGCCTACCCAGACGGCACATCCCTCTGACATGCTGATGTTACCCGCGTACGCATGTGCCTTCTGATGTGATCGCCGATATTGAATTTTATATCAAATTACAATAGCAACAGACAGCACCTGCTTCAAGTCATATCGACTCAATGGGATACACGTGTGCACCACTGCTGTAGTCATTTTTGGGAGACAGTGAATGACAAATGAACACAATATCTCTCTTGACCCTGACCACATTTTAGCTTAAGTCATGGCTACATCAACCACAATCCTGAGAGTCAGTCAAGAGAGCCATGAATAAGTGTTAAATATTTCACCTTATTGTCCTTGATAAGACTAGTAAACATTCCTCCTAGCAAACACTGCAATGTTGTCAAAGGCAAAGTGGTTTCCTACTCAAATGAGCTCATCTGTTTAAAACCTGAGCAAGTGGTGACTATTCCTCATGTGGCAGGTACGAGATCTATCCATACGACAGAGAACCGCTATTAACTTCCCTACAAAGTAGTAATAATTTTATTGACCCCAGATGGATACAGAGTCAAGTCAACCCACCCCTGCCCCCCCAACCTTTGGACTGCTAGCCCCATGCTCTACCAGTGGGCCAAGATGCCTCAGCCCACACATTGCTAATTAAGCCACATTCCTGCAGAGAAATAGTCCCACGAAGATTGTCAATATGCGTGCTGGGTGAGTGAGTTGCATGGCGGAGCATTCACCTTTGTCAAAGGAACTGAGGTCCTTATCCTCCAGGTCGTCCAGAGAGGACATGGTGCCCGTTGACGGCGTTCGTGACAACTTGCGTTTAATGTCCCCTATGCAGACAAGGCAGCACAATATGAAAATGTCAGAGCAATTATCACAGAGAATAATACATGAATAGATTCTACATGTTCATACATATATAATGATAAGAAAGGTCACTTTATTTTATTTGGACTAAAGACACAATTAACAGTCTGTTCAGATTTAACCTTTCAAAAGCATGCACCATGGTATTTTCTAATTTTACATTAAAAGGTTTCAAAAATGTTTTATCTATATCTTCAAGTTACTTCACCAATTATCACTCCAAAAGTTTTATTGAACCTAAGAGCCACCGAGTGCAGATTGCAGAATTGTCTTATTCTAAGCAGGTGCAATGTACTACATCAGTTAGAATTGTACATTAATGCACATTATTTTTAGTTTCCAGCAAAGAATGATAGATTCAATAGGAAGATCCTGCTGCCATTTGACCAATTTTTTATGGTGTACTTAACATGTGGAAGGAAACATGACTTCTTGGAGAATACACACAAGTGTTATAATGACAAGTGTTATAAATTCATTTTTAAAAATAGGGGTGAAGAACTTGACCAACATCATACACAATGCCCTTTCTCTACTGACACATTCCTGGGAGCCCACATTATTAACCATACTACAGATGACAGACCAAGCTTTACCGTATGTCCCCCTACATTGCTACTATCCTTGAGCTCACCACTATCATCATCGCCACGACCATAGTTACACATGGTTACCACCACACCTGGACTGGTGCAGGGTGAGTCGAGTGAGCTGCTCACAGCGTCGGCACTCTCCAAGTCACTGCTTGAGGAACGGATTTGACTGAGGCTCCAGCAATTCTGGGGGCCTGCAACATTCACAAAGCAGATGAATACATCCCTGAGAACTAATTACTTCACGGTCACGGCATGTATTGTCAGCTCTAATATATGGAAAAGCCATAACCATCATAAACAGTATCTATTAACAATCATATTCTACATATTACCAATGCAAAATTAGATTTACACCATATTTAAAAAAAAAATTAACGAGAAAATGTCCATAAATTTTTACCAATTAAGTCAGCGAGCCCAGTGCTGCTGCTGTCCCCGGGTGAGAGCTGAAGGCTGGGCAGCTCCTCCGTCAGAGACGGAGATTGCAGAACCCCCATTGGGACATTCCACTGGCTGCCAATCGACAACTCTTCACTCTTGCTATGGCCCAACCTAATAAGCCACACATAGCGACACCAAGACATACCGGGCATCTCAGAGCACTTCATGTGTGATAAGTGACTTACATCTCATTACAACAAATTTGAAAAGACACCCCCAGTGGCAGCAGTCGCAGTGTAGCACAAGGTGATTCGGCACCTGGCCTGCAAGTGGGCATTGGTCTGTCAGTTGGGGGTGATGATTGCTGCTGTGTGTGTAATCCAAGTTCAGTGATTTTCAGATTTTTTTAATTTGGCAACATTTCGACCATGACAACCAGTGCACAATGGCATTCTCATTTCGATTATATCAGGGGACCTTTCACGTCCACTGTGAAGTAGACTGTGACGGTGTACACAAAGGCATAAGTGAACAACAGTTCGACCGGAAATTTACCGTTTAACTGAGAAACTAGGGAAATTGAAACACGCAGTTATCAGTTCCTAACTTTTGCAACCGGTATTCCATTCTGAGAACGGTCACCGGTTTACCGTCATGGTTTAGCAACCCGAGTAGGGAATGAGATGACGCAAGGAGCGTACGCACGTTTTTCTGGGCACGTGTCCAAGGGCGCCATGCACACTCTGCATGTAGACGACGTACATGTGACCAGGGCGATACATGCGCGTCTCTCCACACGCAGAGGTTGGCAGCAGAGGGTCCCTGCTGTACACCACCTCCAGATACCTCACCACCACCTGCGTCGGCATACGCGCAAGTACGGAAATCCCTCGCCAACTGCGGGGGTTACATTCCTGAAAACCGCCATGGTTGGCAAAACTGCGGTTGGCAATACTAGTTTTATATTATAAAAAAAGATAATGCCTCTCATTCAAAGTATATGTGGCCTCCTGATCCATGCTAGCCTCTATAATTATCCATGGTACCCTGTGGTAGAGGCCGACCGAAACTACATTTCTGGTTTTGGCCGAAACCGAAGCGAAAACCGAAAGTTTAACTTCACTTTCGACCAAGACCGAAACAGAAAGGTATATAACCGAAGTTACCGAACACAAGATTTATGAAATACTAGCTTTACTACCCAGCTTTGCCCGGGACTTGGATTCACCACGGCCGGCCGCCTTTGTCTCCCCAGTGGCGATGTTGACACACCACACCACTTACTCGTTTGAGACTGAGTCGACCGAGGGGAGGCCCAGGACCGGTTCAAATAATCGTCACCGGCCGTGAGCGGGAATCGAACTTGGGCCGCCGGGTTCGTAGTGCAGCGCGCGAATTGCTACGCAGTCATTGCCCCCCGCCCCCCAGGTGCGTGATGTAATTTATTGACAGCCCCAGACCATGGTTGCGGCTGTAACCTCGCTCGCAAGCTGCTGCTGATGTGTGTGTGTGTATGCAGCCTATCACATAGGATTGCCGATCGCCGACTGACCGGCTGATAGACTTAGCACGAGTGTTATATTCTAAAAAAAGATCTTCAGTTGATGACCGAAAGTCAATATCAGTTTCAGCCGAAACCGAAACCAGACCGAAAGTTAAAAATTTACTTTCGGCCGAAACCGAAAGTAAACCGAAACCGAAAGTATGCCGAAAGTGGCCATTTGCCAACTTTCGGCGCCGAAACCGAATTTCGGTCGGCCTCCACCCTGTGGCATCAAATGATTTATACAACAAAATAAAAACCCACCATCATGACTGCCGCTTTGAAGTCCACAGGCAATGGTGGGGGTCACCCATGTTACCAGGGCTGTCCATAGGGGGTGCAGGCCCGGAGTACATCCCACTGTGGACCCCCTGACACCTTCAAACTAAACCGTGATGTTGAAGTGTGGGGCCCGTCAAACCATGGGGCCTGGGGCGGTCAGTCCGATTCGCTGTACCCTAGGGATGGCTCTGCATGTATGTTGAAATTGTTTTGCGCCGTATGTAGCTAACAGTGCTACACAGCTGGGTGCTGTAACAGTGCTATACAGCTGGGTGCTGGTAGCTACATGTCCTGTAACAAAGGACTGTGGAGACATTAAGTGTTGGTGGATCAAAAAAAATTCGTGAACTCTCTCTATTGTGGGTTTTGAGGTTGCCATCTCCTGGCTTGTCAGGATATGATGGCAGTAAAGTAAGTCGATTAATTTCCATCTGTATTCCATCTGTACGTAGATTGAGTGTTACCACCCCTCGCACGTGTGAATTTTCTCTGGGTACTGCGGTTTCCGGCTATGTATCAACACTCATTAATGGAGTTGGCCAAAATCTGATGTATTTAATGTTCAGTAAAGTTTTACTGCAAGACATGAGGTTGCACTCATGTAGTACAGAGCCTAGGAAGTGAGGATGTGAGGTTGGTGAGGTGAGGTACAATGGAGGCGAGGTTGGTGGAGGTGAAGTTGGTGGAGGAAAATCTGGTGGTGAGGCAAATGAGGTGTGATTGGCTGAAGGGAAATTGAACGATGGTGCCAGGTTTCTGTATTTGAAACACGTCTGTCCACACCTCTTGCAGAGCAGCATCAGCCTTCTGCAACAGCTGGTTGAGTACAGCCAGGAGCCGCCCTTTGAGAGTCACCAGCTTATCACGCTGATGCCAGGCTTCAGCCGCATTAGTACGGCACAGCACCTCCGCCTCCAACAGCTGCAAATCAATCCATGCTATTATCGTAGTGTCCTTTCAGTGCATGGCCACAAAGCAGTACATCAGCTGAACTCTACTACAAAGTAGTTGGGTAGCCATGTGATCAGTGATCCCATAGGAAGCAAGCAACTAATAAAGTGTGCATTTCAAATGCATACATTACTATTCTCAATGCAACCTAAATAAATGTGCAGGAAATACACCTTCACTTAAACGATAAAAGTATTTTTAAACATCCCATCACCCTTCTGGGATTGGGCGAAAAAATCCCATTATAATCGGTTTGTGCTTTGCTGCACTCATATAAATGTCTCCGAATAGCATAGTTGGCTATGTTAAGCGAAAAAGAAGTTCAACATACATACAGGCAGTCCCCGGGTTACGGAGGGGTTAGGTTCCCGAGAATGATCCGTAACCGGAATTTTCCATGTTGGAAACTGAACAATTTTCCCCCAAAATAAACGACAAAATCCCATAGCCGGAAATAGTTGTGCCTCCCCTACCATTTTCTCTCAGTACCACATCGCACTGTCGTCAATTTTCTATCACTACCTGTATCATATCGCTGTACATACGCTCTGCACTCGCTTGATTATTCTCTCATTTCATCGAATATCTACCCGAACACTAACTATATTTCGATTTAAAGCTTTCATAACTGCGTCGATTCATATTCTTGGTTCTTTCGGTAAAGTCACGTAGAAGGGAAATCATAAAATAATACAAACAATACAATTATCACGACGTTTCGATTGCAACACAATCATCATCACGTGTGAAACCCACAGCAAGAAAATTTGAAAAAAGTGGCGATTTTTTCTTGCTGTGGTTTTCACACCTGATGATGATTGCTTGTGTTGCAATCGAAACATCGTGATAATTTTATTGTTTATTTTTTTTACTTTATTATTTCCCTTCTACGTGACTTTACCGAAAGAACAAAGATTATGACTACCTATATTATTAAACTAATGGAACATCTACTGTATAAAATTGTTTATGAATACCAAGAAACATTTATATTGTTAATAGAAAGCAGTCACTTCCGAACGTTCATTTACCGTGAATTAGGCTAGGCCTAGACTTCACACAAACACATACAAGACAAAGACCCCTCACATAGCCTGTAACAGACTGTTGGGGCAAGTGCTGTTAACGAGCACTTATAAAGGCCGGCACAGCACACGAGGGGGTTGGATGGCCAACACCACGCCCGACTGCCTTTGTCTCCCTCGTGGAAATTTTAGACATCGCACCAGGTACTAATTTGAAGCCGAGTCGACCTAAGGGAGGCCCCGGACCGGTTTAGGTAATCCTTAGTGGTGTTGGCCGTGAGCGGGAGTCAAACCCGGGTTGCCAGGTTCGTAGCGCAACGCGCTAATCGCTATACTATCACTCCCCACACACACATACCAAATACCCGCCATTCGCCACCAAGTCACGGTGACATCACCTTGGCGCCTGTGCCAGGCCGGAGGCACATACATACATAGTACGTACAGTAAATAACTCATGAAATAAACTTAAAATGAAGTAAACTAGCAATAGAAACATGGGAAAAAAGATAGTTCTAAGCATAGAAAAGAAACAATTACGTAATGCTACGAAACATTCTATTTACCTTAATCCTCGCAAAGCTCGGGCTCGGTAAAGGCGACGTTTCCATGGAGCGAGGCGTATTCATCCGCAACCTCACCGCGCTGCACTATTTGCGTTTACGTAACTATCGCAAACATTTCTGCATATATATATTTTTTACATGATTTATTGAAAAATTTCTGTAAAGTCGGATTTCCATAAGTCGGGTCTTCTGTAACCCGGGGACTGCCTGCACATACATTGTTTAACTTATGAACTTAGATACGAAGGCAGCTGCCACAGTGGTATAATACAGTAAATGTTTTAAAGCAGGACATTTCAGGGCTCTTAACTGGGAAACGAGGACAAATGCACCACACGGGAACTTTGGCTGCCGTGCTGTTTGTACATTCTCACACACTAATCAGTCCTCTTTGGTTCTTTCGGTAAAGTCACGTAGAATGAGAATAAAATAATAAATTGATAAAATAAAATAATACAATAATATTCTCACGACGTTTCGGCCACAACACAAGCGGCCTTCATCAGGTGAAGGGAGCGAGACTGTCTGGTAGGACAGCGCTGGAGTGAGAGAGCCACGTTCAGATCACGGCTTTTAAGCTGTGTGAGAGGAACAAAGAGCCTTGACGAAGGAATTAGCATAAAATTTAGCATTGAAAAGGCTGAATGATTAGCTCATAATAAAGGTTTTTGGGTTAGATCGCGTTTATTTATAAATGTGTCGCAACCCTCCACCACCCGACACGGCCAATCAGCAAAAAAAGTGTCACGTTGACAAAAGACAAATAATTCACTACTTCAGCCCACCGGTGTGTTGAAGAGTTAATCCACATTTACAGTTTGAGTACGACGTTTCGCTGGTAAATACTTCCAGCATCATCGGGCAATTCGCCAGAATGGTAAAGCCCTCGCTTGCTCCCGGTTTTATATAGAGCAGCAGGGTGACGTCATCACTTAACTCATCAGGTGCAGTGATTAGAGGCGGAGGGGGGGGTAATGTAATTATATAATCGATTAGTAATCAGTCATTGGTTATGATTAGTAATGAGTTGTAGATTAGTAATTCTTTAAATCAAAATGTAATGTGTATTATTTAATAATACGCTTCCAGGCCGCACTAAGCCGGTAGCTGTCAGAGCGATTAAAGTTATTCTTGTTCCTCTCAATTTCAATGGATTCTCTAATTAGTCTTTGCCAGTAATAATTAGTTTTACACACCACTGCAACATTGTCAAAATCAATTGAGTGTCCTTGTTGACAAGCATGTTCTGCCACTGCCGACAGTTGTGTTTGAGATAATTTAATATTTCTCTGATGTTCTTTTAGTCTTACGCTGATGTTACGTCCCGTCTGCCCAATGTAGCAGCTGCCACATGAACAATTAATCCGATATACACCTTCTGTTGATAGTTTAGGTAATGCGTCTTTAGTGCAAGATACTAGTTTTTGAATTTTGTGTACTGTACCAAATCTTACTGTAATGTTTTGCTTTTGCAAAACGCGGGCTAATTTGTCAGTTACTCCTGAGATATATGGAATTTTTATTGTTTTAACAATCTGGTCGCTTTCAGTAGTATTGCTTTGCGATCGTGATTTGGCATTCAGTGCTCTGTTAATTTGAGCATTATTGTAGCCATTCTGTCGTAGTGCGTCTTTAACGTGTTTAATCTCTCTCACTAGACTCTCACCATCTGACACCGTTTTCGCCCGATGTACGAGCGTCTTGATAAGAGAGGATTTTTGAGCTGGATGATGATGTGATTCTGCATTCAGATAGGCATCAGTGTGCGTTTGCTTTCTGTAAACACTGTGTGTTATTTTACCGTTTAGGCCATGTCCAAGCAAAATATCTAGGAATGGGAGTGTGTTATTCACCTCCATTTCCATGGTGAACTGGATGGCCGGGTTTTGTGCATTGAGATGATTTAGAAAATCATTAAGTGTATCTTTACCATGTGGCCAGACAACCAAAGTGTCATCCACATACCTAAACCAAAAGGATGGTTTTAATGTGCTCGAGGCAAGTGCTCTTATTTCAAAGTTTTCCATGTACAAATTTGCTATAGCAGGGGATAAAGGAGAACACATTGCTGCTCCTTCCTTTTGTTTAAAGAAATCCCCTCTCCATAAGAAGTAAGTGTTATTTAAACAATGGCCAGCAAGTTTCGGAATATCTTTTTGTAAACCGGTATTCTTTACTAGTGTATCAAGTAATTTAAGCGATTCGTCCACTGGAACCTTAGTGAATAGAGAAATAACATCAAAACTTACCAGAATATCATCAGGAGTAAGTTTAATATCTTTAATCACATTCACAAGATGTTCTGAATTTTTTATGAATGAAGATGTCTTACCGATGTAGGGCTGTATTTGTTTGGTTATATATTTTGCTAATTGATATGTGGCAGAGCCAATTGTACTGACTATGGGTCGTAATGGGATGCCGATTTTATGAATCTTTGGTAGCCCATAGAGTCTAGGTGGTTTTGAGGCCCTTGGCTTAATTAGGTATTGCTCATTTTTAGGGATTAATGAATTTGCAATTATTGCAGTGGTCTTACGTTCTAAAGTATTAGTTGGATCTCGTTTCATTTTAATGTAGGTACTTTCCTCTAGTAAATTTCTAATTTTATTATCATAATCGGCTCGTGACATCACTACAGTAGTGCGGCCTTTATCAGCTGCTAGGATTTGGATATCCTTATTTACACGCAGCTCTCTTAAGGCTTTTGCCTCGTTAGAGCTAATATTTACTTTTGGAACTTTGCTATTCTCAATTATTTTAGCAACCTCATGTCTAGTCATCTCTGCCTCATTATGTGGAAGGAGTCTAACTGCTGATTCTACCTCAGCAATTATCTCATCCACTGGAATTGTGCTTTATTATGAATAATATTGGTCGCGAAAGCCTACGTGTTAAACTGACTAACCTCTATGGGGAGGATACTTTTCTTAAAACCAGAAAATTGGAGAAGCTTCGCATTAAGCGGATGAAATTGATATCTTCACTGGCGTTCCTCAAAAGGTGCAGAGATTCAAAGGTAATACCAAACGCAGTTAAAATAACACATCACATAAAGTCTTCTAAAGCTAACCAAATACTACACAAAGCTAGCGAATTATTATTAATAGAGAGAATACAGCACAATAGGAGTGAATTATCTTACATTTCGGAATCGCTAAAGCAGTTACACTTAGATATAAGCAATAGTGTATCTATGCATTATTGGAATATAATCGATAACATAACACAACAATCGGCTGATAATGTGTTTAAACTAACAAAAACTAACCAAATTAATAAATTTTCTAGACTACAAAATAAACAAATCCCTACTGAAAACCAAAAATGTAAAAACAAAACTGTACTGAACTTGACCAACACTGTATTAACCGGTGACATGGTCTCTATCCTTTCTAAAGGCCTTAACTTTGCCGTTACCCCAAGCACAATTCCAGTGGATTTCAGATCTTGCTACGTCTGCAGAGATGTGACTCAAGCCCTTGAGTGCAAGATCTGAAATCGCTGCAACCCTCAAAAACGCTAAGTTGCCACCTAGCAACATCAGCAAAGACGAACGTTTTGAATTATCTCAATTAAAAAAGAGGGATGATATTGTCGTTCTCTCAGCCGACAAAGGCAATGCCACTGTCATCATGGACAAAACAGAATATAACAACAAAATTCAAGAACTACTCAACGATGGCAGCTATACAAAAATAAAAAGAGATCCCACCAACAGCCTGGTCACCAAAACGAACAAAATTATCTCTGATTCAACAGCATTAATTGATGAGAACAAACAGTTCTTGTTGAAACCCTCTGCTGCCAGACCACCAAGATTATATGGCCTTCCAAAGATACACAAAGAAGATACACCCCTTCGTCCCATCGTCTCTACTATCAGCTCCCCCACCTACAAACTGGCACGTTTTCTGGCTGATATACTGCGACCTTTCACTGGAAAAACCACCTCTGCGGTACTAAATTCTACTCACCTGGTATCGACAATCAAAGACATTTCCCTGTCCCCAAACGACCTGCTTGTCAGTTTTGATGTGGTGTCCTTGTTGACCAAAGTCCCGGTACCTGACACCATCGCTATCATTGAAGACCTGGTTCATCAAGGACTGCATACTGATGTACCCCCCCTGGTGAGACATTGCTTAACCAACACATACTTCACCTGGAATGGAACTTTCTACAAACAAACTGAGGGCACCCCAATGGGCTCCCCCCTATCTCCGGTTGTAGCCAACGTATTCATGGAAAAATTTGAAACTGACGCCATCCAGACTGCCACTCTACGCCCGACCTTATGGAAGAGGTATGTTGATGACACCTTTGTCATCTGGCCACATGGCCAGCCTGCTCTAGACCAATTCCGCGACCACATCAATTCCATACACCCAGCCATCAGATTTACCATGGAGGTCGAAAAAGATGGCAAACTACCCTTTCTGGATGTCTTAATTAAAAGGAGACATGATGGTTCAATGAGCCACTCTGTCTACAGGAAAGCTACCCATACAGATGCTTACTTGAAACCGGATTCCCACCACCATCCATCCCAGAAGAACTGCCTCATCAAGACTCTATACCATAGAGCCCAATGCATTTCCGACCAGGAACACATTACCAGTGAACTCAAGCACGTACACCAGGCTCTCAGGGCCAATGGCTACTCCGACTACACAATCCGCAAAGCCATCACTCCAGTCATGAAGAAGGATCCTCTTGTGGAGCCACTCAAAACCATCACCTTACCCTACATTGCAGGGGTCACTAAAAAGATCTCCAAAATCCTGAATAAACACAAGATCCAGGTCCGATTCAACACAGTACACAAAATCCGTGATTTAGTTCCATCTGTAAAAGATGCTCTTCCAGACATACAGTACCCGGGCGTTTACAAACTAAAGTGCCTTTGTGGTAGTAGCTACATTGGAGAAACCAAAAGACATATCTCGGACCGCATCCGCGAACATAAAGCAGACTTGAAACACGGTAAGACGAACTCCTCTGCCGTGGCAGATCACTGTTACAATTCAGTGGGCTCACATGACATTGACTTCTCCAAGACGGAGGTTCTTTGCAAACCAACTGGCTACCATGAGAGATTCGTTCATGAGGCCATTCACATATACAAGCACAGAGACAATTTCAACCGAGAAGATGGATTCAGGCTTAGTAACCACTGGAAAGATGTGTTAAATCATTTCTGTTCTTAATTAATTGTAATTTTACGATGACCTTCAGACCGCAGCTCTTTCGCCAGCATTGCCTCTTAATACCTCTCACACCACGGTTAATGGTATGGTTTACAACATGGAGTATACTAGGGCTTCGCAGCTGTCTCTCTCCCCCTCCTCTGTTCCGACCATGGACGAACTCGTCCGTCTGAACGGGGCCCGTAGCTATCCGTGGTACGGAAATTTGAGGGTAAGAATCCACCCATTTTTTCGCCATATAGCATTGTGATATAAAACGACTTATGGTTGGTAGCTTAGCTGATTGGAGAATATAGAGTTTATTGATAACATGAAGGTAATTTATATTTTAGTTTTTATTGGTTCACTATATAGTACTGTGAATAGATCAGATGGGTTAGTCATTTCTGTGACCAGTCACCAGCAAATCACCCAGTTATTTCAATGCTAAATTCGCCTAGTTATTTCAATGCTAAATTCTCCTGTTTTGATTTGTACTAAGTGCCTCGGTGAATGTGTATGCTCTGACTTCAACGTAACTATTTCTGTAGCAGTTACAAGCGAATGCCTTAATTTAGCTATTTCAATGCTAAATTCTATGCTAATTCCTTTTAACAATGGGTGCCTCTGCGGATGTGTATGCTTTAACTTTTAACATAGCTATTTCTGTGACCAGTCACAAGCTAATCATTCAGCCTTTTCAATGCTAAATTTTATGCTAATTCCTTCGTCAAGGCTCTTTGTTCCTCTCACACAGCTTAAAAGCCGTGATCTGAACGTGGCTCTCTCACTCCAGCGCTGTCCTACCAGACAGTCTCGCTCCCTTCACCTGATGAAGGCCGCTTGTGTTGTGGCCGAAACGTCGTGAGAATATTATTGTGTTATTTTATTTTATCAATTTATTATTTTATTCTCATTCTACGTGACTTTACCGAAAGAACCAAAGAAGATGAATCATTGCAGTCACGAAAGCTTTAAATCGAAAACTAATCAGTCCGTTCGTTCCCGACTTTTGGAACCGGTAAGAGATTCTGAAAGCGGTTACTGGTTGTTGTTGAACAACCCCAAGGGGTTGTGATGCGGGGCAGAGATAGCATGTTTGTCGCTTGTTGCAGAGGTTCATGGTTAGACTCGGACAGGCCGTTCTAGTTAATACTTTTTACTTTAATACTTTTTACCATAATGATACACATCGTCTGCTTCACAGTGGACGTTAAAAGATCACCAAATGTCTTTTGAATCAAGTAGGCCACTGTGTGCTGCCTTCATTGTACAAATTTGCAGAGTTAAAAATATTACCCTAAAATTTTTTACTTGGGATTGTATACAGCAGTCATAGCCCTCTGCAGGCAAATGTTCACTTGGTGCTGAGTCAAATTGTGTCACACAGGGACAGCTGCCCATGAAGGTGCCCTTTCAAATGGTTTAAATAGTAATAATTACATTTATATAGTGCTTTTTATCAAGGATCTCAAAGCACTGTACAGGACACAGCAGCATGATGTGATGCAAGTAATTTTTTGTGTGTGCAGCGCTCAAAGACGCCCATCGTGAAAGGTGCTTTTATCAAAACCAATCATTCCACAAACCCAATTAAACATTGCGATCCTGACCTTACGCTGGGCCTCCTCGTGCACATGCTGTCTCTTGTCTGTGGTCTTGAGACTGTTTCCCAGGTTCCCTGTAGAGACCAGCGCCAGGTCCTCCTCCCTCTGCGCACGCTGCAGCTCAGCTATACGCAGGCAACTCTCGGCATTTCGCTAAGCAGACCCACGAGATGGAAGAATGACAAATTAACACAACACATATCAAGACTCGGTGTAGCCAAGAATGGGATGCAAGGATATGATATGCACACAACACCTCTTGTGAATGAATACTTGTCCATGTGGTGGCATTATTGTTTACATTTATCACGGGGTTGCCACCTGGGAATTGGCATGACAGGCCTTGGGCCTATGGGCCTGTGCTCACCAACTCGGCCTGTGCTTGGGAGGAATTGATTTTTTGCCAATATCTAGTGGTATTGTGTTGAACTTTATGATAGTAAATGGCACAGTTTTGATAGAACTAGGCTGACTGAAAATTGTGCTTGGGTTTGGTCAAAGTAGAAATGGTAGCACCCCTATTTATCAAAATTACTGAGCATTGGTCCAAAGGCCTGTCATGCAAAGCAGCCAGCAAATAAGGGCTGTAATAATACACACATAATAATTTACTCTTTTCTTGCATTGAGCAGTGTCATTAAGAACCTTGTAAAACGCGACAATAACAAGGAGTTCCAAAGTAGGGTGTTCATAATAAAATAATAAAATAAGTTGCCACGCCCACTCACCATAATGCAGGTCACAAAACTTATTTTACGGCTTATTCCCTCACTCTGCTCCACCTTGGAATTTCCTCCTCCCATCACCATCTTTTTTCCTACCCTCTCAATTTAAGACGTCAACCCACAAATTTGATAGTTAAAATAATTGTAATGTTGACAGTAGCAGCTTCACATTTTGGGCCTTTGGGCTTGTGGTCATCAGCTGTGTTTAAAGAATAATAATACTCACGTATTGATCCAAGCCTCTGTGCCACTGCTCATTGATCTCCTTTCTCTTCGTCTTCAGTGTAACCCGCTGGGCAGCCAGAGGCTTAAAACAGAACACACGAAAACAGATAATATCATCAGCCATGTTCAATCCACTGCTGGATAAAGACCTCCCCAAGCCACAACCTGGCCAAGCTATTACATAAAATCCATGATCTGGTTCCGTCTGTAAAAGATGTGATTCCGGACATACAGTACCCTGATGTCTACAAACTAAGTTGCCTCTGTACATTGGAGAAACCAAACGCCATGTCTCGGACCGCATTCGTGAACACAAAGCAGACCTTAAACACGGTAGGACCAACACCTCGGCCGTGGCAGATCATTGTTATAATTCAGTAGGCTCACATGACATTGACTTTTCCAAGACAGAGGTTCTTTGTAAGCAATCTGGCTACCATGAGAGATTCGTTCATGAGGCTATCCACATATACAAGCACAGAGACAATTTCAACCGAGAAGATGGATTCTGGCTTAGCAATCATTGGAAAGATTTGATAAACCATTTCAGGTCTTAATTGATTGTTCACGCTTACAGTGGCTTTCTGACAGCATACATAAAAAAACATTTCGTCTCCCCCCTCCTCTTTTCAGAACATAGATGGACTAGTCCATGTAAATAAACTGATAAATCGCTGCGCGTGGCGCTAACGTTTTTTTTTAAATAAATAAATACACCGTTTAAAAATGAATAAATTTATGCAAACCGACACACCTGAAGACGACCGTTTGTGTTATGGTCGAAACGTCGTGAGAATTTTTATTGTTTTATATATATTTTATTATTTTGTTTCCCTTCAACGTGACTTTACCGAAAGAACTAAGAATATGAATTACTGCAGTCACGAAAGCTTTAAATCAAAATTCATTTCAGGTCTTAATTGATTTTTCACGCTTACGGTGGCTTTCAGACAGCATACATTAATTTTTCGTCTCCCCCCTCCTCTTTTCAGAACATAGATGGACTAGTCCTTCTAAATAAACTGCCAAATCGCTGCGTGTGGCGCTGACGTTTTTTATAAATAAAGAAACCGTTTAAAAATAAATTAATTAATGCAAACCGACACACCTGATGACGACCGTTTGTGTTATGGTCGAAACGTCGTGAGAATTTTTATTGTTTTATATATTTTATTATTTTATTGTTTCCCTTTCAACTTGACTTTACCGAAAGAGCTAAGAATATAACTTACACTTCTTAACAGTTTGGATGTCAAAAACCTGCATACATTCTGCAATCCATTTTTACACTTTCTGACTAATGTAATTCCAAGCATGAACAGAAATAACAGTCTGCTGAATAATCTCAAGTACACAGAGGCCTGCATAATACAGCCTCACGCAATACATTTACTGATCTTTTAGTTTTCATTTGTTCAAATATTTCACTTGGAAACTCATTTGCGAGGGTGTCCAGGGTATCGACTGACACACATAGCAGACACGTAATGCCACATGCACACTCATACACACGTGTACAAACAAATGACACATATATAATAGGATTAGCACAGTTGGCTACGTATAGTGTTAAAGAAGTTCAACATACATACATACATTTTACATTATAACTTATACAGTACATGCATGTGCAGTGGCTATCATCGTGAGTCAAAACATATAGCTAAATATGTACATTATTAAATGGTGCACACCAGAACTGAAGAGAGAAATGTCTCATATAAAAAGTGCATAACCTGTACTTGATTCTTATTGGTGTCAACCCTAATTGTATCTTTACACGTCGACATCCGCAGCAAATATTACGAGGCATAATTTATTTGAAGTTGAAGAAAAATTCTGTAAAATCAAGGAAGTCAGGTTTTGACATTATTCTGACTTCCTGGTATCTAACTTGAAGATTCTTTATGAAGTTTCAATCAAATAATTCTATCTATTGTGAAATTTGGTTGTGAAAATTGTACTTCAACTTACCGGTGGAGGTGAAATAACAATTGGCACCTAGTTTTAAACGCTCGTACACATGCAAATATAAAGGTTGGCTCTGTTAGGTGCTGGAGGGTCTTTTGATACAAATTTGGCCAAAACATTGTGGCTTATCCCAAAAATATATTACGAATCAAAATTGTTTCACTCATTATTATAATCAGTGCAAAGGAGACACTGCGTGGCTGCCTGTGTGCGTGTTGGAACCTGCAGTAATGTGGATGTGAAGGGTTTCCCAGTGTTTCGAGTTGTATTCTCCGCAGCTTCATTCTCCTTCTTCAACACCTCTGAGAGTATGGGCACCACTGGCATCCACTGCTGCACACAACACAATCACCATCCACTGTGTGGCTCAAATGTGCTTGGAAATGCATCACAATGGCTATTGCAATTGAGTATGTTTGATTTGGCATGGACCTCATTCAATCGCAAAATTTTAAAACTATTACTACAACAAAGCCCTCCCATGTCAACAGGAATGGTTAAAGACAAGCAAAGCCTGGACAGGTTTTGACATTCAGCTTCAAGCTTGCTTCATGTCACAATATCACATAGTAAGCATTAATTCTTACAATGTGACATTCAGTCCATGTATAGTTGTGTCTCATTAATATGTAAATTGATTAATGGATACATCACTATGACCCTATTGGGAATGCAATGTTTTGTTGAAGAGTCAGGGTCACCAAGCTCTATCATTGACACAAACATAAGGTCATTATAATCTATGCATTTTAAATGGTGCTGGCTTAAATGCCTCAGCAACTCAAAGCACCACCACCAGACACAGACAATTATTAAGGTTTGTCATGTAAACAGAACAGGACAATTCGTTACTAGTGTTGTGAAGTAGTTGATGATGTCATGTCACCCTGGGGTGTAGAATGGATGACGGCTTGTCACCCGGGAATATACAAGCTGAGACGGGTGACGTCAACGGGGTCGTCGTGAGGGGCCGTGAACAGAGAGGTTAGACGTGGGGACCCAGGGTAGGGGGAAATGAGCATCAGGCTCGCGGAGCTACTTCACCCGGCCGACCGAGTTGGCTGATGCCTCGGTCGGTGCTGAGGAAAGAGCCTGAATAGCCTGGGTGGGTGCTAGGGACCTCGCAGAACCCTTTCCCTAGGGTGTTGAACGGTAGTACATAATAACTGTTAGGCGTAAGCCCCTATTTAGTTCCTAGGCGTAAGCCCCTAAATAAACTTGGTGTGAGCCTTTACCAGAAGAGACGTCTCCGTGTCGATTCTTCAACACAACACTAGTATAGCACACCGGTGCATTGGAGAATAAATCCACATTTACAATTTGAGTAGTAATTACAACTAGCATCATCAGTCAACAACCAGATTTGTGCAGAAATGCTATTTCGTTTTTAGAGGGATAAATGTGATGTCATCACTAGTGAGCCAATCAGGTGTGAAAGCCGGGGAGTAGAAATAAATGCATATAAATTATGGATTACCATGACCGGTTGGGTTATTCATATGGGAATCAACGTACATTATGCATGCACATTGTTCTTGTACATCCTGCCTTAGGTTCTGTGCATGGAAATCGCAGTACCTGTTGTTGTCTGCTCACAGTTAATCACCATCGACATATGGTAGTCTGTATAAGGCATGTAGTTAACAATGTATTACTTGATGATTTGCTTCTTTTTAATTGCTTGGTCAGTTTCAATGCTTGTGCTATTTGATTTGGTTTTGGCATTCAGTGCCATGTTCACTTTGGCATCATTGTAACCATTCAATCACAGTGCTTCTTTAACACAAATCTGGCTGTTGCCTGAAGATGCTAGTTGTAATTACTGGATATACCAGACATGGGCAAAGTACGGCCCCCAGGCCGTATACGGTCCGTTGGGCTTTTTAATCCGGCCCACCGAACTTGTCCAAATATTATTATTAAATTTTACCTTTCTCCTGTAATGCCCCCATTTCCCCATTAGATGGCGCACTTTGACCGGGAGTTACGACATGTTTTTGTATTGTTCATGTTCATGCAATTTGTTAAATTGCCTTGCAAATAAATGCTTTGCTACATGTTAAAGGCCAAATCCTTTCATGTAATGATTTTTACATGTCATTTATATTAGTTCACACAAACACTCCATCCATCTGTTCCTGGACCTGCCCCTCTGTCAAATTTTAGAACCCATTGTGGCCCGAAAGTCAAAAAATTTGCCCACCCCTGGGATATACTCTCCAAAATACTAGTGTGCTATACTAGTAACGAATTGGCATGTTCTGTTAACGTGGCAAACCTTACTAATTGGCTGTGTCGAGTGGTGGCGGGTTTAACGACACATTTACATTTACGTGACCTAACTCAAAAACATTTAATATGGATAATATTGGTCGCGAAAACCTACGTGTCAAAGTGCCTTGCATCACTTATCAAACAACCTGAAGAGCACCCCTTGTGGTAGCTATCCTTGTATGGCACAAGGGAACTTGGCACCTGGCCTGTATGCATGCCTTCATCTGCTAGTAAGGGGCGATGATTGCTATGTTTACATCCAATTGAAACCTTTGCAGTTAATTTTTCTAATCTTGGCAAATTTTGACCATGATGCTGACAATGGCCTAACCTTGCAATGACCTCACGGCATCTTTCACATCCACTGTATTTTTATGGTAAAAACACACCACAGTATCAACCGCGATACTACTGAAACAAGTGGCGAATGCACCACCACTGGGCCATTTCAACACTTCTAGAATTAACACATTTTAAGCCAAATTAGATGTTCATGTGTGCTTGGGCAAAGGTACCTTGTTCATGAATACTGGACTCAATGTCTGGTTCACCATTAACAAGGTATTTGCATGTTCCACTTCTGTGAACAACAGCATTGAAAATACACGTGAAGGAGTAATGTTGTGGCTTGTGTATGCATTGAGCACATGCATAGATGTACAATGATTCACAAATACTACATTGTAAAACAGGTGTTTTTGCATTTATGGTAACTGCTCATAAAAAAGGAATAAAAACAGGTACCACATATAGAAATGTCTAGCAATATAACATTTACATTGCTTAAATTGAGAATCGAAGGCAGCTGCCATTGAGTCATGGTCAGCACAGTGGACTTGCAATCCAGGTCCTCAGTTGAAACAATAGAGCAAATCTCTTAAATGCCCTTGCCTCTGTCAACTCAGCAGTATACATGGGTACACAGGCAATGTTTGGGGGAGATAAATCTGCATCAAAGGAAATTAATAAGTCTTGTCATTGGGGCCTACTTTGAAAAACACAAGGACAACAATACAACTTGGTTAAGATAAATAGACGTAATACATGCAGTGACAATCATAGTTACACAGAAGCTTTAGATGTTTCCTGTCAGGTGGCTCAGTGGAAGAGTGAGCAGCTAGAAATTGAAAAGTTGAGAGTTCAAATCCTGGCTGGGGGGCTGACACAGCCCACCATCACTCCAGGGTTGATAAAAAGAGGTACCACTTTGTAGTGGAGTTAACAGCGGTTGTCCAATGGATAGACTCACCCCCGCCATAGGAACGTGGGCACTCCACCACTGGCTGAAGGCTGTAAACAGGTGAAGACCACTACCTAAATGCTAATTTGAGCAGGAAATCACTTTTTCATCACTGATTTAAAAGTCTGAAATACAGAACAAAATTGGATCTGTATAATTGTGAATATGCTCTGTTCAAATTTGCAATTAGAGCCATGTGCTCGGGTTCCATTGGTCGCGATTCATGCACCCACGGGAAGAACTCTACCGAGGTTGAGTCTGCGTTCCATGTAGGCGAGAAGTCCCTTGCTATACTCAGACCAGGCCTTCAGGTACGACAGGCTGGCCTCCACGGTACCATCAAGCAGCTCCCGGTCTTGACTCTTCGCAGGTTCTGTAAGACCGCACAAACACAATATTAACTGCCGTTGTTAAATGGCAACCAGGAAACCGGTAACTGTTTTCAGTTGGTTGTCGATTCCAGTGGATTGTTAGTAAAGAATGCACTGATTGGCAAGAGCAAAGTACAAAGGACATGCAAATGGGCAACTCAAGAGAGTTCTTGGTCTACTCTTCCACACTGACCAGGCATGTTGGGGAGGACAGAGTATTCACATTTTACCCCAACCACACACGATCAGCCAATCAACTGTCGTGTGCTCATTTATACTGCTGGTGAACAGGGATATTGAAGAAACTTGCACCATTGTTTCCACTGCTGAGCTGGGAGATGGAATTTAACCTGTGATCTCTAGATTGAGTGTCCATTGTGCTCACCATTACACAACTGTGGTTCCCTTATTTTCTCAGTTATGAAGGTAAACATATTTCTCAGTTTATTGCTAAAGACATTGATGTGTGAAAAACCAGTATTACTGCATGCATAAAACCAGTAATACTGGCTTTATGCAATGTGAGTCATGCAGAATAGCATATATTAACAACCCTGATAAGAACCCACCAGATTTGTGGAAACTTTGAACAGAGGAGGTCCGGTTCTCTGAAGAAACTCCATCAAACAACAAGTTGTCTACAGACTGAGGAAGCAAAATTTTAGTCAAATGAATACTGAGTGCATTAAATTTAAACACCCGTAGAACACACTGTAGGTGCATTAACTTAAAACTTTCGTGACTGCAGGAATTCATATTCTTTGGTTCTTTTGGTAAAGTCACATAGATAGAAAAAATAATAATGAAAAAAAATATCATTTTTTCTATCTACGTGACTTTACCGAAAAAACCAAAGAATAGGTGTATTATAACATTCAAATACGAGGGCATGTGGAGCTGAGTATCCAAGGGCACAGGTACATACAACAGATACATATATAGCTTTAGAATTGCTCGTGCACATATACCCATTAACATGCACACAGCTTAATTTGCTTCAAACAGTGTTCTGGTGATAGTTATTGGGTTTAGATCTTTCATTTCTATTTATTTATTCAAATATTTCTGGCTGACTCGAGTCTGGCTTTCAGAGATGTTACTGTGCAAGCACATTCACCACACATACACGTGCATTTATATTACATTCTAATTCCATAATTTACAATGACCCCATTGTAAGGCCAGGTGGATCAGCAGCAGATTGAGTATCTCTCAATTTTAAGGTTGTAACTTTAATTACAGGTTTAGGGTTGACTCAGCCCATTCCCTCCTTCCAGGGTCAATAAAATGAGCACCACTTTGTAAGGAAGTCAACCGTGGTTGTCCTATGGATAGGCTCACCCCCACTATAGGAATGTGGAATTTCCACCACTGGCTCAGGGCTATAAACATAAATTGATTGAGCACCAACTCAATCCTCACTTGAGCAGGAAATCACTGTGACTATAGATACCTAACAACTTACAATAGCTCCAGTTCAATAGACATTTCACAGTTATGCAATGTTTCACAAAGTAAGATAATCAGCATGATAACCACACTCGTGTGCATGGTGGTACTAACCAAGCTGCGGACTTGACGAGCAGAATGTAGAGTTCTCGTGTCGACCTCTCCCATCAGGAACTCAGACATACTGATTAGGACACATAACATACGTTAATAATTTTCCACAATAATTATTGTTTGTATTGGATATGATTAGGGCAAACTAGGATACATCTAAGAGGAATCTTGCCTCTACACATCTAGCAATTCACCAGCATTGGTTCAAGTGAGCCTGTATTTGCTGATTCGTGAAAATATTTTTTTAATTATAATTATTGTGCTTATATACCTGCATATGTCTCAGGTGTACTACCTATTTACCATCTTAGATTACAAACAAATTTATAAATTAAGACCATTAACATTACATGAAAAAGTCGTTGTAGAAGATATGCTTTGCATGACACTGAGTTTCTCAGGCATTTAAGCAACACCCCATACATGTAGACCAAGCTTAGCTTAAGTGTCTCTTCAATCCTGAACGTGCATGAACCTTGGGCAGAGCTATAATGACGCGTATGATGACAAGTGAAAAGGGTCCAACTCACACACTGCTGAAAGCCATAGCCAGTCCATCTATAGCCTGCTCAAGCAATCTGTTGGAACGACTGTCTTGCTCATTTGGGCAGTGCCCTGCAACACACACAGTGCACACGTGGCATGCATAAAATAATAGGTCATAACACTTCTCTTTTTGCTTCTTCCCTCATAATACTAGTCTTTGGAATTCGCTAACATCTCCTTTCCCAAGCACTTATAATGTTGCTCAATTCAACTTTTATCGTGCTGTTTGTTGTTGGCAATTTGAAGTTTTGGGCCTTTGGGCTTGTGTTAAGCAACTGAATTTACAAAGACATGTAAAACTATTTAATGCACAGTAGATCGAATAATGTATCATGTTAAACACAGAAATTAATGACAGTAAATCCTTAATATTTGTGGGTTTTTAAATTGGAGTTTTATATATTCCTGACACATTAATTGCAGTGCTATTTGAAATTCATGGGGATTGTTTTAAATATTTTTGGCCGTTGCTTGTTACTACCCGACAATAACTACTGAACAGGCATGTCTCGCTTACTAAGCGAGATACGTTCAACGAAAATTGCTCAGTAAACGAAAATTCGTTAACAGTTTTTCCAACGACTCCCATGTTAAAAGCTGAGCAACGTTTCAGCCCCAAAATGTTACACTCTTGAACAACATTTTTAAGTGAGAAAAACACATAATTTCAAAAGAAAAGAATCAAATATAAAATGTAACACTTACCACACATGAATAACCACGGTACTTGCAGGTGCCTGGCATGTTGTTTTAAGGGTAGATGTTTGTGGGTCAAGGGAACAGCAGGGACCATGCAGGACCACTTGTTCAAATATCCCTCGCCAATTATGTTAGCCGTGACTCGGAATCGAACCAGGGTAGCTGGGTTTATAGCCACATTGCGGGGATGCGAGATGGAGCGCGACTTCCTATCCTGTACTATAGTGTGGCATGTTTACCGCACTCTTTACAAGCAAGTGTTTGCCTTTACATTTTTTTTAATCACACTGTATATTTCTTTATATTTGCACTTTTAAATGTTTACAATCACCATTATTAAAGGCAAGTTAAATAACACAATATTATACAATATATGTATTCAATAATACATATACAGTTTATATATTATGTTTAAGCGTAATGTTTATTCCCCTTAGTTATTTTTTCCTGCTTAGCTTTAAGTATTAATATTCGCGGATTTAACATTTGCGCCATTTTCCAGGAACATATCCCCGCAAATAAAGGTTTTACTGTATAAGCTAATCCAAGTTAGTTGTTTCTTATGCTCAAATGACAACTGAGGCCTTTATAATCTGTTCACATCCCTGAGCCAATTGTGGATATTCCACATTCCTATGATGGAGGCAAGTTAATTCACAAAACAACCACTTGATTTTTTTATAGAGTGAAAATCATTTTGTCGACCCCAAAGGCATGATGGGCCGAGTCAACCCCCAGCCAGGATTTAAATTCGCAATCTTCTGATTGTGAGCCACACGCTCTACAAATGAGTCACCGCGTGGATGGATAAGCAAATTCAGATATACGATGAAGACAGTGTCAGGCACATAGTGCACGGAATGGCATTTATAAACAGATGCCACTGAGCGGACCTTTCACTGTGGCGATGAGGCTGCCAATGGCTGTCAGCAGCCCCACTGAATGCAGGGCAGGGTATCTCTTGAGCACCGGCTTGAGCACAGACAGTACATCGCCCAGCTGTCTGTAAACTCTCCCACCACCATCAAGATCTGGGCCAACACCTAAGGGGGGTAGTTTAAATCAAATCGAAGGACTTTCAGTAACAATTAAAAAGGTTATCAAAACCACTATGTTGTTATGTTTTGCACACAATGCACAACTCTTTTTTTATATAAGAACCAGCGGTGTGTTTGATTAAATATGTATATATTCATCTTCTTTGGTTCTTTCGGTAAAGTCACGTCTCATTCTACGTGATTTCATCTTCTTTGGTTCTTTCGGTAAAGTCACGTCGAATGAGAATAAAATAATAAATTGAAAAAATAAAATAACACAATAATAATAATATTAATAATAATAATATTGTGTTATTTTATTTTATCAATTTATTATTTTATTCTCATTCTACGTGATTTTACCGAAAGAACCAAAGAAGATGAATCATTGCAGTCACGAAAGCTTTAAATCAAAAAATGTATATATTCATGAATGCATTTGAGAGCGAGTGTGATATTAATTCTTAAAAAGCATACTGTAGAATTTATAGATTTTAAATATTTGCATACATGCCATTAAGTGTTTGTACATATCGCTCAACACCTTTAAAGCCTTACAAAACACCAGAGATAACGGTGAGAGATCAGTTTGGCTTCAGCTTATATTGATTAGTTAGAAAGCTAGAATTTCAAGCGTGCAGATTAGAGTGGATGCCAAATGGTGGTGGCTTGACAAGTAGTCCACTATGCCAGACACGATCAAATGCTTTAAAACCACTATCCTACATGTAGTTATAAAAGGTAGGGTATGACACTGATCAGGTGGGGTGCGAAACTGACCAGGGCAGAGGGCAGCTTGGCGCAGGCGTGCCAGCGTGTCAGAGAGCTGCCTTGCCTCGTGAGTCAGCTGCAGGATTTCCTCAGGCTCCAAGCCGGGCCCGTCCAGCCCAGCGCTGGCTTCGTCAAGAGAGCACATTGAGACGCTCTTGCTCAATCCCTGCTGCCCCAAAGACAAAATCATAGAGGGGAAAACCTATTCTCAGAGGGTGGGTGATCAGCACCACGCCTGACCGCCTTTGTCTCCCCAATGCTGATCTTTACGTATGGTACAAAATACTAATTTAAGGGTGTATCGACCTACGGAAGGCCCAGAACAGATTCAAATAATCGCCACCCACACGCTTCAGAACACTCAAACTAGCCTCATCTCTCTTTATCACGAGCGTCACATCTTGCCAAACTGGGTTTGGTTGACAGCGTTCAATAGGAAAACGGAAGGTGATGCAGTCAGGTTTTGAGATGAGTCAGCTTTTCTAAAACTCATCTGTAGCTTGTATACAGTGACGACAATGTAAAAGATGCAAGAGATTTGTAATTGTCAGCAATGGTTAATCCACTGCTGAATGAAGACCTCCCCAAACTGCCTCCATCTTTCACGATCCTACGATGTAATAATCCACCCAGCACCCATGCACGAACTGATCTCCGCCCTGGTAGATACCCGGTTAAAGTTACCGGCCAGTACTTGATTAGTTAAATATTCCTCTGTTATCGGTCTAGTTCAGCGTGACAAAAGCATGGCAGCTCTAACTGTTGCTAAGGTACAGCAGTGAACGGTTTCCGGCAGGCTCTGTAAAACCAAGAGCCACTGACCTCCCGTGCCGACGATGCCCCCACAGACGACAAGTGCAGACGATGATCAGCACCGCCAGGAAGCCTGGAGCCACGGTGATTTCTGGGGCCGCCATGCTGGGGTAGAGTATAGGTGTCCATCCCTCACAGCTCCCAAGTGACCTCCACAAAACACCAACAACACAGCACTCACATAGGCCAACAAAACCATTGGCATATCCATATATTGTATACATGTTATCCACATTCAGACATAAACACCACATCCATTTATTTTAAAAGTGTATATTTAAATAAACATTCATATACAGCGCAGCACATAACACAAAATAACTATTCATTACGAAGAGCAAAATAATAAAATATGCCTCCTTCACATATCCATAAACAGTAACAATAAAATATCATTTTGTAACAACCCATTTGCAAGTGCATTCATTGATAAGCAACAGTTCAAAACTGTTCAAAACAGTACACGCAGACTGGCAACGTCTCGGCATTCAGTCTCGCCAGCAGTCAGGCTCCTTGAACCAATGCTGGTTAACTTTCAGATGTTTAGAGGCAAGGACCCTCTGTTAAATATAGGTCCTCATTCTGTTTAGACAAAAATAAAACGTTCATATGTATTTAATGAGCTTTGAATGAATCCTATGTTCACCTGGTTCTTTGTGATGACTCACTGCTCACCTGGTACTCACTGCTCACCTGGTACTCCGTGAGATTCGTACTCACCTAGTACTCAAGTACTCACTGCTCACCTGGTACTCAAGTACTCACTGCTCACCTGGTACTCAAGTACTCACTGCTCACCTGGTACTCAAGTACTCACTGCTCACCTGGTACTCCGTGATGAGTCAGTGTTCACCTGGTGCTGCTCACCTGGTGCTCAGGGCTCACCTGGTACTCCGTGATGGCTCAGTGTCCACCTGGTACTCAGTGTTCACCTGGTACTCAGTGTTCACCTGGTACTCAGTGTTCACCTGGTACTCAGGGCTCACCTGGTACTCAGTGTTCACCTGGTACTCAGGGCTCACCTAATACTCAGGGCTCACCTAATACTCAGGGCTCACCTGACGAGTCGGTTCTCACCACGACCCCGTCTAAGTTTGCGCCGCCATTGTCTCAGGGGAGCCGCCCGGGGAATCAATAAAGTTATTGTCAAGCGGCAGGGAATTGTTATCAATAAAGTTATTTTAAGTCCCTCCCAGGACGAAACATCGGTTGTCTATAAAGTTATATTCAAGACCATCCTCGGTTGCTAAGTTACCAATCTGTAATAAAGTTATATTCAAGCTCCCTTTCCAGATAGGATGTTATAAAGTAAGTTCCTGTCGCGATGGAATTTCCATTACACGATATGACGAGGATCGCTAGAAAGTATTCCTTTCTCATAGAATCAGAATCTTTTATGTAGCCTGGAGGAATCCAATAATCAATGACGCTTTTTTTCACTCATGTCCATTCGGGGGGAGGTCAGCAAGTTAGAATAACAAACAAATATAACAGATGATAAGATATTCTTGGTTCTTTCGGTAAAGTCACGTAGAAGGGATACAATAAAATAATAAATATATAAAACAATAAAATTCTCACATTTCGACTGCAACACAAGCAATCGTCATCAGGTGTGAAACCCACAGCAAGAAATTTTGAACAAAGTGGCGGTGTTTGTTTTAACGTTAGCACCACGGAGAGCGATTTGGCAGTTTATTCACATGGACGAGTCCATCTATGTTCAGAAAAAAGGATGGGGGAGACGAAAATAATGGATGATAAGAGTGAAAAGTAGAGAAAATTTAAGCCAGTCACAAAAAATACGTAAATAAAAAATACATCAAGTATATAAGTACACATTTCATAAGTACATACATTCCTGCCGATGTTTAAACAATGAATGCAAGCTCTTTCGGTAAAGTCACGCAGGTAGAAAAAAGAATATATCACGAAGGTTCGATCGCAACACAAGCAACCGTCATCAGGTGTAAAACAAACAGCAGGACCACTGCTGACGTAGGAGAAAGAGCTGCTGCAACAAGAGTTTATATAGGATTTTTGGTGGGCCCAACCCAAGGGTAAGTGAGCGGAGCTAGAGAAGGAATTTGTACATAAATCTTGATTTGAAGCTGTAAATGTGAGACGGCCCAGCCACCGGAGGTGTGCCAATGAGAAGATTAATCATGTCAATGTCAGAGAGCCGAGCAACAGGAACAAAAAAAACCCCTAAGAGCAAGAGGTACACATGATGAGAGGGAAATAACAGCTGACATAGGCAAGTAGGATGGAAACATCACAGTTAAGACTTTACTGGGTTAATAACGTCCTTCCAATGATTGCTCAGTTTGTACCCATCTCGGTTGAAGTTGTGTCTGTGTTTATATATCTGGATGGCTTCATGAACAAATCTTTGATGAAAGCCAGTGGGTTTGCAGAGTACAGTATATTTTTTCAAGTAGTGGTATCCAAAACTTTCGCAGCATCTTAAATTACCCTTTTCACACCATCAATATGTAAACTCCCCCTCTCCCCCTCGCCGGTCTGCACATGTTCACCCCCTCTACACCGTTCATCATGCTAAGTCCGCCAATTAAATGCTAATTTTTATGCTAATTCCTTTGTCAAGTCGCGGTCTGAGCTTGGCTGTGTTCGCTCCAGCGCTGTCCTCGAGACAGTCTCGTCCCTTCACCTGATGAAGGCCACTTGTGTTGTGGCCGAAACGTCGTGAGAATTTGATTATTTTACTTTATTAATTTATTATTTTATTCTCATTCTACGTGACTTTACCGAAAGAACCAAAGAAGATAATTATCATGTTTTACCTTTCCGCGTTTCCCTCGTCCACCGCTAGGAAACGCGGATTTAAGTTATCTGCAAATCCGCGATTATCTCTGCCGCTTCGATATTCTCTCCACGCCTCGGTGATTCTCCGCGAAGTTCCATAGATTATCTCGGCGGCTCCGAGATCCTCTGTGCAGCTCGACGATTCAATTTGTCGCTCGGCCTTTCCCTCTTCACCCCGAATGCCACTGGCTGTGGGATCTGGCCCCCGCGCAGCGCATTAACACCCGCAGCATGGACAACATCAACACCCCCCCAACCCCATCATCCGCTGCATCAACACAATCGTCATTCACCTCGTCAAGGAGCATGAACCGTCACGCAAACTCCGGTCATCCTCGCAGCGGCTTTTAGCCAACCATCGAACAAAGACGGCACTGCACAGCGCACTTTCAAGAAGCAACTGGAACTGTGCACTTTTACATCTAAATTGAAAACTAATTTCTTTATAACTGATTTGTTTTTCTTTCCCCTGCTCCTCCGATTAGCACGGTTGGCGACGTATGGTGCAAAAGAAGTTCAACATACAGTACTACGTACGTACCTCCTCCGACCCCTTGATCGCAGACAAAACACTTGCGTATTAAAGTCAAAGCAATGTTTTATTTGTTTGTGTATTACAGCGTCTAACCCGTTTCAATCAGTTTTGAAGTTACAGCAAATCTTAACATTAACGACTGAAAACACGAAATAATTGTGCAAATACTAAGTCAATTGACAAAAGTTGCCGTTATGGCAACATCTAAGACACCGAAGCCAATTTTAGCACGAAAGATTTAAAACGGCCGAGGCAAATAGCCCCAAGACAGTGAGTACGCGACGTGAATTTGGAATATTGTCTATACAGTATTCGAGAATATAACATGTTAAATGAAACTTTACTATCATAGTAATCAAACCAAAAATAATGTGCAGATAACATCATTTAGTAAAGATTATGTATATAATTATTTTTAATACGGTCTACACAAGCGCGAGCAACAGTGTAATGCGCCATCTCATAAAATCTAAATCTTTTACATCTTATAGTTGGGTTGAAGCAAGCCTGACTGCTGCTGAAACACCGAATGTCAAAACCGGTAGATAATTGTCTTGTGGTAAAGCAATGCAGCTAACAAAATTCACTCCCAGAAAAAGGCTGTGGCGCCAATGGATGTGTAAAAAAAACATTGCGGAGATATGCAGAAGCGAATTTGGTTGCATATTTAATTGGCATTCTTTGTTTGGCTTAAGATCTTAACAGATTATAGCAATCATTTAAATGTGCGTTGATAGTTATGATCTTGAAACTAAACAGGAAAGATCCCAGTGTAAAACAGAGTTCACTGAATCTAGAAAATGAACACCAACAGGGACCATATGTGAAAAAGTTACCGATGATCGTCTTTAGCCATGAACTGGTTCAACGTGAATTTACCCTCAACGGTTAGACAGTGCAGCAGACGTAAAGTATCTGTTTTGCAGTGCCTAAGAGATTCACAGGTAACGGCACCCACATAGAACCCAACATTTTGGATCTTGAGAAAATGTACTAGTGTCGGCTTTAGGCCAAGCGGGGCCATTCCAAGTCTCTCGTCGCCTGCCATACACTGCTTATATGGCACTTTGTGGTATTTCCTGTACTCAAACCTAAAAACAGGTTTTATGACATTCCTTCAATTACTTCAAACATAGTCTAACATTCAAAGTGATTTCCCTTTCAAATAAGAATTGCGGCGGTGCTCATCTCGTTTACAACCCTGAGCGATTGGTAGAAAAATCCACATTCCTAGAGAGGGGAGGGTGGGTGAGTCGGTTTAATAGACAATGTTAACATCCTCTTTGGTTCTATTCGGTAAAGTCACGTAAAAGTATAAAACAACAAAAAAATTCTCGACGTTTCGGCCACAACACAAGTGGCCTTCATCAGGTGAAGGGACCAGACTGTCTCGAGGACAGCGCTCACAGCTAAGCTCAGACCGCGACCTTTAAGCTTGTGAGAGGAATTAAGGTGCATTGACAAAAGAATTAGCATAAAAATTATCATTTAATTGGCGGACTTAACATGATGAACGGTGTAGAGGGGGTGAACATATGCAGACTGGCGAAGGGGGGAGGGGGAGTTTACATATTGATGGTGTGAAAAGGGAATTTAAGCAGCTGCGAAAGTTTGGGATGCCACTACTTGAAAAAATATACTGTACCATTGAAAATTAGTTTAATGTTTGGTTCGATTTAGAACATCTTTCCAATGGTTGCTTAATTTGAAACCATCTTCTCGGTTGAAATTGTGTCTGTGTTTGTAAATTTGAATTGCCTCGTGAACAAATCTCTGATAAAAACCCGTGGGTTTGCAAAGAACCTTGGTATCGGAGAAAATTATATCGTGATCACCCACAGCGTTGTAACAGTGACTTTAGTGTTTTATACTTTTACGTGACTTTACCGAATAGAACCAAAGAGTATGGATCCTTGCATTCACGAAAGCTTCAAATCTAGAAATGTTGACATCCCCACAAAGTGGTACTTATTTTATCGACTTCAGAGGAAGGGATTATAGGTCAAATCAACGGCCATCCAAGATTTGAACTCACAACTATCCGATGTGACCCACTCGCTCTACAGCTGAGCCACCTCAAAACTGGAAGTGACACTACAGAGTATCATCAAAGAGGACCGATGGAAAGTATATCCATGCAGGGGGAGATGAGAGGATAGCAGTCATTACTTGGTAAGTGTAATGCGAATGCCAAAGAAAAATAAAATACAGAATCTTAGAACTGTTTCATCAGATCCCATATACAGTACCCATTTAGTGACAAAAAGCAAGGGAGTGCAATTAGTATATTTCCTAACTGGTATTATGCATGCTACATTTCCACAGGTGTTTACTCCATTGTGAGTGGTCCAAATAAATCAAACATTGCAGCCAGTGGTCTGCATTCCTGTCCATAACACATACATTTCATAATGTAAGTTTAGTAAATTATACCTTTGACCTTCCCATAGGAATGTGTAATTACTACCACTGGCTCAAGGGTGTAAACAAAAGATGACAACTGACGCAAGGCTCATTTTAGCAGCAAATCACTGTCTTTTACTAAACTGTACTTACATAAACTATATTACCTCACCCCATTCTTGTGAAATGAATGATCATCGTTGAGTACAATGGGTCTTATTCATCATCTGCTTCACCTGGGAAGCATTCATCTGCTTCACCTGGGAAGCATTCATGCGACAGCATTTAGATAAACGAAAGTCGGGTTTGTCCATCTTTGCGGCCAGGCACTCGTACATAAAATAGTTTTTTCAGTTTTTGTGCATCATCCTTTATGTCCAAGCATGAATCTAAATAAAAAATGACAAAAAAATACAGCAAGTCACAATTAATAACAAGTGGGCATGTTTAGTTATATTGTATATATACAGGCAGTCCTCAATTTACGAACACCCGACTTATAAACATCTGCACTTACGAATTAACTTCGATATTTTTCTTTAACATAGCCTTGCAAACGCGAACTCGCTCTTGTGAATTGAACCGCAGAACTATTTTGTTAAGCAGAGCGGTCCACCGCGAAATGTAATGATTCAAAGCAACCCGCTAGGAGTGAGTGTTGGTGTGTGTGTGAAAGTGAGTGTGCCCTCGTATGTGTTTGGGGAGCAGTAGTAAACGATTAGCGCGCTGTATTACCAAGACGGTTACCCGAGTTCGATTCCTACTCACGACCAACACAAGTGACGATTATCTGAATGGGTCCTGGACCTGCCCTAGGTCGACTCAGCATAAAACGAGTATCTGGTGCGGTGTATAAACATCGTCACTGGGGAATCGAAGGCGGTTAGGCGTGGTGCTGGCCATCTACCCCCTCGTGGACTGTGCCGGCTTTCATAGTCGCTGCTCGCTAACACCACTTGGCCCCACAGCCTGTTAAGGCTATATACGGGATTTTTGTAGGAATAGGTTTTACCCTTTTAACTGGCACAAAAACTGACACCTTTATTCAAGGCATCATGTTTGCAATAACCACAACACAAGCAGTCAAAATGCAAACAAAAAAGACAACTCTGATAATAATATGCACTGTCCTTGAATTTGATTGGTCCACACCCGAGACAGCTTTTCTTAGAGCCTAGTCTCCACTGCTGTTGGACCAGAAGACGCCAAAAGGCGTACCAAGACCTCCTTTGCCAGAAACAAGATATAGGAATAGGTTTTACCCTATGTACAATTGTGGCGACTCAATTTCTACCCTTTCTGACAAGCAAGCCAGTATCAGGACTGACGGTACGTGAAAAGAAAGCTGACTTTTTTCTATTTGTTACTTTATTTAGTTTTATTGTACTATACAGTATTACAGTATTGCATGCAAATGCACAATAATTATTTGAGTTTAACAATGCTTTCCTTTTTTGTTGAACCGTAACACATTTTATAACACTGACCATATGTGCATTTAAATACAGTACATTATTACGTTATGACTTACAAACCATTCGATTTATGAACGGGTCTCAGGAACAGAACCAGTTCGTAAGTTGAAGACTGGAATTGACAAAGTTCAGAATTTTACTCAGATATATATTATTCATCAGCCAAAACAAGTTCAATATTTATACATGAATTGCTTTACCTGACATTAAAACAGGCCCAAATAAAAATGTGTCTTCCTCTTGATGAGTGTGGTGAAAACTTGAGGTTTCAAATGGAGGTGAGTTTAAATGCATAAAGTCATCATCTTGTTCCATTCTTTTGACTGGCTGGTACTTCATACATATTTCATTGAAAAGCTGTGGGAATGTTTGAAAATTTAAGTAACAGGCATCAAATTTTGATGGAAAGCTTTCGTGACTGCAGGGATTCATATTCTTGGTTCTTTCGGTAAAGTCACGTAGAAAGGAAACAATAAAATAATAATATAAAACAATAAAATTCTCACATTGTTTTATATTTTTATCATTTTATTGTTTCCCTTCTACGTGACTTTACCGAAAGAACCAAGACTATAACAGGCATCAGTATAGACAATTGCGTACTGCTCTCTTTATATATATGAAAGTAAAAAAAACATGGCAAAACAATAATTTAAAATGTTGTCAATCCACTCTTGGATGAAGGCCTCCCCATGCCCTCTTAGTCATGGAGCTTATTTGACCATACCTCACCACGCTGCTAAGTATGGATTGCGAAAGGGGGCCCCAAGCCAGGTTCAGATATTACTTGCCACAGGTTTTAGCCATGGCCGAAAATCAAACTCGGGTCGCCAGGTTAACAGTGCAGTATGTTAACCACCGCACCACTGCTCAGTACAAATTAATGCCAGTGTTTATTTCTATACATAATTTAGCACGTTATTGAGTGATTGGGCCAGGAAGTAAAAAAAGGTTTAAATGTAAAAAAGACAGAGCCAGTCTGCATGCGAATGTCGATTTCATAGTTAATACTGCAAAGAGATGGTCATACTACTACAGACAAACCGATACAAGTGGTAAAAGAGGAACTTGTTGATTACAAACATGAGCAAGCTCGAGACAATTATTGTTTTTAAAAAGGCGGTTTCGGCAGGACACAGCGTAACTTTACCTTCAAGACCTTTGTTGGCACTTGGGGTAAAAGGTTGCATAATGTTGGCAGTGACAATGACAGGATTTGCTGGAGTGAATCTAATTTTTGTAACATCAGTTGTGCTACGAATGCATTAATACAAGGAAATCCGAGCAAAAATTGCTCCTCCTATAAATGGAAGAAAAATCGTGTTTTGTATTTAAAACACAGATGACAATAATTACACTGGGTTCGTGAACAATAAATGTTAACCTGTCTATATATCTCTTATTGTTAAAATAAAAACATTGCAAAAAACGTCAGCAGAAAGTCGAGAACATTGAGCATCCAAAACAGCAAGTGTCACAACTAAATGAATGTAAATCCTTGCAGAGCAGTTTTCAGCAGAAGGCTACTCCATTAGTATATGGAATAGTAAACAAAAACCTGATTTATTTTGTTATATAAGGAGTTCATCATGGCCACCACCACGACATCCATCAGAGGCATTTTACATTGATAGATAACATCACACGGGAGAACAGACATCCAGAACACCTCATTCGAGACCGAAACATCACATCTGGCTTTGACATTCCTCGAAGACACTGGTGTAACCATCAACTGCATCAGAACATCAACAGGCTGATGCACACATCTTCTCCATTGATATTTAAAGACAAGCCACAGTAGTGCGACTGGCCATGCAACCCAAACTATGGACAATACAGTATGGTAAACCAATGCAGTTGGCGCTCCTTCAATAGAGAAATAGTAAAACCACACGAACTCTCTCTTGGAAGCCGTCTCATGGCTAGCAGACGTCTACATTGGCATTTAGCTCCTGAACATATTGCATATATAAAAAAATATCACACTGGCCAGTCCCTTGTTCTACCCCATACCCCTCCGAAAAGACCACTCAACCAAACGTGCGTGATTTATACTCTGCAGATGCGCTCTGTAGAGTATTGCTGAAGAGTCCAGGCATACAGTTAACATCAAGCCTTGACTGTGGTAGTATTGTGGCACATTTTGGTAACTAATTTCAAGGGCTGCTTGGTAATCCATGATTGTGGATCAGCACTCACAAAGAAATTACAATGTCAGTAGCATTCAAATAGGCAAGTATGCACTGGGGCTGCATTGTACTTCATATAGATGTAGATATGCATGAAGTTAGCTTACCTTTGAAACCAGGGGCTTCAGAAAAGGCCTAATAATACAGTGGTCAAGGTCCCAACCCTTGCTGCTGAAGAGTGTCACATCCCCAATCGCCCTTATTGCTTCTACTGTTTCTTGAATGCTTCCAGTTTGAAGAATCTACATCAATGCAATACAAAAGTTAGATTCGAAGCTTTCGTGATTGCAGGAATTACTCTTTGGTTCTTTCGGTAAAGTCACGTAGAAAATAAAATCAAATAATAATAGAATACAAATGAAGAAGTGTAATGCAATGCAACACAGAGGGTTGGTTAACACACAGTTAACGCATAGCCTGATTGATTAACGTTCTTCCAAAGATTTCTAAATTAGAAGTTAAGTGTGGAACATACAAGCAAGGAGAAATTTAGAGAGAGAAATAGGAAGTTTGACAACAAATTTAGTAAAATTAGAGAGTGTAATGTAATGCAACGCAGAGTGTCGGCTAACACACAGTTAACGCATAGCCTGGTTGATTACCGTTCTCGCAAGATTGCTAAATTAGAAGTGTGAGTTGTGAGTAAACCCTCCCCGTAGAGGTGGTTCAAACGAGATTCGAAGCTTTCGTGACTCTACGGGCTCTACGGGGAGGGTTTACTCACAACTCACACTTTACTTCTAATTTAACAATCTTTGTGAGAACGTTAATCAACCAGGCTATGCGTTAACTGTGTGTTAACCAACCCTCTGTGTTGCATTGCATTACACTACTTAATTTGTATTATATTATTTTATTTTCTACGTGACTTTACCGAAAGAACCAGAGTAATACAAAAGTTGTACATTTTACAAGAAAACAATGCGGCTCAAAGGAAACATAACATGACTGTGCTATGAAGGGTTGCAATTCACTTGCTGGCAAATGACCATGCAATAGGGTTGCCAGTCTGCCGATCTCCCGCTCCCACTTGCGAAAGAGACCCCGTGGTACTTAAACTCCTCCACTAAGGGCAGCTGTTCCTCCCTCACCTGGAGAGAGCAATCCACCATCTCCCGGGAGTGAACCATAACCTCAGATTTGGAAGTGCTGATCCTCATCACAGCCGCTTCACTCGGCATTAAATCATTCAAGTTAATTCTGCAGATCACAGACTGACGAGGCAAAGAGGACAAAGTCACGTGCAAAAAGCAGTGACGCCACCTCCATACCCCTGTACTGGATACTCTCAATACCTCGGCTGCACCTTGATATCCTGTCTATGAAAATCGGAGACAGGATGCACTCTTGGCGGAGTCCAAAACCCATAGTGAACGACTTTGATTTAACACCAAGAATACGGACACAGCTCTCACTCTGGGAATAGAGGGACCGGATAGCACACAAAAACAGCACCAGTACATCATACTCCCGCAGCACCTCCCACAAAACATTGCTGGGAACACGGTCATATACTTTCTCCAAGTCTACAAAGCAGATGTAGACTGGAGAAGGATACTCCCATGACCCCTCAAATATCCGTGTAGGGGAAAAGAGCTGGTCCATTGTTCCACGACAACGACGGAATCCACATTGTTCTTCCTGGATCTGAGGCTCGACCACCGGGCAGAGCCTCCTCTCTAGCACTCTGGCATAAGCTTTACCTGGAACGCTGAGCAGTTGATTCCTCTGTAATTGGAGCACACCCTCTGGTTCCCTTTTTAAAAAATGGGAACCACGACCATAGTTTGCCAATCCAGAGGTACTGTACCCGCCTTCCATGCAACATTGAAGAGGCGTGTTAACCACAACACACTCTCCAGCACTTTCAAAAACTCTGGGCGAATCTAGTACACCCCAGCAGCTTTGCTGCTACGAAGGCCCTCGACTGTCGCAGCGACTTCAGCAGCCGTGATGGATCCAACCCCCGCAGCTGTTTCCATGGCTGCGTCCTGAGAGGAGGGCATGTGCACGGGGTTCAGGAGCTCCTCAAAGTGTTCCTTCCACCTCTCGACTATCTCTTGAGTTGAGGTCAATGTTACGCCACCTTTACTGAAAAGAGCCTGGGCCACGTCCAGTCGACCCCTCCTAAAGCATCGGATGGTTTCCCAGAACACCTTTGAAGCTGCCCAGTAGTCGCTCTCCATGGCATCTCCAAACTCCTGCCACACCGCGGCTTTCACTTCAACAACTGCTGCAGCTGCCGCCCTCTTGGCAAGCTGGGACCTCTCAATTCAGAGAGCTTCCTTCTTCAACTTGACAGCTTCCCTTACCACTGGTGCCCACCAGCAGGTCCTAGGGCTGCCGCCATGACAAGCACTAACTGCCTTCAGGCCACAGCCATTTGCAGCTGCATCCACAATCAAGGTCCTGAACATCGTCCACTTGGACTCAATGTCCACGACCTCACGAGAGTGCAGAAGTTTTCCCGGAGGTGGAAGTTGAAATCTTTCTGCACTGGGTCTTCTGCCAGACGTTCCCAGAAAACCCGCCCTATTCTTTTGGGCCTTCCACGTCTATCTGGTCGGTGCCCCAAGCGTCAGATTCTGTTGACAGCTCTGCCTCTTCACCCGAGTGTCCAGAACATATGGCCTTCAGTCCGATGATACAACTATTAAGTCAATCATTGACCTTCAGCCCAAGGTGGTCTGGTACCAAGTACACTTATGAGCATCCTTGTGTTCGAACATGGTGTTTGTTATTGATATTGTGTGACTAGCGTATAATTCCAAAAAAACATCACCGTTAGGGTTCAGATTAAGGGGGGCCATTCCTCCCAAACACGCTTTTCCAAGTATCTCCATCGTTTCCCACGTGAGCATTGAAGTCGCCCAGTAAGACTATGGGGTCGGTGTGCGGCACTCTGTCGAGCACTGCACCCACCGTCTCCAAGAAGGCCGAATAATCTGAACTGCTGTTTGGTGCATAATCACAGACAACAGTCAGAATTTTATTTTCTGAGAGCCGAAGTCTCATTGAGGCGACCCTCTCATCCACTGGAACAAACTCCCAACTGAGCAGCACCCAGCCGGGGGCTTGTAAGTATCTCCATACCCGCTCGGGGCCTCTAACTAGGGGTTACTCCGGAATAGGAGACCACCCCCGATTGAAAAGTTTGGTTCCAGTGCCAATGCTGTGTGTGGAGGTGAGACCGATGATAGTTGGTATCTTTCCACCTCCTCCACCAGATCTGGCTCCTTCCCCACCAGTGACGTGACATTCCACATCCCAATAGCTAGTGTCGCATTGCCAAGGTCCAATCCATCTGGGACCATCCCTCTCCCTGCCATACTGGCATCGCACCCACCCCTCACCCTTGGTCCTGCAGTTGGTGGGCCCACAGGATGGCACCACGTAGCCATTTTGAGCTGGGCCTGACCAGGTTACGTGGGTCACCCGGCCACCAGGTGCTTGCCGGTGAACACCACCCCCAGGCCTGCCTCCAGGAGTGTGTCCCGATATCCCTTGTCCGGGTGAGGTTCTCTTATTTTTTTTACTATTCATGAGGTGATTTTTTTTGGACCATTATTTGTCTGGAACTTCCCCCCGGACCTGTTCATCAAGGGAGGCCCTACCAGGAGTACAAGACTCCAGGCAACATAGCTCTGAGGGTCATTGGAACACACAAACTCCACCACCAAAATAACGTTTATAAGTACTAATTGCATAATTACATACATTCCTAAATTTTTATTTAAAGCTTTCGTGACTGCAGGGATTCATATTCTTGGTTCTTTCAGTAAAGTCACGTAGAAGGGAAACAATAAAATAATAAAAATATAAAATAAAATTCTCATGCCGTTTCGACTGCAACACAAGCAATCATCATCAGGTGTGAAAACCACAGCAATACACTTTTAAAAAGTGGCGTTTTTTATTATTAACGTTAGCACCACGGAGAACGATTTGGCAGTTATTCAGATGGACGAGTCCATCTATTTTTGGAAAAGAGGGGGGGGGACGAAAATAATGGATGCGGTCTGAAAGCCACCGTAAGCGGGTCTTAATTGATTGTTCACACTTACGGTGGCTTTCAAACCGCATCCATTATTTTCGTCTCCCCCCTCCTCTTTTCCGAACATAGATGGACTCGTCCATCTGAATAACTGCCAAATCGCTCTCCGTGGTGCTAACGTTAACAATATATTTTTTTAATTCCACTTTTTTCAAATTTTCTTGCTGTGGTTTTCACACCTGATGATGATTGCTTGTGTTGCAGTCGAAACGTAGTGAGAATTTTATTGTTTTATATATTTTTTATCTTGTTTCCCTTCTACGTGACTTTACTGAAAGAACCAAGAATATACATACATTCCTGCCAATATTTCAACATTAAATGCAAGCTTGGGCAAGGTAGAAAAACAAATAGTCCCAGACCACACTAAGACAACCCAAAGTCCCTCAATAAAATTGCACATTAATATTGATCTATCGATACATGGGTGCGGATGAAAGTTACAAATCATATTGGCAAATGTGGTTGTATCCAGCACTAATCTCCTTCAGGATATTTTTTTAAGATTGATGAGGAAATGTATCATTGTTATTACAGGACACCGCACAGTGATAATAGACCTAGGCTAAGGAATGTCTGGGTTTGGTGGTGGAGCCTACATTCCCACCAAGCTTGCACGATGCTCTGCTGACTTGTGAACCATACCCAAGATGCAGTGTTCAGCTCTAAAGCCTATATTTGGTTATGATTAACTTGATGTTATGCCCAACCTTTATTTCATAGTCGTCATTCTTCAGACTGTATAGTGCTGAAGTCGCTTTAAGAAAAGATAGACCATGAATAACTTCTGCAGAATGTGAATACCTATGGCAAGAAAAACAGCTTAAAAATTGTGCTCGAAATCAATATATCATTTCAGGGATATATGGTTTCCCTTGAACTTAGCAAATTAGTAAATATCCAATTATAAACATCCCAACGTAATTTAATGACACCTTTTAAAGAAGATAGCCAATAATATGGCATACTAAAACAGCATAGGCTCCTCCACAATTATTTGTTTCACTTACATAAGCTGGGTTTCTAGAGCAACTGTTGGCCCACTCCACTCCTTGTACATAAAATAAAGCAACCATTCACGTTGCTGTGGATATTAACAAAATACATATGCAGACAATATGCCTCCTGAACATATCTGTCTCTCCACGTAAAAATTATTTGCACATCCATTGGCTGCATGGCCGTCTGGGGGTGAATGTTTGAGAAGCATTGTGCCGGTTAAGTGTGAGGCACGTTTTTAAATGATTTATTGCGCAATTTACATTATCCACAATGCGCATGATTACTTTGTGATTATATGGGTTTGCATCGAAATAGGACCCATATCTAACAAAAAGTTCCTTGCCTATAAACATCTGGCAGTTCACCAACAATGGTTTAAACATACCTGACCGGATGAGACACTGAATGATTTGCATCTAATGTAGAAACTGGTCCATTTGCTTTGTTAAACCAATGATTCTGAATAATGCATTCCCATAAGGTCGTATGGCTGATGGGATGTGTAAAAAGTAATTTTCTTTGGAGATAAAAAATATGGGAAAGAGGTGAATTGTCTGCTTATTTATTTCGAAGCACTGAATGAATGCTACAAGGAGAGAGTGTGTCAACAGTTTTGAAGATCAACGATATAGTTTATCAGTCATCCTTGTGTACAAACGTGTGAATACTTCATGCATTTGTCTTACGTCATGTTATAATCGGACGAAGATAAATAAAGAATGAGCCAGCATTTTTGGAATTGCAGAGACAATGCTGCCAGGTGGGAAATTATGTAGTCTGTAGCACCTTCTTCGTGTAAACATTCTAAATTCTGCACACAAACACGCAAAACAGCAATTATGTTTTTACAAACTAAACATAATAGATGACACAAAACTGTGAAAAATATTGTAAGTTGAACTGGTTTCAAGTTTATCTTGTTTAACATAAAGAGGCAATGAGAGTCTAATATTTAAGAGTTGACCTGTCACCAAAATAAAAGAATATAAAAGCTAAATACTGTACAACAGTAGAGCAAACAGAAATCAGAGAAAAACAGGTAACGAATGTACTATATTTCAAATGCTCATTGCTATCCAAAATGCAAGATTGGGGTTCGATGACAGAAATAAATCATGCTTCTCACATATAACTACCAACTTGATGCTTCCATCTTTACCCATTATTTCAGTCGATACATTCATGCAAAGTACAATCTTAGTCTAATACCCGGTGTGAGCAAAAATACCTTTAGGACTATAGCTGTGCCTTCATCAATAATTAAATCAGCATAAAATATAGGATGTGTTCCTTCCGAAGTCTGAATTGTCAATTCATTGTAATTTCTTTCCATTATTGTTACACTGTTCCTGTTACAAGACGTCACATTTTTTGTATATCAGAATGCACATTATTGTATATCAGCATGGTTTCCGTGATTTGACGATATTACGATATATTATTGGGTCTTTCGGTAAAGTCGCGTAGATTGGTTAAAACAAATACAAAAAACTATTTTTCGATCGCAACACAAGCGATCGTCATCAGGTGGGGAAAAAAGGGGGTAAGCCTCTAAAGGCAAACTGTCTATAAATGTTTAAAGTGGACGTAGCCCACGGAGTGATATATTGTACCATATGAGACCCCCACAATCTTATTGTCTGGTGTGCAAAATATCTTCATATCATGAATATTTACATTATAGATCAAATGTTTCTGAAATCTCTTAAATTTTGCCTCTGAAAACAATGCTCCCGTCCCTCATAAGCTGTATTATGAACCCATATCCCTCCTATCTCTTGTCGTGCTCTTATGAATATATCTTCTCTCTATTCTTAGAGATTTTTTCAGTGGATATCTACGTAACTTATTTTTTTTATTTTTTTACTGACTTCACCTCTTTCCCTTTCCCTCATTTATGTTACATCTATTATGAATGTCTTTTATCTCAATGCCTCGCATCTGGAAACATATTTTATATTCCTTGTATAGCTTTCCTGTGTAAATATCTTTACTATCTCATGTCTGAATACATCTCTATTTTTTTGTCTATCTTATAGCTGTTCTGACTACATCTGTCTATCTTTGCTATTGGTTTAATGCCAATGGCATGTGACTCGGCATGTTAGTCATTGTGTGAGGGGTGTAACTTTGCAAGAATACACACATCTTGTTCAAGAATGTATTTTGCTTTATGTTAAATAAACAACGTATATGCTCATGTTACATTTAGGGACACAATACAGAACAAAACTGCACAAAAGAATTAGAAACACAGAAACTACACATAGGAGAGTAAAAACCATAACAAAATGAAAAAATTGCGTCTAATTGGACCCCTGAATTGAAACACAATACTGAATCGTTATACACCTCATATTTGTACACAAATCATAAAGTACAGAAAAACACATTGTACCGCGATTCCAGCAACCTCGAAGAATCCTTGATGCCTGTCAGCTTCTGAGACATGATTAGTTTGTAAGGAACATGCAGAGAAGCCAACAATGACACACTTGGCCTTGCTTCTGTTGACAGAAACATTAATATTTACAGTAACATTCTGAGATCAGAATTTTATGTTCCATTCTCGTACAAGTGTGTGATTCACATATTTCTGGGGTGCGAGGCTCGTGCAGAGTGACTGGTCAGCTCATCACATTTTCCTGCAAACCCAATACATACAAATTCCTGAAACTCACTCCCTAAGGGCATCGAGGTCACCATCTTGGCTTGCTAGAGTATGGAAGTACAGCAAGTGATTTAATTTACATCTCTATTCCATTTATACTGGGATTGAGTGTTACAATACACCTTCATATATGTTTCTTTCCAAATGTTTTTTTTTTACATCCCATCGGCCACATCGCCTTCTGGAAGTGCACAATTTCACTAGGATTGGTTTAACAAGCAAACTGTGGATCAGGTTTGACTTTCAGTATCTCATCAACAGTCAGGCTTGCTTGAAGCATTGCTGGTGAACTGCCCGATGTTTAGAGGCAAGAACCATCTATTAGATATGGGTCCCTGTAAGAATAGTACACTTGTTGATATTAGTATACGATGTGTTAGAGAATTCCCTCATTTTTTTGGTTTACTGCTGAGAATGATCAATCTAAAACAATGTGTACAAATATGGATTAAAACTATTTACAAATGAGTGGTCAGTTCATAAGAGTACTCTTAAACTGACATTGCTGCTAGATATTTTTTTATATTACTCATTATAAACTAATGAAACGTATCACTAAAAGTATTTTGGAAAACTGACAACAGACTTCTCATATATTTCATTTTAAAACAAAGGCCCAAAACTTGAAGTGTCCAACAACAAACACCACAATAAAAGGTGTAATAGATAAACGTTAATACTTTTCCTGAATTAAGCAAGGTTGTTACAAAAGCTTGTGAAAATAGACCATGGCAGAAATTTGCAAAGCCAAGCAGTATATTTATGTGGGGAGCGGTGGCGCAGCAGTAGCGCGTTGTGCTACGAACCTGGTGACCCGAGTTCCATTCACGCTCACGTCCAACACCAGTCATGATTATCTGAACCAGTCCTAAGCCTCCCCTAAGTCGACTCAGTGTCAAATGAATACCTGGTGCAGTGTGCAAATATCGCCACTCGGGAGACAATGGCGGCCAGGCATGGTGTTGGCCACCCACCCTCTCGTATGTACTCTATATTTAACTTCTTTCACAACATACGTAGCCAATTGTGTGCCGTGCCTGTCTTCATTGGTCCTCAATAACAGCATTTTCCCCAACAGTCTGTTTAGGCTATACGGGGGATCTTTGCGTTTGTATATACATATATATGACTTCTTCTATGGAACATCAGTATCTACTCAACACACTACAGTCAGTAAATGCTTAATCCAAATACTCGCAGTGTGTATCCAAGTTACCTTCTTCCCAACAAGCAGGCAGCACCGTTCTGAGAGAAACGTATCGTATAAACTGCCTCTTGCAAACATCTGCCCACAGAGAAGTAGCTGAGAACTCAAATTCAATCACCAATGAAATTTGTGCCCATGGAAAATCTTCTGCAAGATCTTCGCTGCCTATTATTATGCATGATGCATTGTCCAGGCTGTCATAAAAAGTTAAATAAAATATCACATTGACAAGTGAAATAAAAAACACAACTCAATTAAAAGGCAGTATACACGGTAATTACACATGGAGGAATACTAAGCTTCAGCAAGTCAGGCATGGTTTCTGCAGGCAGCTGTCAACACACTTCATTCGACAACCCATGAACTCTAGTCCATGTCTTGATGCAGCCAGTCTGGCAGACCACAGGGATTACAGACTCCAAAAGCCCTAGGCATCTCCTAAAGATTTCTGAGCAAATGTCCAGAAGTTAAAAAAATATATCAAACATGTCATGTAGGAGACAAGTCATAGGACTTGACTATGTTGAAGTCCTAGGGAAGCACAAAGTATGGAACAATTTATGAGTGATGAATACTGCACGTTGATGGCTGCCACCAGGAAATTAGACTTTGCAGTGATGTTAAACATATCAAAAGTTCACTTCAAAATAGCATGTGTTTGTTTATATTTACAAATATAAAATTTCAACAATGGACATACTTTTTCAGAATTTCGTTATATCCAAATGACTCATCTTTTGGAGAGATGTACTTTACTTTAAAACCTGAAAAATATTTTACAACAAAAAACACCATAAAATAAAGTACCAATACCAAGTTCAATGTATGGGTCAAGAAATATAATATATAACTGTATGTATAAATTTTGATGTAAAGCTTTCGTGACCGCAGGGATTCATATTCTTGGTTCTTTCGGTAAAGTCACGTAGAAGGGAAACAATAAAATAATAAAAATATAAAACAATAAAATTCTCACGACGTTTTGACTGCAACACAAGCAATCATCATCACACCAGATGATGATTGCTTGTGTTGTTTTATATTTTTATTATTTTATTGTTTCCCTTCTACGTGACTTTACCGAAAGAACCAAGAATATAACTGCATGTATGTTGAACTTCTTTTCCACCATACGTAGCCAATCGTGCTAACCGGTGTGCGGGGGAAGGGCAACAAACTAAACACAAAGAGCAGTTCTAAAAGACAATACAGGAAGAATATCATCAATGATGTGTACTTTAAACAGTCTCCAGTTTCCATTGTGCATAAAAGGGCCTTTGTCCTGTCCATTTTCTGTATGGTGGAACTGCAAAATGATCGAATAAGTGTGGTGTTTGAGAAAACAAAAATTGTGTTATTTTGGATGATGTAACATGCTCACGAAAGGATGGTCAAGAATAACAATGGAGTGGCAGCCGAGGAAGTAAATATGTCCAAGAGGACGCCAATCAATGAGATGGAGCGACGAGATCAGTTCATGAGCAGGTGCTGGATGTATTTTTACATCGTGGGATCATGAGAGGTGGTGGCGGTTTGGGGGAAGCCTTCATCCAGGAGTTGATTGATCATGTCTGATGATGATGAAAATGTGTGATTCATGATATGCATATCTGCTTGGTAATAACTCTCTTTTGCATTGGCAAAATCAAACCATGTTTACCTTTAATCCCATTCAGGCTTTGTGCAATAGCTGAGTATAGCATTTTAGCATGCCGATTCACAATAATCATGATCTAAAGGAACACAAATTATACAGCTTAACTGCAAGAACTTGAATTTCATATACATTTTCTCTTTTATGTCAAAGAATGCTCATCCCCTTTTTTCAGACAAACATTTAATTACATTTACCCATATCATTCAGTCCACATCATTTAACATGAGACAGACTAGCTCAAATAATAAACTATTTGTACAGATTATTAGGTCAGTTTATTAGGTCAGTTGTAATTACTGGTGAAACGTCATACTCAGTTTGTACATGTTGTGGCTTGGCTCTCCAATACACCAGTGTGCTGTACTAGTGACGAATTGGCATGTTCTGTTTACGTGACAACCCTTACTAGTTGACTGTGTCGCGTGGTGGCGGGTTTTAACGACACATTCATATATTTACGCGACCTAACCCAAAAACCTCTATTATGGATAATCTTAACTGATTTGTTCTGCCCAAGTCCACTTAACTTTCTTGACAGTCCATGTGATGGCTCCAGATTGAATTCGTCCACTGTTCACAATGTCTTTCACGTTCTATCAGTGTAATTCCAAGTGCGTAATGTTAAGCCTTTTGCATTGGCAAAATCAAACCATGTAATGTTAAGCCATTCTTCCATGTAGAGTGTCCGTGTTTTCAATCAATCTATCATAGCAGATATTATTCACCAATTGTATTCTACTCTTGCATATAGCAATATGTTCAGGAGCTAAATGCCAATGACGAGGCATGCTAGCCACGAGAGGGCTTCAAGAGTGTAGTTTTGCTATTCCTCCGTTGAAGGAGCACAGACACGTGGTTTATTATATGGTCCATAGTTGCACTGATTGAAAACGCTCTTCTTTAGACACACTAGGTATGCTGCAACTCGTAATAAAACTGCTCACCTTTGGGTCAATGTCATTCCTTTTCCGTTTCTTCCTTGTCAGCCAATCTGATATCAGACTTTTTAATTTTTCATGCTTTGAGTGAGCTTCATGGTTTTCTTTAAATGCAAATTGTACGGTAGTCAATTGTCTCCATATTTGTTGCAGCTCCACATCAGCATCTTTTTTCTCAGAAAGAAATGCTATGAACACAATGCAAAGAGGGCATTTTACAGCAATGTAAATATTAATTAGATTAACTAATTCATGGATCTCTCCCAGCACTCAATCACGAGGCCACATGCCTGATCTTGTCATGTCTAACACCAAGTCCATCACTCTCATTACCAATTCACCCATCACGTTAGCTACCTCTTAAATGTATCCTTTCCCCCACATAGGCCACCACCTTCCAGGTCCCAAATCGCCTTCCATCACACCAGACTTTTTTTCCTGTACTTCTCTGCTCTACATTCTGTGTATCAATCCATACTTCATGGACCCCAGATATCCTTCTGTTGACCACTATAATACAAAATTATCTGCTGTTGTGTATTATTCTCGCCCCTCTTCTACAACCACTGTACATGACCATAATAAATAATCTATATATATAAAAGGGAAATTTGTGAATGTGTGTCTGTTAGAAACGTTTAGCATACTTCCCAACATGCAACAAACTTGAAATGTGGCATGTGGGTAGCTTCCATACTGTACACAATGCAAAAAGTATAAAAATAGACTTTTGTATTGGGGGGGCGGGGGGGGTGCAATAATGGATATATTTTACACGGAAAGTGAGCGGTGACGTCACATCTATGATGTAACCCGCATGCAGCAGCGATACGCAGTGTGCCTGCCGACATCACGCATCCCCCTCCCACCCTCCGCGTAGGCCGTGTATTAATCCAAGACAAGAATCCAAGTCTCGGGCAAAGCAGGGTAGTAAAGCTAGTTGGTCATAAACTCAAGAAACAATGGAAGTGAATTCAACTACCAGATCTGGAAGGCTCAAATGAAATCACATCATTCAGCTCTGCAAAAGTCCAAATTAGACTTCATGAATGCATAAAAAGTGTCCATCTCACCCAACTAGAGATAAATTACAATGTTAATTGAAATCACCACAGCAAGCCTGACTACTGAAAAGATAGTGAATGTCAAACCCAGTCCAGAGTTTGCTTGTGTTGAACCAATGTTGTCGTTTAGCTGGTGTATGTGTAAAAAATACTTTTACATTTTATCTGGAGGAAAATATACGTGAAGGAGGCAAATTGTCTGCGTATTTATTGTTTCAATAACAATCTATATAAATAAAGACCTTAATCTATGTCTCAAAAACCTCTAGGGTACTTCCCTAGAGGTCTAAGAAAGATTACATTTAGTACATAGGTAGCTTTTAGAACACAAACAGGAAACATCTGAAAATCGGAGATTTTTCATTTTAAGACCCCCAAAACTCGATTTTAAGTGCCCCATTAAAATGTTGTGGGTGTCATATTATTTGGTTCTTTCGGTTAAGTCAGGTAGATAGAAAAATAATAAAAAAAATTAAGTGAATAAAAACAAAAAACGTAGCCTGGTTCTTAATCGGAGTGTACTGGCAATCTATAATGTAGACTGTAGCCTGGTTCTTAAACTGAGTGGGCAGGAAGGCAGTCTATAATGTAAACTTATTATTGGTTCTTTCAGTAATAAAAAAATCAATTGTATTACTGAAATAACCAATGAAATACCAATAATAAGTCTACATTATAGACTGCCAGTACGCTCACTCAGGTTAAGAACCAGGCAACAGTCTACATTAGTCTGCCAGTACGCTCACTCAGTTTAATAACCATTGCTACAATCTACATTATAGACTGCCAATACGCTCACCAGCTTAAAAACCAGGCTACAGTCTACATTATACACTGCCAGTACACTCACCGAGGTTAAGAACCAGGCTACAGTCTACATTATAGACCGCCAGCACGCTCACCGAGGTTAAGAACCAGGTTACAGTCTACATTATAGACTGGCAGCACATTCACCCAGCTTAATAACCATTGCTACAGTCTACATTATAGACTACAAGTACACTTTAACACGTAGGCTTTCGCGACCAATATCATCCATAATAGAGGTTTTTGGGTTAGATCGCGTAAATATATGTGTCGTTAAAACCCGCCACCACCCGACACAGCCAACTAGTAAGGGTTGTCACGTAAACAGAACATGCCAATTCGTCACTGGTTTGAAGAAAAGTATCCCAAACTAGAAAACTGGAGAAACTCCGAATTAAGCGGATGAAGCAGTTGTCTTCACTGCCGTTCCTCAAAAGATGCAGAGATTCAAAGAAGGGTGGTCAACACATCTATGCCTCTATATAAGGAACGAAACAGTAAGACTTCTCCACAAATCTGGCTGTCGCCTGATGATGCTGGTTGCAATTACTGGCGAGATGTCGTAATCAGATTATGTTGTGGATTTGCTCTCCAACACACCGGTGTGCTGTACTAGTGACGAATTGGCATGTTCTGTTTTAGCTGTGTCGGGTGGTGGCGGGTTTTAACGACACATTTATATACAGTATTTACGCGATCTAACCAAAAACCTCAATTATGGATACAAGTACACTCGCCAAACTTAATAACCAGGCTTCAGTCTACATTATAGATTGCAAGTACACTCACTCTGATTAAGAACCAGGCTAGTTTACGTTAGTGTTTTATTTTTATTAACTACATTTTTTATTATTATTTTTCTATCTACGTGACTTTACCGAAGAACCAAAGAATATTCATTCCTGCAGTCAGGAAAGTTTTAAGTCAAAATTTGTAGGTTTCATTCAGAAACCGTTCAAAATATAACAGTTTTTTTTCCTTTGACAGAGCGTTAAAGAGCAAATACAATTAAAGCAGAAAAATTATAAATTTTTATTGTTTTTTGAGATATTTCGGATTAAAGCGGTTTTGAACGAAAAATATGCATTTTATGATGTTCAAATCTGAATAATTCGAAAACGGTAAAATATAGGAGCTGCCCCTCAGAGTATTTAGTTAATAAATGTTCGTTCTTTGTAATAAAAAAGAACGGAATGTTTGAATTGAGCGGTTTCCGATGGGTATGTCTTTAAATAAATGAAGTTGAATCAAGTTGTCAACTATTTAGTTATTTTTGCGAAAAAAATACACATTTTTTGAGTAGTTAGTGAAAACTTTTGCCTGGCGAAGACAGGCTTTATGAAAAAGTAGTATCATAAACATAAAGTGTTAGAACATTACAAATCGACCATTACCTATTGCGACTGAAAGATCCTGGTTGACTATTAAATCCGCTGCTCTTACCAACGCATGGAGGATCACTGCATGCATATGCATTTCTCTATAGTTTTCTGCATCTGTAAAAAATGTATATTTTCATTTATCCCGAATATATACTGATACTCATTGTATTCACAAATTCATAAAATGTTATAATTTTATAGTTTCCTGCTAAGCAAGATGCAATAATATAAATACTGGAACTACTTTGAATGGGAAAACAATGAGTGAATGCAATCAGTGCTTTGAATAGGGAAACAATGAGTGAAATACAATCAGTGGGGACTTAAAAACTTACGTGGAGTACAATAATTCAGTGGTTTGAGCCCTCACTTTATTTATTTTTGCAATTCTGAAATGTTACGATTGAGATAAATACTATAATTTATTTTTGGGTGAGGCTGCGTAATTATCAAGCCAGAGCTATGTCGTGAAACCCCTCACCACACAACGTAACCAAACCAATTAAACTGTCACGTGTATAAGTGTTTAACGCGCCATCACATTATGTGGCCTAAATCAATAATCGTTTATGTATTATAATATTGACTGTAAAAGCTTAGTTTTTAAGTTGATATCATTGTGTAGGTTTCTAATAGATGAATCAATAATTTAATTGCAAAAGTATGACTAATATTGCACATTCAGATATCAATAATACACAATCAAAGTCCTTCCCAGACCCAAAATGAGAAGAACATTTTAATATTCTTAGCTCTTTCGGTAAAGTCACGTTGAAGGGGAACAATAAAATAATAAATATGTATATAAATTTTTTTTAATATATATAAATACACCGTTTAAAAATAAATAAATTAATTCAAACCGACACTTCTTTCAAATGTTCCTTGCCGTTGCTTTTTACACCTGATGACGACCGTTTGTGTTATGGTCGAAACGTGAGAATTTTTATTGTTTAATATATATTTTATTGTTTCCCTTCAACGTGACTTTACCGAAAGAGCTAAGAATATGAATTACTGCAGTCACGAAAGCTTTAAATCAAAATAAAAGAACATTTTAAGTCAACATTTACCATGCTCCACCTTACCACTTTCTTTCTCATCGTGGAGAAACCTTTCTATTATCTTCACCAAATATTGCATCATGTCCGGTGTAAGCTGCACGAAACTCCCAGTGCTCATAAATGAGTTGATATTACGTCTTAACATTTCCATGCTTGTTCTAGCAGACAGCTCTAAGATTCTTATACAATTACACATGGCATCTGTTGAATGAATCAAAGCAGACTTTAATGACGAAGTATTTTGCATTTTTTCATAAAATAACACATACTTTGTTGTGGATTATATTATTATCTGAGTGACCATGGGTTCAAAAACCCACCTGTGTTTCTTAACAATTTCTATAGAAAAAATATCTGATTCACTCATATGCTAGTTCAGCGTTATACCCAGTGACATATGCAGTATGTAATGTGAAAGCCATTGAACATAATATTCCTTGCATTGATATGGCATTGCTTTCATGTCTAAAAAATTCAAAAACACCTTCCCTAATATCTCAAATATTTGAAGGGCACCCCAATAGCAGATGTCCCTGTATGGCACACGATGACTCATCACCAGCCTGCATGTGGGCATTCGTCTGCCAATAGAGAGCGATTATTGCTGTGTATTTCTATTGCACAATGTTTCTTCAGCTGTAAACCAAAACAAGCTAACGCCACTTTTTTACAATGGTTAAACTTTAAATAGAACACACTGCGTAATGCAAATTATAATAAAATGGGCAAACAGTATGTTAAAAGGTAAAAGATGTCACGTTAACAGTTCAATGTTTTACCGAACATTTCAGTGTTTTTTTTACCTGAAAGCAGAACATCAACAACTGTAGATTTTTCTTTCTTACAGTGGGTAGGTTTAAGTACAGCACTTTCTGCCGCCTCTGGATTAGTAACAATGGAGAGGTCACATGGCTTGTTTTCTTCGTAATTCACTGCAGTATAGCAAACATACAATGTGTTACATTTAATTTAAAGTGTTGATATCTATCAAATTAACACGTAGGCTTTCGCGACCAATATCCATAATACAGGTTTTTTGGGTTCGATCGTGTAAATATAAATGGATTTCTCCACAAATCTGGCTGCCGCCTGATGATACTGCTTGTAATTATTGGCAAAACGTCGTACTCAAGATTGTAAATGTGGATTTGCTCTCCAACACACCGGTGTGCTGTACTAGTAACGAATTGGTATGTTCTGTTTACGTGACAAACCTTGCTAATTGGCTGTCGGGTAGTGGCGGGTTTATCGAAACATTTATATTTACATGATCTAACCCCAAAAAAACTGTGTTATGGATCTATCAGATTTTAAACCCACTTTGGAAGAGAATAAAGCTATGTCTACATATAAAGAAAAGAGTACTTGAGGCAGGAGTGCTATATCTCTCATACCGCATTGATCACGGACCTGGAGCCTCAGTTGTCTGCATTTGAGCACAGGTGTCTGAAAAGGATGCTGGGAATTTCATGGCAACACAGAATAAGTAAAGCAGTTCAGAAGAGAACATGGCAGGTGTTGTAGATACGATGAGAAAATAATTACTGTGCTAGTGTGCCATATATAGATGGGTGGGGGCTGATTGCAATGACAGGAAATGAAGTGGCCTCCACGAGTAAAAGGTGAACAAAGAGAACTCAGAGAAAATGTTCAGATACTGGTGGGGCATATCTTGGACGTTGTTGCATGTCGACTGTGCAGATGTGAAATCTGGCAGAGGGTGGAATGTGTTAGCAGAGACGTGTGGTGGTGGCATCAACGGCTTGGGCCATGAATACGTCATGCGCTTTATGTTCAAATTTTAAAACACAAGATTGTATAAGGCCGTGAGAAAAATACTAAATTAGTGGCCACCTTCAGGCGAGCACAATCTTTTACATAAAGAATTCCAATTAATTGAACAATATCAATTATATCTTAAATATATACAAGATTATAAAAAGTAAAAAAACAAATGTTTCACTTAACACTACCTGAGCTGGAAATATTGTACAGAAAAAATTTAAGTGGGTTTTGTCAACCTAAATAATTGTTGCTGCTGAAAACAATGTGTGTTCATGAACAGTTTGTCATGCATACCTCTCAATGCTTACCTTTCACGTTTTTAAAAGATGGTAAATTTACAGATCTTGCAATTACTGCTGAACATGGCTTAGATGGCGTTTTTATGGATTCATTTCTGTATTGTAATATTAAATACTCGTGCAGAGAGTTCGTTTTTGTATCACTAAAGAGTGGCGCTTGCATTGGTAATTCTTTTACATTTTCTTGCAAAGGGACTCTCTGAGTTTTAATTTGAGTAGATATTTTGTTGTTTGATTTAGACCAACTTGTTGAACTCTGATTGGAAAATTGACCAGCCAGCACAACTTTTGTTTCACATATTTGCAAACTCTCAGCTTTACAAAAGTTTGACACAAGGCATTCTTGATGGTCATTATTACAATCCATAGCTTGCTTCATGGATTGATCTAAATATTGTCCATTGATCATTTCAGCTCTATGTTTTATGGCTGAAACAAATACAGTACAAAAATGTTTTGTTACACTGTGTAAATGTGTATTTTTAATTGTTAGAACATGTTTTTTTAACGTACAAAAGTCACATTGTATGTATGTAGAATCTCCTTCGCACCGTACATGGCCAACCGTGCTAATCGTTCATACCAGTTTCATACATATTTAAGATCAGTATCAGGTATTCAATTGTGATAAGCAGATAAGGATATTCTTTTAAATAGGTCTGCCAAGGGCGTTAGAATAACTTTAATATATAAGGTATCTAGTTGTCATGGGAGTTCATGTCAAATAGTCACGATGGTCCATGCCAAGTAGCTACGATATAAAACTATTTAAAACTATAAACTATTTTTTTTATTTTACCAGGTAAGGCTCACTGAGCTATTTCGCTTTTTCAGATATGACCTGGCCACAAATGATAGTTGTACAAAGTAGCTTATCATGTGAAAATTTACATCAGCCAAATGCTTTGAACGCATGTTTCTAAATGTGGAGGGGAAAAAACCAGACGACCCAGATAAAAATACACGAGACTATGGGGAGAGAGAACATGCAAACTCCAGATATACAGGCATCAGGGTTGGAATCAAACCCACAACTTCCTGCTAACCAGGTAAGGGAGTAAACATTTCACTACTTGCAGCACCTTTATATAAAGTTTTATGGTTCAGGAATGCATCAGATAGAGTTGCCCAACTTATATGGAGGCTCTTGAAATACATCGAAAACTAATTTCTTGAGAGCTGCTTTTTATGTTTAGTTTGTTGTCCTTCCCCGACACCTCCGATTAACACGGATGGCTAGGTACAGTACAATAAGAGTTCAATATTATTTTTAATGTTCCAACAACGAGTCACAACGATGAAAAAGTAGACCACATATACGAGGAAATAACGACTAAATGACAGTGAAGAGTATTACAACGTCGTAATGGGTAACTTTCATTCTATAGCCAACGAAGAAGATAATTAACTCCGAGAATAGGTTTTCCCCTTTTTTCTGGCAACACCCCAATGGGCTCCCCCCTATCTCCGGTTGTAGCCAACGTATTCATGGAAAAAATTTGAAACTGACGCCATCCAGACTGCCACTCTACGCCCGACCTTATGGAAGAGATACGTGGATGACACTTTTGTCATCTGGCCACATGGCCAGCCTGCTCTAGACCAATTCCGCGACCACATCAATTCCATACACCCAGCCATCAGATTTACCATGGAGGTCGAAAAAGATGGCAAACTACCCTTTTTGGATGTCTTAATTAAAAAGAGACATGATGGTTCAATGAGCCACTCTGTCTACAGGAAAGCTACCCATACAGATGCTTACTTGAAACCGGATTCCCACCACCATCCATCCCAGAAGAACTCCCTCATCAAGACTCTATACCATAGAGCCCAATGCATTTCCGACCAGGAACACATTACCAGTGAACTCAAGCACGTACATCAGGCTCTCAGGGCTAATGGTTACTCCGACTACACAATCCGCAAAGCCATCACTCCAGTCATGAAGGATCCTCTTGTGGAGCCACTCAAAACCATCACCTTACCCTACATTGCAGGGGTCACTAAAAATATCTCCAAAATCCTGAATAAACACGATCCAGGTCCGATTCAACACAGTACATAAAATCCCTGATCTGGTTCCATCTGTAAAAGATGCTGTTCCAGACATACAGTACCCGGGCGTTTATAAACTAAAGTGCCTCTGTGGTAGTAGCTACATTGGAGAAACCAAACGACATATCTCGGACCGCATCCGCGAACATAAAGCAGACTTGAAACACCATAGAACGAACTCCTCTGCCGTGGCAGATCACTGTTATAATTCAGTGGGCTCACATGACATTGACTTCTCCAAGACGGAGGTTCATTGCAAACCAACCAGCTACCATGAGAGATTCGTTCATGAGGCCATTCACATATACAAGCACAGAGACAATTTCAACCGAGAAGATGGATTCTGGCTTAGTAACCATTGGAAAGATGTTTTAAACCATTTTGGTTCTTAATTAATTGTATTTTACGATGACCTTCAGACCACAGCTCTTTCGCTGGCATTGACTCTTAATACCTCTCACACCACGGTTAATGGTATGGTTTACAACATGGAGTATAACAGCGCCTCGCAGCTGTCTCTCTCCCCCTCCTCCGTTCCGACCATGGATGAACTCGTCCGTCTGAACGGGGCTCGTAGCTATCCGTGGTGCTAAAGTTGAGAATAAGAATCCACCCATTTTTTCGCCATATAGCATTGTGATATATAACGACTTATTGTTGGTAGCTTAGCTGATTGGAGAATATATAGAGTTTATTGATAACATTGAGGTAGTTTATATTTTAGTTTTTTATTGGTTTACTATATGGTATTCATTATATAGTGTCGTGTATACCCAGTTACTGTTAATAGCTCAGCTTATTGAAGAATATATTGAGTACATTTATTATATTGATGTAATTTAGACTTGGGTTTTTTCACATCGGTTTACTATATGATAGTCGAGTGGTTGCAGCCCCTTTGGGGTCCATGTACTAGGTGCCTCTTTAGATGTGTAGGCTTTGACTTTAACATAGCTATTTCTATGACCAGTCACAAGCTAATCCCTCAGTTATTTCAATGCTAAATTCTCCTGTTTGATTTATACTAGGTGCCTCTGTGGATATGTAGGCTTTGACTTTAACATAGCCATTCCTGTGACCAGTCACAAGCTAATCACTCAGCTATTTCAATGCTAAATTCTCCTGTTTGATTTGTACTAGGTGCCTCTGCGGATGTGTAGGCTTTGACTTTAACATAGCCATTTCTGTGACCAATCACAAGCTAATCACGCAGCTATTTCAATGCTAAATTATCCGAACCAAACATTAAACTAATTTTCAATGGTACAGTATATTTTTTCAAGTAGTGGTATCCCAAACTTTCGCAGCAGCTTAAATTCCCTTTTCACACCATCAATATGTAAACTCCCCCTCCCCCCCTCGCCGGTCTGCACATGTTCACCCCCTCTACACCGTTCATCATGCTAAGTCCGCCAATTAAATGTTAATTTTTATGCTAATTCCTTTGTCAAGGCGCTGTTTCTTCTCACACAGCTTAAAGGTCGCGGTCTGAGCTTGGCTGTGTTCGCTCCAGCGCTGTCCTCCAGACAGTCTCGTCCCTTCACCTGATGGAAGGCCACTTGTGTTGTGGCCAAAACGTCATGAGAATTTTATTGTGTTATTTATTTTATCAATTTATTATTTAATTCTCATTCTACATGACTTTACGAAAAGAACCAAAGAAGATGGACCTATTTTGTTGCCAGAAAAAAGGGAAAAACCTATTATCATATTTTGGTTCTGGCAAAGGAGGTCCCATGATAATTAACTCCTTTTAGGAGTCTAAGAAATGGATGTGGAGCCTAAATCGTTAATTTAGGAACGATATTGACTTGATTTAAAAGAAGACTCTCAGACACATCTCTTTCCTCAAGGAATTCAACACAGGAAGGAATCACAGACTGGTGTGATGCTAATTGCATTTCAACAAAGCCCAGACTACAGTAAAACCTCTAAAAAAAGTACTACTTTGGGGGAGAGCATTTCAGGTTATGGGGGTGTCCAACATCATCAGACATTCCATTGATGGATGAAGGCCTTCCTAAGCTGCCGCCACCACCTCTTACAACCCTGCAATACAATAATTCACCCAACACTTGCACACTACGTGATTTTTCGCTCCATCTCCTCGGTTGACGTACTCTCTGCCATGCTTCATCCCTTGGCTGCCACTCCGTTATTATTCTTGACCATTACCCATATATAATCCCTTCTAGTGATGTGTCTTGCCCACGCCATTTACTTAACAGTTTGGATGATGGCATCAACCTGTGTGTTCTATAATCCAAGTGTTTCCCTCTCTGTCTTTCAATGTAATTACAAGCATGAAGGGTGTGACAACATAGGTTTTATAAAGAAAAAGCCAAGTCTAGTATAATAATTACATTATTAAGCATCATGATTATTGTCTTGCATCTGAAAATTAAAATAATTAACAAGAACAATAACAAAGCTGACATAAGCAGTGCCGAGAGCCTTAGAAAGCTCTGATGAGAATGAAGTTGATGCATTTCATAGGGAAATGCACAAGCCTAGAATGTTAGAGATGTTACATCAGATTTTGATTTAAAGCTTTCGTGACTGCAGGGATTCATATTCTTGGTTCTTTTGGTAAAGTCACGTAGAAGGGTGAACACAAAGCAGACCTGAAACACGGTAGGACCAACACCTCGACCGTGGCAGATCACTGTTATAATTCAGTAGGTTCACATGACATTGACTTCTCCAAGACAGAGGTTATTTGCAAGCCATCTGGCTACCATGAGTGATTCGTTCATGAGGCTATCCATATATACAGAGACAATTTGAACCGAGAAAATGGATTATGGCTTAGCAATCATTGGAAGGATTTGATAAACCATTTCGGGTCTTGATTGATCACGCTTAAGGTGGCTTTCGGACCGCATCCATTATTTTTCGTCTCCCCCCTCCTCTTTTCCGAACATAGATGGACTCATCCATCTGAACAAACTGTCAAATCGCTATCCGTGGTGCTAACGTTAAAAAACCGCCACTTTTTAACATTTTTATTGTTGTGGTTTTCACACCTGATGATGATTGCTTGTGTTGCAGTCGAAACGTCGTGAGAATTTTATTGTTTTATATTTTTATTATTTTGTTTCCCTTCTACGTGACTTTACCGAAAGAACCAAGAATATATTACATCAGTTTAATGAGAAAGCATTAGTTTAGTTGATGTATATTTGTTAACCCAGGGTAGGGCCCATTGTGCTAATAAGCTCTCTTTCAAGGGTGACCCTGGGGAAGTCGTAGAAGTAAAAGGAGGCTACATACAAATCCAACTATGTGTTTTATGGAGGGATTGTTGTCATGTGAACCTTATGGCGGGACCCCAGGGTCCCATAAGCCCCCGGGTCTCGCATAAACTGTGTTACGACGTCATTTTATGTCTGAAGGCAAACGATACGGCAATCTATTTCTCTCAACGAGCTCTACACGATGCGCTAATCAAAGTTTTGTTTCTTCTGCGCATTCGTCCTCGCTGCACTTGGACGACATGACAACATCATGATCCGTGCCAGGTGGGTCGCGGCGTTTAAATTAATTACGGTTTTTTACTTCCGTTTATTCAGAACCCCGGGGGTCCCGCCACAAGGTTCATATAAGTGAAGAGCCAGAGATAAATTCACAATAACAGCAATACCACCTACATAACCACTACTCATAAAAGCATTGGAATAAGTGTAACAAATAAGAGGGGATTTGAATTATCATATTCATGTACAGTATTCAAATCCAGCATAGGAATGCGTTGTGCAGTCTGCTAATGCTGCAGTGCATTCTGCTCCTGCTGGTGTTGTCATGCATGCCACCGATACATATTTTCTGCTGTTACTACAGCAAGCAATTTGCAAAATTTCAATCTGTAAGAATTGCATCTGTACCTATTGATAAGTTACTACCTTTTTAGATTCCCACTTCTAATTATCTTTTTGCCTTTGTGGTCTTTACAGATCAGATAGCAGGACAACTTAACCTCCAAGCAACACATGCTCATTAATAGGTTGCATACCTTCAAGATTTTCTGTCGTGTAAGATCTATGAACTTCAACCTCAACGTGAGGAGCTCGATTATCTTCCAAGACTCCAAATCTACTTGTGCCATGGACCAGTGCAGTGTGCAATGACACAGCTTTGTGTATCAAAAACTGCTGCAAATATTCAACATTTATTACTTTAATTCCACAAACTTGTGCATGAGACGGCTTAAGCTGTTTAAGAGCAAGAGCTATTGGATTCATTTCAGCGTTGCTGGAGAAATCGTTGGGAACTGAAAGATATAAACACGTTAAAATAACAAAATAAGAAGACAATACACCTTACTTCACATTTATTTTCCCCCTAACATAAAAATATACCTTTACGCATCAAATCAGCCACACGGCCTCGTGGGAGTGCATTATTTTCAGCATTATTTTAATACAAGCAAACTCTGGACCGGTTTTGACAGCCAGTGTCTCATTATCACTGTTAGGCTAGCTTGAACCAATGCTATTGAACTGCCAGATGTTTATAAGTAAGGACCCACTATGTTATATATGGGTTCTAGTTCGATGAAAAACTGTAATACAAAACACTAAATAAGAATGAGTGTACATTTTTAACAATGTATGGATATACACTACAACAATGAGGGTAATTATGTTTTCAAATGTTTTACGAGGCAACATCTGTAGATCACAATGAGAGAAATATAAATGCAGTTGACTGAATGTCCATGTTTCATGAGGTAGTGCAGAATGTAATAAGACTGAATACAGCATAGAAATGATGCAAAGGTCCACAATACATTTGTCGTGTTTTTCACAGACATTTGTTTGATAAACGTTATGAGTATCAATTATCCAAATAATTTTAAAACATTAAGGGACCTCCTTTGCCAGTTCCAAAATATGAGAATATGTTATCAGAGTATGTTATCAAAGTATGTTATCAGATAATGTTATCAGAGTATGTTATCAGAGTATGTCATCAGAGTATGTTATCAGAGTATGTTATCAGAGTATGTTATCAGAGTATGTTATCAGAGAATGTTTTTTGTTTGCATTCTGACGACAAGTATTGTGGTTAATGCAGCAGACATGATTCCTTGTAAAACGTTTCAGTTTGGTGTTGTAACATCTTAAACACCTGTTTTGTTGCCAGAAAAAAGGGGAAAACCTATTCTCAACATTAATTAAATTAATTGGTTTTCACCACATACTAATCACTACTGTAAAAATTTCAATTGTTAAACGTCGACATGCAGCCGTATCTCACCATGCTGTCAACAGAATATTATAACCTGAGACCTTGGGAGGAAAGGGCGATTTGGTCGGGGAGAGTTGAAGGATGGTAAGATATGGGATAGAATAGTGAGAAATCTGGCATACTATACAGTTGAGAATAAAGACACTGAAAATGTTTTCAAGATTTGTTTTTGGACGTGTGCCCTTCCTGCTGGGGCGTTTCAGCACAGTGAAAACGTGGTAGGCGACTTACATCAATGTTCCATCTAAACACGTTTTAAGGGCACTCCCAGTAGCAGCTTTACCTGATTTTTTGGTGGTTTTACAGAGTGAAAATATGTGAACTGATCTTAATCTACATACTGCAATCTCTACAGATAAAATAGATGTTACCACTATAAATAATGAAATATCTAGTACTGAAATGGATTGTGCCTTCAAAGGTGGCAGCAATGTAATTTAATAGAAAACTTGTCATTACCAGCAAGAAATAAATAGTGGATATCACGAAATTGCATTTCAGATTCCCAAAATCTTCTCAACTTTGAACTTTTTATCTCTTTGGACATGAAGTGTCTGAAAAGAGATTTGAAAACAAAAGCATTTAAATACGACAGTTATCAGTCCAGTGTGATATAATTATTTCCCAACATCACCTCTTTCCCAAGATCTTACAACCTTGCTCAATTAAAAACACGTTTTAACGCTTATCTATTACAATTCGGCTAGTACTTTCTGTTGCTGACCACTTCACATCATGGGCCTTTGATTTTGTGCTCAGCAACTGTGTTGAAATAATCAACACAATAATAGATAGAATTCTCAATTGGCAGTTTACTTTTTGTATGTCGGAGCCATGGTAATATAAATACATTCCATGGCCAACTTATCAATGACTCCCAATTATAAAAAAAACTTTTATTTTATAGAGCACCTTTCACACCATAAAATGCTTCCTCACTACACATTTCCTGCTTATCTCTCGAGAAATAAGGCAAAAGTGACCATCCGTTTTGAGCAACACAATATTTCATTCTAGATTTGAAATTTCATATTCCACTCAATTTCTTAAAATACTGTAGATGTGGCATTCTCATACTACATTATATGCATATGACAACAGCCATTACCATCAAGAAGCATGGCTGCGCTCCGATGAAGATAAATCAGGGCTGAATATTAAATAAAAAGATCAAAGGGAAATGCAGTTTATGTTAATTACCTTTTCTCCGGCACCCTCTACTAACATTTGTAATAGCAGAAGCTCCACTATATTACGACTTACTGTAGGCATTTTCAGGATACAATCTTTAAAAGAACAGATAAACTAGAACAAATTAGCCAGTAAACTAGCAGAACACTGCGATGTATATTGAGAATACTTACCTATTATTTTCAGGGATGTGTTCAATATTTAGATTTGCAATCTCATTCTGAAATGATGTAGTGCAAGACAACTTTGAACATGTTGAGTGAAAAATGTGTCTTTCAAGATAAAACCTTTCTGACAAAAAGTCTTCTGCATTCAAATCTAGTGAAATATTAAGGGAGATAAAGCATTACTTGGACCATTGCTCCCAATCTTTATGTCAAGATCAGGCAGGAATAGTAATCCTATGGACATCCTGCAGGGACGACGTCCAGGATGGACCTTCATATGTCATACACTCTGTAGGGGATACCATAGTATGATACTGTTGAATCTATCTGTGTGTTAAAGTGTCTCCGAGTACCGGTAGCTTACCAGACCTTCAATTAGCAAAACCTTTGCAAGCAATGCCTATATATGTATGTTGAACTTCTTTCGCACTGTATGTAGCAACCATGCCTACAATACTTATCAGGTCATTATCTACATCCATTGCCCAGAAGTCTATTTTTTGGCCACAAGTATAATTAAACACGTGGAGTTGCACAACCAATATGATTCATAATTGACTTTTGAGTTAGTCCACGTAATAATCCTCACATTTGTGTTGTGTATCCCTTCACCAGCCTACATAGCCACACACATTGAAATTGGCAGGTGTAGCAACAACACCAATTCTCACAACCAAATCTGGCGTATACAGCACCAATCATGATCGTTTCAGCCCATTTGGGAGTTGAAGAACATTTCTCACAACAATCTATTAGATACTATCAAATTTGTTGTGAGAACTGCATTAATTATTCCTGAATCCTACTGCTTATTCTTAGCTTAAACAAAAGCTCGGCTCAAATACATGAACTCAGTTTTCAACAAGCGAGGCACAGCAAATATAAAATAAGCACATTTAACTTACCTAAATTATGACCATCATAATTATTACCATCATAATTTGGGGATTTCTTTATATTTTCAGTTGTAGGATTGAAGGATAATTTCTCCAATTGAAAGGAGTTTTTCCCCTTAAAGATGAAACACACATCTGCATGCAACAAAATAACAAAATACTTTCAGAATTAATTTGAACCATGTAAATAATGTTTCAGGTCACTCTCACAAATAAGACTGTCCAGGTCTCGAGTTCTTACCTGGTTAAACTAAATAATCTTGAACGTGAATGTTGTGCTAACTTTTCTGTAGCCTCGCTTATATAACAACTCTTTTAAAAAATATGGGGGAAATAATTTTGAGACTTTTTTAATGCAGGACATGAGACTTAATACATATATTCAATAAATTAGAAAACTATACCTCCACATATGTCCCTCCACGTCCCATCAACCACATGGTTTTCTGGAAGTGCATAATTTCAGCAGCATTGGTTGAACACAAGCAAACTGTCGATTGGTTTTGACATTCAGTGTCTCATTAGCAATCAGGCTTGCATGAACCGGTGAACTGCCAGATGTTTATAGGCAAGGACCCTCTCTGATGATATGGGTCTGGGTCATATCCAAAAGTATACAATTCGTAACTCAAAATAATATGCAACTTTGTGGAGGATATAAGTAATAAAATAAATAAGCAGACAAAATGCCTCCTTCACATAACACTGACGCAAATCTTTTTAGCACTGGTTTTGAGCAACCCCTTGTATCAAATGAATTGATTTTCTATAGAGTAAGTCCCTAATAGCAGCACAACTTTATAATTTAATGTAATTCATATTAAGTATTTACAGGTTAACATACTCCCCCTGTTACAGACAAAAGGACACAGATAATGCTTTAACATTTTCAACCTTAGTTGGAAAGTGTAAAAAAATCATATAATTGGCATAAAATCCACATATGAAGTGCAAAATCAAAAGCAATTATAGATTATTTGTTGGAATGCATAATTTGGGTCAAGCATATATTTTAATTGCAGTATAAATCTGGCCCTAGAGCAGGATAGTGAATGAATGCTGAATGTGCAGAGTACACATAAAAGTAATTAAACTCTTACAACTTCTACAGTAGGAATGCATGCAAAAAAAGTTTTCGGCTTCATGTTAAATCTTGATTTGAAGCTTTCGTGACTGCAGGAATCCATACTCTTTGGTTCTTTCGGTAAAGTCACGTAGGTAGAAATTTTTATTTTATTTTTCTACCTACGTGACTTTACCGAAAGAACCAAATAGTATTTTGTTTTAAGTTTGTTTAATCAGGTGAGAACTCAAGACAAGCATGGTCTCATTTGCAAGAATGTCCTGGGTCACAAAATTATAAAGTAGTAAAGTCCAGACAAGTACAACAATGAAGCAAATAGAATTTATCAAATACAACCGTATTACAGAGGAAATAAAAAAGAGTGTGCAAACAGAAATACATTACACTGTGCAACAATTTTTTTGGTTCCTGGGTAGTAAGTGTTATTTCCTAATTGATTATGCCTCAAAAGTACAGAAAAGGGCTATTATTCCCCACAGAAAATTGCTTTTGTGACCAGGACAGTGATATTTTGAAATGTACCTATTTTTCAGAACATTCCAGATAGATTCAGTGCTGAGTAAACTTGGAGTAACTTCTAAAACATTATAGACCTTTCGAGTAATATAAATAGTAGTATAAATACAGGGGCCTTAAGCACACCAGTTCATATTCTTGGTTCTTTTGGTAAAGTCATGTTTTATATTTATTTTATATATATTATTTTATTGTTTCCCTTCTACGTGAATTTACCAAAGGAACCAAGAATATGAATCCCTGCAGTCACGAAAGCTTTAAATAAAAATCCCACCAGTTTAGTTTAGTTCCAGCTCCCGAAATGGATACATATCTGCATTTTTCTGATATGGCATCAAGAGGCTGCAAGCAACCGGCAGACGCATTTTGCGTTGTCTGCGGCCAATTTATCAAGACAAGAGCGAAAAAGTACTCTGGAAGCATTTGCTAAGATGTGTAAGGCCTACAAGGCATATTTCGGCATGCCTGTCGGAGATAAAGACAAACACTGGGCACCTCATTTCACCTGTGAGTAATGCAAAAAAAACTCTGGAAGGTAAGATGGACAAATTGTTGCTCAGAATGTTATGTTATAAATTTTGTTAAAAAATTTAAAATTGTAAAAGTATTTAATTTTAAAATGTTTTGCAATTTTAAATGTTATTGAAAAAATATATCATATATGAAAAATGTTGCGAGAATCTCTTACACATTAGTCATGGGTGAAATAAATGTATTTTTGTAGGATGGTACAGAGGGGAAAAGAGAGCCATGAAGTTTGCTATCCCAAGAATTTGCCAGGAACCCACTGACTACTCAAGCAACTGCTACTTCTGCATGGTGGACCCTTCCAAACGTCGAACTGGCAAAAATGCACCTGCTATCACGTATCTGGACCTTCCTTCATCCATCGCCCCGGTGCCACACTGCCATGAGCTCCCCGTACCCACTCCTCCAGAGAGAAAGCAGCCGTCTTTAGAAAAGAGCAGCAAGTCAGAGAGCGAGGAATACGTTGTAGATCTAGATGACAATTTCAGTGGAGCTGAGGAGAGAAACCCATACTACCCCAACCAAAAAGACCTCAATGACTTGATCAGAGATATTGGACTCACCAAGTCCAATGCCGAGCTTTTGACATCTAGGCTGATGCAGTGGAACTTGTTGGATAAAAGTGTGCAAGTCGCAGATGAGAGGAAGCGTCGCCAACCTTTTTGCAGCTTCTTCACCCGTCAAGATGGGCTCTGCTTCTACCACAATGTGACTGGTCTGTTCGAGGTAATCAGAATCGCCTGGAACCAGAATGAGTTGTGCCTCTTCATTGACAGCTCATTCAGGAGCCTCAAAGCCGTGCTGCTCCATAATGGTAACAAGTACCCGTCTCTTCCCCTGGCTCATTCGGTGCACCTCAAAGAGGATTACAACAACATCAACACCTTGCTGGATGCCTTGAAGCATAATGACCATGGCTGGGAGGTCATCGGAGACTTCAAAATGGTGGCATTCCTGATGGATCTCCAAGGCGGGTTTACCAAGTTTCCCTGCTATCTTTGCCATTGGGTCAGCAGGGACACCAAGACGCACTACCACAGGCGGGACTGGCCACAGCGGACTGAGTTCTCTGTGGGGAGGAACGTCAAGTGGGAGCCACTGGTGGACCCCCGGAAGGTGCTGATGCCACCACTGCACGTAAAATTCGGCCTTATGAAACAATTTGTCAGAGCTGTAGATAAGGAGCCTTCAAGTACCTTCAAGACTTCTTCCTTGAGCTGTCTGAGGCAAAGGTCAAAGCCGGTGTCTTCATCGGACCACAGATAAAGAAGATCCTGGAGTGCAATGAATTCCCCAAAAAGCTCACTAGTAAGGAAAAAGCGGCTTGGAACAGCTTTGTCGCAGTGGTTCGCGGCTTCCTGGGCAATCACAAGGTCGAAAACGATGTGGAGCTGGTTGAGACACTGGTGAAGAACTACAGCACAATGGGCTGTAGGATGTCCCTCAAAGTCCATATCCTTGATGCTCATCTTGATAAATCCAAGGAGAACATGGCAGCGTACTCGGAGGAGCAAGGCGAGCGCTTCCACCAGAATATACTGGACTTTGAACGCCGCTACCAAGGACAGTATAACGAGAACGTGATGGGAGACTACATTTGGGCTGATTCGTGAAAGTGATTTACACTATAATCGTAAATCTCGAAAAACTACTCACTTATAAATCTTTTGTCGTAATTGTTGTATTACTTTAGTATAAATACATGTTAATTTTGATTCATATGTTATTTTTTTCTGACTTTATCTGAACGAAAGACACAAATTTGCCTCTTTTCTCATTGAAAATAGGTAAATTTCTAAATATCACTGTCCTGGTCACAAAAGCAAAGTTTGTGGGGAATAATAGCCATTTTAACTTGATTTGAAGCTTTCGTGACGGCAGGAATTACTCTTTAGTTCTTTCGGTAAAGTCACGTAGAAAATAAATAAATTAAATAATAGAGTACAACGTTTCGATTGCAACACAAGCAACCGTCATCAGGTGTCTCCGTGACTGTGTTTTGTCTCTCTCTAAAATTTAGTTCTACCTTATGACAGTTGCTTGTGTTGCAATTGAAACGGCATACTCTATTATTTAATATATTTTCTTTTTACGTGACTTTACCGAAAGAACCAAAGAGTAATAGCCATTTTCTATACTTTATAGGCAAAGGCAATTAGGAAATAACACTTACTACCGAGGAACAAAAATTGTGTTACACTGTGTACATACGAGTTAAGTAACACTGACAGGAATGTCAAATATCTCACCTTGATTAACGTTCTGAGATGTTTCTGCCAGAACTGATGGTTTTTGTAATGGTGTACACATTTGTAGTTCACTTAGGATATAACGGAGTGGTTTTCTTGTAACTGTTTGGGTGTATTCCAGCTAAAATGTAAAAAAAGATTAAACATTGCAATATTTATGTACCTGATGATTTATATATTTAGTAACACGTTTTTTATGCTTTTTTCCATACTTGTTACACAGCTAGAAATAATAATTTTCCTTTGAATAAACAATTTAGAATATGTGCATTTACAGGGCACTTAAGTGCCCCTTACATCAATCGCATCTCATTTTAATAATTCGGAGATCCCCATTGCCAGCTATGCCTGTACAGTCCAAGGTGACTCAGTATTGGCCTGCAAGTGGGAATTATAATACGAGTCAAAGATAAAATTATTTTCTGCTAAAATAAGCCTTAAGGTGGTGCTTATGGCCTGTTTAAAGCCCCAAACTAGTATTGGAAAATCCACATTCCTATGGCAGATATGAGGCTATCCATAGGACAACCACTGCTGAAACCAGAATATAAACGTGTAACCTTCCGATTGCGAGCCGCTCGCTCTACTGCTGAGTTACTTGGACAGTAATGCAGTGCACTGCTTAGAATGTCAGGAGTACGTACCTCAAAATGAGAAAATACATGTTTAATATTATTTTCACTGCTTGGATTATAAAGGCTGTATATCTCTGCCTTGTTATAATCAAGTGGCTCGTGAAATGTATATTCCTCTCTGTAAAAAGGTTTAGTCAAACAAGGTAAGGTCTCAACAAATCAACAAACATGGCTAATCACTGTGCACTAATAATTAAACAAACAATATCTATCTTGGTTCTTTCGGTAAAGTCACGTAGAATGGAAACAAAGCAATAAAAATAAAACATAAAATAAAATTCTCAGACGTTTCGGCCACAACACAAGTAGCCTTCTTCAATGTATAGTAGTCTAGTTTATAACATAGTTTGTAACGCAACACAGGACAAAGCAGCGCATCGTGGCTGTTTCTCTCTCTCCCCCCTCCTCCGTTCCGAACATAGATGGACTCGTCCGTCTGAACAAAGCTCGTCGCTTTCCATGGTGCTAACGTTGAAAAGAAAAAACCGCCACCCATTTTTTCGCCATATGGCATTGTAATGTATAAAGACTTATTGTTAATAGCTAAGCTGATTGGAGAGTATATAGAGTTTATTGATAACATTGATGTAGTTTATATTTTATTTTTTTATTAGTTTACTATATGGTATTCATTATATAGTGTAGTGTATACCCAGTTAATTTATGTTAATAGATCAACTTATTGAAGAATATATTGAGTACATTTATTATATTGATGTAGTTTATACTTAGTTTTTTCACGTCGGTTTATTGTATGATAGTTGGGTAGTTGCAGCCCTTTAGCGTCCACATACTAAATGCCTCTGTTGATATGTAAACTTTGACTTTAACATAGCTATTTCCGTGACCAGTCACATGCTAATCCCTCACATTAACATCATGCTAATCTCCCAGTTACATGCTAATTTCTGACTTTAACACCCTGTTGATCCAACACTTTAACACAGCTATTTCAATGCTAAATTCTCCTGTTTGATATGTAAACTCCTTTGTCAAGGCGCTTTACTTCGCCCACCTAGCTTAAAAGACGCTGCAAATCTTAGCAGCGTTCATTGAAGCGCTGTCGTCCCGACAGTTCTGTTCCTTCACCTGAAGAAGGCTACTTGTGTTGTGGCCGAAACGTCGTGCGAATTTAATTTTACTATGTTTTATTTGTATTATTTTATTTCCATTCTACATGCCTTTACCGAAAGAACCAATAAGAAAAAAAACAATATCTACATTAACAGTTGCCCCAACCATTTAAACCGGTCACACTATCGCAGTTATTGAAATTGATTAGAACCATCAACTTTTACAGACATAATCGTCAATTTCTTCACTGAAATATGTGCAACATGCTATATCAATCATCCTACTGCACAGGTTATTGCAGTTGCGCTGTATAACATATCTTTAACTCCACATTTCCAAAAAGACATCAAGAACTTTACACAATCTACGAAATAGTCCATTCCATAGAGAATTAAAATAAGTATAAACTAACCTGCTGTACTTTTTTCCACTATAAAATGATGCACAGAATCCAAGCAATGGATCACTGAGTGCATATGGCTTAAGGCATCCAATGAGCTTCGGTGTGATAAGGTGGCTGTTTATCACCACTCTTACAGCGCTGATGGACAACATTTCCTCAAGAAGACAATCTTCTGAGTAAAGAAATTAGACATTACATACATACATTACCATATAATTAAGATGGGTTATTGCCATAAACAGAAGTGGAACGTTTGGGGGGGAAAAATAACCTGCATCACAATACTCCTCTGGCCATTCCATTACACCCCATTAACAGCCACATCATCCAAACGTGAAAAGACATGCATGCTATATTTGTTTTTTTTATCAGCAGCGAATTGAAAAGGTTTCACAGAATATAATACAAATTGCAAAAAATTGCTTTCTTCTCATATCTGTCACTCCACATTACAGTATAAACAAAAGTATTTTGACACATCCCATTGGCTAAACATCCTTCCAGTCCTTCCTTATAAACAATGGATAACTCTTTGGTAATTTCGGTAAAGTCACGTATAAAGAAATTAAATAAAATAATAATCGAATACGACGTTTCGATTGCAACACAAGCAACCATCATCAGGTCCAAATGAATGAGAAAACATAGTAAACTTGGAAATATAATGCAATACAACACAGAGAGTTAGCCAACAAAACAGTCAACACCCCACCTGGTTGATTACGTTCTTCCAAAGATTGCTACATTTTAGAGAGAGACAAAACATAGACACGGAGACACACAGACAGACACAAGCAAAGAGAGACTCGCACAGAGACAAACAGAGAGACACACATATAGGCACACAGAAAGACATCGTCTCTGTGTCAAGGCCTTAAATAGAGAGGGGGGTGGGGCAGAGGGGGAGTTGTCTGGAATTCCTGCCCATAGGGGGACGGACGAGCTGGACACTGGATTTCTAAACAAACAAGCACAGAGCGTTATGTGGAATTACTGCCCCCATAGCGGCCAGAGGAGAGAATGGGCCCATAAACAAGCACGGTAACAAGCAAATATATTAAAATTAGGAAGTGTAATACAACGCAACACAGAGAGTCGGTTAGCACACAGTTAACGCATAGCCTGGTTGATTACGTTCTTCCAAAGATTGCTAAATTAGAAGTCTGAAACAAACAAGCAGGGCAAAACCCTCCCCGTAGAGATGGTTTAAACTCGATTCGAAGCTTTCGTGACTGCAGGAATTAATATTATTTGGGTTTTTCGGTAAAGTCAAGTTGATAGGTTCAAAGAAAATAACAAAAAACTATGACGTTTCGATCGCAACACAAGTGGTGTTGCGATCGATTTGTTATTTTCTTTGAACCTATCTACGTGACAACCGAAAGACCCAAATAATATTTCAGCTAATATACATTCCCAGAAGGCTGTGCGACTAAAGGGTTGTGTAAAAGATATACTTTTTATGTAGAGGGACACATGAGAAAAGGCATATTGTCTGCTTATTTATTTCACGAGGGCTCCAAATTTATACTCATGATTGTTTTGTGTCGTGTGATACAATATCTCTTTGGGTTTCTTAATAAACATTACGTGCTTACACATTTCCTAAAATCCAAAAAACATTAATTGGTATATAAATTGTCATCCTTATGTTGCGGCGCAATCCACGACTCCGAAGCAGTTTGCGGTTAGGGGCGCACGCCACGTTTATTAAGGGCTTACGCCAAGTGTGTTAAGGGCTTACGCCAAGTGTGTTAAGGGCTTACGCCAACCCACCCCCCTAGCCGATAACTCCCCAGGGGACAGGGTACCGTGATCCCTACAACCCCGGCTAACTCGGCTTTCCTCCCTGCCCCGGGCCGGGACTACCCCAACCTCAGCCGGTCGGGCAGAGTAGCCTCCCCTAGCCTCGGGTGAGGATCAACTCCCCTGAGTCCCCACTCCTACCCCTGACGAACCCCGCTTACATCCCGGGTCCCCATTTAAATACCCCCCTGGGGCATGACGTCACCGTCCCCCCAGGGTCCGCCTGACGTCACACTCTGCGACGTCACTCTCTCCGAGGGCAAGCGTGACGTGCGTCACCCACTACTCCACTACACTTATACCACATTTTATAACATTACATAATGAGTGGTAACTTAGTTGATACTAAAATATCTTTTATAAAACATTTTGATCTCTGAAATTACCTATTTCGGTGTAGTTACTCCACTTGAGGCCACCAGTTATTGAATATTCTCCTGGTTTGTAAATATGTTCTTTAGGATCATGTAAGTCTTTTTCTCGTATGTCCACCTCAGATAACGGGTTTGAGCTACACCTGGAGAAAATCACCATGCAAAATTAGATTACAACGAATGAGTATTAAATCAGTTTATTACTGAATATGTTATTTAACATATGATTGTCTATTTACACACGTGTGCAATAATCACCCTAAATCTATTTTAAACTAATTATTCGGTGAAACTGCGCTGGCAGCAGTACACAAGTACAAATAAACACATTCAACACGTTTGTCAATAATTGTGTGCGGCCTGAAAAATATATAAAGGGACGTTTTGGGGAATGGCCCTTCTTCATGGCAGTTAAAAAGAGACCTCAGAGACGGTGAAACATAGTTGGGGATTGCACTATATTCTTTTGATGTTTCTGTAACTTTACGTAACTTAATTTGACAAATTAATTCACCATGAATGGTATTTAAATGCATCCAAGCCAACTTTTGTTCATGAAATTGTATTTCATTTATTATCATGTTCATGCACTATTTTGTAACACATTTTATCTTGCTCTAATTTGTATTTAAGTTGTTTTTACTCTGATTTATATTTGCTTGTTTGTATGTATGTATGATATAGATTTTGTAATTTTGATGACCCAGGTCACTCTTGCAAATCAGACAAAGTTATCCTTGTCATATAAGTTCTCACTTGGTTAAACAAAACAAACTTGAATCATCTCAAGCAACAGATACATAAAATACTAACCAATTGTGATCTGCTTATTGTCAAATGAATGTGGAACTGCTCTATACATTTTAGGTTTGTCGCAATGTCATATATCACAATAAGATACTAAATAAATGTTCATGATATTCTAATTATTGCCATCTAAGTGTGCCATAACTTTGTATTATGTATTGATCAAGATCAAGATGTCATCATGGCTAAAGGAGTTGGATTTTTTCAGTTTAATTTATTCGGTATACCCCTGTGAGCCATTCGGCTCTTGAATCGGGTGCAACCGCAACAAACAAAAACATGAACAAGAAAACATCTCCAAAAAAACACCTAAAAAACGAATGAAAAAAATGAATTAAAATGTATTTGATCTGATCGTCAACATTGGCAGGAAATTAAGATTATGTATTTAGAACTTCTTTGACACCGTACGTAGCCAAGCATAATATTCGGAGATGCGGGGGAAGAACTAAACACAAAAGGCTTGTCATTTAATTTTTACATAAAAATGCCTGGTTACATTCAATATCCATATTTTAAAGACAATATTAACGTACACATTACCTTAAACAAAATTATTACATTAGGAATTAAAATATATTTGACAAATAATGTGCAATGGTCTCTTGCTTCGTTTGCTTAGGGTGTATTATTATTGTATGTAATGTACTTTGCGCTTGCACGCTGGATTAACACCCACCTTCTTACCCTTAAATAAATTGTTCCACTCCTTGCTGCAGACTCACAGAAAATGTCTCAATCATCAATTACCCCATGAAAGATTCTACACAAATTAACTTCCCTTTACACTCAATGAAATCAATTCACGCAGTGAGTTAACTGATAGGAGAAAGGAACAATTAAGTCACAAAGTTCAGAACTGAGCTAAGCCCCACTTCTTGTGATATGCAGAGGCAAACCCGAAGTCACAAGGATGGGCAGAACTTGCTTGGAGAGACAGGGGTGCAGTGAATGCAATGCTTTTCGACTGGAATCTCTACCAGTCAGAGGGATCAATATTCTAGAAGGATGGATGCAAATGCCATTGTCTATTGTGGAAACATTGCAGTTTTACAAAAACAATTACAGTCAAGGTGCACATATATTATCACTTTGGGATGTTGCAGCACAGGCAATGTGAAAATCAGGCCTTCACTTAACAGTAAATAACATATCATAGTTAGAGCGATGAATAAATAATGTGCAACACTTACTCCTTGAACAGGAACTCTTCTATATTGCTGTGGCTCTTTTGCCCTGCCCAGTGTATGACTTCATTTTCCAGTGATAGCGGTTTCCCTTGAAAAAACACAGAGCTTTAATCAACTTGCTGTCACTTTAATATTACGGGTTCACACTTGATTACTCAGTGAACGGGAAACTTAAGTGAACAAGCAAACACTTGGGGTGCATAAAGAGGGTGCAGCTAACGCCTCTGACATTTTTCAAACAGCTACATTTGAATAACCACTATCCACGTAATTTTCTTCCCAATTATTTTCAGTACAATTCATGTACGTACAATAAGAGGCGAATGGGTCTGTAATATTTTAATTCTGTATCATGAACAGAAAGAATCCGCGGATGGAGTTATTTCATTTACGTGTAAACAATTAGTGAATACTCTTTGGTTCTTTAGAAAAATAAATCACGACATTTCGATTGCAACACAAGCAATCGTCATCACGTGGGACAACCACAGCAAGAAAAACTGCTGAAGTAGGCGAGAGATCTGCCGTGGCACGAGGTTATATAGGACTCAGCAGTAGGGGGGAGAGAGAAGTGGGGGGGGGAAGGAGGTGGGGCAGAAAGTAGACCCCGCAGCAGCACCCGGGTCACTTTCTGCCCCACCTCCTCTCCCCCCCCCCACTTATCTCTCCCCCCCCCCTATTGCCGAGGCCTATATAACCTCGTGCCACGGCAGATCTCTCGCCTACTTAAGCAGTTTTTTGCTTGCTGTGGTTGTCCCACCTGATGACGATTGCTTGTTTGCGATCGAAACGTCGTGATCTATTATTTTTCTACCTACGTGATTTTACCGAAAGAACCAAAGAGTATGGATTTCTGCAGTCACGAAAGCTTCAAATCAATTAGTGAATAAGTCTTCCAATTTCAGCAACTGGTACCACTACTTTAATTGTGCCCACAGATATACTAACATGCCCAGATTTCCCTGTGTTAAAGCTGTGGCCGAGTTTACCTCTTCAAGACATGTCCTTGTTAAATTAATTAGCCTCAGTGTAACAGTAGTAGCTGAGCATTTATTCGGCCAGGTGGCTCAGCAGTCGAGCGAGCGGCTCGCAACCAGAAGGTTGGCGTTAACATAGCCCATCATCTCTCTCGGCTTGATAAAATTGGTGCCATTTTGTTGAGGAATTGAGAATGGTTGTCGAATTGCTTTTGGAATGTGGCCTTTCCATCACTGGATCAGGGTGGTAAACTATACATGAGCACCACTTCAATGACGAATTCACTTTGAATGTCTTATTCACTTTGAACACCTTATCGTGAATTCACTTTGGATATACAGTATCAGTCAATAATCAATTCTTAACCATGCTATTTCATACTTGTATCATGATAAAATGCAATACTAAGCAATGAATCAATAAGCAGTTACACATCTAAGATTTGTATGATGAAATTTTTTGTCACCGCACGTAGCCACCCGTGCTAATCGGAGGCACGAGTTGTGTATCAACATCCACGTATTTACTAAGGTTAAGATCGAACTGCTAACCGCTTTCAAAATCTCTTACCTGTTCCGAAAGTCAGGAACCAATTATCATATCCCGTGGAATGATAATGAATGCAGATTGGCACGCGTGGAAGTACAAACTGCGTGACGACTTTGTATTTGTTATACACGAATCAGACCTCTGGGCAGAGGTGAGTGTACCCACACTGTGCTCTACTCGTTTATTCTGATGGGTGGACGAGCGGGTTGGGGGCTTAATTGACCATTGTTCGCCGCTACAAACCGCGTGGCGACCCATTAAACCACGGCAGCTTCCTTCGTTTCTCAGTAAAGAAGCTTCAGAAAATGGTATGTTTATTGCTCTCGACATTTGAGCCTTATGGCGGAACCCCGGGGTACCAAATAATACAAAATGGCCGAGGCAATTAAATATTTTATTTCTGGGACACTTTTTTTTCCAGGGGTGTACTTAACTCCACGGACTGGGGTAACAATGAGTCCGAAATCAGTGTTACTCCGCGATGTCGAAACGCCAAACATTAGCATAAAAGAATCAGTTTTCGAAGAATTAAACTTTGAATAGTGCATCGTGTACAACTCGTAGAGAGGAGTCGATTTCCGCATCGCCGACCTTCAGAGACTAAACACGACTGCATCACGGACATTGTTCGAGAGCCGGGGTGCCGCCTTAAGGTTCATTTCTACATGTACGGCTAATGATAACCGGTTCTCCTGGGTTTTTCACATGCAGTTATCGGTAGCGCAATAAACTATGTAACAACCCAAAGTATATTCATATTCTTAGCTCTTTCGGTAAAGTCACGTTGAAGGGAAACAAATGTTTCTTGCCGTTGGTTTTTCACACCTGATGATGACCGTTTGTGTTATGGTCGAAACGTCGTGAGAATTGTTTTATTGTTTTAATATATTTTATTGTTTCCCTTCAACGTGACTTTACCGAAAGAGCTAAGAATATGAATTACTGCAGTCACGAAAGCTTTAAATAAAAAAACAAAGTATGTACACAACAATTTATGAACAAACTTACATTGCGTCCATGGGGTTTCACAAGTGATGTGCGCATGTATTGTGTTTTTCGAAATAAATTTTAATCCTTCAAGGTACGGAACTGAAACTTTGAGTCTATTAAAACATATTTTTTCTTCTGTTCCAACCTGTAGAAAGAGAATAAACTATTCAGTGTATTCACGTAGTATTTAAGTAATTTGTGTTGCAAGAACCTCCGCCTCCCGACATAGCCAAACAAATTGAATTAACACGCTTACAAGCGTTTAATGCACCAATTGTTAAGCTCACCGGTAAATTTAACAACAATCATTACAACCTAATGTAGCAATTCGATCCTTCGTGTTAAAACATTCCTTTAAAATGTATCTGCCACTGAAAAGCAAGATGATTGAATTGCAAGGTAGGACCGAATATCAATTTTATTATCGAGCATAATATCGACGGCCTTTGGAATTGTGGTCTGTGATTTTGCTGCGAGGACGTAGCTGAGGTAATGGAAGTCTGTGATACTGTTATTGTAATGCGATGTTGTTTCTGAGGTGACGGAGTTACTGATGGCCTGAGTGTTGTTACTGTAATGTAAGTGATGTTGCTATGACGTGCGTGATGTTCCTGTGGGTGATGTGTACTGCGACGTAAGCGATGTTTGTGTGATGTGAGTAATGTTACTTTGATATACGAGTGATGTTGCTGTGCGGATGTTGCTATGGTTACCGCGAGATAGCAGTCCGCTGCGAGGAAACGTGGCATCGCAAAGACACGGGGGTCACGTACCACCACCTCGCGCCTCACGTGAACCCACCTCACGTGAACCCACCACCACCTCGCGCCTCACGTGAACCCACCTCACGTGAACCCACCTCACGTGAACCCACCTCACGTGAATCCACCACCACCTCGCGCCTCACGTGAACCCACCACCTCGCGTGAACCCACCACCACCTCACGTGAACCCACCACCACCTCGCGCCTCACGTGAACCCACCACCACCTCGCGCCTCACGTGAACCCACCACCACCTCACGTGAACCCACTGCTGCCTCGCGCCTCACGTGAACCCACCACCACCTCACGTGAACCCACCACCACCTCGCGCCGCACGTGAACCCACCACCACCTCACGTGAACCCACCACCTCGCACCTCACGTGAACCCACCACCACCTCACGTGAACCCACCACCACCTCGCGCCTCACGTGAACCCACCACCACCTCACGTGAACCCACCACCTCACGTGAACCCACCACCACCTCGCGCCTCACGTGAACCCACCACCACCTCGCGCCTCACGTGAACCCACCACCACCTCACGTGAACCCACTGCCGCCTCGCGCCTCACGTGAACCCACCACCACCTCACGTGAACCCACCACCACCTCGCGCCTCACGTGAACCCACCACCACCTCACGTGAACCCACCACCACCTCGCGCCTCACGTGAACCCACCACCACCTCACGTGAACCCACCACCACCTCGCACCTCACGTGAACCCACCACCACCTCACGTGAACCCACCACCACCTCACGTGAACCCACCACCACCTCACGTGAACCCACTGCCGCCTCGCGCCCAATTCCCACACAGGTCACGTGTCACCACCACCTCGCACCCTCCGGAAACCCAGGGGTCACGTGCCACCGCCGCTTTCGCGCTCAATTATTACACGGGTCACGTGACACCACCACATGGTGCCCCACGTTGATACACAGATCACGTATCACCTTCCCGAGCACATGTGAACCGACGGGGCACGTGTCACGGGACTTCTTTGGAGTGCATAGTACAAGCTAACTATTGACCGGTTTCTACAGTCTCATCAGCAGTCTTGCTTGAATCAGTGCTGGTGAGCTGCTAAATGTCAAGGATCATTTAAATGTCCAAGTCGACGAAAAACTATATAATACATAACACAATATCATGAGCGACGTGAAGAATCTTTTCCACATTAAAACAAAAATTAACATTTGGATCTCGCAAACCCTAATTGATGATAAAACACTGAACGTCAAAATTGGCCCAGTTTTCTTGTGTTGAACCAGTGCTGCTGGGGTTATGTCACTCTCAGGAGGCCATGTAGCTGATGGGCGATATGAAATATACGTTTTTATTCAAATACGTGGATACGTATCGTCTGCTCTTATTACTTATATTTTTCACAACGCCTGCTTACTGTATTGTGTACATATAAGCAAGCGCTACTATTGCTTATTATTTTGGCTCTTGCTCATTATTTTGGCAATTCCTCATTGTGAAACGTTTTCTAGAGTCAGTGACAATTTACTCACCAATGTGCATTGTCAGGGATATCTATGGATTGTTATAAATTGCATTTACAATATTTATGGCAGTGTTATGTTGAGTCAACTGCGAATGCATAACTTTTAACTTATATTTATTAGATTTAAAGCTTTCGTGACTGCAAGGATTCATCTTCTTTGGTTCTTTCGGTAAAGTCACGTAGAATGAGAATGAAATAATGAAATAAAACAATAAAATTCTCACGACGTTTCGGCCACAACACAAGTGGCCTTCTTCAGGTGAAAGGAACAGAACTGTCGGGACGACAGAGCTTCAATGAACGTTGTTAAGATTCGTAGCATCTTTTAAGCTGGTTGAGAGAAGTGAGGCACCTTGACAAAGGGGTTTACATATCAAACGAGATAATTTAGCATTGAAACAGTTGAGGTATTAGCTTGTGACTGGTCACAGAAATAGCTATGTTAAAGTCAAAGCCTACACATCCAGAGGCACCTCGTACATGGACGCCAAAGGGGCTGCAACAACTCAACTACCATACAGTAAACCGATGTGAAAAAACCTAAGTCTAAATTACATCAATATAATACATGTACTCAATATATTCTTCAATAAGCAGAGCTATTAACATCAACTGGGTATACACTACACTATATAATGAATACCATATAGTAAACAGATAAAAAAATAAAATATCAACTACCTCAATGTTATCAATAAACTCTATGTTCTCCAATCAGCTGAGCTACCAACAATAAGTCGTTATATATCACGATGCTATATGGCGAAAAAATGGGTGGATTCTTACCCTCCACATCAGCACCACGGACCGCTAAGAGCCCTGTTCAAACGGACATGGAACAGAGGAGAGAAACAGCTGCGAGGCGCTGTTATAATCATGTTATAAACTATACCATTAACCGTGGTGTGAGAAGTATTAAGAGTCAATGCCAGCGAAAGAGCTGCGGTCTGAAGGTCACCATAAAATAATTAATTACGAACCGAAATGGTTTAAAACATCTTTCCAATGGTTACTAAGCCAGAATCCATCTTCTCGGTTGAAATTGTCTCTGTGCTTGTATATGTGGATAGCCTCATGAACGAATCTCTCATGGTAGCCGGTTGGCTTGCAAAGAACCTCCGTCTTGGAGAAGTCAATGTCATGTGAGCCCACTGAATTATAACAGTGATCTGCCACGGCGGAGGAGTTCGTTCTACCGTGTTTCAAGTCTGCTTTATGTTCGCGGATGCGGTCCGAGATCTGTCGTTTGGTTTCTTCAATGTAACTACTACCACAGAGGCAACTTAGTTTGTAGACACCAGGGTACTGTATGTCTGGAACAGCATCTTTTACAGATGGAACCAGATCACGGATTTTATGTACTGTGTTGAATCGGACCTGGATCTTGTGTTTATTCAGGATTTTGGAGATCTTTTTAGTGACCCCTGCAATGTAGGGTAAGGTGATGGTTTTGAGTGGCTCCACAAGAGGATCCTTCTTCATGACTGGAGTGATGGCTTCGCGAATTGTGTAGTCGGAGTAACCATTAGCCCTGAGAGCCTGGTGTACGTGTTTGAGTTCACTGGTAATGTGTTCCTGGTCGAAAATCCATTGGGCTCTATGGTATAGAGTCTTGATGAGGGAGTTCTTCTGGGATGGATGGTGGTGGGAATCCGGTTTCAAGTAAGCATCTGTATGGGTAGCTTTCCTGTAGACAGTGGCTCATTGAGCCATCAGGTCTCCTTTTAATTAAGACATCCAAAAACGGTAGCTTGCCATCTTTTTCCACCTTCATGGTAAATCTGATGGCTGGGTGTATGGAATTTATGTGGTCCCAGAATTGGTCTAGAGCAGGCTGGCCATGTGGCCAGATGACAAAAGTGTCATCCAAGTACCTCTTCCATAAGGTCGGGCGTAGAGTGGCAGTCTGGATGGCGTCAGTGCACATGCATTTCAGCTACATTGGAGAAACCAAACGACATATCTCGGACCGCATCCACGAACATAAAGCAGACTTGAAACACGGTAGAACGAACTCCTCCGCCGTGGTAGACCACTGTTATAAGTCAGTGGGCTCACATGACATTGACTTCTCCAAGACGGAGGTTCTTTGCAAGCCAACCGGCTACCATGAGAGATTCGTTCGTGAGGCTATCCACATATACAAGCACAGAGACAATTTCAACCGAGAAGATGGATTCTGGCTTAGTAATCATTGGAAAGATGTTTTAAACCATTTCGGTTCTTAATTAATTATTTTATGGTGACCTTTCAGACCGCAGCTCATTCGCTGGCATTGACTCTTAATTCTTCTCACACCACGGTTAATGGTATAGTTTATAACATGATTATAACAGCGCCTCACAGCTGTTTCTCTCCTCTGTTCCGACCATGATGGACTCGTCCGTCTGAACGGGGCTCTTAGCGGTCCGTGGTGCTGATGTGGAGGGTAAGAATCCACCCATTTTTTCGCCATATAGCATGGTGATATATAACGACTTATTGTTGGTAGCTCAGCTGATTGGAGAATATAGAGTTTATTGATAACATTGAGGTAGTTTATATTTTAGTTTATCTGTTTACTATATGGTATTCATTATACAGTGTAGTGTATACCCAGTTGCTGTTAATAGCTCTGCTTATTGAAGAATATATTGAGTACATTTATTATATTGATGTAATTTAGACTTAGGTTTTTTCACATCGGTTTACTGTATGATAGTTGAGTTGTTGCAGCCCCTTTGGCGTCCATGTACAAGGTGCCTCTGTGGATGTGTAGGCTTTGACTTTAACATAGCTATTTCTGTGACCAGTCACACGCTAATCCCTCAACTGTTTCAATGCTAAATTCTCCCGTTTGATATGTAAACCCCTTTGTCAAGGTGCCTCACTTCTCTCAACCAGCTTAAAAGACGCTGCCAATCTTAGCAGCGTTCATTGTAGCTCTGTCGTCACGACTGGTTTGTTCCTTTCACCTGAAGAAGGCCACTTGTGTTGTGGCCGAAACGTCGTGAGAATTTTATTGTTTTATTTTATTATTTTATTCTCATTCTACGTGACTTTACCGAAAGAACCAAATAATATTATATTCATTCCTTCTAGAAGTACATCAACATACAAAACAATCCAACAAAATGCAATACAATAACATTATTGGGATTGATATTGTGATAGTCATATTTAAATGTAAGAATTGTTACGTATTGTGATTGCAGGAACCCGACTAGGTTCCAGCAATGATATTGATGGTGAGGTTAGTAATGGTGGTGGTTAACATAGTCGTGATGATGATAGGCATTGGCTGATGATAGGCTCGTTGAGACGCAGCTAAAACTTGCCATGATCGTGTTCATCTCAAATCACAATAGTTTATTTTACAATACTGCCCACATTTCTTGCGTTTGATTTTGGCATAATGGATCTTGGGAGTAATCGAGGAGGTCTCCATTCCACATTCCAATGCCACGGAGCCCACGTGACCTCCCGTAAGCGGCCTTGATTGCGAGGCTCTTGGGATCGTCGTACCACAGCTGGTGGATTGCACCTGTGCGATTCTGTGGGAAAAAACAGCATAAATTGCAACGGCGGTTGTATATATAGTTAGACTTGTATACCACTTATTTAAGATTCCTATATGTTGAATGTATGCACCTTCCTGCCAAAGTAAATTCCTTGTCTGTGCGAACTTTCATGGCGAATAAAACCCTTTCTGATTCTGATTCTGATATCAGGATCACACACAAGCTGCCCATCAACACCAAGCTCCACTGAGCCTGAAAAAGCCTGAAGTATATCAGGCGAATCTGAAGTCAAATAAGGTTTCAATGAACTGGACTGCTGCCATTGTAGACTGCAGCTACTATTGTTCCCTCATTCAGCAACTGCTGGTGTGCGTGGGAAAGCATTGCAGAATCCACGTGTATACATGATTTTTTGTCCTTGTTTATTTTTCCTAGAAAACCTTTAAAACATCAAAATCCTACCCCAAAGCACAACTACCACAGTAATCGACAACCATTCAGTCACGATAAATAGCAATAAAAAAAACTCGCCACAGTAAAACAAGGCGTGAGGTGTTTTTAACAGATCGCATAACTTTCCAGGCATTACAATACCTTATATGTGAAGTATGGAGCTTTCTGTTTGTCGTCCCACTGTGGCGCCGTGTGCGACTCATTAAGCATCCTCACAATGCGTTTATACGCGATTTGTTTTCCCGCTGCATCACTACATGGCGCCCCACGAAATGGCACCTTGGGAATGGAGCAGACTGCATGCTGGGAACATATACAAATAATGTTATCACATTTGAGGTAGAGCAGCTCTGTTAACCTTTTGGAGGGGTAATGTGTGCGTTATTACATCTTCCAACAAGTCTTGTCAGTGTGGAAAAGTAGACCAAGTACCCTCTAGAGTTACCTCTAGTGGAGGCCTGAGTGAGCGATTACAGAGCTGTACCTCTACATTTTAACTATTAAATCTTGACTTAAAGCTTTTGTGACTGCAGGAATTCATATTCTTTGGATCTTTCGGTAAAGTCACGTAGATAGGTTCAAAGAAAATAACAAAAAAAATAACAAAAAACTACGAGCGATCTTCATCAAAATGATGACGATCGCTTGTGTTGTGATTGAAACGTCGTAGTTTGTTATTTTCATAATTTTTATGAAGATCGCTTGTGTTGTGATCGAAACGTCGTAGTTTTTTGTTATTTTTTTGTTATTTTCTTTGAACCTATCTACGTGACTTTACCGAAAAACCTAAATAATAGTTTAACTATTATCACGAGTGACATGGGATGCCATGCCATTTGTATGTTCAAGCGTGCCAATAAGTGCATGATCTGCACTTCCAAGCAACGCGGTCGGCTACGTACGGTGCAAAGAAGTTCAACATACATAAATACATCCATTACATTCCACTGGAAACGGGTTAGCGGTGCCTGCTTTTCTCAAACGGTAACTGAATTGTGCAAATGGTTATTGGTTTACCCGTTATTGGTTAACAACATAAATATGTACACTAAGCGAGGCTCTGCTGGACAGCATCAACACATTATTTTCATCTCATCTGCAGCTGCTGTTACCTCGGACAGGTTCAGGCAGGGGTAGTCGTAACCATACCAGGGAATGCCCATCACAAGCTTCGCAGGCGCGATGCCGAGATAAATGTATTTCTCATAGCCTAAACAATACAAACAATACAAACAAACGACGTGGGTAATGCAACTCAACAACATGCAAACACCACTCACGTGGCAATACACGCTTGTTAGACAAGATGACTCCTTCACTCACAGATCTGTTCCTCCATGTAGAAAATAAAAGGATTGTTTATACATCTTGTCGAGCTAGAGCCCATATCTCTATGTATGTTGAACTTCTTTTCCACTGAATGTAGCCAACTGTGCTAATTGGAGGCATAGGGGAAGGACAACAAACTAAACACAAAAAGCAGTTCTAAAGAAATTAGTTTTCAATCTAGATATAAAAGTGCATAGCTCCAGCTGCTTCCTAATATGAGAAGAGCGTTCCAGATCGCCGCAGAAGCGCATCTGAAAGCGTGCGATGCAGTGACCGTCTTTGTTTGATGATTATCCAAAAGCCGTTGTGAGGATGACCGGAGTTTGTGAAGGTTCATGACCTTGACGAGATCAGCAAAGTATTGTGGTTCATTTGTGACAAGCACTTTGTGTGTTATGCCTATAAACATCTGGAAATTCATCGGCATTGGTTCAAGCTAGCCTGACTGCTGTTGAGACACCGAATGTAGAAACTGGACCAGAGTTTGCTTGTACAGTATTATGCTGCTAGAATTATGCACTCTCAGAAGGCCATGTGGCTGATGGGATGTATAACATTTTACGTGGAGAAACAGGTATGGGCAGGTGTATTGTCTGCTTATTTTCTTATATTCTGTACTATGCCGCAAGTATTTTGCATTGTCATACATTGGTGCATCTCACCTTGCACAGTGTTAACATATGGTGCATTAGCCATAGCTATGCAATCTTCCCAGATCTGACTCTGCATGTCGTAGGACATCACAAAGAGGAAATCCACAGCTTCTGCGATGGCTGGGTAATCATAGCAACGTCCATCGATGCAGTCAGGAGACCAAGCAACATCAAATGTCACCTTTAACCACACACAAATGCAAAACAAAATATCAAGGTCTGGTGAGGAGCTTGATTGGTAATAATGTATTCAATAAATTAGCATATATAAATATCTGTGTAAACGTGACAATCTTGTCAGGTGGTGGAGGGTTAATGAAAATAATTTTGGCATAAAACTACCACGTGGCTATGAAAATATACCTTTCATGTGAGAGAGGTGTTTTGACCTGCAGTATGGTTGAGTGCGTGGGTGAGTGCAGTTGTTGGGAGCAGTAGTGTAGCAGTTAGCGGGCTGTACTACAAACTTGGCAACCCGAGTTCGATTCCTTCTTATAGCCAACACCAGTAACGGTTATCTGAACCAGTTCTGGGCCTTTCCTAGGTCAACTCAGCCTCAAATGAGTACCTGGTGCTGTGTGCAACATTGCCACTAGGGATACAAAGGTGGCCGGGCGAGGTGCTGGCCACCCACCCCCTCGTGTGCCATGATTTTCACGAGCAGCACTTGCCCCAACAGTCTGATAAGGCTATATGGGAGATATTTGTCTTCGTGTAGTTCTGACCTTCAGTATAAAAGTTGATCAGTGTCGTTGAGATTAAACAGTTATGAGGATCAAAGGATCGTGTTAAAACAAGGATCGATTCTTGAATTGCATACCGTCCCTGAATTGTGAGTGGTATTAAATCACTGCCTTCAAAAATTGCTACAGCCCCAATTAAAAACCCCAGCAAGGCGAACGATGTTTGCGAATCTGGGCCCAGGGGTGGTGGCGAACCTGCGAGCCAGGGATTTGCGAGTGGAAGGCGGCGGTGGTCTCATGCGCCAGCGCCGTGAGGGCCGCGCGCTCCGCGCTCGAGTTCCCCACCGCCGCCTCGATGTCCAGGTTTATCCCATCCATGAAGTGGCTCTGTGCGAGCTCCACCTGTTGCTGCACCCAGCGAGCTCTCGCCGCGGGTTCCACCACACTCTGCACGTCCACATCCCCTGCAGGCACAGGCAGCAGCGTTACATACGCTCATCTAAAAACTTACAACTCACATGCACATTTTTTCAGTTAAGATATTTCGTCTGTAAAAATCCCGTGAGATGAAACACCTCCTTTACGAGAGTGTCCACACAATTATATGCATACCGAGTTCGAGGGTTGGATGTTGATGATGGGTGATGTGGTTGAGGGGCTGATGGTGCAGCTGTCATTCTGCGGTGTGTGTGGCACTGTTGTGGGGAAGGAAGTTCCGCAGCAAATTTAATGTAGGGTGAAGGGTGAATGGCAAAATCTCCCACGCGTGGGCTATGGAGTGCTGCATATTTGTGGATCGGTGGGAACGTTTCGGTACTGGGGAGTGCGCACAGGATTGAGTTAAAGACTTCAGAACAACAAGAAGCGGCTAAAAGTCTGTACTGGAGCAGCCGAGAGCGCACTCGAAAAGGTTTGGGAACAGTGCAGGAAAGCGTAGGAAATTTAACCCGATGAAGTGATCGCTTGGCTCGGCCCAGCGAGGGTGGTAGCAGCGGTGTGCGTGGCAGCGGACACCGAGAACTACTGCAGCAGGGCGGCAGTAGGTTTTATACATTGGAATCAAGTCAGTGTTTCGTGAAAGTGTATAGATAGTAAATAATTTAGTTCAATAGAATTGATTAAACTTACATATATTATAGGGGCTTGCAGTGTTTTATGACTTTGCTTTATTATCAAGCCAATGAGTGCTCTATTTGTGGCTCTGAGATTTTACCTTTTAAAACAACGCGAGCCCCCTTTGAGTGAGCGTAGCACATGAGCGCTGCATCAAACCCGCTGAAGATGGCCACTGTTGTGACTTTAGTCCAGTCATAAAACATCCAATCTTTCCCTCCAACATGGAACACGTAGACCTGTAAAATACAGCGTTAGCCTCATCCCCAGCAACCAAAATATACCAAAATGTTTAACCTGCAAATACGGAGGGTAAGTCTATCTTATTGCCCACAATGCTCTGGGCCGGATTAATCAATCTTTATTTAGACTGGAGGAATCCGATGAGCTATGATGCTCTTTTTCATAGATGTTCAGTTGGGGCTGGTAAGAAAGTTACAACAAACAATACAAAGAACGATAAGAGTACAAAGTAGAGAAAACGTAAGCAAGTCACTAAAATAAATATAAGGTGTATAAGTATAAATTGCATAGTACATACATTCTTGACGATTTTTCAACACTAAATGCAATCTTGATTTGAAGCTTTCGTGACTGCAGGAATCCACACTTTGGTTATTTCGGTAAAGTCATCACGTAGGTAGAAAATAAATCACGACGTTTGTGTTGCGCTCGAAATGTCGTGATTTATTTTATTTTATGCCTACGTGACTTTACCTAAAGAACCAGAGTACTAAATGCAATCTTGGGCCAGGCAGCCAGACAACAGCCGCAGACCACTCTAAAACAACACACAGTCCTTCAATAAAATGAATTGATGCACGGGTAATGATCAAAGTTACAAATCACATTTGCAAAAAATCTGACACCCGCCGAAATCACCCATCAAGTGACCTGCCCACATGTGGAAGAGAGTGGCCATGGTCCCTGCCCACATGTGGTCGTGTGCACCTGAATCGAGGTGCCAGGTGTCGTCACCCATTCAAGTTCATAGTCAATGCGACGAGCCAACCCACCGCCCACCCCGCGGGCCCACTCGCCTCATAGGCCGGAGTGAGCGATGGCGGGAGACACAGAGTCTGCACCGGGCACGGGCACGCGGCGCCGCGTTCCTCTCCGCGCGCCGCGTGCAGCAGCAGCGGCAGCAGCAGCGGCAGCAGCGGCGCGCACCGCGACTCCATCGCAGGGACACTTCCGCGTTCCCCGACGCCACCGTCACGCGCTCCGATACCCGTGACGTCAACGTGCGGAGCCCGTTCCCCTACTACGTCACAGCCATCGAAATAATTAAAGACCTTAATCTATTTAACGCGTAGGCTTTCGCGACCAATATGCATGAGGTTTTTTTTGGTTACTGCATTATGCGAGCACATGCACAATGTACGTTGACTCAATAATCCTCCCTCCACCTTGCACAAGAGCGCAGAAGCGTGGTCACCACATCTAAGCCTCTATATACAGGGAGGGAAAAAAGTATTTGATCCCCTGCTGATTTTGTACGTTCGCCCACTGACAAAGAAATGATCAGTCCATAATTTTAATGGTAGGTTTATTTGAACAGTGAGAGACAGAATAACAACAACAAAAATCAAGAATAACGCATGTCAAAATTTTTATAAATTGATTTGCATTTCAATGAGGGAAATAAGTATTTGACCCCCTCTCAATCAGAAAGATTTCTGGCTCCCAGGTGTCCTTTATACAGGTAACGAGCTGAGATTAGGAGCACACTCTTAAAGGGAGTGCTCCTAATCTCAGCTTGTTACCTGTATAAAAGACACCTGTCCACAGAAGCAATCAATCAGATTCCAAACTCTCCACCATGGCCAAGACCAAAGAGCTCTCCAAGGATGTCAGGGACAAGATTGTAGACCTACACAAGGCTGGAATGGGCTACAAGACCATTGCCAAGCAGCTTGGTGAGAAGGTGACAACAGTTGGTGCGATTATTCGCAAATGCAAGAAACACAAAAGATCTGTCAATATCCCTCGGCCTGGGGCTCCATGCAAGATCTCACCGCGTGGAGTTGCAATAATCATGAGAACGTTGAGGAATCAGCCCAGAACTACACGGGAGGATCTTGTCAATGATCTCAAGGCAGCTGGGACCATAGTCACCAAGAAAGCAATTGGTAACACAAATTTTGATTTAAAGCTTTCGTGACTGCAGGGATTCATATTCTTGATTCTTTCGGTAAAGTCACGTAGAAGGGAAACAATAAAATAATAAAAATATAAAACAATAAAATTATCACGACGTTTCGACTGCAACACAAGCAATCATCATCAGGTGTGAAAACCACAAGAAAATTTGAAAAAAGTGGCAGTTTTACCACCACTTTTTTCAAATTACCACCACTTTTTTCAAATTTGGCGGTTTTACCGCCACTCTTTTCAAATTATCTTGTTGTGGTTTTCACACCTGATGATGATTACTTGTGTTGCAGTCGAAACGTCGTGAGAATTTTATTGTTTGATATTTTTATTATTTTATTGTTTCCCTTCTACGTTACTTTACCGAAAGAACCAAGAATATATTTGGTAACACACTACGCCGTGAAGGACTGAAATCCTGCAGCGCCCGCAAGGTCCCCCTGCTCAAGAAAGCACATGTACATGCCCGTCTGAAGTTTGCCAGTGAACATCTGAATGATTCAGAGGACAACTGGGTGAAAGTGTTGTGGTCAGATGAGACCAAAATGGAGCTCTTTGGCATCAACTCAACTCGCCGTGTTTGGAGGAGGAATGCTGCCTATGACCCCAAGAATACCATCCCCACCGTCAAACATGGAGGTGGAAACATGCTTTAAGGGTGTTTTTCTGCTAAGGGGACGATGGACGGGGCCTTGTACCGTCAAATCTTGGGTGAGAACCTCCTTCCCTCAGCCAGGGCATTGAAAATGGGTCGTGGATGGGTATTCCAGCATGACAATGACCCAAAACACACGGCCAAGGCAACAAAGGAGTGGCTCAAGAAGAAGCACATTAAGGTCCTGAAGTGGCCTAGCCAGTCTCCAGACCTTAATGCCATAGAAAAGCTGTGGAGGGAGCTGAAGGTTCGAGTTGCCAAACGTCAGCCTGCAAACGTTAATGACTTGGAGAAGATCTGCAAAGAGGAGTGGGACAAAATCCCTCCTGAGATGTGTGCAAACCTGGTGGCCAACTACAAGAAACGTCAGCCCTCTGTGATTGCCAACAAGGGTTTTGCCACCAAGTACTAAATCATGTTTTGCAGAGGGGTCAAATACTTATTTTCCTCATTAAAATTCAAATCAATTTATAACATTTTTGACATGCGTTTTTCTGGATTTTGTTGTTATTCTGTCTCTCACTGTTCAAATAAACCTACCATGAAAATTATAGACTGATCATTTCTTTGTCAGTGGGCAAACGTACAAAATCAGCAGGGGATTAAATACTTTTTTCCCTCACTGTAAGGAACGAAACAGTAAGACTTCTCCACAAATCTGGTTGTCGCCTGATGAAGCTAGTTGTAATTACTGGTGAAACGTCGTACTCGGATTGTAAATGTTGTGGCTTGGCTCTCCAACACACCGGTGTGCTATACTAGTGACGAATTGGCATGTTCTGTTTACGTGACAACCCTTACTAGCTGTCGGGTGGTGGCGGGTTTTAATGACACATGTATATATTTACACGATCTAACCCAAAAAAACCTCAATCATGGACCTTAATACATGAAGAAATAATAGGTTTTACTCTTTCTGGCAATAAAACAGGTGTTAAGATGTCCAAACACCAAATAGAAACCTGTTGCAAGGAATCAAGTCTCCATTAACCACACACAGTGCTTGTGGTGAACATGCAAACACATTTTCTCTGATAAAGCATGGCTTTGCTGGATAAATCATTCTGAATATACTGTGTATATAATATTATGACATCGAGCAGCCTGTCGGATTTGAACTCCAAATGTCTGCAACAAGTGGCAAATAAGCTACTTCTGGGCCATATCACTGCCCCAACGGTCAGATTGAAGTGGTTTGACGTGTAACACAAGGCTTGTGAAAAATAGCTTAAAAGCTCATCACATTCCTCTAGGATAAAAGAAAGATTCTGATTCTGCAGTGAGAGGTATATTTTTTTTATTGGAAGTCACAGTACAGTTCCCACCGTTGCACTGTGGTGAGATGGCACTGTGTGTTGCAGTGTATTGTCGCACTGGCGAGACGTCACTATGTATTACACTGTGTGGGGAGCAGTAGTGGAGCGGTTAACGCATTGCGCTATGAACCCAGCAACCGAGGTTAAATTCCCACCCGTGGTAAACACCAGTCACGATTATCTGAACTGGTCTGGACCTCCCCTAGGTCGACTCAGCCTCAAATGACTACCTGGTGCAGTGTGTAAACATTGCCACTGGGGAGACAAAGGTGGGCATGGTACTGGCCACACACCACCCCGTGTGCCGTGCCGGCCTTCGTCGGTGCTTGCTAACAGCACTTGTCTCGTCTGTTAAGGCTACACTGGGGATTTTTGTCTTTGTCTAGTGTTGATTGCACTGTAGTGAGACATCGCTGTATTATTTATGAATTGTGATAGCTTTTGTTGTTTGTACTTTTTGTTTTGGTGCCATTTCTTAATTTTATTTATTTTTGCTTTTGCTTCGTAGGGTTTTAATTTGCTTGGTATGTGTGTCGGCTTCTTTCGCGCTGTGTAGCTAACCGCAAATATGGGATTAGTATTTATATATAATTGTACAGCACTGTAGGATGCTGTTGGGATGAATAACGCTATATTAAATTATTATACTGTGTTACACTGTGTGCTACTCTGTGGTGAGACATCACTGTGTGTTGCACTGCGGCTTGTCCTCAGTGTTCCCCTCAGAGCTCAGTGTGCAGATCTCTCTCCGCACGCGCTTCTCGTGATCCAGCAGCCGAGCTGGCTTTTGGTACTGAGGAAAGAAGCAGAGTGGTGTCATGTGAGTGCCCGGACCTCCGATTAGCACAGTTGGCAACATATGGTGCGAAAGAAGTTCTACATAGATATATACATATGTAGTGACATAGCGCTGAATGTTGTACAGCAGCTGCAACTGGAGATAAACACTTAACGCACACGCCGTTGAGCATGTACACGTGTGTGTGCCGGCAGGGCGGAGGAACTGGGGCAAGGTTCATGGTAGACCTCGTGGGGAAGCCCCTGGAACCCTCTGGCAGGTTCGAGAAGGGAGGCGTGGCTAGGGCGGAGCCAAGCCGCGCCGAGGGGAATATAAGCAGCAGAGAGCGAGAGCTCCAGGCTTCCGGTTCTGGGAGTGGACTCGTCTCGTCGTCACTGTCGTTGTCGCCACCTTCGCCGCTGCCGCCTTAGCCCGATCATTGCGCAGCCGGACAGTAGTTGGCTGTCTCGGTCGACGCCGTTGGTGCAACGCGGATAGGGTCGTGTCTGGGCCGGGTCATGCGGCAGCGTGGTCGTGAGAGCGGGGAGGCCGGAGTTGGTGGCGTGAACACAACAATAAAAGGGAAGGACGGTGCCTCCTGCGACTACCTCGTCTCCGACTGAGTGTGTGTGTGCCGCACGCCACCCGCACACACACACAAGCCTCGAGCAGAAGGAAGAAGAGACCTACGACACTACACATACATATGTGCCGTGTTGGTGTCGTGCGGTATGGTGTTAATGTGGTATAGTGTGTTGTTGCACATGTTGCTGGTTGTGTTGTAGTGTTGTGGTTCACCTTGACAATGAGTGTGTGGTTGTTATGACTGAAGGACACGGCCTCTGGGTCTAGAGGCAACTCCAAGCGATCCAGATCTGGGATGGAGAGTCGCTTATAGTACCTGCACCCCCATCAACACCATCACTTTCAACATTAATCTTAACAGTACCACCATCATCACCATCAACACTATTACCACCATCAACACTATTTCCATCATAAACACCACCAACGCCACAATACATCTGTAGAGTAGAGATGTACGCAGTGCGCGCAGTTGAGCGGGTGCAATTGAGGACGAGCAGGTGTGTGCATGGGGGCAGGAGGTTGGCGCCGGAGAGACAGGAGATGGGGGCGATGAGTAGGGATTAATGAGTGCGAGAGGCGTCGTGGAGGCGACAGCTTAAGTGGGGAGCACGTAAGGACTTGTAATGAGCAGGGGTATATACGCGGGAGTGTGCATGAGCAAAGTTGAGTTGTTCGGGGACCAAGAGAGAAGACATCTCGCCGCTGCCGCTCGAGCCGTCAACGGGACCTTGCCCCTTACGCCGTCGCCAGGCGGGTGTTGGCTGAAACCCCCGCCCGGGACAGACGGGTGAGTGGGTACGGGGCAGCGTAGGAGGGGGCAGCGTAGGAGAGGGCAGCGGCGAGATAGGAGAGAGTTGGTGAGATGCAGAGTAGGTGAGGTGCGGAGTAGGTGAGGTGCGGAGTAGATGAGAGCGGGTAGTAGGAGAAGCAGAGTGTGTGGTGACAGTGGAAGGCAGTAATAAGAGTGCCTACAATGGGTACGAGAGGATTAATAAAGTGTAAGCAGGTGACCTGTTACTCTGTGTCAGTGTAATTTCGAGACACTACACATCCATCGTGATTGTGAACCACACAACAATCACCATCACCTCTATCTTCGTCATCACCATAAACACCATCCATACTCTTTGGTTCTATTGGGTAAAGTCACGTAGGTGAAAATAAAATAACAAAAAAATTTACAAAAAATCACGACATTTCGGCCACAACACAAGCGGCCTTCATCAGGTGAAGGAGGACAGCGCTGGAGTGGAAGAAGCCACGCTCAGACCACGACCTTTAAGCTGTGTGAGAAGAAAAACACCAAGCGCCTTGACAAAGGAATTAGCATATAATTTAGCATTGAAATGGCTCATTGAAATAGCTAAGTTAAAGTATACACATCCGCAGAGGTACCCCTTGACAAGGTATTAGCATAGAATTTAGCATTGAAATAGCTGAGTGATTAGCTTGTAACTGGTCACAGAAATAGCTATGTTAAAGTTAGAGCATATACATTCACTGAGGCACCTAGTACTCATCAAACAGGAGAATTTAGCGAAACACAACCACGCTCAGACAGCGGACCTTTAAACTGTGTGCGAGCAAACAAGGTGTTCTGACAAAGAAATTAGCATAAAAATTAGCATTTGATTGGCGGATTTTCGGAAAGAGGTGGTGTACGTGCCTGTGGACTTGCCATTTGGCGCGGGGGGGGAAGGGGGGGAGTTTACCTATTGATGGTGTGAAAAGGGAATTTATAAGAGCTGCGAAAGTTTGGGGTACCACTACTTGAAAAATATACTGTACCATTGAAATTAGTTTAATGTTTAGTTCGATTTAGAACATCTTTCCAATGGTTGCTTAATTTGAAACACCATCCAACCATCAATATTACCCACATCAGCGTTCAGCAAGTGACGCAGGGTATAGAGTGTCATGTGTGTGTGCTGACCAGGGCCATAGCATTGTGTGTTTCTTAGCCATATCTAAAAATGTTGGGGGAGTCAAGGAACCTACAATGATAATAAACAGTATATAGTGCACCTATTTATCACAAATAGGATGCATTATTAGATCGAGAACTCTTGAGGTACAGAGCCAGGACTCAAAGTCCCTTATATGCCATCCTCATCAGGTGAGAGCCTGGACAGGTGAAAGCCTGGACAGCCGAGTCTAGATAGGTGAGAGACTGAACAGGTGATAGCCTGAACAGATGGCGGCCTGAACAGGTGAGCCTTGAGCTGCTGCTTTAAGGTAGATGGTGCTTGGATGCTGCATTTGTGCAATGGTAGAGCATTCCAGACGGCTGCTGGTTCAGCGAAGGAGAAACGCCGCTCAGTTATGATAGTCCCGGTACTGGGTAAGATGAGCAGATTATATGCGCTCCATAGAATGTTGTGGTTTTCTGTGGTCAGTGGAGTGAGAAGGGTGGAGAGGTATGAGGGGAGACCTTAAAAAGATCTTGGTGGTATACAGGATAGTAATTTTGTACTGGAGCGAAAGTGTTTAGTGGCTAAGCCCCTACTGATCCCTACACACTCACTTGTGGTTGGAGGTGCTGATCACGAGGTTATTGTTGGTGCTGTCTACACACACGGAGAACACGTGTGGAGGATAGGGCACATTCCTCACACGCCACCATAGCTCCTCCCGTGTCTCCCCGCGAACACACACGGGCTGAGACATGCGGACATGAGAACACAGTGTGGTGACAGGGACACAGACATGATGTGGAGACACGGGTAATGGGAACACGGGGGAACCCGGTGTGGGGGTGTGGGGGCATGGGGACACAGGAACACGGAGAGGTGAATGCACATGGCGTAGACTGCAGAGACACAAGCCAGAACATGGGTCGTGATGCAGGTGAAGTTATGGGGGGTCATGTGGGTCAGCTGAGGGACCCACAGCGGCTGCGCTCTCCTTGAGCGTATCGACTGATGATGGGGATGGGCCGGGTTCCCCCACCTCTGTCTCCCAGGCCCGGGGCGCCCCGAGCATAGAGCGCACACGCCACCTACGCACTGATACATATACACACAGATACAAACAGATGCATATAGACACACATACAAACATACAAACTAAAAATATCCCACGTATAGACTTCAACAGACTGTTGGGGCAAGTTCTGTTAACGAATACCTATTAAGACTGCCACGGCACACAGAATCAGAATCTTTGTTTATCCTGGATAAATCAGATGACCTATGAAGCTCTTTTTCAAAGATGTCCAGTAGGGGTGGGTCAGAAAGTTACAACCACAAACAATATGAAAACGATGAGTACAAAGCATAGGAAAGGTAAACAAATCGCAAAAAACGCTGAGTCGACCTAGGGGAGGATTCAACACCAGTGCAGATATTCACGACTGATGTTATCTGAGTGGGAATCGAAATCGGGTCGTCGGGTTCATAGCACAGTGTGCTAACTGCTGCAATTCCGCACCCAGATATAGACACCATTTATGATTTAGATTTTTTTAAAGAAATATTTTGGATGAAGTATAATACTCTTATATAAGCGCACAACTTTATCTATCTGTGATGAACGCTGCACTTTCCGTTGTTTTCATGCAGCGAGCGCTGCAAACCTACACGTGCCCCATGCATGAACGACGGAGGCGCAGGGACAGACGTTCGATCACGTTGGAATCTATGTGCAGACGGCGGTCTTCTCGCACGGCCAGCTCTCTGTCACCTTATCTCGATCCCGCAATCCCAAACAGGTGAAAGTCCGCATCGAACAGAACCCCCAGCAAGGCCATCTACTTAACGACGAGAGAAAATTCACACGAAATGTAATTTTCAATTAAGTCTTCCAGATGTAAGATGATATAAGCTTTTAATGAATAAATAACATTATCTAATTCAAAACATAATACAAGTCAAAGATGTTTAATTTTAAAACTTCAAAACGGAGCATCGGGTGCTTGCGTGAATGCGTCGTTCGTGTGCAATTCTGTGTGACTTTCCTGGCCGAATTATATATGTCAGTCTTCAGGCTCACAAAGTGGCGTCACTTGACAACTCCTCAACCTAGGTGTTGATAAAGGTGATGGTGATGTTGATTATGAGAATGATTATATTAATAATGTCATGGTGTTTGGAGTTGATGGTGATGCTGGGGTGTTAAAAGGGGTGGTGATGATCATGGTGATATTGAGATTGTGATGCGAGTCCATACACATCAGCAGCTCTGTGATGACATCATATTCCTCAATCATCTCGCGGGCATCTTCAAACGAGTAGTGGACCCTCCGCCTGCCTGGACAGACAACAAACCAGTGGACGACTCAACCACAATTCAACCAAAAGCCCTCCGCAATGCCACCCTCTTATTAAAACCCATCTGCTCTCCCTTGCCCATCTTACTACTGTACTTACTCCCTGCCGCCGCCCCTAGCTACGACCAGGCTTACCCCAAACCTTATCACTACACCAACCCCCCCATCACTACCCCTACTGCCTACACCTATCCTCCTGTCGCCATAACCACACCACCACTTTTCATAACCCCACTTGATTTTAACCACTGCCATCGTATGTACAATTTTATAATTGTTAAGCGCCTTGGATTGAGGGGTTATATTCAACCTTTATCAGATAAGTGTACACGCCACAGCAACCCCAAGTCGCTCACAGGTCCCTCACCCAAGTGACATCAACAACGGCTCCCGCAACCCATCTCCCTCAGCCCGTGGCCCTCGCCCGTGCCTGCCTGCTCACCGCCCTGCAGGAGCGCCGTCTTCTTGGCCGCCCTCAGCTCTTGCTCCCAAGCCCCGCTCTCCCTTCGCTCTTGCCCCATGGCGGCTGCCGTCACCATGGCGACGCGTCCCACCGCTCCTTGCCGCCACTGCGCATGCGCAGCTCCCACGCCCTCCAGTAGGCGGAGCCAAGGGGAACCTCGCGAGTGACGTCACTCACTCGCACCTTTAAGGGCTATTTCCCGAAACGTCGCTAATTTTTTACTCATTTTAACATGAGCATTGGTTACACATCCCATTAGTCATACGGCCTACTGGGCCCAACCGTATTTTAAATAAGATTAGAGAAGCTCTCAAAAGTTTGACTTACAACTGTGCATAATATAGGTTTAAATTTTGGTTTAAAGCTTTCGTGACTGCAGGGATTCATATTCTTGGTTCCTTCTGTAAAGTCACGTAGAAGGGAAACACAGTCATCACCTGATGATGACTGCTTGTGTTGCAGTCGAAACGTCGTGATAATGTTATTGTTTTATATATTTTATTATTTTATTGTTTCCCTTCAACGTGACTTTACCGAAAGAACCAATAATATGAATCACTGCAGTCACGAAAGCTTTAAATTAAAAAAAATCTAATATAGGTTTGTTTTGGGTTAGATCGCGTAAATATATGTCGTTAAAACCCGCCACCACCCGACACAGCCAACTTGCTGACCCGCCCCTTCGAGACATGTAGCTCATCGGATTCCTCCAGTCTACATACAGATTACTTTAAAAACATGAATATGAAAACACCCGATAATAACCGGTTTGTCGCCCATATAGAAACGTCCCGAGCAATAGGGTAAACATAACGTATGAGCCAGTTTAACCGAGAACCGATGGGCGCTGCCACTGGACTTCTTCCCACTTCGATTCGATCTCTCGACGGGCCCGTTTAAAACAATGGGGCAGAGTATCTTGACTCCCCCCACGGTCTATGGTCCACCCAGCAGTAGGCATGGGTTTACCACAGTTAAGTCGATGGGCAGGTTAAGTGTGGTGGGATAAAGTGTGGAAACTCCCACGTCTTCCAAAGACGCCTGGCGAGCGTGAAAGAGCAGATCAAGTGCCGTCTAGACTCGAGAGCTCTCTGTTGGAGCCCCTTGGGCCAACAGTGGCGGAAGCGAACGACTGCAGACACGACAGAGACATTTACGTTTTGCGCGTGCCGTTTCATGCATTCATCTCCATATATATAAAAGGCAAAGTTGTGAATGTGTCTGTTCAAAATGTTTAGCGTACTTCCTGACATGCAACAAACTTGAAATTTGCCATGTGGGTACTTTCCAGACTGTCCACCATGCAAACATTATAAAAATACACTTTTTTTGCGGGGGGAGGGGGAGCTCAATAATGTATATATTTTTTGCACGGCAAGTGAGCTGTGACGTCAAATCTGTCACGTGACCCGCGCACGTGGAAGCGTAACGCATTGTAGTGTAGTGGTTAGCGCGCTGTGTGTGTGTCTGTGTGGAAGCGTAACGCATTGTAGTGTAGTGGTTAACGTGCTGTCGTCTGTGTATGTGTCTGTGTGTGTATCTGTGTGTGTGTCTGTGTGTGTATCTGTGTGTGTGTCTGTGTGTGTGTGGAAGCCGAAGAAGAACATCTTCGCCGGTTAGAAACATTTAGGCTGGCCTGCCTACGATCCATCCTGGGTTTAACCAGACTGGATTGTGTGAGGAGCTCACAAATCCTTGAAAGATCTGGGCAGGGTCCCATCGGTGAGCTCCTCCGGCAGGCAAGGCTGCGATGGCTGGGTCATGTAGCCCGCATGCCCAGCCACCGCATGCCGAAACAGCTTTTGTTTGGCCGGATTGAGGGGGCTAAGCGGGCGCGGCACGGGCTAGAGAAGAGATGGAGTGATGTGGTACAGGAGGACGTGGAGCTGAGTGGACTTGCCGATGACTGGTACCAGCGGTGTCAAGATCGGCCTCTGTGGAGGAGGCTCGTGAAGGATGCTACTGGGCAGTTGGAGGCAGTCGCCCTCCAACAACAACGGAGGGCGAAGGAGCGACGCTCACAACAACGAGCGGAGCGCCGGGTGGCTAAAGCACAGCAGGTTGGCACAGTAGGGGGCACAGGTGGTGCATCAGCCAGTCATCTCAGTCAGTCGACCCGTGGCACCTGGGTCTGCCCAGTGACCTCCTGCCAGCGGGCTTTCGACACTTCACGTGGCATCACGGTGCACATAGCCTGGCACAAGCGTCGTGGTGACGTCACCGCCACTTAGTGGCGAATGGCGGTTGTTGTTGTCTGTGTGTGTATCTGTGTGTGTAATCTGTGTGTGTGTCTGTCTGTATCTGTGTGTGTAATCTGTGTGTGTGTGGAAGCGTAACGCATTGTAGTGTAGCGGTTAGCGCGCCGCGCTATGAACCCGGCGACCCGAGTTCGATTCCCGCTCACGGTCACCACCGGTGACGATTATTTGGAACGGTCCTGGGCCTCCCCTAGGTCGACTCAGCCTCAAACGAGTAACTAGTGTGGCTTGTGAACATCGCCACTGGGGAGACGAAGACGGCCGGGCGTGGTGAGTCCAAGTCCCGGGGTAGTTATTTATATATAGTTTATTGTAAAAAATTCGGTCACAGTCCCTATGATCACTGTTACATTGCATTTATGGCTTTATTTTGGTGATTTTGAAAAGTTTTTTGTTTTAGCCATGTTTTTGTTTATTGTAGTACGGAGTTAGACTGATGGCCTTAATCTAAGTTGTCTTGTGGTTGTTGTTGTTGCTGTTTGACTTGCATCCCACTGGGATTTTTGCACACAGCGTTGGTGTACGGTGCTATTTCAGGAATATTTTGATGTTTTTTCCTGAATTTTCTGTTTGCACAGTCACATAATCACTTTAAGATGTTTTCTTGTTCATGTTTTTGTTTGTTGCGGTTGCACCCGATTCAAGAGCCGAATGGCTCACAGGGCTATACCAAATAAATGGAACTATGAACTAAAATGGAACTAGTAAAGCTAGTTGGAAATATAATCCACTGCAAAGGTTACCGGTTCCTGGCATCAGAACCGGCCATCGATTCTGAAAACGGTTACCGGTTATCTGGTTACCGCTTAAAATCCTCGACGTGAGTACAGCAGCAGCCGCGCTAGAGGGAAACCTCTCATAGCTGGCACCTCGTCGCGTTTCGCTAACTGCCCAACTCGCAGCGATGGGGGACGCGTTTGGCGGAGACTTGTTCAGCGTCTTCGACGAGGAGGCGGACGAGAAGCCGCTGGGAGTTCCCTCGCCCAGGTGACTTCCACACTGCGACGCAAACACAGGCGCGGCTTCTTCCCTCCCTCCCCGTACGCCTCTTTCCTTTACCAGCACGTGTGCTGGGCGAGCGCCTAAAGGCCGCGGGCGATCCCCGGTCTCGCCTGGAATTGTCCCCGAACACAGGCCGGTGGCTCGGGATCGCCCGAATGGTTGCCAACTACAGTACTTGATCTTCTTTATACCCCTACCTGTCCCATCCCTGCCTGTACACCCCCATCAGCCCTATCATCTGCCTGTGTACCCCGACCAGCCATGTCATCTATCAACTATAAAACAAGAAAAACGGCCACTGCATCGCGCGCTTTCAGATGAGCTGCGGCCGTCTGCAACTCGCTTCCTTCCGATATTAGGAAGCCACTGGAGCTTTACACTTTTAAATCTAGTTTGGAAACTAATTTCTTTAAAATTGTTTTTTGTGTTTAGTTTGTCGTCCTCCCCTGGCACCTCCGATTAACACGGTTGGCTACGTACGGTGCGAAAGAAGTTAAACATACTGTGCATACATGAAAGCTCTTCGAAATGGCTTCTCACGTGGTAATTTACAGTAGCAGCCAAATAATCTGCATGTGTACCCTCTACTAGCCCGATTAACTGTCATTTAACATGTTTACTTTTGCTCTTATTTTCCACATGATGGGATTTGCTGGATGGAAGTATGTCCTGATTTGATAATTTCATTGTATTGTTTAAAGGTCCTTGCTCATGCCACTTCTAGGAGCAGGGCCTCTGCTCCCGGGAGCTTTTTAAAGCCCCTCAAGAGGGTATGTTCAGCTATTCTTTCATGTTGGCCATACAGTACGTCTTATAAGAGGTCATTGTGTTGAGAACCAGTATTGTCATTCCCCGCAATGCAGTCCATATATATAAAATCTCTGTAACCATTGTCTTTGCCCAGGCAAAAGAAGACTCCAACCAAACGCCCATATGGATGCGAGGAGACTGGGTCTGCAGCCTCAGAGAGGGGAGCCGGAGCCGATGGGATCGACGAGCTCATCAGCAGAAAGCGTCTCAAGCTGGAGCGCAATATTACTTTTGAACAGAAGTAGGCATCAGCCGCCACCAAATATTCCTCTTTCTTCATCAGTGAAGCCACATTTTTTTCTCATGGTTTCCAGGAAATTTGAGAAGCATAATTATTTATATTTTATTAACAGTTTCTGAGTGCAGGTCCAAAGGCCCAACACAAGCGGAGAGCAACAAACAGCACTATCATAGTTTTAATAAGAGTTCACCTTTCTGGAAAATTCAAAAGTGCTCTTGCGAGCAGCTTGACGTTTCGGGCTCATGGGCCTGTGCTCAGAAATTGTGGTTAAAGAAAACTAAAATACCCAAACACGTTGCCTGTACTATGGTAGGTGAGGATTTCGGTCTGCAGGAAGCGCGACTAAGTTGTGATATCACTGTTGTTGATACTCGCTGTGCTTTAGCCTCACCCAGCTCATGCCCAGAGTGAAGACCGTGAGGGTAGAGACACTGGAGGGCTGCACGCACGAGGTGAGGAGCTCACGCAGCACGGAGGGGGTTAGTACGTGGTGCCAAAAACACACTGACATGGGGTTAGTGTGGTACCGCATTAAAAACAACAAATCTCACTTAGAAACATACACGTTAAAATGGGAATTGTATGCAAAATATATAATTCGTGATTTAATAAAACTGGCACAATAAAATATGTTATGTAGCTCTTTTGAATTGTTACTGGTACTTGGTGAGACAAAGGGCATTGGCATGGCTCTGGTAGCACATTCGCCGATTGTTGCATAGGTTTGCGGTTCGAGTCCACCAGGCTGCCCTGCTTATACTATAGGTGTATTAATCAATGGGTGTTAAAGATCTTGTGACGTCATTCGAGTATGCTATTGTGTGATGATGTCACAGTCTACATTTCCCGTTATTTTGAATTTACCTGTAATTTATTATTTAAGGATTACACAATAATTTACCCCTACTGCCATACCAATGGCTACTTGCAGCCCAGGTGCTAAGTCACCTTGTGCCACAAAGGGACAGCTACCACTGGGGGTGCCCTTTTAAATGTTTGAAATAAGATGTGATGGAAGTCGCTTATCGTGTGTCAAACGCTCTGAAATGCCCTGGAATAAAGTGCGCTATATAAAAAAGTTATATTATTATAGTTGTGCATGCTCTTGTGTGTGCCAGGCTGATGTGCATGTTCCCCTACCTGTGGTCTGTTCACCAGGTGGCCATCGCACAGGAGTCTGCTTACGAGACCCTCAAGCCCAGAGTTGGTTTGCCGGCAAAGGTGGGTGGCTTGTTCTTATTGTAAACATAGTTGCTGAGCACAGACACGAAGGTGGTCAACAACAAAATGCACTGTCAGAGTTGTAACAGATAAGAGTTAACACTTCTTGAATTGAGCAAAGTTAAAATATCTTGGAGGGAATAGCAAAGTGGAGCAGTACAAGCAAAGAAGCAAAAAGATAATTATTTTGACCTCCAATATGGCAGTTGAGTGGGTGAGCATGTGAGTGTGTGATTAAGTGAGTTGATGAGTGTGTTATTTTCACCTGTGTGGTTGTTGAACACGGTATGGATGAGCCAAGATGAAGGAATTAAAGTAAAGTTCATGTAAATAGTAACTATGGTAGTAGCGATAGAAGAGTGAAAAAGAGGTAACTGACCACTTGAGTGAGTGGAGTGAATCGGTGAGTGCTGGATCATCAATCCTAACAATGTTGTTTATCCAGGAAAGTGTCTCTGAATCACATGTACACAGGTTCCATCCTGATATGGAGATGTATGGCCAATTCCTCAATGACTAATTGTTCATGTGTGGAGAAACTGGTGTAACGAATGAAAACCTGAACCACCACATTTCATTGTTGGCTGGGTGATTTGCAAAGTGCTTACATGTAAACAACCCTTTGTGTGTGCGCACGTCCTGACCAAACTCTTTACGCGTCCCTTCTCACTTCTGTCTGTGCCCATAGGAGTATCCGTTCCTGCTGGACCCGTTCCAGCGGGAGGCAATCCTGTGCATTGACAACAGCCAGTCAGTGCTGGTCGCCGCACACACGTCGGCTGGAAAAACCGTCTGTGCCGAGTGAGTTTCCTTTGCTTTTGTGATGTCTCAGTATCTCACAATTGGCAATCAAAATGAGTACCTGCTCAAATGAACACTGAGGCAGTGCTCATTTCCTCAGGTATTTATTCTGATTTCTATTGTTACTCATTTCTATTTGGTAGTCTCTGATCTCATTTGTATTTGGTTGCGTCTACTCAGATTTTTGCTTTATTTTTGTTCTAATTTCTATTAATTTTTTGCTTTGATTTCTATTTGCTTTCTTGTTGTACTTATTTTGTATGTTATAGTTTGTCATCCGTAAGAGGTTTTTTTGGGTTAAATTGCGTAAATATATAAATGTGTCGTTAAACCCGCCACCACCGACACGGCCAACTAGTAAGGGTTGTCACGTATGCAGAACATGCCAACCTCTTATGGATGATATTGGTTGCGAAAGCCTACGTGTTAAACAGTTTTTGTTATTTTGGTGACCCTGGTCGATTACTGTTGCAAATGAGACCATCCTTGTCTCTTGAGTTCTCATGCCATTGAACAAAATAAATTAAAACGTTGAATTTGAGCTTGCGGTGTCACCATCAGGTACGCGATAGCGCAAGCTCTGCGTGGAAAGCAGCGCGTGATATTCACGAGCCCCATCAAGGCGCTCAGCAACCAGAAGTACCGAGAGCTACACGAGGAGTTTCACGATGTGGGGCTGCTCACGGGAGACATCACCATCAACCCCAGCGCCTCCTGCCTCGTCATGACCACCGAAGTGCAACCGCTAGCTTTATCATTCTAACATCAGGGCGGAAGGGTGGTGGCGCAGTGGGTAACACTTGTGCTGACTTGAATGCCTGTTTGTGTGGAGTTTTTTCCATCCTTGTTCTGTGTTGGTTTACTCCAGGTTCTCTGATTTTTCTCCATAGCTGCTACAAGGCAAAACATTCTGTAATTGGGTATATTGTGATAGAATGTGTTCCACACAATTGATTATCGCAATTTGAACAAAATCTGGAAAGTGCAGAAATCTCAAGGCCAAACAAATTTAAGCTAAATGAGACATTTGTATTCCCAATTCTGCTCTTGGATCTGAATGCTGGACCCTTAAGAGGGAGCATGAAAGAAAGTTACTGGCAGCAGAAATGAAGTGGCTGAGAAGGATCCTGGCAGGAGAGACTACAACAACTAAGACATGAACATGGGAATTGAAATTAGAAATTTGGGAAGTCAATTTTATGCTGCAGCCTTCACAACACAGGTGGCATTGATGTTCATCTGGGAATGAGGCTGAATGCTCCGGTTTTATTGCAGATCCTGAGAAGCATGCTCTACCGAGGCTCAGAGATAATGAGGGAGGTGGCCTGGGTGATTTTCGATGAAATTCACTACATGCGGAACCCAGGTAGGAAATACAATGTCTCACTGCATTTACATTTTAATCTTTTATGGTGGCATAGTGGTAATCACTTGCATAGTGGCTGACTGTTTTTTTTTCATCTATAATATGCTCAACCACCACACTGTAGGTTACAACAGCACACTCGCACACTCATTCACCCACCATCCAGCAGGTCACAACACTCATTTCTGCTTCTTCCCCCATCGTCTCATTTCCCAAGCTCTTATAACTTAGCTCAATTCAAGGTACGTGTTAACTCTTATTTACCACACCTTCAAATTGTGCTCTCTGTTGCTGGCCACTTGGTATTTTGGTCCTTTGGGCCTGTGTTCAGCAACTGTGTAAAAATAAAAAAAGTTGTGCTGTTAGTCACGTAGACCCGTCACGTGTGATTCCAGTCTGAATAAGTGCTCACTCTCTATATTTGTTCCAATTGCTCCCCTATTTATCATATTAATGGTGATATATGTATATCTGTGTATGTGATCGTGTGTTCATGTAATAATAATATTGTTAGTTTTTGATAGAGCGCCCTTTATGGCAGGGCATCTCACACCATATTACATGGTTCGGCGACTTGCATCCCATCTCGTCTCAAACTTTCTAAGTGCACCGCTAGTGGCATCTATCCCTGTGCGACACAATGTTACTCAGGAGCGGCCTGCAAGTGGCCATTAGTTTGCCAGTAGGTGGCGATGAGTTCTATGTGTATTCCCCAATTGGTGATTTGCGGTGTAATTTTTTTTATTAATCAAGTTTGGACCGTGATGCCGGTACACAATGGCCTGCTCATTTCCAGCAATGAATGACGTTGGAGGGGATCTGCAAGGTTCACTTTTCACCGTGTGTGTGTGCATCGTCTGTGCTTGGCAAAGAGCGCGGCGTCGTGTGGGAAGAGACCATCATCCTTCTGCCAGACAATGTGCACTACGTGTTCCTCTCTGCCACCATCCCCAACGGCACGCAGTTCGCTGAGTGGATCTGCCACTTGCACAAACAGGTGGGACCCACCAAGCACACGCTCTCAGAGAAACGTCTTCGAGTCCAGGCTCCTGCTGAGTAATGGAGAGGCTGGCACACTGAGCCAGCAATCCGTTCATGGAATGGCTGAATTACCAATCTGGATAAGAAGGCATTCAAGAAGGTTTTTTTTTCGTGTCAAAGCCTCTTGAATGGAACAATTTTTACTTCTATACCAGGGGTGAGCAATTTTTTTGACTTGCGGGCTTCAATGGGTTCTAACATTTGACAGAGGGGCCGGGCCAGGAACAGATGGATGGAGTGTTTGTGTGAACTAATATAAATGACATGTAAAAATCATTACATGAAAGGATTTGGCCTTTAACATGTAGCAAAGCATTTATTTGCAAGGCAATTTAACAAATTGCATGAACATGAACAATACAAAAACATATTCTTAGTTTTTTCGGTAAAGTCACGTTGAAGGGAAACAACAAAATAATAAAATATATATAAAACATTAAAAAATTCTCACGACGTTTCGACAATAACTCAAACGGTCATCTTCAGGTGTGTTGGTTTGCATAAATGTATTTTTAAACGGCGCATTTATTTATTTATAAAAACGTTAGCGCCACGCGCAACGTTTTGGCAGTTTATTTAGGACTAGTCCATCTATATTCTGAAAAGAGGAGGGGGGAGACGACATTTTTTATAATGTATGCTGTCTGAAAGCCACTGTAAGCGTGAACAATCAATTAAGACCTGAAATGGTTTATCAAATCTTTCCAATGATTGCTAAGATAGAATCCATCTTCTCGGTTGAAATTGTCTCTGTGCTTGTATATGTGGATAGCCTCATGAACGAATCTCTCATGGAAGCCAGATGGCTTACAAAGAACCTCTGTCTTGGAAAAGTCAATGGCATGTGAGCCTACTCAGTAGGCTCACATGCCATTGAGAGATTCGTTCATGAGGCTATCCACATATACAAGCACAGAGACAATTTCAACCGAGAAGATGGATTCTATCTTAGCAATCATTGGAAAGATTTGATAAACCATTTCAGGTCTTAATTGATTGTTCACGCTTACAGTGGCTTTCAGACAGCATACATTATAAAAAATTTCGTCTCCCCCCTCCTCTTTTCAGAATATAGATGGACTAGTCCTAAATAAACTGCCAAATCGTTGCGTGTGGCGCTAACGTTTTTATAAATAAATAAATGCGCCGTTTAAAAATAAATTTATGCAAACCAACACACCTGAAGATGACCGTTTGAGTTATGGTCGAAACGTCGTGAGAATTTTTTATTGTTTTATATATATTTTATTATTTTGTTGTTTCCCTTCAACGTGACTTTACCGAAAAAACTAAGAATATGAATTACTGCAGTCACGAAAGCTTTAAATCAAAATACAAAAACATGTCGTAACTCCCGGTCAAAGTGCGCCATCTAATGGGGAAATGGGGGCATTACAGGAGAAAGGTAAAATTGAATTTAATAATATTTGGACAAGTTCGGTGGGCCGGATTAAAAAGCCCAACCGGCCGTATACGGCACGGGGGCCGTACTTTGCCCATGTCTGTTCTATACAAAGCATAAATTTAGCCAAAAGTAAAATCCTGTTGTCATATCTAGGGTGGAGCACCCAGCAACTACCTCATTGAATGCATTTGATACAATGTGCTGTAAAGCAATCCAGTTGGTTGATGATCCATTGTTTAATGAGTACCCCACTCATTCACTGGTGGTCAGTCGCCTCCTATCACATCTACTTTGGTTGCCATGTTGTATCTATTTTTTGTCTGCGCAATGGATAAATATGATTGTCCAAAGCATAGATGCTCACTTACCGAACATGTTCCAGTAGTCATGAAAGCTAAAGAGGAGATGTCTGTGCGTTGTGTGTGTCACAGCCATGTCACGTAGTGTCCACCGACTACCGGCCGACCCCTCTACAGCACTTCATCTTCCCAGCTGGCGGCGACGGCCTCCTCCTGGTGGTTGACGAATTTGTACGGTCGTGATTTTGTGCCCTTTGCATGCGTGTGTGTGCAGTGTAGTTCAGTGGTTAGCGTGCTATGCAACAAACTCGGCGACCTGAGTTCGATCCCCCCTCAACACCAGTAACGATTATTCAAACCGGTCCTGGGCTTCCCCGAGGTCGACTCCGCCTTGAACGAGGACCTGATGTGGTGTGTAAGCATCAGCACTGTAGACCCACACGTGGTGCTGGCCACCCACCTCGTGTACCATGCCGGCCTTAATAAGGTGCTTGCTAACAGCACGTTTAATTCCATTTAGTTCCATTTATTTGGTATAGCCCTGTGAGCCATTCGGATCTTGAAACGGGTGCAACCGCAATAAACAAAATACAAAAACATGAACAAGAAAACATCTTAAAGTGACTATGTGACTGTGCAAACAGAAAATCCAGGAAAAAAAACATCAAAATATTCCTGAAATAGCACCGTACACCAACGCTGTGTGCAAAAATCCCAGTGCCCCAACAGTGATGAAAGGCTATATTGATGATCTTTGTACGTGTTTATGCTGCTTTTAACTAGTCAAGGCCTATGACACTATAAAGATGACAATGGCTTCTGACCTTGTTCCCCAAGTCATGAGGAGTCCGAACTAGGAGTCAGAACCATTTCCGTGTACTTAGGGGTCTCACTAGGTCCTGTCGGTCATAAGTTGCACATTTTTAATATGTGGCTGTGATGGAATTCTCATTTGGCATATACAATGAAAGGCTGCTTGATATCTGGTTACATGAAGAAAAATTGCTAAACAGTTCGACTATGTTTATATACTGTACTGATAACTTGGTAATGCTGCCCATTATGTTGAGTCATACACCTTGTTGCTGAACCTAGAATGAACTAAAAAAAATGTATGGCCTTAATTTTAGCCTTACCACACTGCTCCCTTGCTGGGAGTGAGAGTGGAAGGAGGAGGAGTTCCTGTGTGTGGAGGTCTTGTGTGTGCGAGTTAGAGCCGGGAGGAGGAGGGTGTTATCACTGGTTGATCCACTGCTGCTCTGTGCTGTCTGTTTCAGCTCGACTTCAAGGAAGACAACTTCCTGCAAGCGATGTCCCTACTGCGGGAAGGAGGCGACCCATCCCGCAAGCGCAAGGGCGGCAATAAAGGTGCGTAGAGACCCTCATCACATTGGCTCAGACAGAGCCAGAGGCAATGCTGCTCTGCTCAAATAGTGTGGGCTGGTGCTCATCTCTGGTGGAGGCCCAATGCCACATTCATACGGTGGGGTCCAATGTCTGTCGGGCAACCACTGTTGGCTTTCCACAAAGTGGTACTAATTTTTATTGACCCCTGGATTAAAGGTACATATATACAAGGGAGAAGATAATACAATTATAATAATGTAAAAGTTGTAATGTGTGCAGTTTTGGTTCACTGTCAGGGCTAAATGAATTCACGATAGTGTGAGGGAGTTTCACAAATGTGTGGTGACTCGCCAACCGACTTGCCTATAAGGTGTTGCAGGCCATGTGCAGCATAGACACGAATGCCTGACATAAAAAAAGCAGCTCCAGATGTTGGATTCAATTTAGTGGATCTTTTTCGGCCAACTCCATTAAATGCATCATTGGGCTGTGTCTTCATTCTTTGCACTGGACTGACACTTTGCAGTTTGTCGATTGCCGTCGTCGGTTCCCACTGTGGTGCGAGTCGTCTGCCACAGACCCAAACCCGGCGATGACATCAGCGGGTAAGACCTTGGTCCGCTTGTGTGCTTGCAGGGGAATCCAATGTCTTCAAGATCATCAAACTGATCATGGAACGGAACCTGCAGCCCGTCATCATCTTCAGCTTCAGCAAGCGCGAGTGCGAGACCTACGCCGTGCAGCTTTCCCAACTCGACTTCAACACGGGTACATACGATGCAAGGCGGGTGCCATTGTCTATCCACAGCTGGGTGAAGGCCTCCCCATGCCACCCTTTGTTTATCTGCTCATTCATGAGGCCGAATTGCTACATCTGTGCATAGATGTAGATCGGGGTGAATGCAGTCTATGGTAGAGAAAGCCAAGAGGGACTCCGTGGAAGGTTTTTCGGTTCACGTTTTGCCTCCCAAAGGACCCCATGATTTCGACTAATGTTCAAATTTGGATTAACAGTATGTTTACATCATGCACGCAGACGCCAATTTCAGCCAATCCGAGTGCTCGTAAGTGGGCTGAGCATTCCTCAGCCAATCAGCGACGTCTATTTATAAGCATTTAGACCTTCACTGGCTTGGTTTACATTACGTTTTCTGTTTTGGCAGCGGAAACAGCTCTTGCAGACTCAGTGATTTTTACTTATTTTTTCAACTTATAAGTTAATAGTGATTCTAATGGCCCCTAAAGTGAATTCTCAAGAAGAAAGTAATTAGCCTGAAAACAAAGCAGGACATTTTTGATATGCATGAAAAATGGGTAAAAACCAGTGCACTTATGAGTGAGTTTAGCTGGACCCAATCCACCATTTTTACAATTTTTGAAAATAATGACAAAATTAAAGCTACCAATGCGAACGATTCCTCGACCAGGATATTAAAAGGTCGGGAAATTATTATATCAATAAAAAACTGCTAATATGGATTCAGGAGAAGGAAAAGCGAGGTGAGTCTGTAGATAAGCTTAACCATTGTTCTTATAATGTTTATTTCTTAATATTGAGTGTTTAAATGTAACGGATTAAAAACACTAACCGAGGGACTACTATACATGTAACAGAATAGGCAAGGAGCATAGAAAGGCTCTTGCATTGATACAGTGAAGCTACAACTTTATTTGTTACTTATTACCCGCAACAACTCAAATTCATATGTTGTGTTGGGCATTATATAGTTTTGCATCAAACTTGGGATCCATGTTTCCAAAGTATCCTTGCCAATTAGCATCTTGCAGTTTAAAAAGGATTTTTTTCAATAAGCCTTAGTCTACTGATGAGACATTGATCGTCAAAACTGTTCCAGAGTTTTTTTTGTATTGATTATAATTATTGATTTGTAACGCTTGCTGCCATGTTTGTCTGCTGACCAAGTCGCCCTTGAAAACTAGCCGTATAGCTCAATGGGTTACTACCTCGGGTAATACAATCTATTAAACCGAAGCTGCGCTCTCAGATGGCCATGGGTTGTTGATGGGCTATGTAAAAATACTTTCTAATATTTTATGAGGGGACAGATATGGAGGGCGAATTGTCTGCTTGTTTATTTTATTACAATTGCGTCTACTCGCTGGATCCTGATGAATTTGGTTACAGAGGAAGAGAAGTGCCTGGTGGAGGAGGTGTTTAACAACGCCATGAGCTGCCTTTCAGATGAGGACCAGAAGCTGCCACAGGTGAGAACCTCTCCACCACTGCCACCCACACCACCCATACACCCTCACTGCAGCAAATGGCACAGTCCACATGCAGCCAGGGCTAGCAAAACTAATGAGATGGAACAGGGGAAATCTAAATGACCATACCAGGTGTCTTAATTATATTCTAAACTTAATTATTCACTTCACATAATTAATTGTAAAGCAATCAAGTTGATCGATTATACAGAACTTATTCACTCCAGTCACTCATAAGTGGTCAGTTGCCTCCTTATCACTCTTCTTTCGCTACTACCATGCTTACTGTTGACGTTAATTTTACTCTTTGATTCCTCCATTCATGTTGGGACTCGGTCTACCAGATACTGACTGTGTCATCTCACCTATGCTGTGTTAACGACACTGCAGGTCACAACACTTCTCACCTGACACTGCTTCATTTTTGAATTCCCTCCCATGATCTTATATCCAAAGCACTCGTAAGAACCAGTAGTCTGTTAACTTTTATCTATCACGGTTTCGATAGTGATATTTGTTGCTGACCACTTGATGTATTCGCCCTTGGGCCTGAGCTCAGCAACACATGGAATACTAAACTCCACAGAGGGGGCACAGGCAAGTGTGGATGGTACACAGTTCTCTGTGTCGGTGAGGGCTGATTTGGTTGCTCAGTGACATTGCCAACCACATTGCTAATGACCATGTGAACCACGTGAACACTGTGAGTAGGGTGAGAAGGGAGACCGGGAAACAGTCCAGAGAGAGAGGGAGACAGGGACAGAATTCTCCTCAAATCAAGATTAGTCCTCTGAGAATTTTGACAGGGAGAAAGTCTGGTGAGTAGAGAGACGTGGACACAGGGACACAGTCCAGAAAGCAGCTGTGCAGACAGAATTGGGCTATTAAATATCCATAGCCATTACAGAAATGTATAATATATACATTGTTTCACACACAAATGTATGCACAGGTAAAAGCAGCTTTAAATAAAATGTTGTCGTGCTGAAATGGCCAATTCACATGGTCTAATAAACACTAGCGTAAAGTATCATGTGGATCGTACGGTGATCTATTCACATGTTTCATAAAAGAATCAACTAAAAAATAATTAATGTGATTTCTATGTTAAAGATACGGGTAAATTATTGAAGCAAATTGTTGTCTTCAAAACAGTTGAGTGTTTCACTGTGTGTGTAACCTGCCAGCGGGTGTTCGACACTTCACGTGGCCTTAAAGTGTACATAGTCTGGCGCAAGGGCCGTGGTGATGTCACCGCCACTTAGTGGCAAATGCCGGTTGTTGTTGTGTGTCTGTGCCACAGGTGCAACGAGTGCTGCCCATTCTAAAGCGAGGTATTGGCATCCATCATGGTGGGCTGCTGCCTGTCCTGAAAGAAACCATTGAAATTCTCTTTTCTGAGGGCCTCATCAAGGTGAGTTCATGGTAGCAAGGGAGCAGTGTGCCGGGTAGAGGGAGAAGTTTTCTGACATGTTTGCCCTCTACAGATGCTTGTGTTGTGTGTTTCTCTTTGTGCCAACATGATTCATTGTATATTTGTTTACTGTGCTGCTCTTGCTGCTCCTGTGCATATGTTGCTGTCAGTGAGTGTATGCTTGTGTGTTACAGTGTGTGAGAAGCGTTAGTGCAGTTGTTAGCGCACCGCACGATGCACCCGGTGACCCAAGTTCGATTTCTGCTCACAGCCAACACCAGTGATAATGATCTGTTTTGGTCCTGGGCCTCCTCTAGGTGGACTCAGCCTCAAATGAGTACCTATTGCGATGTGTAAACGTCGCCACTTGGAAGACAAAGGCGACTGGGCATGATGCTAGCCACCAACCCCCTCGTCTGCCGTGCCGGCCTTCATAGGTGCTCGCTAACAGTACTTTCCCCAACTGTCTTTTAAGGCTATACAGGAGATCTTTGTGTTTGTGTTGCTGTGTGTAACGCAGGCTCTCTTTGCCACGGAGACATTTGCCATGGGCATCAACATGCCGGCACGCACCGTGCTCTTCACCAGCGCACGCAAGTTTGACGGCCGCGACCACCGCTGGGTATGGGGTTCTCGGCCGCTTGGATAGCTTGTGTAATGTGATTTGGATTTGACCAAACACCCCAATTTAGGACCGCAGAGGAGCTTGGGCAATTGTTGGTAGTGCCAGTTTTGGCCGCCTTCCCACTTGTCTGTGATATCCCGCACCTCGATGCGAAAACTGTGCACATTATAACTTATGCAGTGTTTGGCCACAACCATGTGTGGCTGTCCATACATGACTTTAAATTCACGTATATTTGGTGTTTGAACACCTTATATTTACGCAGGTAAAATAGGTAAAGTTAAGTAAAACTATTATCGTGACCATCAATTGTAATAGTGTAAACCATCTGAGGTAAACACAGCTGCTCATGCTTTGGGTTTAATGGCGGCCTGATTACTGGTGACCAGAACAACCACATGTTCCACAACAACACAGCAAGTACAAGCGGTCTCCAATTTACAAAGGTCTGATTTACGATGATCCACATTTACGACGTTTATATCATGCCACCATGGATTGATTTACAATGCAGAAACTTGATTTGTGATGCATCTTCCAACATGACTCCAAACACATTTGAACATAGTCAATCTGTATTCTTAGCTTTTTCGGTAAAGTCACGTTGAAGAGAAACAACAAAATAACAAAATATATATAAAACAATAAAAAATTCTCACGACGTTTCGACCATAACTCAACGTGACTTTACCGAAAAAACTAAGAATATGAATTACTGCAGTCACGAAAGCTTTAAATCAAAATATAGTCAATCTGGTTTCCGATTAAGTTTCCAGGAACGCATTGTCATAAAAGCGCCAACCGCCTGTACACTTATACTGGCTCAGAGATTTGCCCATGGCTGGGGTGAGATAGCTGTAAACCAGCAAGGGTTGTGGTTCCACGTTGATACTAAGAAGCGAAGATTGTGATTGCTCGTCCCCCTCCCGCACTGCTCAGATCTCTTCTGGCGAGTACATCCAGATGTCGGGCCGCGCGGGTCGGCGCGGCATGGACGAGCGCGGCACCGTCATCCTCATGGTCGATGAGAAGATGAGCCCCACTGTCGGACACCAGCTTTTACAGGTGCCGCGCTCACACCGTGACACCGCCTATCAGCTTTCACCGACTTCCACTCAGCCTACGCATCAATGCATCAGTCTGCGCTCTGACCACCTCAACTGAGTGTTGGATCATCAATCGACCTAACTGCTTTGTGTTGAATTCTGTTAAGTGCAGTGCAGTGAGGTAGAAAATGGGTGCTCCACGCCAGATTGTCCACAATATTCCAACGTCGGACAAAAATATGTGCCTTGTGTAATCTTGATAACTGCTTGTGTCCACCAGGGCTCACCCGACCCGCTCAACAGCGCTTTCCACCTCACCTACAACATGGTGCTGAACCTGCTGCGAGTGGAGGAGATCAACCCCGAGTACATGCTCGAGAAGTCCTTCTTCCAGTTCCAGCAATACAAGGCTGTGCCTGATCTCCTGGCCAGTGAGTGGCCCATACCCACAGAGAACCACCGCCAGGACCCAGGGCATAACACTCCTCCAGCTTCTCACACATGTTCTGGCCTTCCAGTAGGTCAACTCAACCTTAAAAATGAGTACCTAGTGCAATGTGTAAACATCAGCACTGGAAAGACAAAGGTGGCCGGGCGTGGTGCTGGCCACTCACCCCCTTGTGCGCCGTACCGGCCTGAAAATGTTCTTGCTAACAGTACTTGCACGAACAGTCTGTTAAAGGCTATACGGGGATCTTTGTGTTTGCCTGTGTGTGTTCGTGCGTGTGTGGCCCAGAGTTGCAGGCACTACAGGGCCGTTACGCTGCGCTGTCCGTCCCGGACGCGGCAAGCGCCACCTCCTACTACCACATCGAGCAGCAGCTGCAGCGCCTGCACGTAGAGGCGCGCGCCATCACACTGCGGCCACAACATTGCCTACACGTGCTGCAGCCTGGCCGCCTCGTACAGGTGCAGCTGGCTATCGGCGGAAGCGCCATCCACACCATAGCCGGAGTTCCATCTCGCACGCTTCACTCACAGAGAATTGCCACAGATAGGCGAGTAGCTTAATCACAAGGCCATGACATGTGTTGACGACTTAGGGAGGTCTTTCTCCAGCGGTGGATAGATCATTTCTGATGTTGGGTTAAATACGTCCACCGCCTTGGCTGTCTTCTAATCGAGTGCAAATCCCATGATGCTAATAACGACACATGCTATTGTCGTGGTGATTGTGGTCAATGCTATGCCGCAAGCATGGCTGTTTGAGTGAGTATGATCACCTCTTCTGTGTCTGTGCCCTGTCACGCAAGGTCACACATGGGAAAGAACACTTTGGCTGGGGTGTTGTCGTCAACTTTCAGCGCAAACCAACAAGCCAGGTGAGCTACGGCATGTAGGGAGAATGCATCTTTTGTTACATCATCATTGTCTTAATTATTCTTCGTCTCCTTCCTCCAGCCTTTACAGTGTTATTGTTGTAAATTAGATGACAGTGTTATTGTGAATAATCGGAATGAGAGTGGAGGTTTAGTTGTGAATGAATGGGATGTGCTTGATGAATTGTGTGTGTGTGGGGCAGGAGGAGTTCACCCTTGTGGTGGAGGCGCTGTTGCTGTGCTCGGAGGAAAGTGTGCGGAACGCAGCAACAGAGGCGCCACGGCCCCCGCAGCCCAAGGAGCGTGGGGAGCTGCAGGTCACCACACACGTGCACACAAGCGCACACGCACCCAAGCAAGGACACAGACAAGGATACACACACCTGTATACACAAAGACACTTGGACACATACATGCGCACATGTGCGCAGATCTGTAAAGGTCCAAATCAGTCAAATAAGGAAAAAATAGACTTGCAAATTATTCAATTTGGATTACACATAGCAACATTGCCCCCTTCCCCACTGGTAAGACTAATTCCCACTTGCAGGCTCTGTGGCACACAGGGGTAGCTGCCACTAGGGGTGCAATTTAAATACAGGTAGTCCCCGACTTACGATGGTCCAACTTACGATATTTCGATCTTACGATGGCGATAGCGATATAACAAAATTGTTAAATATTTTAAATTTCGCGCGGCAAGCAAACGCAGCAGCGTACGAGGTACGATACTGTAACTTTATTATCGCCATCCTCCTCTTCTGACAACTAAGTTAATGTAGCCATCAACAACCTAACATCGTTCTAGTATGCAGCCGACGGACAGAATCTTGGTGAGTACAGTAGAATATGATACCTTACGATACGTTCAATGCATGTATGATACGTAGCTTTAGCGATTTCATTTTGGGGTTACCACGATACGATACATACGTTCAATGCATGTTAAAAGTTTTTTATAGCAGATAGGATTGTTTCCTGAAAAAACTTTCTATGAAATTGCAGTTCATGTAGGTAGGCTAAGAATGTACCTTGTTTTTTACTTTAAATTTTACTGTGAAATACAGTATTGTAATTCATAAATACATACAGTATATAGTTTATACAGTAAGGTACTGTAAATTGCTCTGTTTTGCTCAATTATCACCATTCTTTAAGACTCCTGGGTAGGCTAGGCCATTTTCGACTTACGATATTTTCGACTTACGATGGGGTCGTCGTAACGCATCTCCATCGTAAGTCGAGGACTACCTGTACTCTTTGGTTCTTTCGGTAAAATAAATCACGACGTTTCGGGCGCAACACAAGCGTCCATCATTAGGTGGGAAAGCATGGTCTGCTGCTGAGGCAGACTGTTTTTAAAGGTTTGAAATGGGTGTAGCTCAAGGGTCATAAAGAAGTGGCTGGGGCTAGTGATGTTAATGTGTGAAATTAGCATTATAAAACTAAGCTAGGAGTGTGGCCTCCTAGACGAGGGCACGGAAGTGGCTATGTTAATGTGAGGGATTATCATGATGTTAATGTGATAAATTAGAGGGCACGGAAGTGGCTATGTTAATGTAAGAAATTAGCATGTAACTGTAGAAAAGGAGAAGAAGAGTGGCCTCCTCGACGAGGGAGTGCAACCCAACGGGTGTAATCCAAAGGGCCTGTGAGTATGAAAGTGCAATCCAAAAGAACCAAAGAGTATGGATTCCTCCAGTCACAAAAGCTTCAAATCAAGTGCTATTTAAATGTTTGAGTTGTGACATAAGGCGCTTTTGGTTGATGAAGAAATTAAGTAAATACCATTAATTACAAACATAAATGATCAAATCCCTGGGGGATTGATCAATCCATCACCACTTTTATGAATGTATAGGTAGGTTTTCACAGCCAGTTACAAGTATCCCTCGATTTACAAAAGCGATGCATTAAAAAAACACGTAAAACGAAATTTTATAAATCGGAATGGCTTTTAAGATACATTTTATACGAAAAATTAAGGATGTGATTTGGATAGTCATTCCAACTCTACTCCTAACCTGCGCTGTCCGAGCTCTCACCGAGCTTACATTTACAAGCAAATTTCTTACATTGACATGCTAATCTCTCACAATACAATGCCACCCCCCACAGCTCTGTCGTACCTCCCCCACATGGGCATAGCTGTCCCGCCCATCTCTAAACCATTTGCAAACAGCTCTTTGATTGGTGTAGACCTACTGCAGGTTAGGAGACCTCTCCTACATTAACATTAGCTGCCCCGCCCATCTCTAAACCTTTATAAACAGACTGCCTCGGCAGATTTCCTCCTCTTTTTTCACCTGAAGACGATTGCCTGCGTTGCGATCGAAACGTCGTGATATTGTTATTATTTTGATTATTTTTTCTATCTACGTGGCTTTACCGAAATACCCAAAGAATATCTATGACTTTTCACAATACAATTTTTTTTTATAATAAACATAAATATGATAAAATAGTAATGAATTAAAACTAAAATTATTCACCTTTTCCAGGAACTCACCAAAGGTCTCTGTTGGAATGACTGGAGAGGTGACGTGGAGACATTAATGTTGCAATGGAGAATACCGTGATGCTGTTGCAGATGTATTACGCAGCCTCCTGTGTGCTTCTTGTTTGATCTCGTGGTGCGTGCCATGTGAAATTTCATTCATGCGGAAATTCTATTTCGTTAATGAAAAATTGTCCATAGTTTATCAATTGCGTTAACGTGAAATTTCATAAACCGAACGTTCATAAATTGAGGGATACCTCTTAATACAATTCACAATAGATTTTTGAGTTGGATCACGTAACAATCTGGTCAAATTAATGCTTTTACACGTGACAATTGAATTTGTTTGGCTATATCAAGTTGTGGTGGGTCCAACGACACAAATTTGGCCAGATCATTACGTGGCCTAAGCCAAAAATAACTTGTAAATTATAAAGGCCTGTTATTGGTAAATTAATGCGAGTGTGTCTGTAGTGTTGCTCATGGCGCTGTGCCATGCCGCTGTGCCCGTGCCCTGCGGCTGCTGCGCTGCTCTGAGTAGGTGGTGCCGGTTGCGCTGGAGCTGGTGGAGGCGATCAGCACAGTGCGGCTCTACATGCCACCGGACCTTCGCACCCCCGAGGCTCGGCACCATGTCCTGAAGACCTTGCAGGTGACGCCTTCTCCCCCAGCCCCCACTAGCCTCACCCAGCCCCCGTAGCTTTCACTCAATGCTTCATCGATCTGCGTCGATTGTTCCCTGAGCGGCTCGTCCACAACTCAACGATTCACTCCAGGAACTCACTCACTGGTGGTCAGTTGCCTCCATAAACTGTGTGTGTGTGTGTGCATGCCTGTGTTTAAGTCGAGCAGAAGTGTTGCAGTTAGTGTGCTGTGCTACGAACTCGGTAATCATAGTTCAATTCCCGCTCATGACCAACGAATGTGGTAAATATTGGAACCGTTCCTGAGATTCTCCTTGGTCGATTCAGCCTCAAATGAGTACCTGGTACGATGTGTAAACATCGTCACGAGGGAAACAAAGGTGGCTGGGCATAATGCAGGCCATCTACCACTTTGTGTGCCGTGCCAGCGTTCATAGGTGCTCGCTATAACAGCCTTTGTGTTTAGGAGGTGAAGGCTCGCTTCCCAGACGGGGTGCCACTGATGGACCCCGTGCACGACCTCGGGATCAAGGACCCCGAGCTGGAGGCCGTGCTGCACAAGACGAGGGCCTTTGCTCAGAGGAGGCTCGCTCACCCGCTGCACACGAGCCCGCAGCGTGACGCCATCCGCGACATCTGTGTCAGCAAGGCCCAGGTTAGTGGCGCCGTGCACCAGCCAGTGCTTGCCTCTCTGCCAGCATTTTCCTTAATGGAGTCGAACCGCAAAACGTAACCGTTAACTGGCACTGACCCCAACATTTCGTGAACCTGAACCAATATAAATGTGTCTGCTCAAGAACAAAAAACGTTAAGTGGAGTGGGGTAGGGGAACAGGTAGTCTTGATTGAAGGGGCAGGGATCCTTACCCAAAAGGGAGAGATTTGCTGACATAATGTTTGGCTGGAAATACAAATCTTCTCATATGTAACAATAAATACACATACATTTTCAATTAAATGGCACTTTAATGCCTCTGCTGCTCAAAGAGCCTTATATCATACCTCATCTCAAAGGCCATGGTGTGGCAGTCTGATGGCGCTGTGGTTGCAATGTAATAGCGGGGTAGTGATGGTGTGGTAGAAACGTGGTGTGCCGGTGGTATGGTGGTGGCGGTCGGGCTGCGATAGGTGGCGGAGGAGGTGCGCGCCGTCAGGAAAGAGGTGCGCCGCGCACACATGATGCTGCAGATGGACGAGTTGAAGCGGCGCAAGCGTGTGCTGCGCCGGCTCGGATTCTGCACACAGGCCGACGTCATCCAAGTGAAGGGCCGGGTGGCCTGCGAGATTACCGCGTGAGGACGGCATGGCATAGCACGGCATAGCGCGACACAGCATTATCCGGCACCTGGCGTCGTACTAAAGAAGAGGTGTGTGCTCTCTCCCCTCCCGCTGCGTGCTCATCCCCAGCGGGCACGAGCTGCTGCTCACGGAGCTTGTGTTCGAGGGGCTCTTTAACGAGCTCTCCCCCGAGCAGGCCGCCGCGCTGCTCAGCTGCTTCGTCTTCCAAGAGAAGGTAGTGGCATCCGTCCACCCTCCACCGATCACTCCTACATGGCCACGTTACTCTTGTCCAATGTCTTGCCTCCTCATGCATCCACGTGGTGGCACTATAATAGTCCCACTGTGTTCCAGTGGCTCTGTCAATTGCCGTGACCCACATCTTTGGATGGTGCAATCGTCGATGTGTTATGGCTGCATGTGCAGTGTCTGTTCTACACACTGCCGTGCGTGACTTTTATTACTGTGTTAAACTCACTCCCTCCACTCTTCAGCAATTCATTGCCATGTGCCTTAACACATGACACTTCGCTGCCGTGTCCTGTAGCACGTGACACTGCCCTATCTCTCGGCAGGCCTCGGAGACGCCGAAGCTCGCCACGGATTTGGCTGAACCTCTCCGAAAGATGAAGGTGAGCACAGTCAGCTCACTGCTGCCCATCCATACCGGGTCCGTGTGGTGTGTGACATGCAGGAGTGTGCGTGTGTGGTGTGTGACGTGCAGGAGTGTGCGCGCCGTATTGGACACGTGTCCGTGGAGGCCAAGCTGCTGGGAAGGGAGGATGCGCTCCTGGATGACATCCGGCCTCAGCTCATGGATGTCGTGTACAGCTGGGCCCTCGGAGAGTCTTTCTTCACCATCACCACCATGACCGACGCCTTCGAGGGTACGGCTGGGATGCATGCATACAAAAACGAAGATCCCCGTATAGAATATAACAAACTTTTGGGACAAGTTATGTTAGCGAGCACCTATGAAGGTTGGAATGGCACACGAGCGGGTGGGTGGCCAACACCACGCCTGGTTGCCTTGGTCTCCCCAATGTTACTGATTTTAGGCTAACTCAACCTAAATTTTGATTTAAAGCTTTCGTGACTGCAGGGATCCATCTTCTTGATTCTTTCTTACCGAAAGAACCAAGAAGATAACTCAACCTAGACGATGTCCACACCAGTTTAGATACTCGGCACTAAAATTGGCTGTGAACGGAAATCGAAATCGGGTCACCGGGTTCATATTCCAGTGTGCTAATCACCGCACTACTGCTCCCGGCACACAGACACATGCACAAGGACGCATGCATACGGACGCATGCACACGGACGCATGCACACGGACGCATGCACACGGACGCATGCACACGGACGCATGCACACGGATGCATGCACACGGACGCATGCACATGGACGCATGCACATGGACGCACACACTCGCACAGGGACACACACGGACACACATGGACACACAGACACATCTGCCATTTGCCACTGAGTTACAGTGACGTCACCACGGCGCCTGTGCCAGGCCAGGTGCATTTTGAGGCCACGTAAATTATCGAAGGCTCGCTGACAGGTTACGGGACAGGCCCAGGTGCCATGGGTTGACTGAGATGACTGGCAAATGCACCATTTGTGCCCCCTACTGTGCCAACTTGCTCTATATTAGCCGCCTGGCGCTCAACTCGTTGTGAGCGTCACTCCTCTGCCCTCCGTTGTTGTTGGAGGGCGACTGCCTCCAACTGCCCAGTAGCATCCTTCATGAGCCACTCAGCTCCACATCATCCTGTACCGCATCAATCCATCTCTTTTCCAGGCCGTGTCCTACACATTTAGCCCCCTCTATCCAGTCAAACAGAAGCTGCTTGAGCATGAGGTGGCTGGGCATGCAGGCTACATGACCCAGCCAACACGGCATTGCCCGCTGGAGGAACTCACTGATGGGAATGTGTCCATATCTTTCAAGGATTTGTGAACTCCTCGCACAATCCAGTCTGGTTAAACCCAGAATAGGGGATGGATCATAGGCAGGCCATCTTGAATGTTTATAACTGGCGCAGATGGTCCATTAGAGAGGACACACCCCCAGGGACGGAGGCACCCCCGCTCCACCCCTGTAACTTGTTTATGTGCTTCATTGTTGGGTGCATGAGGTCCACTATTCATTGTATGATAGTTTGTTCCCTAATTACCTCCAGTTAATGTTAGTGCGATGCACAAACATCTCTTTGTATGTAGCACCTCTAGAGGTATGTTCTTTCCAGCATATGGCAGTACACCAAGTGGATACATGTACATCTGTACGGGGATTGATTATTACCCCCCTTGCACACGGGGATTTTCTCCTGATGCTGTGGTTTCCTCTCACATCTATAAGACACTCAGTAGAGTTAGACAGATTGCAAGATAGGGTCACAGAGCTTGGGCAATAGTTGGCGCCAGTTCTCACTCACTTCCCACTCGTCTGTGATTTTCCACGCCTCTGAATCCTTCTCTCCCTGCGAATGTGCCCATTACAAATGTGACTTTTACTTATGATGGCAGGCGGTGGTGGCGCTCATTTGTATTCCACTGTGGGTGCTCCGGTTTCCTTCCTCATGTATAAAAGCTCATTAAATGGCTGAAAACATCTTAATATACAGAGGGATCCATAGCTTGGGCAATTATTGGGGCCGGCTCACCACCTGATTGCTGACTTCCAGCTCATCCGTGGTTCCTCAGCATTGTGAGATGCAATTTGCATAAACGATGACGCGATATATAAAACTAAACATTATTATGTAGACTTAACTCTGCACTATCCCTGGTGTTCATTCCTACCTGCTGGGTTCATGCTGTCACCATCCTTGAATCTCACCCAGATCCGGAAGGATGCTGGTGAACAGTGATATGACACAGACGTCCAGAATAAACACCTCATTCCAGACTCGAATATCGCACCTCCTGGCTTTGACATTCCTCCTCAAAAGACACTGGACATCCGTGAAAACGAGCTTCATGGCTTATCAGATTCCTCTCGTCTTCATAAAGATACTGATTCACTGGTGTCATCATCAACTTCATCAGAACATCGTGATCTGGCTGATGCGCACATGTCCTTCATATATGAAAAATTAACGGCACAAGCCAAATGAGTGCAATTGCTGCCCATGCAACCCAAACTAGTCCGAATAGTGAACCATTGTAGTCTACACTCTTTCAATGGAGGAATAGCAAAACTACACAAATTTTCTTCTTTGGTTCTTTCGGTAAAGTCACGTAGAATGAGAATAAAATAATAAATTGATAAAATAAAATAACACAATAATATTCTCACGATGTTTCGGCCACAACACAAGCGGCCTTCATCAGTCTCGTCCCTTCACCTGATGAAGGCCGCTTGTGTTGTGGCCGAAACGTTGTGAGAATATTATTGTGTTATTTTATTTTATCAATTTATTATTTTATTCTCATTCTACGTGACTTTACCGAAAGAACCAAAGAAGATGAATCCTTGCAGTCACGAAAGCTTTAAATCGAAATCTTACACAAATTTTCTCCTAAAGCCCTCTTACGGCCAGTAGACCTCAACATTGTCATTTAGCTCCTGAATATATTGCCATATGCAAGAATAGAATTCCTATTATTTCCACGGGTTGCTCTCCAACTTGCCCACTTCAATATAGCTGGGTGGATCGTGTGTGCGTGTACTTTGCAGGCAGCATCATCCGCTGTTTCCGGAGACTGGAGGAGCTCCTAAAGGAGATGGGCAAGGCAGCGCATGTCATTGGAAATTCCGAATTGGAAGAAAAGTTTAATAAGGGTAATTTGTGATGGTCACACAATGCATCATGAACACACACACACACTTGTACTCATCTATACACATGCATACACACACACACATGCATAGAGACAAAGGTCTCCCATGTAGGCTTAACAGACTGTTGGTGCAAGTGCTGCTATCGAGCGCCTAATGAAGGCCTGCACGGCACAAGAGGGGGGTGGGTGGCCAGCACCACACCCAGTGTGGATATTTACCCATCGCACCAGGTACTCATTTGAGGCTGAATCATCACATGTATTGGCCATGAGCGGGTTCGTAGGGCAGCGCATTAACAACAACACTGCTATTCCCCACACAAACGCTCACGCACACATGCATATGCACATAAAACAACATTTACCCCTAAGTGGCGGTGACGTCACCACAGCACTTGCGCCAGGCTAGGTGCACTTTGAGGCCACGTGAAGTGTCGTAGGCTCATCGGCAGGTGTCGTTACAGATCCAGGTGTTATGGGTTGACTGAGATGCTTGCTGTCACATTTATGTGCTTGTTTTCACCGTTTGTTAGTGACGAGGGCCACTAAGTGTTGCATTTGTGTCTCCCTACAGCTGTCACTGCCATCAAGCGCGACATCGTGTTTGCGGGCAGCCTGTACCTGTAATGCTGCCACTCACGTCACCAAGCCACCAGCCTATACCCACAGCTCCAACCCTCACCCACAACCCCAAACCTCGCCCACAGCCCCAACCCTCGCCCACAACCCTTGGCCACAACCCTAACCCACAGCTCCAACCCTCGGCCACAGCCCCAACCCTCGGCCACAACCCTAACACACAGCCCCACCCCTTGCCCACAGCCCCAACCCTCGCCCACAGCCCCAACCCTAACCCACAGCCTCAACCCTCACCCACAGCCCCAACTCTAGCCCACAGCCCCAACCCTAGCCCACCGCCCCAACCCTCACTCACAGCCCCAACCCTAGGCCACAGCTCCAACCCTAGCCCACAGCCCCAACCCTAGCCCACAGCTCCAACCCTAGCCTACAGCCCCAACCCTCGCCCACAGCCCCAACCCTAACCCACAGCCCCAACCCTCACCCACAGCCCCAACCCTAGCCCACAGCCCCAACCCTAGCCCACAGCTCCAACCCTTACCCACAGTCCCAATCCTCACCCACAGTCCAAACCCTCAGCCACGACCCTAACCCACAGCCCAAACCCTCGCCCACAGCCCCAACCCTAGCCCACAGCTCCAACCCTCACCCACAGCTCCAACCCTCACCCACAGCCCCAACCCTCGACCACAACCCCAACCCTCGACCACAACCCTAACACACAGCCCCAACCCTCGCCCACAGCCAAAACCCTAGCCAACAGCTCCAACCCTCGGCCACAACCCTAACACACAGCCCCAACCCTTGCCCCAACCCTAACCCACAGCCCCAACCCTCACCCACAGCCAATACCCTCCACTTAACCATTACCCACCTCCTGACCCTTAACCCACAGCTATCTAAATTATGTAGTTGCCGCTGAGTGTTGAAATGTCTTCGTCATTTGGCATTGCTGATCTTGCTTAAAAGTAACGTAAGCGGTCAGAAGACAGCACATTTTTTACAAACTCGTTTTATGTAGAAGTGATTTACAATTGAGCCAACAGGATTTGTTTTTAACATTGTACAAAGGTTTTTTAAAGTCGTGCTTTGTAAAACACATGCATTCAAAGGGGCCTGGGATTTTGTGGAAAATCAGTAAATCGCATTGGTTTATTTAGTTTGTGTAATAAACACATTACAACTGTCAACCAGTGTCAGCAATACTGTGTAATAGGTCACACGGTCAATGCCACAGTACAGACAAGTAAATATTTGTTCATATGGTGTACATATATGTTAGAATGACTTAAAAAATAGTTTGCAACTGATTTCGGATGATTTGTCACTGCCTTTAGGTCACTTTCCTGGTGTTCCACCCAGTGGCCCCCTCGTGGGTGAGCACTGTTACACCCAGTGTTCCTCTCGTGGGTGAGCAATGTTCCACCCAGTGTTCCTATTCTTATGTGTGAGCACTGTTCCACCCAAGTGTCCCTCTCGTGGGTGAGCACTTTTCCAACCAGTGTTCCTATTCTCATGTGTGAGCACTTCCAACCAGTGTTACTCCCCTCTCTCATTCGTGAGCCGCCCATGGCAATGGTGGGCAGGTGTGCAGTGCTCGGATATCAGCGCCAACCTTCTAAGAGGTCACAGGTATTGGCTCCAGCCCTGAACCTTCCACCACAGAAGAGGCAGCCCTCTGAAATCCTCTCCAGTGTCAGACATTTCTTTCAGGATGGTCAAGCAAATGGGCCCTACCTAGAGCTCGACAAATTCGAGGCATTGAGAATTGTCTACGAGACCCACCAGCTGTCTTGAGCTTCGCCAGCAGAAATTAATTCCTCTAACTTGGCCTTCAACATGGAAGCTGGCTGGGTTATTCACCTCTCCCCTTCGTAAACGATGGGCAGAACAGTATTTGAGATTAGGTGGACCGTGCCAGCAACTGTTTTATACTCACTGTTCTATCTTTGCTGAAATGTCATCTCCAAAGAGCTTGACGAGTCCTTCTCTCCCATGCCAAAGGTGCCGCCCACGTAGGTTGAACAGGAACGTTAACAACGCACTCAGGCTCTGGCTGTCATTTGCCACTAAGACTAGAGCCTACAAGGCAGGTTCAAAGGCTTTGAAGCCGCATCATCAACACCTTCCCATAACAGCCACGGTACGCTGGGATAGGTACACGCGCGTTTATCGGAGTAGATGACAGTGGCCATTATTTGGCCGGAGAATAGTTTTGCAATGTTACTCCAAAATGCCTTCTGCCTCGAAGGCAATCCTCATTACCTTGGTCTGCGATGGCTCTTTAATAAGGAGCTGCCAGGATCCTCCCAGGTAAGTGAAGACAGAGATGGTGTAAAGACATAGAGCTTCCCTTTCCATCCTTATGAACCAAACTTTTCAACATGGTTACAGAACTGCATTAACTGTTGTTCACAAAATCCCACCAATTTCCTTATTCATTTTAAGTTTATGGCTAGTCTCCTGTATATGAATGGGACCATGTTCGATATGAGTCATCACTGAACACATGTTTAATCCTACTCTTCCTTTGCTACAAATCTCCACCTTCTGCCAGCAACTAAAACTCTTTTTCCGCATGCCTGCATCGTTATCGCAGGAAGTGCAGCATCACTTCTATCAAATTCCTGGTATTCCACTGGCAGCCGTTGTCATAATTCTCAGTCCGTTTATAGCCTCAGTGCGGGGTTTTGTTAAAAGTCATTTTTAGAAAGATATTGCACTCAAGAAGTGTTTTTAACAGTCACAACCTGCGCAGCTGTCCCATGCAGTGTTAAGTAGCAGACCGCAGAGTGCGACGCAGAGCAACCTCAATCCAATGCATTTCCTCTCATCTGCCGTGCTCGTCGAGGCAGACCAGAGGATGCACGCCGACAACATCAACGCCAGGACTGGGGTGACTGTCGGCGTTCTCAGCGTCTTCCTGGTATTTGGCTTCATGTTCACTGTCTCTGGGTTCAGGGGGGAAAGCCTCGGGGGTGTCCCACTCATGGCTCTGGGTCCCAGCATTTTCCTGCCGTCTCTTGGCATAATTACCTTCACCGTCTGGACTAGGGGCTGCAGTAACTGTCCCGTTTCTGTCTTCAAAAAGTCGGATCGGGGTACGATCAGGTACGCAGAGCATCGATCTTCTGTCGTCTCCGAAGCGGAGGAGAGACAATATTCACAAGGGAAGCCAAGTTCGCATGACGGACCTTACGTGGTCACAGAAATTGGAGCAGGATCTCCTGCTGCATCGCAGACCCCTCCTCGTCCTCCGCCTGCTCGCAGCCACTCGGGTGAGCACACAGATGGCGTTACGCTTCACCCTCGTTCGCTTAAATCATACGCTCCGATCGACGTCTCATAGAATACCGAATTGAATTGACAAACTGAATTCACATTCCAGCGGAAGTGTTATGCTTCTGCATTTTTACGAACATCGCTACGTTTCCTCTCGGCTTCCCCCACAGCTGCATGTACGGTGGACATCGACTGGAGCTCCGTGGAGCAGCAGGGCAGCCAGGGCGCCACTGCGCTGGCCGCGATCTACCGGCCCGTGGCGTGCTGCGGCCCCGCATCGCGCCGCCTCGCGCGCGTCCTGCCCTGCGATGTTTGCGCTCACTGCGCAGCGCTCGTGTCAGGCGGCGTCTCCTTGGGCGCGCAGCCCAGCTTCACCTGCGCCGTGCTCATCGAGCGCTCCACACTGGTGTTGTTCCCCTCGAGGGGGGGCTCTTCTCCTGGATGCTGTGAAGCGCCGGCAAGTCGCTGCCATCCTGGAGGAATGGCGAGCGTCACAACGCAAGTGTGGAATCGACTGCCCAGCTGCTTTTACTATAATTCGTAATATATGTTTGGGTGAGGCCACGGAAATGATCTGGCCAAATATGTTTCGTAAAACCCTCCACCATCCAACATATCTATTTTTTTATTGTCACGAGTACAAGCATTTAACAATACATCGAATTACTCGTTTCAGCTTACTGACCGGTGAATTGAACAATTCACACAACCAAATGTAGCTCAATTAGAGCCACCCGAGTGAGTGAACACCATTTAATTCCGACTTTACATATTACCTAAAGATCTTTGATGCAGTTTAAAATTATGTTACGTATCTGATTGTTGCTAAATTTAAGTGTGAGAATTATTCTTCAACTTTTCCAGTTTGGCACCGGTTCTGGCTGTCTTCCTTCCCGCTTCCATCTATCACTCGGCATTAAGATTTACATTGATCTGCCCATATAGGACTCACCACTGTGATCTCTACATTGGGTCAAACTTTATCTCTTAATGTTCGACGGCTTGTGCACCAGATCTTATTTATTCACGATGTACTTACAAAAAAATCCGCACACTACCTGCTGGATCTCCTCTCTGTTTCAAAGAGCAAATTTGACCTCAGGTCTTCGCTCATTTATCAGCTTCACATTCCCTATTGCCGTACAAAAACTGGAGGAAGGGCCTTTACTATTGATGCTCCCAGGGTCTGGAATGCTATTGCCAATAAACTGCAACTTGAATCGCTACCAATGAGATCTTCTCTCAAAACTGCTCTGGAGGAGTTGTACACCCCTAGCTGCCACTGCTATTCATTGGCGTAAAATAAAATAAAATGTTTCGCTCCGGATGACGCTGCAAAGTATTATCTGTATTTTGATTTAGCGTGCTGATCTTAAAGGTGCATTGAAAAAATTGATACTCCGACTGATGCGTCTGTTGTTGTGGAGTAACTCATGCAGCCATCTATGGCTCTAGGATTTGGTGTTACATGCTATTTATGTAGTTTATTATAAAAATTCGGTCAGTCCCTGTGATCACTGTTACGTTGCAATTATGGCTTTATTTTTTGGGTTATTTCGAAAACGTTTTTTGGTTTGGACATGTTTGTTTTGTTGTAGTACAGAGTTAGACTGATGGCCTTAATCTAAGTTTTCTTGTGGTTGTTGTTGTTTGACTTGCATCCCACTGGGATTTTTTGCACACAGCGTTGGTGTACGGTGCTTTTTTTCAGGAATATTTTGCTGTTTTTTCATGGATTTTCTGTTTGCACAGTCACATAGTCGCTTTAAGATGTTTTTCTTGTTCGTGTTTTTGTTTGTTGTGGTTGCACCCGATTCAAGAGCCGAATGGCTCACAGGGCTCTACCAAAATAAATAAACTGAAACTGCTTGGCTGTGATTTAATCCATACAAATGCTAAGCCTTACAATTTAAACGGAAATTAGAAATGCAATTTAAACAATGACAATCTATAGAAATAAACAGTATTATTATTATGATGATGATTATACATGAACAATTATTTTCCATGAGATTTGTCAACACCAAATGAATGAACATCAGCGGCTGCCTCGAGAGAGGCACGGCCTGTCCCGGAACTCTAGAATGTCGGGAATGTGAGCACGTGTATGATCAGCGTGCCACCCAGAGATCCTCTCTCGCATATCTTGGGTTGCTGGGCCCTCCTCGTGATTCACGATCGCTTTAGTGGCTGGAATCTCACAGTGGCACAGATGCACTTCCTCAGCTACATCCTCTGTGTGTATTGAACAAAAAAACATTCATTTAATTGCATACTAGTTTTAATGAATTATTATATCTCTTCACATGTTCAATCACATTGAGGACTCTCCACCAGGCTGTTTCATCTCATCCGTCACACCGTGAGTCAGTCTCTCGCTTGCCCGCTCACTCGTCTACCACACTGCAGTTACAACACCCCACGCAACCACTGCACTGCAGGTCACCTCACTTATCGCTCTGCTTCTTCCCTTGCACTGGTGCATTGGATTCCTTCCTACCATGATTATTTACTTCCCTAAGCTCTTATAACAATAACCTTGCTCAATTCAAGAAACGATAACTTTTATCGATTCCAACTTTGAGAGTGCAGTTTGTTGCTCGCTGTTTGATGTTTTGGGCCTTTTTGCCTGTGCTGAACGACTGTACCTACATATTATATTCACTTAATTATGCTGCCTCTATCTATTAACACCTCGGGATACCCAGATTTAAAGTCTCGGTGATTTCCTTCTCAAGTGGGCATTGTAGCGGTGCTCATTCTGTTTATAGCTCTGGGCCAGTTGTGAAAATTCCACATTCCTATGATGGGGGGCGAGTTTACCCATACTACAACCACTGCGGACTTCCCCACAAAAAGTGACACTGATTTTATCAACACCGCAAAGATGATCAGCTGAGTGAACCCCCAGTCAGGGTTTGAACTCGTTTTAAACCGTGCAAGAGCTCATGTCATATGAAAAAATGAAACCAATTGTGCAAAAACTGATAAAACCAGGAAACTAACAGCAGATACAGGAATAGTGAACTATGGAGATTAGCAATATAAACATAAGCTGCAGTGCCTAAATAACAGCTTCGAGCGGCAGATATTTTTTTAAAAATCTAGATTGAAAAGTCACTTATTTAGAACTGCTTTCTGTGTTTTGTTTGTTGTCCTTCCCCTGTACACACGGTTTAAGCCACAATTTGAAAACACTTATGAATGTAATAGAGCATAGTTAGTGAGATATTAAACAACTATGCACTACTTTGCATGTGTAAAATTACCACAGCACTCAATTCTACGTGGAGTCCAGAACAATTACAACGACATTCATTAGCAACTCGAGTTATCACTTCAAATTGCAAGTTCAGAGTGAACTTTGTTCATATTTGGTGACAATTCCATGAGATTGCAGCGTTGTACGTGGAAAACTTTAATTGTTAAGAGGGAGAGGGACAGGGGGGAGGAAGAGAGATGAGGTAGAGAAGGGGAGAGGCGGGAGCTTCGGTGCAATGGGCTGAGGATGAATCCCGAACGGGCACCTCAAGAAGTGCGTATCTAGAGTGAGTGAGTTCCAACAACAGCATGGCTCTGCTACCGGTTGAATCACTCTCATAAAGGACACTCGCATCTCCAGCTTTTTAATGGAGCAATAGTCTGATTCAGATTGGATTTCATCTGTAACACGGTTGTTTTTGCTCTAATTTCTCTTTCCTTCATTGTTCTTAGATGATGATATCAGTGCCTTTGCCAGTGTGACCCAGGTTGTACTGAGACTCATCCTGCTTCTTCGAGTTCTCTCCTGGTAACAACGTTCACGTGAACTGGACACCTGAACCCATCTGGTTTGTGCAAACATGGAGAGTTTCGACGAAGTGTGTGGGATGTATGACACAAATAACTCAAAAACACGGGACAGATTAGAGCAGAACTATGAGAGTTTAATGCAGTGCAACTCTTCATACATGCCATCCACTTGTTCACAAACCCTGTTTTCCCAGAGACTGGATCTGTCGTGCTTTACGCGACCCACAGATGTCTGTGGGTCAACTGTGCGTCAACTGTGCGAACATTGAGAGAACCTCGTTATTCGTGACTGACCTCAGTTCTGAATGAAAACTCTGCAACAGCACAAGCCCCGCATAAAACACAAGATAAATAGGCGACATCTATCAGCTTTCCCTTCCTTTAAAATCTGACTAACCCAAGAGCTGCTTAAACAACTCTTGGGGTAGTAATGAAACAAAGGTTTCACCTCCACACTGCTCCATTTCCTTGTAAAGAGACTCCCATGAGCCGCCCCAAGTGGAAGTAGTTTTATTCATTACCATGTCTTTCACGTGCATTGCGCAATGAGACTGGCTCGGTCATCTTAGCCTGTGATTGGTATCGAACTGGCCACGGGCTGGTGCAGGCAGGCACCTTCTCAACAAACGGGAAACTTTAGAATCGCCCAAATGCGATTGTGGTGTCACTGTGAACTCTTGTCCGTCGCGAGCGATCTCCGAGGACACGAGCGGAATTCGTGCTCTGAAGCCAGCGGCACGATTCAGAACCGATAGACATTTCTAGTCGCTACTCAATTCATGTCCACATAGGAGACAGCAGTGGTGCGAGACACTGACGTTGAGATGTCTACGGGTAGCGCGTTCAGTGGCACAGCGTGTAGGACTTGCTCAGAAGCTTCTTCACCATGAATGCCCCGGCACCCAACCCCAGCACTGCTCCCATGGCGGTCCCTCCGACTGTGGCAAGGGCTTCGTGGCAGCTCTCCCTTTGTACACCTGGAGCGACAGCAACGTCTCTCGTCAGACGCGGAAACAAAGATTACATCGGCACGACTAATCCACTGATGTAGGAATGCCTCAAGCCGCCGCCATCTCCTCGCGATTTTCTTCCTCGTTCTTCCTCGCGCTAGACCCACGCACACGCGTAACCCCCAAGCGGGACAATGATCGCCGCAGTGGCGCCGTGCCCGGCGAGTCCGTTCGTACCTCTAACGACGGTAATGGAGAAGCGTGTGGAGGGTGCTGCCCCGGGAGCCGTCGCCACGCAGTGGTAGACCCCCGCATCCTCGTCCCGCGCCGTCACCGCGCTCAGTGCGCGGCGCTCACCCGCCGTCCTCGCCTCCGCGCCATGGCTCCTCTCCGCATGGTTCGCCTCCACGTGGTTTGCCTCCACGTGGCTCCCCTCTGTGCCATGGCTCCCCTCCGCGGGCCCCCACCCGGACGACGCGCTGGACTCCGTGGCTGTCCCCGGGGAGGAGCTCTTCGCCAGGGCTCCGGTGGCCACCTCGGGGAAGGCGCCGCTCTCTGTCGTGGGATTGTCCGCCGAGGAGCCGAGCGTTGCTTCTGCCGTCACGAGGGGGACACTTGAGTCGTCTCCTGGTGTTGCGTGCGCTGCGCCGACCTCAGTCTGCTTCTCCACGGATGTTTCTGTTGTTGCAACAGGCGGGAGGACAGCTTCTGTGGGTTCAGCTGCACAACACACAACGATCGTTTTAACTTCAAACAATTTTTATTCACGATGACGTAAACAAATCGAATCGGAGCCTGGCTCTATTTGTCATCGCACGAGAACGAGGGTGTGCGCGATTCACCGGCGACACGGATGCGGAGGCTGGCCTGCACCCGGACCTCTTGCTTGTTAATGGCGATGACGCAGGTGTAGACCGCCCCGGGCCCCACACCGGGGGCGTCCACCTCCAGCCAGCCGACTGCCGCCTGGCGGCCACTCTCCCCATCGACAGTCACGTTGGTATCGGTCCTTCCCACGGCTCTCGCGGAGTCACCGCCAGGGTCGCTCTTGTACCAAACGAAGTCGACGCTCACGCTCCACGGGATCACCACGGGCACCGTGCAGGTCAGCCGCACCGACCGGCCCCCTGCTGCCACCGGGGGACGCTGCTCAATCAGCAGTTCCTCTGGAACGTCTGCAGACGATCGCACGCGCAGGGAGATGACGTCGCTCACGAGGCACAAAGGGAAAGTGGAATACAGAACAAAGGCTCCTCTCCCCGTCAACAAACCCAATCCGGTTGTCGGGCAATTCCTCCAAGACATTAAGCAGTCAATCAAATTTTATATTTAACTAGCTTTACTCCCCGGCTTCGCCCGGGACTTAGATTCACGACGCCCGGCCGCCTTCGTCTCCCCAGTGGCGATGTTCACACACCACACTAGTTACTCGTTTGAGGCTGAGTCGACCTAGGGGAGGCCCAGGACCGGTTCAAATAATCGTCACCGGTGTTGGCCGTGAGCGGGAATCGAACTCGGGTTGCCGGGTTCGTAGCGCAGCAAGCTAACCACTACTATACCGCTCCCCACACACAATAACAACAACAACAACAACCGCCATTTGCCACTAAGTGGCGGTGACGTCACCACGACGCTTGTGCCAGGCTATGTGCACCGAGGCCACGTGAAGTGTCGAACGCCCGCTGGCAGGTCACGGGGCAGACCCAGGTGCCACGGGTCGACTGACTGAGATGACTGAGATGACTGGCTGATGCACCACCTGTGCCCCCTACTGTGCCAACCTGCTGTGCTTTAGCCACCCGGCGCTCCGCTCGTTGTTCTGAGCGTCGCTCCTCCACCCTCCGTTGTTGTTGGAGGGCGACTGCCTCCAACTGCCCAGTAGCAGCGTCCTTCACGAGCCTCCTCCACAGAGGCCGATCTTGACACCGCTGGTACCAGTCATCGGCAAGTCCACTCAGCTCCACGTCCTCCTGTACCACGTCACTCCATCTCTTCTCTAGCCCGTGCCGCGCCCGTTTAGCCCCCTCAATCCGGCCGAACAAGCTGTTTCGGCAGGCGGTGGCTGGGCATGCGGGCTACATGACCCAGCCAACGCAGCCTTGCCCGCCGGAGGAACTCACCGATGGGACCTTGCCCAGATCTTTCAAGGATTTGTGAGCTCCTCACACAATCCAGTCTGGTTAAACCCAGGATGGATCGTAGGCAGGCCAGCCTAAATGTTTCTAACCGGCGAAGATGTTCCATTAGGGGGGTCCACGTTTCGCAAGCGTAGAGAAGGGAGGGAATGACCGTGGCCGAGAAGACCTGAAGCTTAGTGCGGAGCGACAGACCAGGTAGCTTCCACACAGCGTTACGCAACCGATGAAAAGATATTGCCGCTCGACTGATTCGGAGTGAGACCTCTGCTGTTAAACTGGAGCCAGTCACACACACACGTGAACACACGCGTCCATAGGTACACATACACGCGCTTGCTGCAGACACACAACTTTCAGGGTGCGTACGGCAGTAAACGACTGAAATAATAAAGCAATGCTGCGCGAAGAACAGCCTTAGACCTGCAACACATTTGTATTTCACTTTACCCGTGATCAGCAGGCACACTCCGTTACGCTTCCGCACACGGGTCACATGACAGATGTGACATAACAGCTCACTTGCCGTGAAAAATAAATTCATTATTGTGCCGACCCCCCCCCCCCAAAAAAAAATACAAAAGTAAATTCTTATAAATTTTGCATGGTGTACAGTCTGGAAAGTACCCACATGGCAAATTTTAAGTTTGTTGCATGTCGGGAAGTACGCTAAACATTTTGAACAGACACATAATCACAAATTTCCCTTTTATATATCGCGTCCTTCAGAACATTGTCACAGAGTGCTTCATATGTAAACATAATATTACGTAATTAAAATGTGAAATGCACAATATAAAAAGTATACAAAGTTCTAAATATATAAAGAGATAAAATACATATTTAGCCTAATTTCAGAAAGCACCTTTCTTATCAGACGGTGTTCATGGTGGACTGCACTTAGAACGCGTCAGACGCTGCAAAAGGTTAAACGAATCGTCCGGATGTGAAGACGGTGCAGCACAACAAAGAATGGAGCACAATGTGAGTCTGTGGATCTCTGCGAGTCTCTGTGGCTCTGTGTAAACACATGTCCACTGCACGCGTTCTCCGAGTGGTTCACACTCACGATGCTATGAATCCAGAAGCCGGACTTACAACTCTGACATCAATGTACATTCTACAATTGCAACTTAATCCGTGCACATGCGAGAGACGAACAAGAGAAGAATTGCCGCGACAAAGGAGCTCGACTCGCTGAGTGTAAACGGGGTCCGCGCGTCTCCGGTACCGTAGACGACGATCTGGGCCCGGCCCGACCGCTTCTTCGTGCCGCACGTCACCTCGCACTCGTAGTCACCCGCGTCCGCCTGCCCCTGAGCGGCGACGCGGAGGCTACGGCCGGCCACGGGCGCGAAGGGACGGTCCCCGGGCCGGCGCCACACGGGCAGCGCCGTCGCGGCGGCGGCGGCGCACCACGGGGAGACGCAGTGCAGCTGCAGGGCTTCCCCGACGCGCACCAGCGGAGCGCGGGGCTCGATGAACGTGCGCAGGGCACGGCCTGCGGGCACGGAGGCGGCGTGAGAGGCGCACGCGGCACCGTCGCCCGCGACAGACGAATTAGACCCACGCGCGGTTTGGGGCCGGGCCACCTTGTGCCACACAGGGACGGCTGCCACTGGGGGTGCCCTTCGGATGTTTGAGATGAGATAGCGATGGAAGGATCGTTGAGTTGCTGACGCATTTCAGCAATATCGTATATATGATTTTCTTGTATTGAACATTATCATTAATATTGCTGTACACTGCAAAACGATGTTCATTTCAAGACGCTGGGCATCGCAGACACTGCGTCCGTTGGTGAGGATTACCGCGGCACTTGAGAAATTCTGCGTACAGGAGGATCCGGAGACTGATGGCTGTGATGCGTGGGCAGCACCGCCCATTTAACCATCACAAAGCCGTCAACCCACACGGTCTGCCCGTATTCTTGTACAGGGAAATTTAGTTTTTCAGGTCCATATGGCGTACAGCCGTTTCAATACGCGCATGAAAACACATTTGTCTATGTATGTGTTTCTCCCTTGTGATGGGACTTTGTATGATGAACGTTGAGATAAGGGCACTGGGTGACCAATAAGATCTAAATTGGTCTGTAATAAGGTATGCACTGATAAGGGGTTGACAGGTATGTTATTATGACTTTTTTTACCAGTTAAAGCCCACTGAGCTATTACCTATTTTTCTGAGATGACCTGGCCTCACATTGATAGCTCATCGAAGCGGCTTATATCATGTGGGAATTAAGTCACAGCCAAATAATCTAAATGCATGTTTCTATATGTGCAGTCTATTGTGGCCTGCAGTGTGGTAGTTAGACACGAGAGTATGGCTGGAAGAACAATTAGCGAAATTCACAGGAAAATTAACCACGGCATTAGCGATAGAAACGTGACAAGGAGGCGACTGACCGCAGGTGAGTGATGAGTGGACCTGGAGGTGAACTCTCTCACCTTGAGCGAGGAACAGAAGCAGCCATAGGCAGAGCTGAGCGCTTTGTGATTGCATTCCGTCCCGTTTGGCCATCGCGTCTCTCCGAAGCCACGAAGCGCATGTTTTACTTTGGTATTTATGCAACGGGGGGGGGGGGGGGGGGGGTGCGGGGCTATGAATGCCCCCCAGGCTGGCACTGCCTACAGAGAGAGCTGACGTGGAAGGGAAGTGCGGTCTCCGAGGGACTGTCTGAAAAGACAATGGTGACATTACGAGAAATGGCTTCAACTTTAGAGAAATAGGTTATTGGCAATTCCAGGTATAGGGAATATTCCTCAGACGGTTATTATAAACAAATGTCATTTGCAGTTCTCAGCAGAAACCTATGAAGGAGATCACGTTAACACTGGCACAGTGATGTGTCTACACGTCAAGATGTTGGTGATAAATGCTTACCAATGCCATTCGCTGCCGTATCCATGGATACCTCAAGGTTAGCCACTACCATCCGATATATGGCCTGGCCACACGTGAAGAACCAATGCCACTCTGCTGTTTGGCCAGCAGCCTTCACGAGAGGCATTTGTCTGCATGGAAGAGACAAATTGTTTCACCCTCATGTCGTGTCTCCTGTAGCTGCTCTGGTTTTTGAACCACCATGTCCTCATATCGGGGTCTCCACTCTTCCAGTTACCTTTGTTTTAAGACATGTATATAGCGTGCAAAGCATAACGCCCTGCTGCCGTTGTCTGCTGGCCAAGCGACCCTCGAGGAGCTGGACAGCTCGATTGGCTTCACTCTGGTAGTAAACTCCTCGCTTTGTAAAGCGTCGCCAGGAAACAAAGCACCATCCCAGCCGCAGTTGGAATCCTGCTGCCGTCACATCTGGGGTGGAGCACCAATTCCTTTATCACTGCACCGCATGTAATTCAAAATAAAGCAGTGAGTGATGATCCAGCACTCACTGATTCACTCCAAGGGCTCATTCATTGGCAGTCAGGTGCCTCCTTTTCACTTGTCTATTGCTATCATGATTCCTGTTCCCATAGACTTATTGGTTCATCCACCCTTGTAGAGAACTCAGTCTACCAGTCTGTTTGTCTCATCCACAGTGTTCAACCACCACAACATTTTCAGGTCACAACTCACCCACCCTTTACCAACACCGCAGGTCACTTGTCTGCTTCTTCCCTCGCACTGCTCATTTTATAATTCCCTCCCATCGTCTCTTTTCCCAATCTCTTACAATAACCGAGTGCCAATTGTTGTTGGCCGCTTGACATTTTTGACTTTCGGGCCTATGCTCGGCAACAGTGTTAAAACGAATCAAACTTTCAAGGTGATTTTGGTCACAGGCAGAGAAACGTGGCGCATAAAATTACGCAATTCTACCAGGATTAGTGATGGTGGGTCCACACTTGCACACGGCAGGCATCAAAACATGTGAAGAAAGCCTTTCTACTTTCCCAGGAGAGAGGGCAGGATGTCTCAAGGATACTGTTGTTGAGGAGACTGATCTGACGCCAGGCAGGGTGCGTGAGGTCGCAGCGACAGGAATAACATCCTATGATAAAACCAAACCGTTTCCAAAGAGACACGACACTGGGAAAACTGAGGATTTTCCAGCCACTGTGGGGCTTAAAAACAACACCGATATATGGCACGGCACACATCTCGTACCCATGATGGAAACGGAGCATATTTTTTCTTTGTTATTTCAATTGTTTAAACAAAATCAGATTTTTAAATTTTTTACAGTAATACAACAATGCCAATCATTGTACAGGAAACCTCACGAGCCTAAAAAGATTTTTCATAAGTCTGCTGATTTTTGACATTTGGTCAATTCCATGAATGAGCATTTGGGTTGTGAAAGGAAACCTACGTGCCTGGAGAAAGTCCTCGCATGCAGCGGGGTTAAACAGCATGCTGCCATCTCTGAGGCCACTTCATCACAGCCATATGCCTACAACACCTGGCATGCCCCTGATAGTCACCCATAAAAGCAGAATAAACAAAGCACCGAATTAATCTGAAGGGGATAGGCAGACGAGGAGACGCCATTGACAAAGTTTTTCACACCGACGTTTTAAGTTGCTTTCCTAAATTTGGAAAAACAAAGGCATAAATAAGAGAAAATATGAATGTCAGATTTGTTTATTACCAAGTCATAACCAGTGTGAATAAACTATGGGAAATAGGACCTAACAGAAAAGGCTGCAGTGCCGAGCTAAGGATAAATGAGCAAAGGAAAAGTCGCGTACAAATTCCCTCAACTGGAGGAAGACTGAAAAATACATAAAGGTATTCTACCTCAGACAGCTATTAAAGGATTGAAATTATCAAATGGTGATTGAGAGCAGAGTGGAGTATTTGAATAGCTGAATTTGTGCTTGAAAACACAGCAATGCACCTCAAGAACGACGTTTAATCAGTGTGTAATACCACCTGGTAGGACTTGGATAAAAACTGTGGAACAAAGAAAATAGAAAAACGAAGTGGTGTGCAAAACAACGGAATATTCCTGTCTGAAGTGGGGACTCAACTGAAAAAACACGGGAGCAACGCAAAGTGGCCACTTTTTCAGAGTTATTTATTGTGAAACGTAGAACATAACACAACAGGGACTACAGGCCCTCGTGGTTCGCTCCCCAAGCGGCCTCGTTCGAGTGCATCACAATACAAATGGATATTATCCACAATTTTACTATCTGTGGACTAGAAAGACGGATAACTGCAGTTAACAGAATTTACTGCGTAACTCCACTTATCCACAAATATATTCTGCGTAATAGGAATTGCGCTTCAGTGGAAACTGCATTGGATGGCCATATTGTTCTGCGTCTCCTTGTATGTCTTTGGGTGTTGTCTTGTGCAGTTCGATCTAAGCAATGCTGCCCATTTAACTGCTTTAATCACTGCGCATAAAACAATTGCAGATAACCCACAAATTAGTTACATTTGCCACACGACTCCTCGTCTGTGAATCAATTGATAAGAGGATACCATTCCACAAAGACTCATGGGAAAAGTCGTGGATATGAATAGGGTCGTAAAGAAGATGTTGCAAGCCCTGCAGCTGCCGCTGGTAAAGATTTCAGTACATCAGAGGCACAGGAACACAATGAAACATTCATAACACATGCAGTAGACAGTGATTCGAGAACTCGTAGAATCACTGCAATAGGCCTCGTGACCCAACAGCCTACACATCCCATCACACAAAGTGCTTGCATTAAACCCCAATGGTACTGAAAAATACTCCTAAATGGCCATGTGGTCGATGATGTAATAAAGGTAAAGATATGAGTGGGAGGCGAATTGTCTTCCCATTCATTATATTTGCATTCTCCACAATGAAGCGAATTATATTTTTTATCCTATCAACAGCAACACTATACAAGGGGAAGTCATCTACAGCAGGTGATAATCAGCCCTGGAAAAAATACTGACATGGAGATATTGTCTGCTCATTTATTTTGTTACAAAACTGTCTGACAGCATTGATCAGCTTTGTAAATGTAGAATGCTCGGTGGGATTTGTGCCTTTGTAAGCATACAGTAGACTAACAGAAGGGAAAATGCTAAAATAATTGGGCACATGTTTTTTACTCTCAAGTTGGCGGCCTAAACAATATGCAGCTGCACGGTTGGCTACGTACAGTGTAAAATAAGTTCAACATACATACGAGGTTGAGGGCAAGGCATGATGGGAGTTCTGCTGTTTGAGCAACATATCTTTATGTGCTGTGACAGGGTTTTTCATGCATTTACAGAAAAGGTTGCATGTGAATTGTGGAGGGAGTTTAACAGAACAGCAACTTCACCAAGAAACACAATTACCCGGTGCGTGTGGTTACACAATTAATGGTGTGGTTGACTGTATGGCCTTCTGATTTATCTTGTGCAACTTTACGATTTGCTGCGTGGATGTCTGTATTTGAGATTGACGAGGCGCTGTTGACGGTGTGCGTGTATGGTTGACTGATTGTACATGCGGCTGCAAGTGCGGTTTTCTACACCAGTCAAATAAGGACCTTTTACAGCCCTGTGACATCAGAGTTGCCCTGCTGCACCCTCACGGCTTTAGGCAGCCTCACTGCTGCTGAACGTTTGTTGGAGTGAACGGTGCAATTTGTAGAGGTGGCTTCATGCCACCCGCGCCTATGCGGTCACCCACACGTAGATCAGCATGGGAGCTGATGCTGGTTCTGGCATCCACAGACGTAGTACTGCGGAGTTAAAAAACAAAGACACCGCTTGATAAGAGGCACCTGCTGTATCTTCAATACAATGTAAAGAAGATAAAATAACAATTTTCAGATCTCTCTTGCTTAAGTTACATACAATAACAGCATTAATACTTTACATTTCAAATAAAATAAAAATTTGTCTGTGACAACTTACTTTTGCAGTTTACTTGAGTCAGACAGATGTTCAAACTTTGCTGCCAGTGAGATCCTACAATAAAATTATACAGTCATTTAAACAATTGTTACAGAAAAGACAAATGCACAAATACATATCCATGTCTGTCTCTGCTTCTCTATACCACTCCACGTCTCTACATATCTATCCACGTTGACCAACCATCACATCACAATTTAATGTCTATTTGAAATGGAGAACAAAATCATTTGCGTCATTGTGGAGAAAATAAGTTACAAAATAAATAAGCAGATGTTCCTTTCACATACCTGTCCCTACCCATAAAACATATTTTTATACATCCCATCAGCCACATGGCCTTCCTTATAAGAGTGTCATTTCAGCAGCAGTGGTTCAAGTCTGACCCTGCTGAGACAATGAATGCTGTAACCGGTTCAGTTTTGCTTGTGGTAAATAAATGCTGCAGAAATTAAGCATTCCCAGAATGCCGTGTGGCTGATGGGATGTGTAAAAAAAATGCTTTCATTTTTTACGTCGAGGGACAGATATGTGGAGGATAAGCATTGTTTGCTAATGTATTTTGAACAAAGCTTGCTAAATGTGGAAAGATAAACCACAGTGGGGGACTAAGACTGTAGTTTCGTAAAACCAGTTTGGAGGTCTTTGACAGGAACCGATAACTTGGTACATTTGATACTCATGCCATTCTTAGAGCGCAAAGCTATCAAGAAGGCGCCATGTCTCATAGACACAGATGACAGTAGTTTCCCAGTCGGGGGAGATGTTTCTATGTGTGTAATCCTAATTGAGTAATTTGCACGTAATTTTCAAATCTGGCCACCACAATGGCATTCAATAGCCTACTATTTTTGAATGAAGTCATGTGCATCTTTAAACGTCCGCTGTGAAGCAGATGGCACGTATTATACGGTCATACACTTGCAGTAATAACCAGGGCAGCGTGCCAGATTTGAACCGCGAACCTCTTAACAAGTGGCGAACATGCTACTGCCAAGCCATGGGAAGGCTACTCACAGCTTCTTCCTTTGACCCGTGTTCGGGTGGCCACCAACACAGTCCTCCATCCACTCGGAGAGGACGTCTGGCAGCGTAGACGGGATGCGGATATTCACCATGCTGCAACGACAATGCAACTTCAACTATGACGCACTTGGCATTGACAAATATCACCAAATAGCCTCTAACAGACTGTGCTATTAGCGAGCACCTATTAAGGCTGGCACGGCACACAAGGGGTTCATTGGCTAGCACCAGGCTTTGGTGCATTTGGATCCCATTGCTGATATGAAGGCCGAGTTGGCCTAGGGTCGGCCCAGGACCGGTTTGTATATTCATCACCAATGTTTGCTGTGAACGGGAATTGAAATTGGATCACCACGTTTATAGCGCAGTGTGCTAACCACGCGCTGACCACTGCACTACGTGACATTGCAACCACACACACTGGAGATCTAGGAACAGGAAATGAATGTTAACCTATTAAACATGTGTTCATTGGTACTACTAAATGTCCACGTCCCTGCATAATATAACATCAATATTTAGGAAAACCTTATTTGACAGATGTGCTGTATTCGATCTGTACAGGGATTGTTACCCCCCTAGCTTGTGTGGGTGCTCTCCAGGTATAAACACTCGCTCATGAATTTCATATCTAAACAATCCAGGGAAAATAAATCTAAGATTCATACTGCAACGTTTGTACTCATGGTGTTGGTAAAATATGCTACTATAGGACGAGAGCTCAAAGCAATGGTTGATGCCAGTTCTGGCTGCCTTCCCACTTGACTGCAGTCTCCCATATATGGATTATTTAGTAAGCTACTTCAAGAAAAATGTGCAACTACACATTCTACCATGTTTCACGATGCAATATTCACAGGCGACGCTGTATAAAAATAAACACGATTATTAGTAAAACCATACGCATTTATAACCTAGAGGTTAAAAAGGTGTGTGCTTTATTTATGAACTTCTTTTTTAAATGGATGGTTCCGCTTTGAGCAGTTTGTTGAATTGCCAATTGTGTGCGCTTGATGTGGGATGAAATAAAACACCCACGTGTATACTAGAGGCTCTCGCAGATGGATGAAGAACCTACTTTCTGTACTGCAACCCCCTAGCCACATCACCAGGCCTCAAGGCACGAGGTGAACGCCACTCTGCCAAGCCAAGCATATTATTTGTCCAAAACAGAATAAACTCTGCTCCCTCTCTCACCTGTGATCACTGTCCATGGCATCCCCCAATTGCTTCTTAAACAGCATCTTCATAGATGGTGACATGCTGGTACAGACATAAACATTGACACAGTAACATTTATGATACATGTTGGAGAACATTCCTACATGTTAAACTTTAGTTCAGAATGTGAATGCAATTAATTTGCTTTCATGTGAGATGCTCAGGGCGGGATACATTCTAAATAATTAGCAAGGTGAACTTCAAGTTTAAATCTTATTGGTTGTTCCTGTTATCTCATGACAAGAAGCCAGGTCAGGTGACACAGTTATTCTGACTTGCTTGGTTGTGACCTGAAGATGCTTGACGCAGTTTAAAGCACAGTGTCGCATCCAATTGCTACATTTATGAGACTTGTTCTTCAGCTCATCAGAGGAGCGTGGAACAATAACAGTTGGTGCGTTGGTAAGCACTTGTCCGCGAAACAATTTTATTTGACTATGTTGAGTGGTGGAGGGTCTTACCAAACGTATTTGGCCTGATAATTATGGACTACCCATAAACGAATGTATCGTGAAATAGTAATGTTTAAAAATACAAGTTGTTTAAACAGAAAAGGAGGAGACATTTGTGCTGATAAATTGCACTGAAAGCGCCACAATTATCGAGCAATTGTTGAGGACACAGCAAGGCTCACTTTGCAGGGATGTTGCTAAAATTTATTTCACCACTTTCTCTTTCCTTGTAACCAACTCCCCACGTAAACTCCCGAGAATTTCTTGTCCACGATTCAATTTCTGCTGGGCACACACAGATTACATCAACAACACTCTGCACTATAGCATTTGCAAGTATCACTCATGTTGAACAAAGCAGATCCCACTCAGATCGCTCAGCACTCGGTGACTTGCTAAGAATATATTTCATTCAGATGAAAGACGGTCAACAGAATGATCTTACCACTTAGGCCCAAACCATAAAGTATATACGTTCTACAATTCACGTGCATTATAACTGGGGGAACATCACTGAATGTAAAATTATTTTGTAAAAAATGTAAGAGACGAATAAATAGCGAAAACAAAACTGGTTAAAACTGAAAGGCAGAATGGAGTGGTTTGCATTGTATTATAATAAAGCAAACATTTGAAGAAAACACGTGTATAAGGCAGTGTGGCTGATGGGATGTGTAAAGAACATTTACTTTTTATGTATAGTCTCCGATTATTTATCTATACCGAAGGTTAAAACTGTAATTTTAGGAATGCCGGAGTATCGTGCTTACAGCAAGCATGCAATTAGTTTCTATTTCAACTACAGTTGTAAAAATTATATTTACATTTCTGCCTGGTATAGTTGAAATTTCAAAACACAATTCGAAGATATACATTTCATGCTGCATTAGTCCCTCCAATTGGTGTATAACTCACGTGCATCATGTAGTACTGGATTGTGTCATGTTTTGTATCCAACCTAGTATAGACCTGAATAAAAATTCAATCATGCGTATGATGGCAATGTGTTCAGGAGCTAAATGCCAATGTCGAGGTCTGCGAGCCACAAGAGGGCTTCAGGATAGTTCGTACAGTTTTGGTATTCCTCCGTTGAAGGACCACAATACGAATAAATTACTATACGGTTAAAGTTTGGGTTGCATGGCCACAATTGCACTACTGTGCCTTTTCTTAAATACAAATTAATCAAAATAAAGACAAATGTAGACAGATGCTGGTTTCAGTGTTTTTGTAAAACTGAACTCGGTACTTGGGTTGTCTTCATTTTCTCGGAAAATTTAAATGAAAGACATTTTCTAGGAAAATGGAAGACAGCCCAGTACGCCCCATCACCCACCTATATCCCAGTCCTCTGTGCACTCCATTTGCGCCGAGTGGCACGGTGACGTAGGCAGCACCATCGACACACCGCTGTTGGATGGTTTCATGGCTGTTGAGAAAGTGTGGATGCAGGCCAATTCATATGGGAACAAACAATTCACGTGTCCCATGTTTTATCACCAACTATGTACGGTTTACAAGATGTGTGAAAGGTGTAACAGTGACATTAAAATGCTTTTCAAACACATATTAATTTTACCACAATGGATATCATTGCTCGAGCTACCACGCTGCCCGTGCTGGTGGCCCCGAGGCAAGGGTCAGACCGTCCAAGCTCTTCCGCCCCAACCGGCTACTCCAACCGCTGTACCACTGAAGGTACCTACCTCGCTGGGTGTTAACTTTGAGCGGTCACGTAATATTGTGCTCGCCTATCAGTGAGCTAACATTACGAACAAACTAAACAAAAGGAAAAGATTTGCGAATAACAAAAATTAGCAAGAGCTCGCTCAGCAATAGCAGGTGAATCGGAATTGCCTGAGCACACGGCGAGCGAGCTCCGCTCACGCCAAGCACTGCACACGATAAGCTCTGCCAGGATGCAGACTCCACTCACCGTGGCTCAGCTCGCGTTCCACGTAGCTGCGTTCTGGGCAGCGGGAAATGTGGTGCTGCAGCTCGCACCGCGGCATGATGTGGCACGCATTGAAGGGACACGTGGCCATCTCCCTCGCCAGCATCGGGTAGTTCTGAGGCGTTAACAAAAACAAAGATTCCCCATGAAGCATACACAGGCTGTTAGGAGGGGCAATTGCTGTTAAGCGAGCACCTATGTAGGCTGCCACGGTATACCTACGGAGGGGGTGGTGTGGTCATGATCGTGCCTGGCCACCTTTGTCTTCCCAGTGGCGATGTTTACACACCGCACCAGGTACTCATTTAAGGCCAAGCTCAGGGAGGCCCAAGACTGGTTAAAATATTTGTCCCCGATGTTGGCCATGGCCAGGAATCAAACTCAGGTCAATAGGTTCATAGCGCAGTGTGCTAACTACTACATCGCCACTTTCCACTAATGAGGCATTATATGCACACACATATTATGCATCGTCACATAGCCACACACACATTTTGTAAATGTAGTTACACACAAATAATACTCGAGTAATGGCATACATGACCAAATAACCACACACTAAGGGTTTAGTAGAATCCCGCTCCTAAAGCTGTCGTTTGAGGGTAATATGAATGCAAAACTAAAGCAAAGTTCTCAGAAAAGGGTGCAATCAAAGTACGGTAGTTGTTCTGAAGGTGATTATTTCACATTGGCCACCTTTCTAACTCTTCCAATTACAGCTCTTGGATAAAAATCTCTCCTACCTTCTACATTGCCCCTGAAATATCTCGCCTCAATTCCCTTTTACCACTCCTGGCTCCATCGCTCTCATAAATCTTTGGTCACGTTGAATACCTCCCTCATGTTTTTTTAACTCGTATCATACATCAAGTGAAACCAAGGCAGTTGTATAAAACTGGTAGACTCCCGGAGAATGCATTGTCAATGTGTCCTCACCTTACGGCACTTGACGATGTGGTACGGAAAACGACAAGCATGTACTTTGTGGTTTTTGTTGAATGGGCATGACAGCACCTCATCCTTGTCCAAGGCCACCGTGACAGGTGCTGCGTACGCAGCCTGTCATGGATCAACAGCACCGGCACATGTCCGCATTAAAATCGTCATACCCGAGTCCGTAATATGTGTGCCTTAACTTGCACTGCAGATAGGACTCAAATTGCCCTGAAAGGGCACAATAAGTCCGAAGACTATTTTTTTGGAGGGTTATGCAATGTGATGATTGGCCAATACCAGTACACTGTGCAATGGGAGTAAACTTGAAAACCTGGGGGTCACCCATGCAGAACGGGGAGAACAAACTCCCCACAGAAAGGCATTCGAGTCGGGAATCAAATCCAGGCCCTTTTTGCCGAGGTAAAAGTGTCACCACTGTACCACCCTGGCAACCCACTGTATGCTGGGGTAATTTAATCTTGGTAGGACCACTCAAAGCCTTTGTCAATCCTGTCACCTGTGCTCATCACAGCAGCTCAACTTGCTCACAAAATGAATTTTGTGGTTTCTTTCGTCAGTTTGTTTTTGTATTTTGACCAATTAACAGTTTACTTTGTCAAGCTAATTCTGCTACTGACGTCTACTGGCAACACAATGAATCCACATACTTTCTCTTCTCCCTACAACTGCAGAAGCGCAGGTCCTGGTGAATGGACCAGGTATTCTATTAAAATAACCAGATACACAATACGCCTTTTTACAATTTCTGTGCCCTTACATACATTTTTTTACGTCTGATTAGCCACACAACCTTCTGGGAGTGCATAATTTTAGCAGCATTGGTTTCAATACTCAGAGTTTCATCAGCAGTCAGGCTTGCTCCTTTTTATGCATTAACATTTACTTAAAATGTTTGACTTGACTAAAAATTATTCCACATGCATAACGGTATCCTTTTATATTCTTGGTTCTTTCAGTAAAGTCACGAAAGGAAATAATATAAATAAAACAATAAAATTCTCACGACGTTTCGATTGCAACACAAGCAATCATCGTCAGGTGTGAAAACCACAGCAAGAAAATTTTGAAAAAAGTGGCGCTTTTTTCCACTGCAGGTTAATACTTCTAGAGCACGCTGCTGTTTGTATGGTTAATTTTGCAAAAGGGGTAAATAGCTGTATCATCATCATCCTAACGTCGCTAGGGTAGGAGGGGTAATCAGGGCGAGTGATGGCGAAGTGTGAGCAGTTTGGAATAAGTCCTTAAGTCTTAGTGGTTTTCTCCACAGCTTGCTGAGGAGATGCCAACCAGGATGACAAGCTTGGCATTATTGGCAGAATCAGAATATTTATTTATCCTGGAGAAATTCGATGAGCTATGAAGCTTTTTTCACAGATGTACAGTGGGGGCAGGTCCACAAGTTACAACAAATACATGAAACGATATTAATGCAAAATAGAAAAAAGGTAGGAATGTCACTAAATATAAAAATAGATAACCATTATAAGTACAAATTGCATAAGTACATACATTCCTGCCGATTTTTAAACACTAAATGTAATCTTGGGCAAGGCAGTAAATCGACAACAGTCCCAGACCACACCAAGACAAGAAAGTCCCCACAAATAAAATTGCACGTTCCATTTTATCTAGAACTATTGGCAGCACCAAACAAAATACCTGTGATTTTTTTTTAAGACTGTGATAATTACCATTATAATCTGCCGACTGGCAGCTTCTTCAATCGTGGCAACCTGAAACAAAAACACGACGCAGAGGTTGGTGTGAACATCTCGGCGCGAGTTTGCAGTAGGGCTGAACTATTTTGGGAAAATATCTAATTGCGTTGTTTCTGACAGATATTGTGATTAAATTTTTTTAAAGTCAAGCTTCAGTTCAATATTCACTGTGTAATAGATGTAAAACATGTGATGGAGCATTACCACGTGATAAATCAAAATATGAACTGCTATATATATTCTAATGCAAGATGGAGAACTTAAAATATATGAATTGCTTTCAACATGTATTTATTCAAATGTTTCAATTGAAATAGACCAATGAAACGAAACAATTTGGAAGTTAAATAAAAAAAAGTTATAATAAAACAATTCCAATAGGAAACAGGACTTGTCAAATCGCAAAAAATCACCGCCTTTGCGATTTGATAATAGCATTGTTTCAAATTGCGATTTCGATTTGAAATCGATTAATCGTTCATCCCGAGTTTGTAGACGGAGCCCCAACAGCGTCCCTGGGCAGTGGCGGCACCACTGGCACGTTACCGCTCGGTCACCCTTGACCAGGACTTAACCACCTTCACGATTTGGATACGTGATTCGATAATGCACGCGCTATAATGAAAGCCCGGCGTTCGGTTTGGCCATCAACTAAATTATTAGCACCTTTCAGACGGCCTTAATCAAAACGTTATAGAAAGTGGACCCCCGCCCCGCCCCAGATGTGGGGGTAAAAGTTTGATCCAAAATATTTACATTTGTCGTGTCGACCACAATAGTCAGTAGTATCTACTACACACCCTACATACAATAGAGTCAGTAATGTCTACTGCACACCCTATATACAAGTCAGTAGTGTCTACTACACACCCTAAATACAATAGTCAAGTGTCTACTACACACACTACATACAATAGTCAAGTGTCTACTACACACCCTACATACAATAGTCAGTAGTGTCTACTACACATCCTACATACAATAGTCAGTAGTGTATACAACACACCCTACATACAATAGTCAGTAGTGTCTACTACACACCCTACATACAATAGTCATTAGTGTCTACTACACACCCTACATACAATAGTCAGTAGTATCTACTACACACCCTACATACAATAGTCAGTAGTATCTACTACACATCCTACAAACAATAGTCAGTAGTGTCTACTACACATCCTACATACAATAGTCAGTAGTGTCTACTACACACCCTACATACAATAGTCAGTAGTCTCTACTACACACCCTACATACAATAGTCAGTAGTGTCTACTACACACCCTACATACAATAGTCAGTAGTGTCTACTACACACCCTACATACAATAGTCAGTAGTATCTACTACACCCTACATACAATAGTCAGTAGTGTCTACTAAACACCCCACATACAATAGTCAGTAGTGTCTACTACACACCCTACATACAATAGTCAGTAGTGTCTACTACACACCCTACATACAATAGTCAGTAGTGTCTACTACACACCCTACATACAATAGTCAGTAGTATCTACTACACACTACATACAATAGTCAGTAGTGTCTACTACACACCCTACATACAATAGAGTCAGAAGTGTCTACTACACACCCTACATACAACAGTCAGTATAATATACTACACACCCTACATACAATAGTCAGTAGTGTCTACTACACACCCTACATACAATAGTCAGTTGTATCTACTACACACTCGACATACAATAGTCAGTAGTGTCTACTACACATCCTACATACAATAGTCAGTAGTATCTACTACACACCCTACATACAATAGTCAGTAGTATCTACTACACATCCTACATACAATAGTCAGTAGTGTCTACTACACACCCTACATACAATAGTCAGTAGTGTCTACTACACACCCTACATACAATAGTCAGTAGTATCTACTACACACCCTACATACAATAGTCAGTAGTATCTACTACACACCCTACATACAATAGTCAGTAGTGTCTACTACACACCCTACATTCAATAGTCAGTAGTGTCTACTACACACTCTACATACAATAGTCAGTAGTATCTACTACACACCCTACATACAATAGTCAGTAGTATCTACTACACACCCTACATACAATAGTCAGTAGTGTCTACTACACACCCTACATACAACAGTCAGTAGTATCTACTACACACCCTACATACAAGTCAGTAGTGTCTACTACACACCCTAAATACAATACTCAGTAATGTCTACTACACACCCTAAATACAATAGTCAGTAGTGTCTACTACACACCCTACATACAATAGTCAGTAGTGTCTACTACACACCCTACATACAATAGTCAGTAGTGTCTACTGCACACCCTACATACAATAGTCAGTAGTGTCTACTATACACCCTACATACAATAGTCAGTAGTGTCTACTATACACCCTACATACAATAGTAGTAGTGTCTACTACACACCCTACATAAATAGTCAGTAGTGTCTACTACACACCCTACATACAATAGTCAGTAGTGTCTACTGCACACCCTACATACAATAGTCAGTAGTGTCTACTACACACCCTACATACAATAGTCAGTAGTGTCTACTACACACCCTACATACAATAGTCAGTAGTGTCTACTGCACACCCTACATACAATAGTCAGTAGTGTCTACTACACACCCTACATACAATAGTCAGTAGTGTCTACTGCACACCCTACATACAATAGTCAGTAGTGTCTACTGCACACCCTACATACAATAGTCCGTAGTGTCTACTACACACCCTACATACAATAGTCAGTAGTGTCTACTACACACCCTACATACAATAGTCAGTAGTGTCTACTGCACACCCTACATACAAGTCAGTCTGCAGACATTTGAGGGGGGATGATGGCCAGGGCGGTCAACCGGCGAGGAGCGAAGCAACGAGAAGCCTCCCGTAGGAGCCTCCCGGCTCCGAAATGCAAATACGTCCACGTACGCCTATCAATACAACATACCGCATACACATTGAAAATATCGAATTACCACACACGACTGGATCGATGCGTGGTGAGTTGAAGTGGAGGCTGTGAGATTATGCACAAGTTCTTTGTAACAAAAATATCTTCCACTTGCAACCCATGTGTTATGCGCTTCGCATTGTTATATCATGGATTACTGTGACAAAATTCTCAACTACGATGGTACCGTATAATGCCATTTACCCAGCAAAGCCTCAGTGAGGATCACATCTTTCACGAGGGGCCTTGTCCTGTTTGGGCAATTCCATCAAAGGATGTTCCTCTGTTTGGCTCCGTGCGAAACGAGACCCACCCTGCTGCGCCTACAACACCTGGCAAGCCTCGTTACTCACCCACCGTGGCCTGGCCAGGCTGATCCCCTACCGAGATTCTAAAATAAGATGGAGCCGGGAGGCCTCGTGGCCCGGAAAAAGTTCGGCAAGAGCGGCGCCTCGTGCACTTATTATTCCTCTCCCTCGTCGCTCACTCACCTCGGGCCCCGCTCACCTCGGCCCCCCACCCCTCTCGCTCACCTCGGCCCCCCACCCCTCTCGCTCACCTCGGCCCTCCACCCCTCTCGCTCACCGCGCCCCCCACCCCTCTCGCTCACCCCCTCTCGCTCACCTCGGCCCCCCACCCCTCTCGCTCACCCCCCCTCTCGCTCACCTCGGCCCCCCACCCCTCTCGCTCACCTTTTATCTCCGACTCCTGGACGGTTGTAGTCACGTGATTGGGCCCCGGCGCATGAATTAGCGACGAGCACGTGGCGCAGTGAGGCGAGGCCACGTGATGTGAGTGAGCTCGAGTTTGAAAGCGGAGGCTTCACACTTCGAATCAGTCGGGCGGCATTTACTTTTTGTCGTCTGCGTCACGCTGTGCGGAAGCTACCTGGTCTGTCGCTCCACACAAAGTTTCGGGTCTTCTTGGCCACAGTCACGCCCTCGCTTCTCTTTGCTTGTGAAAGGTCGACCCCTCGAATGGAACATCTGCTCCGGTTAGAAACATTCAGGCTGGCCTGCCTTCGCTCCATCCTGGGTTTCACCATGCTGGATTGTGTGAGGAGCTCACAAATCCTTGAAGGATCTGGACACATTCCCATTAGTGAGCTCCTCCGACAGGCAAGGCTGCGTTGTCTGGGTCATGTCGCCCGCATGCCCAACCACCGCATGCCTAAATAGATTATTTTTGGCCGGATAGAGGGGGCTAAACGGGCACGACACGCTACAGGAGGATGTGGAGTTGAGTGGCCTTGCTGAAGACTTGTACCAGCGGTGTCAAGATCGGCCTCTATGGAACAGACTCGTGAAGGACACTACTGGTCAGATGGGGGTAGTCGCCCTCCAATAATAATGGAGGGCAGAGGAGCAACGCTCACAACGAGAGGAGCTCCTGGAGTATAAAATGCAGCATGTTGGTACAGGAGGGTGCACAACTGGTGCATCTGCTAGTCATCTCAGTCAACCCATGGCGCCTGGTTCTGTCCCGTGACCTCCTGTCAGTGAGCCTTCGACACTTCCCGTGGCCTCAAAGTGCACCTGGCCTTGCACAGACAACGTGGGGACGTTACTCAGTGGTGAATGGCGGGTATTTATGTGAATGGGCACCACGTGGTGTATGTTGGCTCCATGTGTGTGTGAGCTCCACTTGGTGTGAGTTCTACGTGATGTGTAGGCTCCACATGATGTGAGTGAGCGCCACGTGGTGTATGTTGGCTCCACGTGATTTAAGCTCCACGTGATGTGAGTGAGCTCCACGTAGGGTGTGTGGGCTCCACGTGATGTGAGTGAGCTCCACGTGATGTGTGTGGGCTCCACGTAGGGTGTGTGGGCTCCACGTGATGTGTGTGGCCTCCACGAATGTGAGTGAGCTCCACGTAGGGTGTGTGGGCTCCGCGTGATGTGTGTGGGCTCCACATGATGTGAGTGGGTTCCACGTGATGTGAGTGAGCTCCACGTTGGGTGTGTGGGCTCCATGTGATGTGAGCTCCGCGCAGGATGTGTGGGCTCCACGTGATGTGAGAGCTCTCCATGATGTGAGCTCCACGTGATGGGTGTGGGCGCCACGTGATGTGAGATCCACGTAGTGTGTGTGAGCTCCACGTAGTGTGTGTGAGCTCCACGTGATGTGTGGGCTCCACGTGATGAGTGAGCTCCATGTGATTTGTATGCTTCAAGTGGAGCTCACACAAAGACAGATATGCTCACTTTTGTTGAAGGACATTCGCTATAACAATCTTTGGTTCTTTCAGTCACGAAAGCGCCAAATCAAGTTTATAAACAATTTGTTTAGAGACCTGAAGCAGTGGTGGAAATTACATATTCCTATGGCAGGGGCACGTTTATTGACGTTGAACTCGCGACCGTTTGCGAGCTGCACACAGCCGCCACCAATATCTAACACAATCGCCAAGATTTACATATTCTATTATTACCAGGTATAAAATATGTGAATAACGCAAACCAAATCCATGTTGAACACTTAGATAATGTCTTTATTTTCATAAAAACTCACGGCAAAATGTGAAACGGTACAAAGTGAATGCTAAAATGGGAGCCTTCCATACGGAAACTACATGGTTACACTACCAAGATGGGACGTGAATCATAGCACCGTCTATCAGCAACTTCAACGTATTAACAGCATCGACGTAGGGGACGATCTTAGACCGGTGCGATGCGATTCGCGGTGCAAGTCGCACCTCAGCATTGCCACAGAGAGGGAAAAACGAGCTGCCGGCAAAGCCAACACCAGAAACTCGGACAGTGGGGAGCTTATCTTAGATTTTGAGCAACAATTTCAAACATATAAAGGAGAAAATGCATTAAATGGATGTCACCACTTAAAAAGGTTTATCGTTACAATAACGGATAATGTTTTCATAATGGGGCGAAAGGTATGGGAGCAGACAGTAAATTGAGACCACAAAAGTTACGTGAAATATTAAAAAAAGAGACTTACAAATGACTGAATAATCCGAACTCTGTAAAACGATTAGGAAACGAGTGATAAATAAAACCATGGGTCACAACACAGAGATAAATGACGCCATAGCAAGCAACCAGAATATTAGAGCTTGAAAGCAGCACAAATGAGGTTCATATTTGGCGATTCACAAATATTGCCTCGTGAGAAAAGTTGGAACCGTATCTCGTAATAGATATAATGGTAGAGTTATTGGAGGAATTTGGTGCAGAATACAGCAAAAAAATGTAAGGATAGGAATGAGAATGGCGCTCAGTTGATGAGGAGGGTTCAAAAGTCACCTCAACACGAAATAAGGGAGAAAGAGCTCTGGGCCAGGTGGTGTCACTTGACATTCATCGAAGCAGCAACACAACATGACTGTGGTTATGACTGCAATGCATAGCAGCATATGGAGAGGTGCAACGCTTTTTGTTTTTGTATTAACAGAAAGTAATGTGACCTGCAGTGTGATGTTTGAACACACTGTGGATGACATGTAACCGTCTGGTAGACTGAATACTTTAAATGGGTGGATGACTCAATGAGTGACGTGTACGGGAACAGTGACCAAGGTAGTAGCGATAGCAGAGTGATAAGAACGTGACTGACCGCCAATGAGTAAGTGACTGGAGTGAATCGGTGATCAATATTTATCCGCGTGGTGTAAATCCTCCGCATTTCACTTTGGCGTGCGCGTTAGCGAGCCGGTAGCGTCTATCGGTCTAGATCGCGTGGCCCCTTCGCCTCGGCCCGAGCCCCCCTCCAGCACGACGGACGCGGCATGCGCGCGTCGTTCAGACGCTGCGAGAGCTCTGCGCGTCTTCGTTCTCGCAGTGCGCGACGTCGTGGCCGTCGTCGTCGCGGCTCCCGCGCCCAAGAGAGGGATCCGTGTGGCCGCCCGGGCCCTGGCGCCGAGGGCCCGAGCGGTGCGGCTCGCCGGCGTGGGGGAGGCCGCGCTCTCTCCGCTCCTGCTGCTGCTGCCAAGTGGCCCCGCCGGGCCTGGGGACGCGCGGGGCGCCTGCCGCGTCCCCGACCCCCGCGTGGCCGTCGCTCCCGTGGTGGTCGCCGCCGCTGCCGCTGCTGCCGCTGCTACACTCGTCACGGTAATCATCACGCGATTCTCCGTGGTAGGTCCCTTGAGTGTGAGGACTGACTCGAGACTCGCAGCTTTCCTGCAAACAGAGACACATACTCGCATATCAATCATCAGTGATGTTTTGGGTTCGGCCGCGTAATGATCTGGGCCCTCCACCACCCGCGAGAACTAAACTAATTCAGTGGTTCACGTCCACTTGCGTTTATCGCGCCAATTTGTCAGCCACATTTAGCAAACGAGCAAAAGATACAGAAACAAACGGAGATGCAAAGAAACGGCCGGAGACGTTGAGAGATGACCGCAGATGCAGATAGACAATCAGAGATGCGGAGACAACCAGAGACGCGGAAAGATGACCAGAGTCGTAATGAGTGGCGTGGTGAGAGGAAGCCGGTACCGATGCATTCCACATTGGGCCCTCGTTCCCCCCGCGGTCTCTCGGCTTGATGCGCGTGGCAGGGCCCCGCGACGTCTCTGTGGACACAGCCTCATGGTGATTTGTCTCGTTCACGTGTAGACCAATCGCTTTATGCGCTTGCTGTTCGAGCACCGTATGCCTCATTGTATACCGATTTACAAGCAATATGTGGATTCGGCCACTTAAAATACAATCCGACCGAATATACGTCGAAAGGCCTTCCATCCTCCAAACCTAGCCCAACGATTAGAATGATCACCAGTAGTAAGGAGCGAAGTCTCACGTACCATACGTGGCCTCGGCGTAGGGGAGCGAGGAGGCCGATCCTCTTCGGGGTTGGGGGAACTTCTTCTCGGTCAGGCTGAGCTGGGCACTCTCGGCCTCTGCACTGCAGCCACACAGATCAAGCGGCGTGACAGCTGATGTCTCGTGCTCTACGCTTTGAGACGACGACTCCGGGTTGAACCCTGATGACGAAGCTTGGAAAGCCAAATGGAGTTCACAAGAAGTCACAAACACCTCCTAAAAGAACCGACGATCAAGAAGATTGAAGCCTATGGGCCACAATCCCAAACCGCATCCACTGCACAACCCATGGCACCAGATGCAGTCATACTTCATGATGCACAACTGGAAAATAAATCAAAACTCTCCGGCAGTGTATAGAGACTGGTCACCAAGAACAGATCATGGAAGAACATATTCCGACTTGCTCCTCGAGTCACAAATACGGAGGAGGGATCAGTACAGTGATGATGCACCACTCTGCCACTCCTGAGTGCCTCGTTCTCCACCTTGATGTAACATTACAGCTGTTGCTACACACCAACATTAGAGCATACTATATTCTTATTCATCGCAAAATAATGACACTACTTGGCACAACAATCTCATCTGAGCTGTCATGGAAGGGTTGTGTTACTCATCTGGCTAAGGAGGCATCGAAACCGTGTTGTTTTCTTTTCTGTGCCAAAGCCTTAATCTTTAATTACAAATAATTCTTACTGATGCTGCTATACAGTACAGAGTCCAACTATTTGCCCTAAGTTGGAATTCTGCTGCTGTTATATCTGGGGTGGAACACCCAGCTCCTACCTCATTGCACATGATAGAGTTCAACATATAGCTGTCGGGTTATTGATGACCCAGCACTCACTCACTGGCTGTCAGTCACCTCCTTATCACTCTTTTATCGCTACTAACATAGTGACTGTGAACTTCACTCATTGCATCCTCTCATCCACGCAGTGTTAAATCACCACACTGCAATTCATAATGAAAGACAAATACCCCCCGAAAGTCTGTTAAGACTTTCAGGGCAAGTGCTGTGAGCAAGCACCTATGAGGGCCAGCACGGTCAACGAGAGGGTGGGTGGCCAGTACCATGCCCGACTGCCTTTGTCTCCCCAGTGGCGATGTTTACACGCCACACCAGGTACTCATTTTAGACTGAGTCAACTTTGGGGAGGCCCGGGACCGGTTCAGATAACACTATTGTTGGCCGTCAGCGGGAATCGAACTTAGCTTGCGGGGTTCATAGCGCAGCGGGCTAACCACATTACACTACCGCTCTCCACAAGATCACACTTATTCTCACCCACTCCACCACGCTGCGGGTCACAAAACTTCTCTTTATGTTTTTTCCTTGCACCTTTGAGTCGTTCTTACTCTTTCAAAGTGTCCAAATATGTGCGGCGCATTACAAATTGAAATTATTATTTGGAGTATCACCGGTTCTGAATACTGTGTGCCACGCATTAGAGCCGGTTCTGTCAAACAGACGTACGTTTTGGAGGGGTTGCAGCAAAGGCAGACGGACGTAATGACGATGGCAATGAGGATTACGCAACCTCCCAGGATTAGGTAGACAGCCATTCTCCCTGCGCACGCCACAAAAGAAGTGCATCCCCACACACACGTGGCAGAGTGAGTTTGGCGAACGTGTTTGGTGCGGTGGAACACGCTCATTGCATTGGCGCTGTGTGTACCCTGTAAACTCGCATGATATACTCTACACACATATCATCAACTCTGTGGTGGTGACCCAGAAAAAGTTAACAAGATGTCTTATGAGTTATGCTCCAAAAGTGTACCGTCTTGTAGCATCACATGCGGCCGTCCTTACGATGGAATACGTCAACGCAAGTGAATGTATGCACACTGTGAGTTACACTGTGACACCGGCACACGATGGCCTACTCCCTTCGAATGACGTCGGACGAATATTAACGTGCACTGTGAAGCAGACGGCACGGAGGAGTAGTTCATGGTTAATGGACACCGCAGTAACCAGAATGGCCTTCTGGATCTGAACCGTGGACCTCTGCAACAAGCAGCGAACGCGCGCCATGTAAACTGTCAAGCGGATGATTATCAGATGCAATTGTGCCTCTCTTAGTCAACTATGAAACAAATGCAGTCAGCACGACCAAACCAAGGCCTTAACTATAAATATTTATATATTTTTAAAATCAAAATCATCTAAAGATGGCACAGCTCCACTGAGAATGCGTAACCAAAGGGACAAGATACAAATCAGAAGAGGTGTCGGACAATGAGCTTCACTCTCATTAATGCCATTCACAGCGACATTGGAAGATGTCTTACAAATATTTGAGAAAAATACATCAAGAAAATGGTGAAAATGTTAACCATCTCAGATCTTCGTATAAGAGAGTAATTGTACCAAGCAACGGAAACGAATGACTGAACTTGACTTATAAGGCTCCTTTGAGATGACTGCGCCAAAAGGGGGATTCCCCAAGTCCTTGCAACTTCAGCTGAGTAATAATTCATATCCTGGAATTTTGGCTCGACCAGTCAATAGCTGGCGGTCCCAAAGTATTTCCTGGCATGCAAACTGGTTTAAGTAGCAGTCGCAACTCGCTGTCAGGAGTGACACATTTGGACTCGCCTGGTGAGAGAGTAAAGGAAAAGCACAGAGGACACAGCCAAGAGAGAGCAAGCAAGCATGCAGAGAACACACAGCAAGAGTAGACACAGATAGCAGTAAAGTAGAGAATGAGAGATGCAGAGAAAAGGATAACAGTAAGCGTGATCGTGCATGGCTTCAACTCTCCGTGTGGTTGGGGGTTGACACAGTGTGAATAAAATGACTCTAGTGTGAATAAAATGACTCCACTTTGTGGGGAAGTTGGCAGTGGGTGTCCTGTGGATAGACTTGCTCCCCGCCAATGGAATGAGGAATTTCCACCACTGGCACAGGGCTATAAACAGGAGTCAGACACAGCCTCAGTGCCCATTTGAGCAGGAAATCACTTTGACTTCAAACTTAGTTGGAGTCTTTACGATTCTATTGGACATAAATGTGAGAATCTAATAGAAAGAACAGCATCACGCGAGTTTGCAGAACACGCCCGACGCTCGCGTTACGCAGGGATCCTTCTGTCGACTCACTGAAGCTTTCTTCGACAACCAGTTAATTTAAAATGTACACGTTATAGGTCGGAGTAAAAATGGCTATTAAAATACGAATAATATATTTACCTTCCCTCTTTCCCATGACGCATGCCCCACTATTCTGTGCAGTGTCTTCCGATGCGAGTGGCATTTACATTCCCAATCGCACTTTGAGCTCTACAATGCGATGGTCGGCGAACTGGCACATGGCCGATGTCCCGGTGCCAAGGCCATGCAGCCCACGGCCCTGAGTCGTTTGTAGCCACTGGCGAGCCTGCCCAGAGCACTGAGACTCCTCCGGAGTGGTGAATTGAGTAGCGCTGGCTTGACACGATGCCTCCCTCACGGCACTTCTAAGTGTTGTTAATACATCTCCAAGAAATAGGCCGAGATACACGATTACACCAACAGAGATTTGTAAGACCGAACTAAAATCCACTTGTAGGTAGATTGTAGACTCGTAAAGGTTATGCATTTAGTTTTGCTCGTGTTTAGCAAATAGGCTTGATGTAAAAATAAAATCAGACTGATCTTCTGCTCCAATACACGCACTCATGCGGCTTTTTGCTAGCGATCAAACCAACACAGTCACAGCATTGCGCGCTTTTATATGCACTTCTGCGGCCGTCTGGAACGCTCTTCCGATATTAGGACGCCACTGAAGCTATGCACTTTTAAATCTAGATTGAAGACGAATTTCTTGACAACTACGTTTTGTGTTTAGTTTGTTGCCCTTCCCCCGCATCTTCGATTAGCACGGTTGATTACGTAGGGGGGGGAAATCATTTCAACATACATACCCACTCTGCAAAACAGGGGGAGAACATACAAACTCTGCCAGAAAGGCACCCAACTCGTGAATCGAACCCAGGCTTTTGTTGCTGTGAGGCACGAGTGTCTCCACTGCGCCACCCAGCCACCCGTTAAGGTTACACCAGGTGAGAAGACTGCGCTCAGGGCACCACCGTGTGACGCGTGGAACCCGAGGTCGTGTGCGCGCGCCACGCGTGTCTGCAGGACTGGGTGCGCGCGGGGCCGGCTGGGCCCCCGCTCGCTCGCACGCACGGTGCACGGTGAGCAGGACGGGCTCGCTCGCGCCCCGGCTCACGGCGTTGCTGGCGAGGCACGCGTACGAGTCGCTGTCCCCCAGCAGCACGGGCGCCAGCGTGAGCGAGTGACCGCCCGCCGACAGCCGGTGCCTTGAGCCGTTGGTCAGCGGCGCTCCCCCCTTGAGCCACGCGTAGACGGCCCGGGTGCCGTTCACGTGCGAACAGTTCATGGTCACGGCCTCCGCCATCTCCACGGCCACCGGGGAGGAGATAATAACCACGGGCTTGGAGATGGGCACTGAGCGAGAGGACAGCACAGCGCCCGACGCTCGCGTTACGCGGCGGCCGTTCGCATCAAACAACCGGGTTGATTTCGCGCAAGTTGATCGTTTTGAAGTCGTAACGATTGCTGAGCACGCAGCCAAAAGGCCCAACACGTCACATGGCTAACAACAAATAGCACCATTACAGTTGTAAACGATAAGAGTTTAATCGTCTCTTGAATTGAACAAGGTTATTGCTATACGAGCTCGGGGGAAACAACGATGGGAGGGAATTCCAGAGTGGAGCAGCGCGCGGAAATACGCTGAGCGAGAGCAAAGTGTTGTGACCTGCAGTGTGGTGGTTGGCCAGAGTGTGGTGTATGACAGGAAACAGCCTGGTGGGCCACGTCTTCAACGTGGGTGGAGGAATCAATGCGTTAAGTTCACGGGAACAGTCGCCATGGTGGTAATAAACGAGTGGCAGCCAAGGGAGGGAACGCGTCCCAGAAGGGTGCCCTTTGTGGAGATGGAGCGATTAAATCCACCTGTGTGTACAGGTGCCACGTGGATTGTCATATCGCAGGGTAATGAGAGATGGCGACGGCTTGGGGACGCCTTCACGCAGAAGTGGATTGAGCATGGCTGATGATGATTGTACAAAAACAGTAACGTCAATAATAAGTCTTGGTAATGAGACTAACGATGAACTTTAACTTGGTTCTGAATAACGAACGGCACAGCCACTTGTCTTGTTTAGTGCTTTCTTTGCCGTGCCGAGATTGGAGTACGGAGGGTGGGACCCCAAAAGGCGAAGCGCATCCTTTGGAAGCATGCGGCACCCAATGTATCATTGCAATTAAACAACACAGCACCTACAACTCTCTACAAAAAAACACATACATTAGGTTGATGATGTTAAATATTTGGTACGAATCATTGGCACCCCTGGAAACATTTACTCAAATCCATTCACTAGAGTCTGCGTGAGTGAGATGACACGAGGGTTATCGGGGTGGGTCTGGTGAGAGTGCTGGTGGCGTCAATAAGCCGGAGCACCGCACTCAGAGGCTTGGATGCGCTGTGATCCTGGTTTACGCACCATCGACTGTGAGCTGAACGGAGTGATGTCCAACGACAGCGTCCTCCGTGATGGTGATTTCCACTTCGTATGTCCCTTCGTCGGACAGCCGTAGAAGCATCAGCTGCAGCGAGCCGTTGCGGAACACGTGGACCCGGTTGGCAAATTCCGCCGCGGGTGCTTGTCCCTCTCCGCCAAACGACTGCACCACCATCACCGTTCTTGAGACCGAGGGCGAGTGAGCGCCGCTCGTGGGCCGGATGAGGCGCCACTTGATGACGGGCATGCCGCCGCTCTGCGACGAATAGCGCACGGAGAGCAGCGCGGTGCTGGCTGCCGTGCCCCGCACTGACCCCGCGGGCCCCGTCACGTTCACGGCCCTGGAGGAACCTGCGCAGCGGGGGTGGTGAGGGCATCTCACCTAGCAATCCCTGGTGTCCGGGATTCAGGACAAATGTTCTCTATCGAGCACCGAATGCCAAGGGGTGGCCACTTGACCCGAGTCAACCTCATCGGATCCAACCTGACGCGTTTTGTCAGGTCGAGCTGGGTCAAGTTAGGTTGAGTCACGCCGGGTCACAGCAAATTGGGTCAAGTCAAGTGAGGTCGGGGCAAGCTAGGTCGAATGAAGGTCGAATGGGGTCAAGCTGGATCGAGTAAATCTGGGCTGGTTCAGGCTAGGATGGGTCAAGCTGGGTGGGGTCAAGCCGGGTCAGGTCAAGCTAAGTAGGGTCAAGCTGGGTCAGGTCAAGCTAAGTGGGGTCAAGCTCGGTGGGGTCAAGGTGGGTGGAGTGTGCTCGGCCTGGGCGGCTTACCTGCGGTGAGCGAGGCCGCTGCGGCCAGCAGGAACAGCGCGCGCATCTCGGTGGGAGGGAGCGCCGCTCCGAGGCGACTTCCAGCTCGCTCCTCAACCCGGCACAGACGCTTCGGTCCCGTTCTAACTCGGCGGAAACGCTGACGACCGAACCGATGGCATGTAAAGTGGTTTTGTTTTGTTTTTCTCCAAAAGAATTCGCTAAGAATGGGTGAAGCCCTCGGGAGGCAGGGGACGTGAGCTGCATTCATTGCCGACCCCGCCCTGTGCGCCCGGGCCTGCACTATGGGTAAACCACACGCTCATTCGGCACATCTATTGCCCTGCGTGAGAGCACAAGCTGGCAAGCCAGTCAACGAAGCAAGCACTTGCTTTACGTACACTTACGGTGCTCTTACAGACTATTGATCCACAATTCATTTTATCTTTGGCCTCTGAGCCTTCAGCATCAATGCTGAATTCTAAGAAGCTCAAGACCATCACGGCCTTAGTAACTGTGATTCAAAATAATATTTTTGGGTCAGATCACTTCAGTAAAATGTGTCGTAAACCCTCCTCCATCCGACACAGCCAATTAATACGGTTGTCATGTAAACGAATGTGGCAATTACTGCTTCAGCAGCACCACCGGTAATATCGAAGAGTAATCGACACGCATTTAACTATTGTGTACGGACGTTTCACTTATAGTTACAACCAGCATCATCAGGCAGTTGCCAGAATTTCTTTTGGAATTGATTATCCCTACGCATCATAATTAAACATCATCAGATATATTAACACTGTATAATAATGCCTTACTTAATATTCATATGAACTGGATAGAAGACATGGTGATGTGCAGGCCCTGACTCTCCAGATGTGGCATCAGGTTATGGTGGCAATATGGCCACGGATGGAGATTCATGGCAATACAAAAACCAGGATAGGGCATTGGAATGTCAGGACACTCTACCAACCGTGGAAGAATATGCTTGTTTGGAGAGCTGAAACGGTACATCTACATTTGTGGTGTAAGTGAAACTAAGTGGATGGACTCGGGTCAGGCCCGGATCACGGATTACACTCCGTGGCATATAAAGGGAAGAAGGAAGGTACTTGTGAGCAGGAAGTCGGGATTGTCGTAACAGAATTGCAGTGTGCATGACCTGGTTTGTATGAGTGGATTATTATAGTCCGGCTATGGTTCAGTCATTTCAACGTGTCCGCCAGTGGAAGTTTATGCACCCATGGAGACAGCCGAGAGAAGATATCAAGGATTAAGTTGACAATAGACGACGGTTAGCTTTGGGGATGGTACACAGGCAGGATGGTCTCCTCCTACAAGGGGACTTCAATGCCCAGGTGGGAGCCATCCTGGAAAGCACCATGCTAATTAGCATACTTATTAACTCAGTGCTGTCAAAGTTGTATGCTGCTTTCCACTGATATCCGTTAAGGGCGTTTTTCACATCTCTTCTGAACATTTATTAAACGGAGGTTCAGGGTCGGCATAATTCGTGGATGTATTTCACATGAAATGTAATATTTGAAGAAAAAAAACAATGGCAGAACATTAACCGTTGAAATATAGTAGTGTCAAAATGATTCCCTGTGTGGCATAGGATGTATTTGGGTCACTAATAAATCCATCATTGTAATATGACTGTTACTATAACCACGGGAGGGATGGGAGTTGACTTTTGCCAATAGGGCGAGTGTGTTTAAAGGATTCTTTGTATATACAGCAATCAACTTTCGTTCGTTATATCCTGTTTACTATTGCCGTAATGTGTCCACTCGAATGCATATCAGCGACTCCGAGTTACAACGCACATCACCAGGACACCGTTGGCCAGCATCCAGCACCGCCCGAGCAGAGTCTTACCACAAAGGGGCCCTTTTACCGGCAGCATCTCCCGCTCCGCTGAGCGAAGCGGCAACGTGCCTCGCCTACCAACCACCCGCGGCACAGAGGGGAGGGAGCCAGCCCTGAGGCCCGGAGAGCCATGCCGTGACCCAAGGGAACTCGTAATTAGCAGCCGTCCACTGAGCCCATATTCTCAAAGCCACAAACAAGCAACTCCTTGGTTTAACCATCGGCCCAAAGCCAAAAGTGAAAGTCGTAGGTTATTTTAAGATGTTCCTGATGTGCGTTTGTAGTAGGTGCTCAGGGTTGACACAACCTTTTCCACTGTAGATCAAATCACGGACATATCTCAGTCAGTCTTGGCCTATCTAAACTGTGCAGTTTACTGTCAAAAAGATCAACACGATACTGGTACGAGATCTCACTACAGATCAATTCCTGCCACCCGAACACAAATAATGCAATTCCCGGACTATGCGGTTCAAACCTGGACAGGCGGCATCCCGATTCTCAGTCTAGGTCCGTTTGTAAACATGTTAACCAAAATACGTACGATTTCAATATATTACCACATTTCTAGTCTTTAGTAGTTACACTTAGCATCACGCCATCCCTCTACAAGTGTTTTTAAACATCCAAAATGCACACCCCGAAGACCGTGTGGCCGATGGAATGTGTAACAGTGATTTTGTTTATATGTGCAGGGACAGATAAGTGGAGGCGTATTGTATGCTCATTGTTACTACGGCGTTCTCCACAGCAACGCTGATAATTATAGATCCTGAAGCAGATTAGTGCTTTTTTTGTAAATGTGATTTGTAATTTTGATCCTTACCCGTGTATCAATAGATCAGTTTTAATGAGCGACTGTGTTGACTTGGTGTGGTCTGGGACTGTTTTTGTTGTTTTTCTGCCCTTGCCCAAGCTTGCATTTAGTGTCGAAAAACCCGCAGGAATTTATGTACAATTTGTTCTTGTATATTTTTCGTGACTTGCTTACCTCGACTCTACTTTACACTGGTATAATATTTTGGATTGTTTGGTGTTGTAACATGCTTATCCGCCCCTACTGGACATTTGTAAAAAAAGAGTTTCGTAGCTCATGGGATTCCTCCAGGATAAATGTTCCGATTGATTACTTTCTGAAGATGAGGACACATCGCCCCCTGCTGATAGCATTGTTCAACAAATCTGCAATCAACGGATTAGTGTCAATGGACGTGCAGATATATATTTAGATATATTTGCTGGGCGTAGAAATTAATCCCCCACCCTGGCGGTTCAATTGTCGTGATTAAAGTTTTATATAAAATTATGGTGAGTGTAGCGGCCTCTAGTGGCTGCAGGAATCACGTGAACTTATTACATTTTGAAAGCCATTCATTACGACACACGCAATTCAGTTCGAATATTGCGTGATGAAGAAACCTACACTGCAATTGTATTTATGAATCGATGCATCATGAACTCCCTCAACGGAAACGTGTATTTTTTTACACATCCCATCAATCCCACAGCCTTCTGGGAGTGCATTTGAGGCATATAAAATAATTGTACTTGTATGTGCAGGCAGAGGTATGCTCATATTTCGCTATTTTATTTTCCACAGAGACGCCGATAATGTGCGATTCTTTTATGTAGTTTTTGGTTGAATCAGAACCGATTATAACAAATATGGGCCTTGCTTATAAACATCTGGCAGTTCACAAGCATTGATTCAAGGAGGCCTGCTGATGAGACACAATGTCGAAACTGGTCAAGTTAAATTTAAGGCGTTCAAACTATTTCACATGGTTAAGGCATAGATATCCATGGCAGGAGGTAACGACATCGACACTGATACAAATAGCAATTCTTCTATACACGACCCGAGGCAGTATTGTTAGTGGAAGCGTTTAATTGACACATCGATTGTAATGTTGCACTCCTACGAAGAAACATGGCTCTGTTCAACATTACTTGGGTTTTCTCCGGATTTTAAGACGCTCCAAAACGTAAGATTCACCGCAAACTTTGTAAAAAAAATTCGAAGGTAAACGTAGAATAACGTGACACGGACAAGAGAATTACTCATTTGCACATGCGTAACACCAAGACTGTAACACTGATCTCTCCTACCTCAGCTGTGCTATGCACACCCAATGCCTTCGGTACAGCGAGCAGCTCGCAATCACGGCCGGATTATAACATTGCTGGAGCCATAATCTATGTTAAACTTAAGATGCCCCATTCAGGAATGGCTGTATATGTCATATCGGATTGAAAATAACCATTTGAGTATTTTTCCCACATCTCCTTTACTTTTTAATAGATAATGTAATACAGTACATGAAACTTAAATTTGTTTCGTATTTAGAGGCCCCTCAATGCGATGCCCTAAGCTGTAGCTTACTTAGTAAAGACCTAAAGCCGGCCCTGCTCACAATCAAAAAGTTGCGAGTAAATTTCTGGTTGGGGGGTTGACTGAACCCATCATTCCTCCCTCGGGAGTCAATAAAATATATACCACGTTGTAGAAAAGTCAACAGTGCTTGTCCGATAGACAGGGTGATATCCAGCATAGACTCTACAGAGATGTGTATAGGCGATTGAGCAGCAATGCCCCGATGCCCAATTGAGCAGGAAACAACTTATCATTTTCTTACACATGATGTACAAATGCCGTCTCAACAGCAGCTGCCTCAGCACGGGCACCTCTATCGGTTACACGCGAGGCCCAGGGTAAAATAAAATATAAGCAGACCTCGTTATTGTCGCTCACATATAAATACATAGCAAGTAAAGTCCATAGGCCTTTTGGCTTTCCATGCCAATATCATCCTGCAGGATTTGCTTAAGCACGCAAACACGCAACCGGTTTTGACCTTCTAGGCCTCAGTCACAATAAATCTGATGAGACACTGAATGTGGAAGCCAGTCCTGAGTTTGCCTGTGTTAAACCAATATTGCTGAAATCATGCACCCCCAGAAGACCGTGTGGCTAATGGGATGTGTAAACGAATGTATGTTGTATGCACAGGAATTGTCTGTTTCGTTAATCTACGGAGCGTCTTGCTTTCTTTCACCCATCCACATCGGAGTGAGTGGGCGCGGGGTCTCCGTCTCTGTGCAGAAGCCGTCGCACTCCTCCTCGCCGCTGCTGTCCTCGTCGTTCCAGCTGGAGTCGTCCCCGTCCCCGGGCTCGCTGAACAGCTCTTCGTCCTGGGATCCGTCCAGCGCGTTGCTGATGCCCGCTTTGAGGAATCCCTTGACGATGACCTCGGACGAGATTTCGTCCCAGGCCTCCTTGACGAAGGCGCACACCTCGGGGACGCCGGCGCGCTTCACCTTCCCCGACGCGGTGACCGCCGGGTTCTCGCGCCTCATCCAGGCGGCCCACTTGTCCCTGACGCTCTCCTTGAAGGGCCCGTTGACGGCGATCTCCACCGGCTGGAGCACCCTGCCGAGACCTCCCGGTATGATGGCCACGCTCACGCGCTCTTCCTCCAGCCACTCTCTCACCGACTCGTGCACGTGGGCGCTGAACATGTCCATCACGAGCAGCGAGCGGCGCCGGAGCAGCCCACCACCGTTGGGGCGCCGCATCAGACACCGCGAGATCCACTCTTTCATGACCTGCTCGTCGCAGTATCCCTGCTGCTGGACCGTCACGGCCACCCCCCCGCACGGAGCGTCCTTGGGCACGGTCTTGCGCTTGAAGATGCACATGGGTTCGAGCTTGCGGCCATCCGCGCAGCAGGAGAGCATCACGCTGAAGCGCAGCTTCTCGCCGCCCGTGCCCACGGTGGACACGCTCTGCACGCCGAACGCGTCGACGGCCGCGTCGCCGCAGGGCATCTCCAGCCACACGGGCGTCTCGTCCATGCCGACGATGTCGGCGAGCGCGTAGTCCTCCTTCTTGCGCATCTTGTAGATGCGGCGGTGGAACTCGTAGATCTTCTCGTCGTAGGCGTCGGGCAGGCGCCGCGCCGTCGCGGCACCTGCCCGGCGCCCGACGGCGAGGCCCTTGCGGCGCATGAAGCGGTGCACCCAGGAGGGCCGCCCCGTGAACCCCACCAGGCCCTTCCTCTGCGCCAGCTCGCGGCCCTTGGCGGCGATGGCGCCCGTGGTGAGCGCCCCGCCGCCGGCTTTGTGGCCGGCCACCACCCACTCGAAGAGGGCGTTCTCCAGCTCGGGGAAGAAGGCCTTCCTGCCGGAGCCCAGCTTCTTTGCCGTCCGGGGAGTCGCCTTGAAGGAGCCCATGCGCTTCTGCTCACGCCAGCGGCGCACGTTCGCCTCGCTCACGGCGAAGTGGCGCGCGGCCGCCCTATTCCCGTGGCCCTCGGCGAACTTGGCGACCTCCAGCTTGAAGCCCACGGCGTAGGCGCAGCGACTGGACGGGGACGGCGAAGCCATCGCGAGCCCACGCCAGCAGGGCCGACGCCTCCGAGTCGACCTTCTGCAGCAACTTTACACTTGGACGTCACTGGGGACGCGGAGGCGCGAGGGTTGGGAAGTACAAAGCGAATATACTGTAAACATTGTGCAGTTTGTCAAAACTTCTTTAATGCGTGCTGTTGGTTGCTCGCCGCTTGACGTTTCGGGCCTTTGGGTGCTCGTTTCGTTCAGCAGCGCGCCAGGCGCACACCACATCGAGTATCCCCCTGCCTCGCCGTCGCCGGCTCCAGCTCACCCCCGGGTAGGCGCCATGTTCCGAACCACGTACCGGATTATAAGACGCACCTCCCACTTTACTACACAGGAACACAAGTGCGTCTTATAATCCGGATAATACGGTAGCTGGGTGGGGGCGTGGTCACGGGACGTGAGAAGGAAAAAGGGGCGGGGCGGCTTGGAGGGGGCGGGGCGGCTTGGAGGGGGGCGGGGCGGATTGGAGGGGGCGGGGCGGATTGGAGGGGGCGGGGCGGATTGGAGGGGGCGGGGCGGATTGGAGGGGGCGGGGCGGATTGCCCCTCGGCTCGCTTCCTGCTCGCGATCACGCGGAGGTGGTGGAGAGTGACCGAGCGGAATGAGAGAGGCGATGGTTGTTGTTGAGAGTGGATGAGATGGTTGTTGTTGAGAGTGGTTGAGATGGTTGTTGTTGAGAGTGGTTGCGATGGTTGTTGTTGAGAGTGGTTGCGGTGGCCGTGATGGTCAAGCTTTGGTGGTTGCGGTTCGTTGCTGAGAATTGTGCTTGATTGTTGCGGCGGTTTAGTGTGCGTTTGTGTATTGTGATCGATCGTTGTAGTAAGGGTGTTGTGGTTGGGTTTGGTAGTGGTCGAGTGTTGTGGCCGCGTATGGCGGTGGATTGAGTGTTGCGGCCTGGTGGTGGTGGTAGTGGTGGTTAAGTGTGGTGGTGGTTGAGTGTGGTGGTGGTTGAGTGTGGTGGTGGTTGAGTGTGGTGGTGGTTGAGTGTGGTGGTGGTTGAGTGTGGTGGTGGTTGAGAAGATGGGGGACTCTGGTGAGCGAGCCCCGCTGCTCCACTACCGCCTGCTCAGCGTCGCGGAAGCCGCGCCGCCCCGCGCCGAGCCCAGCGGGAAGCTGAACACCTTCTTCGGGGTCGTGGTGCCCACGCTGCTGTCCATGTTCAGCGTGGTGCTCTACCTGCGCATCGGTGAGCGAGCCACTCACCCAGCCACTCACTCACTCAGCCACTCACCCAGTCACTCACTCCCGCAGTCACTCAGCCAGCCACTCAGCCAGCCACTCACCCAGCCACTCACTCACCCAGCTACTAATCCACCCCGCCACTCACTCATCCACACACTTACCCAGCCACTCACCCAGCCACTCATTCACCCAGCTACTAATCCACCCCGCCACTCACTCATCCACACACTCAGCCACTCACCCAGCCACTCACTCACCCAGTCACTCACCCAGCCACTTACCCAGCCACTCACCCAGCCACTCACTCACCCAGCCACTCACTCACGCAGCCACTCAGCCAGCCACTCATCCAGTCACTCACTCACGCAGCCACTCACTCACCCAGCCACTCACTCACCCAGCTACTAATCCACCCCGCCACTCACTCATCCACACACTTACCCAGCCACTTTCTCGCCCACCCAGAATGACAAAAGCAAAACAAACACAACTAAGTAGAGCAATCGAGAACATAGAAATCAGCACAAAAACAAACATGACATGGGAAATCGAAAACATTGCACAAACAAATACATGTAAAATAATATTTTCCCTTTATAACGCAAGTTGGGCCTAGCAGACCACTTAGGCTGAGCATTAACTGATACAGGTTGATGAGACATTTTAGCTGTCATTAAAATAAAAATATGGACCGTTTTGGCGGAATGGAATTTCTCAGATGTTCATAGTGAGAGTCTTCGATGCACTGGAGATTGAGGGAGGCGCTGCGGGTGATTCCAGGTCGTTTGGAGGTGATGGATGATTTACTGAAGTACATTGAACAAAACTCTGGACCAGTTTCGACATTCAGTGTCTCATCAGCAGAGTCGGACTTGCTTAAACCAATGCTGGTGAACTGCCCGATGTTTATAGGAAATGACTCTCTTAAATGTGGTTCCAGAAGAGTGAGGAATTGCAAAGTGATGTACAGTCTGTGTTGTCCCTCCCCCACACCTCCGGTTAGCTACGTACGGCGTTAAAGAAGTTTAAAATACACACATTACATGAGTTGTCAGCATGTGCGAAAATGCGTTCATTGCCTAGCAGCTGGTGAAATGATGGCCAAATTACACGTGTTGTAGTGAGTAGTACTGAATGGAAGAGCCGTTTGTGCAGACAGGGAACAAAGGCGTCAATCATAGGTGTACCCCGCATGCCGGGATAGTGACTAAGGCTGCGGAAGGGTTTTTGTTAAACACAGTTTTGTGTTTGCGTTTTTGAGACAACTGGCCAGGGATTGGGCAAGGACGTCGCCAACTCCACCCAGACAACCGGAGATCACTGGCCGAGATATTTATCGATCTATCGCATTTGCCGAGCACAGGCCCAAAGCCCCAAAACGTCAATCGGCCAGCCACAAACGGTACCATCAGAGTTGACACGTTTCTTGAATTTGATGAGGTCGTAAAAGCTGTGGGAAAGGTTCTATGGGAGGGAATTCCACAAGGTATCAGTGCGAGGGAATAAGCAGAAATAGAAGTGCAGAGAAGTTCAACATATATACTTGTGTGGAAGTGTAGCGTACATGTATACAAGTGATTGACCTGCAGTGTGAGTGAGTTGAGACCTGTAGAGTATGACGATATAACTCGCTGTGATTGTTAAGACTACAAATTTCTGTTTGAACCGAGTCTTCAACATGTTGTTTGGAGGAATCAACAAATCAGCTTCACGGAAACAGTAACCATGGTAGTAGCGAAAGAAGAGTGATAATGAAGCGATTGACTGCTGATGAGCGAGTGACTGGAGTGAATCAATGAGTGCTGGACTCCAATTCTGAACTCCAGAGTTCACTGATGCTCTGCTCATTCCTATGGAATGCGTTTTTTCAGTCATGTTCACAGTTGCCGAGCATCGATTCACTCTTGTAGAACTATTTTTGTTCGAGAATAAGGAACTGATTGAAAATAGAAACATAAATACCTTCAGACTACATAAGGCGATGCCTAAATTAAATAATACTGAGCAGCACCCGCCCCCCAACAAAAAAATAAATTTCCTCTCATCACGAGACCTGGGTGCGTGGTGTTTCCACGGGAAGTCCCCCGACCCTGCCCCCTGGCTTAAATTATTATGCCCTGACAGAGTGCGCAGAGATCCCATCTGCCCTGCCAAGTGGAAGCTCAGCTTGGCTCAGTCGCAGTTTCCGAATTTTCTGTAAATACGGAGTAAATGGTTTAATTAGCGCGGTCACCGCCATGAATAGAACTATTTATCTGGGAAAGCCCCGCCGAGTGTCAAAACTCTTTTTAAAGAACCTCCTCCGTTGAGATGTTGAACCGATTCCATGAACGAGTGTTTGGATGACGAGAGGAATCGGGAGAACCCGGAGAGATCCCACGCATGCAAGGGGGTGATACGCAAAGCTCTTTACAAAAACTATCTAAACAAATCCGTGTATTTCTATTGTAATCTTGAATAAAAGCTACAATAACTTTAGGGATTAATTATGGCTTGCCTAAATGACGCATCTTTTATGTTGCAAATGCTGTGGAAACACTTAAGAGTCCGCCTGTGCATTGTGAAGCTGATAAAGTTCAGCTCTTGTGGTGTTCAGTTAGGTTGTGATGTTAGTCAGCCGCAAAGGAGTTACCTGGCCTCAGCCTTGGCCGCTTAAATCTGCGTTAGAGATATACAGAATCATAATCTTTATGCTGGAGAAATCCGATGTCCAGTAGGAGTGGGTCAGAAAGTTCACCTGCAGGGTCACGTGAGCGCTGCAGGATGTGTGGGGGGCGCGTCACGTGTGTGGTCAGCTGACCGTTAGGAGGGTTCAGGGAAACGGGCCGCGCCGCAATCTGGCAGCCTCTCATGCAGCTCGGTTACATCACATGGCGTCATATGACCACCTGAGTTTTAGTTATAACCGGACAAACTGGTGCGCAGTCGTTTAGTAACCTTATATAATCCTCAACATTGTGGTTGAGACGGTGTTTTATGATGCGACAGCGTTTTGTGAAGGGGAAGTGCAGACGGTCACGCGTAATAAAGTCTGAAGCTTGTGTGCTGTGAAATGAAAAAGCCAATTAAACGTGACCTGCATCAGCCAGTGAGCTTTCTGAACGAATGTCCGATAACAGCGATTGTTTAAGCAGGCATGTCGGCAGCATTGGTTCAACACAAGAAAGCTCTGGACCAGTTATGACCTTAAGCGTCTCATCAGTAGTCGGCTTGCTTGAACAAAAGCTGGTGAATCGCTTGCGTTGAACCAATGCTGTCTGTTGAGGTTATACAGGTGATCTTTGCCTTAATTTATCTTTGTTGCACAGGGTTCGTGGTGGGCCAGGCCGGGCTGCTGGAGAGCCTGCTCATGTTCGTGGTTGCGTACGTCATCATTGGCCTCACCGTGCTGTCCGTCTGCGCCATCTCCACCAACGGCGCCGTGCAGGGTGGAGGCGTCTATTGTATCCTTGTGCCGTACGCCGACCGTTAATGGAACTGGTCACGCATCCCAACACAGAACCCCCTTTAAAAAGAGTCTTGGCACTCAGTGAGTCTTCCTCTGGGTAAATAATTAGCCCTTGCTCAACGGGCAGTCAGCAGACAATGGCGAGCTTGAACAAAGTCCTCTAATTTAACACGTAGGCTTTCGCGACCAATATTCATAATAAAGATCGCGTAAATATAGAAAATACTTGTTTGTAGGAAAGAGATCAGATTTGGACTGAGTGTGTGAGCGTGCGAGTCTGTAGTTAGCGCGGTTGTACTACGAACCTGGAAACAAAAGTTCGATTCCCGCTCACGGCCACCAACACCAGTGACGATAATTATCTACACCAGTCCTGGGCCTCCCCTAAATCGACACAGCTTCAAATGAGTACTTGGTGCGATATGTAAATATTTCCACTAGGGAGGCAAAGGTGGCCGGTCGTAGTGTTACCCACTGACTCCCTCGCGTGACCTGCAGGCCTTCATCGGAGCTCGCTAACACCACTTGCGCCAACAGTCTGTAAAGGCTAGGTGGGGGCTCTTTTACTGTGCGAGTGTGCGAAACCCTGTGTTGCTCACGAGCCTCGCCGCGTCTGTCAAATCTTTAAAGCAGATTCTCATTGCCAATGATAACTGCGCGGCCCTCACTTCCTGTATGGGTGAGCGGATGTCATTGTGAAATTAGTCCGTTTCGTGCTCGCTGGGGGCGTTGGCAGGAAGAGCACGGCCCGCATGGGTTACTGCCGCTACTGTATGACGGCGCCGCGTGCCCCCACGTCTCAGGGCTGTCACTGTCCTTTGTGGTTTGTGTCAGCTGCGCGCGTTGGGGGAGTGAATGTTCACATTGTGCCACGGCGGAGCGTGAACTGACAACATAAATTAAACTTTCAGACAGGATATCGAGTCATTTTAATATTTATTTTTTTACTCACACATAAAACTCGTTTGCAAAGTGTCCCCTATAAATCCCTCTATCCCCCTTACAAGGTTCAGAAATATAAGAAAGTTGCAAGACCCTTTAATCTCTCTGTCCATTACATTTCTGGAGAGCTTCTCGCTTCCTATTGAAATGAGAATTGGGACCAGGAAACGCATCACTAAGTGGTTAAGCATTGACCTCACTTCAACAGTTTTATCCATAATGCAATGTGCCAGCAATATTTTATAATTTTACTTTTAATACAAATGAGTTTAGTCCTACTACTTTGTGATTATTGACAGGTTTGTCTGTTACTCAATAGCTACTTAATGGTTACTATTCTTATACCAATTCAAAAACTGGTTGAACACGGTATGGATGAGAGGAAACAGTCAGTCTAGTACGCCGAGTCCTTAACATGGGTGGTGGTGGTGAGTGGGTGGGTGAGTGAGTTGGTGAGTGAGTTGATGAGATAGTGGGTGATTTAGTGAGCGAGTGGGTGAGCATGTTGTCATTCATTTTAATGGGGAGCGGTAGTATAGCGGTTAACGCGTTCCGCTACAAACCCAGCGAACCAAGTTCGATTCCTACTCAGGGCCACCAGTAATTATCCGAACCGGTCCTGGGCCTCCCCTAGGTCGATTCATCCTCAAATAAGTACCTGTGGCTATGTGTAAACATCACCACTGGGGAGACAAAGACGTGGTGCTTGTCACCCATCCCCTCGTATGCTGTTCCCGCTGTCATGAATGCTACTCGCTAACAGCACTTGCCAAAACAGTACTGAAGGCTATATGGGGCATGTTTTTCCGTCTCTTTGTCATTACCTGAAGTATGGTGGTGGAACACTGGAAGAAGACCAAGTTAGTCATCAACATGGGTGGAGGAATTGACGGAAGCAGCGCCCATGGTGGTCACAGAATAGTGATGAGAAATTGACAAAGTCACAAGGTCTTCTACAGTGGCACAAGACTCAGTGCCAAATGTACCAAGCAGAGCTGCGACACTCACCCATTGTTGATGCTATCTGCCCCGCTTAGCACAATGCGAAGTTTGTTTTGGTAAAGGCATAGCAAAGTACAGTGTACCGCAATGTCACCATTTATCTGGCGTTCATGCAGCGTGGCTTGGCGATAGGTTGAACGGCTCCCAATCCGAAACTTGGGCTTGACGCATCATCCCACTGGGGTAGATAAAATAGGTACCACTGTTTGGGGAAAATCAGCAGTGGATGCCCTGTGGGAAGACCTGGCCCACGCCATAGAAATGAGGAATTCCTGCCATTGGCGCAGGGCGGTAAACAGGAGATGGGCACCACCTCAATGCTCACTGGCGCAGTAAATCGCTTTTCAGAATCAGAAGTTTATTTCCCACTCAGTAAAGCCCATCGAGCTAAGAAGCTTCTTTTTCAAGGGCGACTTGGCCGGCAGACAACAAGCTTGTTTTGGTCCGACTTGGGTAATGACAATTGAACCAACGATTGCAGTTCAGGAGTGGAGTTGTATCTCATTTGTAATGCCTCGTTGGAATTGTCTCATATGTTTCTGTCTTGTTTCTGCAAGTCTGCTCCTTTAGACTAAATCTACCATCGGCACATAAGTTGTGTATCATTGCACTATGTAACACAATTTTGTTCCTGGGTAATAAGTGTTATTTCCTAATTGCTTATGCCTAAAAAGTATAGAGAATGGCTATTATTCCCCACAAACTTTGCTGTTGTGACCAGGACAGTGATATTTTGAAATTTACCTATTTTCAATGAGAAAACGGGTGAATTTGTGTCCTTTCGTTCGCATAAAGTCAGAAAAAAACAACATGAATCAAAATTTACATGTATTTATACTAAAGTAATTAAAAAATGACTCCAAAAGATTTAGAAGTGAGTAGTTTTTCGAGATTTATGATTAGACTGTAAATCACTTTCACGAATCAGCCCCCCAATGTAGTCTCCCATCATGTTCTCATTATGTCCTTGGTAATGGCGTTCAAAGTCCACTATATCCTGGTGGAAGCGCTCACCTTGCTCCTCCGAGTACGCTCCCATGTTCTCCTTGAATTGATCAAGATGAGCATCAAGGATATGGACTTTGAGGGACATCCTACAGCTCATTGTGCCGTAGTTCTTCACCAGAGTCTCAACCAGCTCCACATAGTTTTCGACCTTGTGATTTCCCAGGAAACCATGAACCACTGTGACAAAGCTGTTCCAAGCCGCTTTATCCTTACTAGTGAGCTTCTTCATAATAAAGGTTTTTGGGTTAGATCGCGTTTATTTATAAATGTGTCGTAACCCTCCACCACCCGACACGGCCAATCAGCAAAAAAAGTGTCACGTTGACAAAAGACAAATAATTCACTACTTCAGCCCACCGGTGTGTTGAAGAGTTAATCCACATTTACAGTTTGAGTACGACGTTTCGCTGGTAAATACTTCCAGCATCATCGGGCAATTCGCCAGAATGGTAAAGCCCTCGCTTGCTCCCGGTTTTATATAGAGCAGCAGGGTGACGTCATCACTTAACTCATCAGGTGCAGTGATTAGAGGCGGAGGGGGGGGGTAATGTAATTATATAATCGATTAGTAATCAGTCATTGGTTATGATTAGTAATGAGTTGTAGATTAGTAATTCTTTAAATCAAAATGTAATGTGTATTATTTAATAATACGCTTCCAGGCCGCACTAAGCCGGTAGCTGTCAGAGCGATTAAAGTTATTCTTGTTCCTCTCAATTTCAATGGATTCTCTAATTAGTCTTTGCCAGTAATAATTAGTTTTACACACCACTGCAACATTGTCAAAATCAATTGAGTGTCCTTGTTGACAAGCATGTTCTGCCACTGCCGACAGTTGTGTTTGAGATAATTTAATATTTCTCTGATGTTCTTTTAGTCTTACGCTGATGTTACGTCCCGTCTGCCCAATGTAGCAGCTGCCACATGAACAATTAATCCGATATACACCTTCTGTTGATAGTTTAGGTAATGCGTCTTTAGTGCAAGATACTAGTTTTTGAATTTTGTGTACTGTACCAAATCTTACTGTAATGTTTTGCTTTTGCAAAACGCGGGCTAGTTTGTCAGTTACTCCTGAGATATATGGAATTTTTATTGTTTTAACAATCTGGTCGCTTTCAGTAGTATTGCTTTGCGATCGTGATTTGGCATTCAGTGCTCTGTTAATTTGAGCATTATTGTAGCCATTCTGTCGTAGTGCGTCTTTAACGTGTTTAATCTCTCTCACTAGACTCTCACCATCTGACACCGTTTTCGCCCGATGTACGAGCGTCTTGATAAGAGAGGATTTTTGAGCTGGATGATGATGTGATTCTGCATTCAGATAGGCATCAGTGTGCGTTTGCTTTCTGTAAACGCTGTGTGTTATTTTACCGTTTAGGCCATGTCCAAGCAAAATATCTAGGAATGGGAGTGTGTTATTCACCTCCATTTCCATGGTGAACTGGATGGCTGGGTTTTGTGCATTGAGATGATTTAGAAAATCATTAAGTGTATCTTTACCATGTGGCCAGACAACCAAAGTGTCATCCACATACCTAAACCAAAAGGATGGTTTTAATGTGCTCGAGGCAAGTGCTCTTATTTCAAAGTTTTCCATGTACAAATTTGCTATAGCAGGGGATAAAGGAGAACCCATTGCTGCTCCTTCCTTTTGTTTAAAGAAATCCCCTCTCCATAAGACAGCTACCGGCTTAGTGCGGCCTGGAAGCGTATTATTAAATAATACACATTACATTTTGATTTAAAGAATTACTAATCTACAACTCATTACTAATCATAACCAATGACTGATTACTAATCGATTATATAATTACATTACCCCCCCCTCCGCCTCTAATCACTGCACCTGATGAGTTAAGTGATGACGTCACCCTGCTGCTCTATATAAAACCGGGAGCAAGCGAGGGCTTTACCATTCTGGCGAATTGCCCGATGATGCTGGAAGTATTTACCAGCGAAACGTCGTACTCAAACTGTAAATGTGGATTAACTCTTCAACACACCGGTGGGCTGAAGTAGTGAATTATTTGTCTTTTGTCAACGTGACACTTTTTTTGCTGATTGGCCGTGTCGGGTGGTGGAGGGTTACGACACATTTATAAATAAACGCGATCTAACCCAAAAACCTTTATTATGAATAATATTGGTCGCGAAAGCCTACGTGTTAAACTGACTAACCTCTATGGGGAGGATACTTTTCTTAAAACCAGAAAATTGGAGAAGCTTCGCATTAAGCGGATGAAATTGATATCTTCACTGGCGTTCCTCAAAAGGTGCAGAGATTCAAAGGTAATACCAAACGCAGTTAAAATAACACATCACATAAAGTCTTCTAAAGCTAACCAAATACTACACAAAGCTAGCGAATTATTATTAATAGAGAGAATACAGCACAATAGGAGTGAATTATCTTACATTTCGGAATCGCTAAAGCAGTTACACTTAGATATAAGCAATAGTGTATCTATGCATTATTGGAATATAATCGATAACATAACACAACAATCGGCTGATAATGTGTTTAAACTAACAAAAACTAACCAAATTAATAAATTTTCTAGACTACAAAATAAACAAATCCCTACTGAAAACCAAAAATGTAAAAACAAAACTGTACTGAACTTGACCAACACTGTATTAACCGGTGACATGGTCTCTATCCTTTCTAAAGGCCTTAACTTTGCCGTTACCCCAAGCACAATTCCAGTGGATGAGATAATTGCTGAGGTAGAATCAGCAGTTAGACTCCTTCCACATAATGAGGCAGAGATGACTAGACATGAGGTTGCTAAAATAATTGAGAATAGCAAAGTTCCAAAAGTAAATATTAGCTCTAACGAGGCAAAAGCCTTAAGAGAGCTGCGTGTAAATAAGGATATCCAAATCCTAGCAGCTGATAAAGGCCGCACTACTGTAGTGATGTCACGAGCCGATTATGATAATAAAATTAGAAATTTACTAGAGAAAAGTACCTACATTAAAATTAAACGAGATCCAACTAATACTTTAGAACGTAAGACCACTGCAATAATTGCAAATTCATTAATCCCTAAAAATGAGCAATACCTAATTAAGCCAAGGGCCTCAAAACCACCTAGACTCTATGGGCTACCAAAGATTCATAAAATCGGCATCCCATTACGACCCATAGTCAGTACAATTGGCTCTGCCACATATCAATTAGCAAAATATATAACCAAACAAATACAGCCCTACATCGGTAAGACATCTTCATTCATAAAAAATTCAGAACATCTTGTGAATGTGATTAAAGATATTAAACTTACTCCTGATGATATTCTGGTAAGTTTTGATGTTATTTCTCTATTCACTAAGGTTCCAGTGGACGAATCGCTTAAATTACTTGATACACTAGTAAAGAATACCGGTTTACAAAAAGATATTCCGAAACTTGCTGGCCATTGTTTAAATAACACTTACTTCTTATGGAGAGGGGATTTCTTTAAACAAAAGGAAGGAGCAGCAATGGGTTCTCCTTTATCCCCTGCTATAGCAAATTTGTACATGGAAAACTTTGAAATAAGAGCACTTGCCTCGAGCACATTAAAACCATCCTTTTGGTTTAGGTATGTGGATGACACTTTGGTTGTCTGGCCACATGGTAAAGATACACTTAATGATTTTCTAAATCATCTCAATGCACAAAACCCAGCCATCCAGTTCACCATGGAAATGGAGGTGAATAACACACTCCCATTCCTAGATATTTTGCTTGGACATGGCCTAAACGGTAAAATAACACACAGCGTTTACAGAAAGCAAACGCACACTGATGCCTATCTGAATGCAGAATCACATCATCATCCAGCTCAAAAATCCTCTCTTATCAAGACGCTCGTACATCGGGCGAAAACGGTGTCAGATGGTGAGAGTCTAGTGAGAGAGATTAAACACGTTAAAGACGCACTACGACAGAATGGCTACAATAATGCTCAAATTAACAGAGCACTGAATGCCAAATCACGATCGCAAAGCAATACTACTGAAAGCGACCAGATTGTTAAAACAATAAAAATTCCATATATCTCAGGAGTAACTGACAAACTAGCCCGCGTTTTGCAAAAGCAAAACATTACAGTAAGATTTGGTACAGTACACAAAATTCAAAAACTAGTATCTTGCACTAAAGACGCATTACCTAAACTATCAACAGAAGGTGTATATCGGATTAATTGTTCATGTGGCAGCTGCTACATTGGGCAGACGGGACGTAACATCAGCGTAAGACTAAAAGAACATCAGAGAAATATTAAATTATCTCAAACACAACTGTCGGCAGTGGCAGAACATGCTTGTCAACAAGGACACTCAATTGATTTTGACAATGTTGCAGTGGTGTGTAAAACTAATTATTACTGGCAAAGACTAATTAGAGAATCCATTGAAATTGAGAGGAACAAGAATAACTTTAATCGCTCTGACAGCTACCGGCTTAGTGCGGCCTGGAAGCGTATTATTAAATAATACACATTACATTTTGATTTAAAGAATTACTAATCTACAACTCATTACTAATCATAACCAATGACTGATTACTAATCGATTATATAATTACATTACCCCCCCCTCCGCCTCTAATCACTGCACCTGATGAGTTAAGTGATGACGTCACCCTGCTGCTCTATATAAAACCGGGAGCAAGCGAGGGCTTTACCATTCTGGCGAATTGCCCGATGATGCTGGAAGTATTTACCAGCGAAACGTCGTACTCAAACTGTAAATGTGGATTAACTCTTCAACACACCGGTGGGCTGAAGTAGTGAATTATTTGTCTTTTGTCAACGTGACACTTTTTTTGCTGATTGGCCGTGTCGGGTGGTGGAGGGTTACGACACATTTATAAATAAACGCGATCTAACCCAAAAACCTTTATTATGAATAATATTGGTCGCGAAAGCCTACGTGTTATAGTGAGCTTCTTGGGGAATTCATTGCACTCCAGGATATTCTTGACCTGTGGTCCGACGAAGACACCGGCTTTGACCTTTGCCTCAGACAGCTTAGGGATGAACTCTTGAAGGTTCTTTTGAAGGCTGCCGACTCCTTATCTACAGCTCTGACAAATTGTTTCATAAGGCCCAATTTGATGCGGTGAGACCAAGATCTCTGATCAAGTCGTTGAGTTCTTTTTGGTTGGGATAGTATGGGTTTCTCTTCTCAGCTCCACCTCTGAAATTGTCATCTGGATCTACAACGTCTTCCTCGCTCTCTGACTTGCTGCTCTCTTCTAAAGACGGCTGCTCTCTCTCCGGAGGAGTGGTTACGGGGAGCTCATGGCAGTGTGGCACCGGGACAATGGATGAAGGAAGGTCCGGATACGTGATAGCAGGTGCATTCTTGTCAGTCCGACATTTGGAAGGGTCCACGATGCAGAAGTAGCAGTTGCTTGAGTCGTCAGTGGGTTCCCGCCAAAAATCTTAAGATAGCGAACTTCATGGCTCTCTTTTCCCCTCTGTACCATCCTACAAAAATACATTTATTTCACCCATGACTAATTTGTAAGAGAAAATTGTAAACATTTTCAACTTAAAAAACTTTTACAATGAAACATTTTTTAACAAAATTTTTAACATAAAATTCCGAACAACAATTGTCCATCTTACCTTCCAGAGTTTTTTTGCATTGCTCGCAGGTGAGATGAGGTACCCAGGGTTTGTCTTGTGGGGAATAATAGCCATTTTTTGTACTTTTGAGGCATAGGCAATTAGGAAATAACACTACCCAGGAAGAAAGAATAAAAAAAAATTGTTACAGTGTTGTCATTCGCAATGAGTCGATTCGCGCTTGGGGGATTCGAGGCGCAGCGTCTTGCGCCGTAATCGCCATGGCGACCGCTGCGAGTGGTCCTTGACTCGGCTGCTGCTGCAACGTCATTGCAGTCATGATCAGCAGGGCACTGGGCCCGGAGTTTGGAGGCAGCATCGGGGTGATGTTCTTCCTGGCCAACGTGTGCTCCAGCGCCGTCTTCTTGCTCGGCCTCACTGAGGCCATCATGGACTCGTTTCGGAAAAGGCGTACGTGCTGCGTCTGCGTGTGAGCGCGTGTGTGTGTACGTAGGGCAGTGGCGCAGTGGTTAGCGCACTCTGCTACGAGCCTGGTGATTCGAGTTCGATTCCCGCTCATGACCAATAATGGTGGTGAATATCTTAACCGGTCCGCGGCCTCTCCTTAAGGTTTACTCGGCCTTTAATTAGTACCTCGTGCGATGTGTAAACATCAGCATTGGGGAGACAAAGGCATCCGGGCATGGTGCTGGCCACCCACCCCCTCGTGTGCCGTGCCACCCTTGATAGGTGCTCGCTAACAGCACTTTCCCAAACAATTTGTTTAGCCTGTACGGCGGATCTTTGTCTTTGCGTGTGCAGAAATGGGAAAAATCCTCTCGCAAACATGTTTGTAACGCTCGGTGACCGTGGTTTTGGTTGCGTTGGTGGCGGTGAGCAGCTGACTTCCCGCACGGCCTGCCGGACGCGTACATCTGGGTCGTGCTCTACGCCTCGTGCCTCCTGCTCATCTGCCTCGTCGTGGTGTTGGTCGGTGCCGACATCTATTCCAAAGCAGCGTTCATCATCTTCCTGTGCGTCATACTCGTGCTGCTCACCGTCTTCATCTCCTTCTTCGCCGTGCGGAACCGGCACATCGTCATCAAGCATGGCAACATCACCATGAACCTCAACTACAGCGGCCCCAGCCTCGGCACGCTCCACGACAACCTCAAGGGTGAGTGCCGGTTCGGTGGCGGCAGCCAAAGGTCCCCCGTGTGACCATGACAGGTGCTGTTAGGGCAAGTGTTGTCGAGGCCGTAATTGCACATGAGTGAGCGGCGAGGCCAGCACCACGCCGAGCCTCCTTTGTTTTGCCAGTCGTGATGCTTATACACTGCGCCGTATGCTCAGTTGAGGCCGAATCTACCTAGGGGGGAGGCTGAGGACCGGTTCAGATAGAGTATTTGTTGTTGGCATTGCCCGTTAGCGGGAATGAACTCAGGTCGCCGGGTTCTGTTGCGCAGTGCACTAACCGTTTCGTCACCACCATCGCTCAACACCTCCACAACAATCATCACCACAACCACCGCCAGCACTACACAGCTACCGACTCTGTCACTCATGTTTGCGTCTAAGCATTGCCGCAGCAGAACTCTGCTTGTCGGTTGTGCCCGGTGTCCGTGACGCTGTATCCAACCATGGGTTTTACATCGCTCTCTCCGGGAAGTGGCAGCAAATACTGCACACTGAGACAGGTGCGAGGGCTGGGTGTGTGCCTGACACAAATCTGACAGTAACTTTTAACTCTGTTGTGTCTCTTTTCGTGTGTGAACAGAACATTACACTCAAGATTACACAACGGGTGTTACAATGACTTTTGCTTCCGTCTTTGCCATCATGTTCAACGGCTGCACGGGCATAATGGCTGGCTCCAACATGTCCGGTACGAATACGTGCAAACACGCACACAGATACGCGCACCACACTCGTCACGAGCGCAACAGATGCAGGTCCTCCCTCCTGTTGAGGCTGACACGACGCACGAGGTGGTCCTGTGAGCAGCATCAAGCTACCTTTGTCTCTCCAACTCAAATGATTACACATTACACACGGTACTAATTCGAGTGTCGCATAGTAACACTCGCCACTGATGTCAGCCATGGCCGAGAATCGAGCCCCTGACGTTTGTGCAGCTTGTGAACTACTGCCCCCTCCACTCCGAACACTCCCCATGACAAGATCCCCTGCATAACAGCTTTGCCATTGCTCCCCTCCCATGCTATACACACACACACGCGCGCATTTACAGGTATCGTCATGGACACTAACGTGCGCGTTTGCCGGTACGTGTGTGTGCGTGCGTGTGTTTGTAGGGAAGTGGTAGTATAGCAGTTGGTGCATTGCTCTAAGAACCTGGTGACGCTCACGGCCAACACCAGTTACGAATATCTGAATTGGTCCTCAGCCTCCCCGAGGTCGACTCAGCCTCAAATGAGTACCTGGTGCGATGTGTAAACATCACCACTGGGGAGACAAAAGCGGCCGGGCGTGGTGTTGGCCACTCACCCCCCCGTGCCGGCGTTGATAAGTGCTCGTTAACAGCACTTGCCCCAACAGTCTGTTAATAGGCTATGCGGGGGATCTTTGTTGTGCGTGTGCCTGTGTGCGACCGTGCGTGTGCTAGGGGACCTAAAGGACCCGAGCTACGCAATCCCACGCGGCACCATCGCTGCCGTGGTGTTCACGTTCTGTGTGTACGTGCTGCTCTGCTTCATGGTCAGCTGCTCCTGCCCCAGGTGACCGCGCCACGCGCCCCATTACTCTGCACAGATGGGACGGGTCGCATGACACGATGCCGTCCACCAACAGTGTCCTCCGCATCTCCAGGGATAGTAATCAGAACGATTCAATTGGGTATCCCTCGATTTACGAACGTTCGGTTTACAAAATTTCTCATTCACGCAATTGACATTATGGACACTTTTCTATTAACAAAATAAAATTTTCACGTTAACAAAATGTCACGCAGTATGCGCCATGAGATCAAAGAAGAGCCACCCAGGAGGCTGCGTCATACACGACAGTGTCACGGTGTCCCTACAGTAGCAAAGTAACACCTCCACATCACCTTTTCAGTAATTCCAAAATGCAGATCTTTTGGCGGGTTCCCAGAAAAGGTTAATTATCTTTGTTTTACATGACTTATTAGTGAGTCGTTTTAATCATGTAAGTTTTTCATTATTATTTTTGTATTGTGAAAGTGATTATGGTGTATATTTTTAGGTTAGGAGTAGAATTGGAATGGCTGTCTGAAATACGTCTCATTTTTTCTTATTAAATCAATAGAAAAGCCATTCCGATTTACAAACTTCCATTCTATGCGTGTTTTTTGAAGAACGCCTCCCTTTCGTGAGTCGAGGGATACCTGGAATTATTTTTTGAGTCAGATCGTGAAAGTAAAATGTGTGTCGTACACCCTCCTCCACCCGATACAGCCAATCAGTAAAGTTCTCGCGTGATGAACAAACCTGCCGGATTGTCACTGCTTTAAGGGCTGCCTGCCAGACGCGAACCACGAACCTCTGCAACAAAGATCGTAGTTCTTCTGCGCTGGTCTGCTCGGTGTCGTTGTCGGTGGTATCAGTCGGTAACCTTCCACTGCCCGGCACAGACCTCTGCCGTTTGGTTCCGAGGACACGAGGGGTTCACACTTGCCGTGCTCGGAAGCAGCTGCTGTGTTGGGAATGAGAGCGATGAGATCGCAGGTCAAGCGAGCGAGTGAGTGGACGGTGTGGGCCCCGGTGTCTGCAGGGATTTGCTGCTGTACAACTACGTCTTCATGAGAGACATCAACGTGTGGGGCCCCTTCGTCACCATCGGCATTTACGCCGCGTCGCTCTCCGCCGCCATGAGCTGCCTCATCGGTGCCTCGCGAGTGCTGCACGCCGTCGCACTTGACGATATCTTCGGTGCGCCATTCCTCCTCACTCCTCCTGGCTCTACATGTGGGGTGGTTGTGGTGATGGTGGTAGTGTCTGTGGCGATAGTGGTGGTGGTGGTGATGATGAGGGTTGTGGTGATAATGCTTCTGGTAATGATGGTGTTTGTGGTGGTGGTGATGATGGTTGTGGTGGTGGAGTGACGCGGTTGTGCTGCGCTCTGCCCAGGCGTTCTGCTGAAGGTGGTGAAGCGGACGTCACGCTCTGGGAACCCCTGGGTGGCCGTGCTTGTCTCCTGGTTCCTCGTGCAGGTGCCGCGCACTCACTCACGTGCTCACTCGCCCACTTGCTCACGCTCTCAATCGCCCGCTCGCTTGCCCACTCACGCACCCACTCACCCATTCACCCGCTCACTCGCCCGCTCGCTCGCCCACTCACTCACTTGCCCACTCAGTCACGTGCTCACTCGCCCACTCGCTAACTTGCATATCTGAACCAGTCCTGACTTCCCTAGGTTAACTTAGCATTAAATGAATTACCGGCATTGTACGTAAACATCACCACTGGGAAGCTAAAGGCGGCCGAGTGTGTTTTGATAGCCACACCAACCCCCTTGTGCGCTATGCCGGCCTTCATAGGTACTCGCTCACAGCACTTGCCTCAACTACGTGTAGGCTAAACGGGGGACCTTTGTCTTTGTGTGAATCAGCTGGTGCTGTTTGCGGGGCAGCTGAACACCATCGCAGGCATCGTGACCGTATTCTTCCTGATCGCGTACGCCACCGTGGACCTCGCGTGCCTGGCCATGGAGTGGGCCTCCGCCCCCAACTTCAGGTATGAAATTCCTTACGCTGCACTCCGACACTCTGCACTCCCGCACTCTACACTCTGTCTGCACTCCGCGACGCTGTTGCTGCTGTCGCTCTGCTCACAGACCGACGTTCCAGTTCTTCTCATGGCACACCTGCCTGCTGGGCATGGTGGGCTGCCTCATCATGATGTTCATCATCAGCCCCATCTACGCGTCGGCCAGCATCGCCGTTATGCTGCTGCTGCTCGTCTTCATCCACTACCGTTCGCCCTCCAGCAGCTGGGGATACATCAGCCAGGCACTCATCTTCCACCAGGTACCGCCCCACTCCATACCACTCCACACCAGGACAGAAGGCTGCCTCATAGAGGCTGCTCCACGCTCATGCATGGGGTACTCCACACTCTCGCTCGGTGATTAAAGACTCGACATGCGTATGATGCTGGCTCTGCACGTGCCGCTGCGTGTGGCCATGTGTGCTTCACGACATCTGCCGTCATTTGTCCCTGCGCTCCACACAGGTTCGCAAGTACCTCCTGCTGCTCGACATCCGTAAAGACCACGTCAAGTTCTGGAGGCCACAGATCCTGCTCATGGTCGCCAATCCCCGCTCCAGCTGCCACCTCATCCACTTTGTCAACGATATCAAGAAAGGCGGCCTCTACATCCTGGGGCACGTGGAGGTCGGGGACCTGGGTGGGTGCCGTGGCCCCATGACCCCATTTCCCAGTGACCCATGTCCTCTTGACCCTGCGTCCCCATCAACCCTGGCGAGAACGCGCCATGGATTTAAGGGGCCATGGAAGATGGCCAAGAGAGAAAGAATAACGGAGTGGTAGTTGAGTAATGGAATGTGTCAGAGAGGATGTCCGTCTAGGAGATGGAGCGATGAAATCAGAGTGTGTCCAGGTTCTGGGTAGATTATTGCATTGCAGGATTGTGGGAGGTGAAGTTGACTTGGGGATGCCTTCATTGAGCAGTCGATTGACCATGGCTGATTGCCAAACTAAATAATTTGTGTTCAGTCCTGAGCAGTGATGAGCTTGTTATTTCTCGTGGTGGCGTTGTTCAGACTCGATCCCGTACGACCCCCTGGAGAGCCAGGTGAACTACTGGCTCAGCCTGGTGGACAAGCTGAACGTGAAGGCGTTCGTGGACATCACGCTGTCACCCACCGTGCGCCAGGGCGTGCAAAACCTGCTGCGCATCGCCGGCCTGGGTCCGCTGCCACGCTCGCATCGCCCGAAACGCTCACGCCGCTCACACTACCCGCATCGCTCACGCTCGCGCCGCTCACACTGCCCGCATCGCTCACGCTCTCGTCACCCATGCTCGCACTGCCAACACCCGCATTGCACTCGCGCTGCAATCGCTCACGCTGGCCGTGTGTGTGCGTGGCTGCTCCCTGCAGGGGGAATGAAACCCAACACGCTCTTCCTGGGCTTCTACGACGACTGCGTCCCCGACGACTACTTCCTGAGCGAGCCGGCATTTGCAGCACCGCACGGCCCAAGCTGCGAGCGCGACGACCCCGATCACTTTGGGGTGGACACCTCCTCGCTGCTGGTGCGATGCCAGCGCCTCTCAGCCTTGTCTAGACCACCACCTCTACAGAGCTGAACGTGTGGACATTTTGTTTAGGCAGCAGTTTTTCGGCAGCTCAATGCCAATGTTCAGGTTTGCTGCTCGCCACGACGAGAGGGCTTCAGGAGAGAGTTCTTGTAGTTTTGTTATTCCTTCGTTGAAGGGGCGCAGACTGCAGTGGTTTCCTATATGGGTCCATAGTTTAGGTTGCATGGCCACAATCGCATTACTGTGGCTTGTCTTTCGTGTAGCTATGTATCTTTGTGTGTCTGTATCTATGGATCTCTATGCATCTCTTTTTGTCTATGGATTTACTATATAATCTAAAGTTTGGGTTGCATGGACAGATTTGTACAATTGTGGCTTGTTTTTAATTTCCCACTCATGAATGAGATGTGTTCATTGGCCTGGTGATGTTCTGATTGTGGTTGATGGTTCCACCAGTGTCTTCTCAGCAGGGGTGGCTACACTTATGCCTGTTTTGTGTCACTTTCACAAAGCTACTACCATCATCTAGGCAAATTGGATGTCGTTAACTCGAATCCAGACATTGTCGAAAGAGCATACAGCAGGGAAACCGAGATGACTGTAGACTACTGGCTTTGTCCTCGTTAGGTCTCAGAATCCGAATATTTTATTTATTTATCCTGGAAAAATCCGATTAGCTATGAAGCTCTTTTTCACATTTCCAGTAGTAGCAGGTCAGCAAGTTACAACAACAAACAATACACAAAAAACGATTGGAGTGCAAAGTAGAGAAAAGGTAAGCAAGTCATTCGAAATAAATAAAAATAAATAAAGTATATGAGTGAAAATTGCATAGTATATACATTCCTGCCAATTTTTAAACACTAAAGATAAGTTGGGGCAAGGCTGCAAAACAACAAAAGAGTCGCAGATCACACCCAAGACAACACCACACAGTAGTAGTCAGTCCCTCATTACATATCGATACACGGTTAAGGATAAAAGTTACAAATCACATTTGCAAATTTGGTTGTAGCCACCACTAATCTGCTTCAGGATATTTTTTAAAGGAAGTTTTACGCTGTTAAAGGAGGAAACAAGTTTGTCCCAAAACGTTGGTACAGTACAGTCATCGATGTTCACTACTGGCTTGTACCCACGGGATTCTCTACATGGAGAGACGACTTACCTCTAGAGGGACCCGTCGTCAATTGCTGAAAACAACTAAACTCTGTCAAATCCAACATTCTATACACGACAAAAAAACGCATCCTAACAGGAAATTGTGTGCTCTCTGGAAACAAATAATTCTCTAAATATTAGATTGGATAAATAAAGGCATAGAGGTAAATGGTAAAGTCGCCTTTTGTACACGTTTGAGAGATGAGAGCTCCCTCAGAAATCCTCTTGGGCACTTTACGAGACATTGCCGTGTCATCAAGTTAAGCCACAGCCAACACGAAGTACTGCCTTGTGTTGGTTACGGCGATGTGACCAGTCTTATGTTGACTCTTCTGTTCAAGTGCAGGCTCGAGGCCTCTTCTCCTTTGCGTATGACTGACTCGTCTTTTTTCTTTAGAACATATTGATATCTATGCCTTGCGCATCCCCTGTCATGCGCACATCCCACTGTTTCGTGCAGCGTCTTGAGACGGTCACACTGATTGTGCCGCCCCCGTCGTAGGCTCACTTCCCTCCCGTGCACGCCCTGGAGTCACCGAAGGCGCTTTCGGTACGGGAGTACGTGGCCGTGGTGTCGGACGCCATCAAGATGAAGAAGAATGTCTGCCTCTCGCGCTACTTCCACGAGCTGGACATGGCGCTGGTGCGCGGCAAGCGCAGAGGGGCGCCCTCCGTCTCCATCGATGTGTGGCCCCTCAACCTGCTGCGGCCCGACTCGGCCTACTACGTGGACGTCTGCAGCCTCTTCCTGCTGCAGATGGCCTGCATCCTCAACATGGTGTCCTCGTGGCGCCACGCCAAGCTGCGTATCTTCCTGTGCGTCGAGTCGTCCCTGTCCGGAGGTGAGAGGCCGGGCGGTATCACCGACAATATAATAATAATACAGCAAGAGCTTTGTTATCCAGCATCCACGGGGAATGGAGGGTGCCGGTTTATGAAATACTGTATGCCGGTTATTTGAGAGTTAGACTTGTGGTTCACTAAATTTTCCAAGTAAATTGAACTTTTCAAGGAATAACCTAAGCCTACATTTTAACTGATATTTTACAGAGGTACGCGTGAGTCAGTTATAGAGTATTCTAAGTTGATTGTAGAGAAGCAGTGGGACAGTATACAGTAGTACAGTACTGTATGTACAGACTTCGCTAGCACCACCACTCGGCAGTGTCCTGAAGCTCCCGTAAACAACAGATCTATGCTAAGTGCATGGCAAGATGCCGGATGGCTGTCAGAATGTTTCTGGATACGTGAAGGAAGATTTGTATTGTCGTTAATGGGTGAAATCAAAGCTCAAAGCAAGGAAAGTTTTCCCACTCCTGCTCTTTGCTAATTTCCATCACTTATGACACATAGCATCAAAGTTATTTTGGGCCCTGCCCGTGCAACATGGCACCTTCTGTGTTATTTTCAATGCCAGTCATTCAGGTAAGCCTCACTGAGTCTCAAGACTCTTTAATTATAATAATAATAATAACAATGTAATAATCATAATATTGAATTTGTTACGTGCACTTTGCATTCTCAGAGGAACAGAAGGAATCAGAGGCTTGGGAATCCACAGACGAACAGGAAGGCAGCCAGAATTGGCACAAATAATTGCCCAAACTCTGTGGCCCTGTATTGGGATGTTTCCCTAACTCCATTAAGGAGTGTTGTAAATGTGAGAGGGAACCGGTGTACCTGGAGAAAACCCATGCTTGCGAGGTGGGTAACACTCAATCCCTATACCGATGGAAACATATGGAATTGAATCCACTTGCTGTACTGCCATCATACTCTGCCAAGCTGGGAGATGGCAACCTCGACACCGATGGTAGGGAGGCAGTTTCACGAACGTGTGGTGATCCACCAACCCTCACTGCCTCGACAGTCCTGGGTTCCAGGCCACGTGCAGCGTAGCCACTAGGGCCTGGCTGACGATTATTGGCAGTGCTGTTCATGTCCTTTCATTCCTGATGGCACTCTCCTCGTAAAAAATTCCACTGCACACGCCCCTGCTGCCCGTGCTGCGCAGGTCCCTTCTGCCAATGCCCTTTGTACGCCCTGATGCGCGTGTGCCTGCTGAGGCTGCTGTGCTGACTTGGCCGTGTTGTTGCTGCTGCCCAGGTGTGTGCGAGTCGAGCGACGAGGCGCGCTGGAGGAACAAGGAGGAAAAGCTGCGGGAGCTACTGTCCCAGCTGCGCATCAAGGCCTCCATCCACACCGTGCACTGGGATCAGGTGGTGGCGTTGCACTGGAGCCGCCAGCCGGGAGGGGGGGGCTCGTACGACCACCTGGATGACGACGACGTCGCGATGAGCGACATTGGAGGCCTCCATGGTGCCGACGGATTCCCAGCGAGGGAGCGAGAGGGCGCCGATCGGGTGAGGAAACGGCCTCTGAAGAGGGACGAGAGACTGGAAGAGGAAGAGGACGACGGTAGTGGCGGCGGTTCGAGTGAGGAGGATCATTCCAGGAGCTCGTTGAAGGCGACGCTTAACTGGATGGCGATGTCCGATGAGTATCTGCGCGCGGTGAACCGCCTGGTGCTGGGCCAGGAGCTCGTCGAGCAGACGGGCACAGCCGATGGGCGGCAGTGCGCCGTCCGTTTCCTCTACCTGCCCAGGCCGCCCGCTGACCCGGCCGGCTACGAGCGCTACCTGCACCAGCTCGAAACCATCACCGACGGGCTGGGGCCCACGCTGCTCATCCACGGCGTGTCGCAGGTCACCAGCCTCGACATGTAAGTTGTCGGGGCCCGCGGCGCCCGGGGTCTTGGCCATTTCGAGTCGCCAGGTCCGCCGTGGAACGGAGACTCGCGAGTCTCTCCATGAACGTCACACGTGAGATTGCGCGGACCCTAGCGTACGGGAGACCTGCGTGCCGGTGCCTGTGTGCCGGTGCCTGTGTGCCGGCAGCTCGATGCCTGGCATGCGATGTGGGCGTTAAGCACGGGCAGCGGGGCCTGAGTGGCAGGCACGCCTGGTTCACCTGTGGTTTTCTGTATGTGCCGTCTCCCCTGGTTTGTCTTTTAAATATATTTCTTTTGCGTCGCTCTGCATTGTATTGCTTGAGTCCGTTGATCACTAATAAGGGTGTAACTGACCACTAATAATCCCCCCTTTTGTTAAAATTGCGTTGTGATATGTAGCGTGCGGTCGCTAAAATATTAAATAAAGCGTTGGCTTTACGAATAGAGAACCCTCCTCCATTACGGCACCCCCTCCATAGTCAAGTTTACTTATCCTCAGCCTCTTTGAAATTGTATTTGCTTAAAAGTGCCGGGTGAAATCATAGCTGAAAGTGTCACAGTCCTCAAATAAACATTGGGCAGCCCTCAGCTCTACTAAAGTGTCACCCACGTGTCACTTGAGTGTCACCCACGTGTCACTTGAGTGTCACTTGAGTGTCACCCGCGTGTCACCCGCGTGTCACCCGCGTGTCACTAGTGTCACCCGCGTGTCACTTGAGTGTCACCCGCGTGTCACTAGTGTTATCCCCTAATTGCCACTACAGTGTCGCTCAAGTGTCGCCCGAGTGTCACTAGAGTGTCACCTGCCCTAAGCATCACTCATAAATTATCGATCCCAATTTTCCCGAGGACCAAATCTTCTTGAGTGGGTTGGATGGGGTTGAGCCTGGTTAGTTCATGAATGGCTGAACAGGGCTTGTCAGATGTTGTAGGCAATTGGTTGCGAGGTGGCCTCTTTTAATTTAATCAGTGAGGTTTGCGAGGAGCGCTGCGTGTGTTAATTTAGACCTTTGCTTTGCACACTAAATTAATATCACTTGTGTCTTTGTATCCATGCAATAGGAATGCTTTGACCTATGTAAGGAGCACGATGCACTTGATGATTTTTGTAAGGAACTGAAACCACTGGGTACTTTAGCAGAGAAACGAATTGGGAAGAGTGGGGGGCGGGGGTGGAGCAATGCCCCCTGTGCGTTGAATATTGTGGTGGCGCTGTGCTTGTGAGGTCGTGTAGTCCCTATGCCTTTGTTTAATATAACATGACCAGTGGTTTCCGTGTTTACATTGGCCTTCTGCCTAAAAAGTGCAAATTGTACTGTTGGTACTTCGTCAAGAATACTGCTGGTGGTGGTTTAGCTGGCAATGTGTGTCTAGCACAGCTTTGTGCCTTACCTGCAGAAGGACGAGGAGTGCGGTTTGAACACGGCTTGCTGTAAGGTGCCACATGGTGGCTGAAGAAATGTCAACGTGTGTGTGCCTCTCAGAGCATCTGCGTGTGTGTGTGTTAATCTTGTGCGGCGTTGTCGTCGAGTTTTAAAAATGATACTAAATGTCGCATTCCACCTAACGCTCGCTTCTAACAATGCAAAGTGCTTATAACAGTGGTGACAATGATACCTGCTTTGATATGTTTAAACATCCACTTAAATACATCACAACTTTATTATCGTTTTACAAGGTGCTACGTGAATAACTAAGAGCTCCGGCTTGGTGGTTTCAGGCTGTAAAACCACTCATGTCACCGGCACTGGTGCTGTGCAGGTGCTGTCCCCATAGCGCGGTGGGGATGATATCACAGAAAAACCCAAAATGACCAAAATGTCAAGCTGCCAGCAACAATGAGCACGATGAAAGTTACAATTGATATTAGTGAACACATTTTGTCAATCGTGCAAAGTTATTATTGTAAGAGCTTGGGGAAAAAAGATGAAAGAATTCCAAAATGGAGCAGGGTGAGGAAAGAAGCATTCATTGAAGTATTTGTGGCCTTGTGGTGGGTGGGTGAGTTGAGTTGTTGAACACAGCATAGATGAGATGAGAGAGTCAGTGTCTGGTTGACCAAGTCCTCAACTTGTGACACCATGTGTACAAAACGCAAAAGGGACCTTCACAGCAAGGGTCAGAGCAGTCCACGGACTACTGCTACGATCCGAGGAGAACGCCTCTATCCGTGAATTCTTATCAGCGGGAGAGACGTTGCTGTTTGTGTGGGAGGTGATGGCAGCCCTCGTCTCCGTGGACAAGTTCTTGTGCCGCACGCAGCGCACGCAACGAGTATCTGCACCGAGTGTGCCCTGCTATTTGTGATCAATTACAGATGCTCAACGTCACTCCTGATGGAATGGCCACATTTTTGATGCGTGCTTCAAAACTGTTAAGACAGAGCCTCATACGATCACAAGATGTATTGGAGGTAAATTGCTGAGAAATAAATGTTCAAACTTTATGTTAAAATTTTAGGAAAGATAAGACAGTTTATAGTGTCACAGTGTTTATGATTTAAGCTAAATGATTGTATATGTTAAGGTGGAATAATTTACATTTCTAAATTAAATGTATTACCTTCATTTGTGAATATTCAACGACATAAGATGCTGTAACTTGTAAAAATGTTAAACCAACATTAAAAAACGTACCTCTTTGTCCATGCTATGTAGGGTAATTTAGTGTGACGGTTCAAATTTTAATTTCTTCCTGTGGATTACCAAATGTTGATTGCTTTACGAATAAACAACACTGCGATCGTCACGGGCGAGATGCGTGGGTTCAGCAGCCGGAGGAGACACCACCACTGCATGTCCAGCAGCACTGAGCGGCTCTCTCTGTGTTTCCTGGAGGTATTGCTGACATTGAGCACGGCGTCCAGCCTCTGCATTCATAAACAATAGAGATGAGGGTGAGAGGTGACGAGTGTACGATCATGACCGGGCAGAAAGCCCACTTGTCCACGTAAAATAACATTGACATGGGCCTACATTCGTCCATTAGTCTATGGGTCTTCCAAACCAGTGTTTTCTTTTGTCCTGGAAAGCACTGTGTTGTAGCAAGCTGATGGACAACAAGGTAATTAATGCAAGTTATTTTATGATGAAATGGCCTTTGTTGCATATTAATTATCTTTGGTACTCCACCACCATTGGGTTTATGTACTCAACACCTGTGTTTGTTTTTAAATATGCTTTGTGGATGGGTAATGCTGGACCCGATTGCGCAAGTGGCTGCTTAGAACCTCTTCTGTTTTTGTACTGAAATGTGCTTGGTTGCTTGCTTTTACGCGGGTACTGGTGGTAGTTTCCTCTCTTTAAGACCTGGTTTTATCCAAGCTGACAAACGAGTATGCAAGGCCGTGTTTATACATTGGGAATACAATGTATTGGTTGTTAATGTGGCCTTGGTGTCTTTTATGTGTGAGTGGGGCAGTGTGAGTGAGATGAGTGGGGTGCTGTCTGTAAGTAAGTTGCTGTGTGAGTGGGTTCATGTGTGAGTGGGGTGAGTGGGGTGCTGTGTGAGTGAGGTGCTGTGTAAGTGGGGTGCTGTGTGAGGTGAGTGGGGTGCTGTGTGAGTGGGTTCATGTGTGAGTGGGGTGCTGTGTGAGTGAGGTGATGTGTGTGTGAGGTGAGTGAGGTGCTGTGTGTGTGAGGTGCTGTGTGTGTGAGGTGAGTGAGGTGCTGTGTGAGTAAGGTACTGTGTATGTGGGGTGCTGTGTGTGTGAGGTGAGTGAGGTGCTGTGTGTGTGAGGTGAGTGGGGTGCTGTGTGTGTGAGGTGCTGTGTGTGTGAGGTGAGTGAGGTGCTGTGTGAGTGAGGTGCTGTGTGATTGGGGTGCTGTGTAAGTGGGGTGTGTGCTGTGCGAGTGAGGTGAGTGGGGTCCTGTGGAATATTGGATGTGGGCTTATGAAGTATTGGTCACCTGCATCTCAATTTCATCAAACATGACGTTGACAGGGGCGGTGTGGGCGCAGAGAGGATGTGGAACACATACATTTGTGAACAAATGCAAATAGCAGTTGTTCATTGTTAAGGACAGTACGTTCAAGTTAATTTTGTTTAGCCAGGTGAAAACGCAAGAGACCACGATGAAGTCTAATTTTCAAAGTGAAACAAACGATGGAGTGGCAAGCAATTGAACGTGCCCCGCTGGTGAGCGTGCAGGTGCTATGTGGATCACGACATTGAAACGTGTATCCATTTACAGGAACAACTGTGCCTGGGTTTAACCAGACTGGATTGTGTGAGGAGCTCTCAGATCCTCCAAAGTTCTGGGCACAGTCCCATCAGTAAGTGCCTCCGGTAGTCGAGGCAACGCTGGGTCATGTAGCTCGCATGCCCAAGCAGCTTCTGTTTGGCCATTCATCTCCATCAACCCATGGCATCTGGGTCTGTCCCGTGACATCCTGCAGAGAGCATTCTGCACTTCATGTGGCCTCGAGATGCACCTCGCCTGGCACAAGCTCCGTGGTGACGTCACCACCACGTGGCGAATGGCGGCTATTGCGACATCGAGAGACGGTGAGCGATGGGGACGGCTTGGTGGAAGGACGCCATCTAGCAGTGGATAGATCGTGCGTGGCTGGTGCTCGGTGAAGGGGTTTATAGTTGAAGGTTAGTATGGGGGGAGGGGGTAGTGGGAGTCTCCGCCTAGCGGCTCCGAGCCCCCGGCGAGGCTAGGAGGCGGCAGTGAGCCCTGCAAGCAGCGAGTTGATGCCGTGAGGTCACGGGGTCACCGCGCCACGTGTTTACAGTGCGGCAGCGTGGGTGAGTGGGCACTGTACGCGGAAGTGCAGCAGCGGAGCGAACACTGTTGCTGTACTGCGCCTCGAGAGCTCGCCTCGTCACGGAAACGGGGAATTGTCACCACCGGCTCTTGAGCGCTGCTCTAGCGCTGCGCTACGCTCCGAACCTCAGCGACCCGAGTTTGATTCCCGCTTCACTTTCAACATCGATGACGAGAATCTGAACCGATTTTGGGCCTTTCCTAGGTCGACTCAGCCTTCAATGAGTACCTGGCGCGCCGGTGTGTAAACATCACCATTGGGGAGACAAAGGCGGCCGGGCGTGGTGTTGGTTACCCACCCCCTCGTGTACCGTGCCGCCCTTCAGAGGTGCTCGCTAACAGCACTTGCCCCAACAGCATGTTAGGGCTATAGTGTGATCTTTGTATGTCTCTGTGTAAACAGTACGTGTCCATGCGCGCGTGTGTCATTGTGCATGAGTACAGTACGTGTCTCAATGTGTGTGTGTCTCGCTGTGTGTGTGTCTCGCTGTGTGTGTGTCTCGCTGTGTTAAGGCTATATGGGGGATCTTTGTCTTTATCTTTGTGGCTCGCTGTGTGTGTCTCGCTGTGTGTGTCTGTGTGTTTGTCTCGCTGTGTGTCTCACTGTGTGTGTGTCTCACTGTGTGTGTCACTGTGTGTGTCTCACTGTGTGTGTGTGTCTCGCTGTGTGTGTGTCTCACTGTGTATGGAGAGCGATAGTGTAGCGGTTAGCGCCACGCTGCGCTATGAACCTGGCCACCCGAGTTCGATTCCCGCTCACGGCCAACACCAGTGACGATTATCTGAACCGGTCCCGGGCTTCCCTTAGGTCGACTCAGCCTCAAATGAGTACCTGGTGCGGTGTGTAAACATCGCCACTAGGGAGACAAAGGCGGTCGGGCGTGGTGCTGGCCACCCACCCCCTCGTTTATCATGTCGGCCTTCATAGGTGCTCGCTAACAGCACTTGCCCCTACAGTCTGTTACAGGCTATATGGGGGATCTTTGTCTCACTGTGTGTGTGTGTCTCACTGTGTGTGTGTGTCTCACTGTGTGTGTGTCTCACTGTGTGTGTGTCTCACTGTGTGTGTGTGTCTCACTGTGTGTGTGTATCTCACTGTGTGTATCTCACTGTGTGTGTGTGTCTCACTGTGTGTGTGTGTCTCACTGTGTGTGTGTGTCTCACTGTGTGTGTGTGTCTCACTGTGTGTGTGTGTCTCACTGTGTGTGTGTGTCTCACTGTGTGTGTGTGTCTCACTGTGTGTGTGTGTCTCACTGTGTGTGTGTGTCTCACTGTGTGTGTGTGTCTCACTGTGTGTGTGTGTCTCACTGTGTGTGTGTGTCTCACTGTGTGTGTGTGTCTCACTGTGTGTGTGTGTGTCTCACTGTGTGTGTGTGTGTCTCACTGTGTGTGTGTGTCTCACTGTGTGTGTGTCTCACTGTGTGTGTGTGTGTGTCTCACTGTGTGTGTGTGTGTGTGTCTCACTGTGTGTGTGTCTCACTGTGTGTATTTCACTGTGTGTCTCTCACTGTGTGTATCTCACTGTGTGAGACAGGGCGGCTTGACGATGTGGAGCTGTCGCGGTCTCTCGGCTGTGGCGCCGTGCCGGTGGTCGTGGTGGGGCCTGGCCCCTAGCCGGGTGGCACCGGCCCGGGGCGAGCGGGCGAGCACCACCACCACCGCCACCACCGCCACCACCACCGCCCGCACGGCGCGACTCCCTGGCCAGCCCGCCAGACGGGACAAGGCCCGCGCTGCCAAAGGTCACAACGCCGGGGCTCGTTCATTCATTTCGTGTCCATCGCAACAAGTTATTCCGCTGCTCGGTGCGGTTCCATGGGTGCGTGTGTTAGAATTGGGATTTTAGTGAGATTCATATTTCCTACAAAACGAATTGTTTGTAGTTATTTAGGCGGAGCTACTATTGTTTTCTACAATGCATAAAAATTGGGGAATGGGCTAAACAACCTGCTGACAATGGTCTACACCTCTATGAGTATGTGATAGGGTCTGTGAACGGCAGCATTGCTGTGGCTTCTGTACTGCCTGTCATGGATGCGGAAGGATTTTACTAAACGATACACTTTTTTCATTTTACCAGGTAAGGCGCACTGAGCAATACATCTCTTTTTCAGAAGCGATCTGGCCACAAAGGATAGCTAAACGAAGTAGCTTATGTGGCAGTTAATAGCAGCCAAATACACTAAACGCATGTTTTTAAATATTATGTAACTTTCTGGTAACATTCAGAACACTGAAAATGTATATCAGGATTGATCATTCCCGCATTAATATATGCCTATTTTTTGTACATTCTGTAATAATTTGCCGACACATGAGAGCAGTCTGCTGCCGTACTGCGCATTCACGACCCATGGAGAGGGGAGGTGCAGGGTGGGGGGGTGGATCGACCACTGAACGGCACGGATGGAGCAGAGTTCATCTGTCCTAGCTTGAGAACAGTCAGGTTCTCTCCTGTAATTCAAAAAATATTTAAGCACTGAACAATGTTGCAAATTTCACAGGCGTGCCTGCTGGTGAAGAGGTGGCAAGAGGGGAAGGCGGGAGCTCGGTGGGAAACAGTGGTGGCAATGGGGAGTGGAGCACCAAGGAGGAGCAGCCGCTGGGCGAGTTCGTTGCCAGCGTCGCTCAGGAGGCGGTCACACACGGCGCGATGCGGGGCCGGCCCTCAGCTGCTGTGGCCTCCGCCGTGGAGATGGCTGCACAGGGCCTCCTGGACCTGGGATTCTCACAGCATCAAGTCCGCTGTCTGGTGCGGAGCAGCCCTGCCGCGATGCTGCCCTCCGCACCACATGATCAAGCTGGCGCACCGGTGCGTGACTCTGGGCCGTGCTCCCTCGACATGCTCAGGCGCCCAATCCTTTACTGTGCATTGAACAAAAACGCTGCCTATTCCCCCAAGAAACATGAAGCCTCCAGACTCAACTGGGAGCATTGTAATGTTTTGCCACGTCCATCTATTAATGTTTGCCATGCGGAAGGGAACCGTAACACCCGGAGGAAACCAGTGCATATGAGGGGATAACAATCAGCACCGTCATCTTCTGGCCACCCCACAGCCCCACACCTACAAGACCTCGCAGGTCTTGCCGATCACTCGTCAAAGCACAAAGCAGGTCTTGCCGATCACTCGTCAAAGCACAAAGCAGGCCCAAGACTGCTTAGCTTAAAAAATTTGAAAAGATCGAGTGTATTCGAGAGGATTTGGCCATTAACTCTGATCACATAAGACAGTTGAGTGACTTCATCAGGGATTGTATCGACAAGAAATGCTTGTGTGTGACTTCATCGCCTTCAGGTGACGAGGATCTGCATTTGGTTAAATTTCGATTTAAAGCTTTCGTGACTGCAGGGATTCATCTTCATGGTTATTTCGGTAAAGTCACGTAGAAGGGAAATAATAAAATAATAAAAATTGAACAGAAAATTCTCATGACGTTTCGGCCACAACACAAGTAGCCTTCCTCAGGTGAAGAAACAGAACTGTCGGAAAGACAGAGCTCCAATGAACACTGCTAAGCTTGGCAGCGTATTTTAAGCTGGGTGGGAGGAGCAGAGCGCCTTGACAAAGGAGTTTACATATCAACAGAAGAATTTAACATTGAAGTAGCTTTGTTAATGTGAGAGATTAGCATGATAGTGTGAGGAATTAGCATGTAACTGGTCACGGAAGTAGCTATGTTAAAGTCAAGAGTTTACATATCAACAGAGGCATTTAGTATATTGATGCTAAAGAACTGTAACTACCCAACTATCATACAATAAACCGATGTGAAAGAACTAAGTATAAACGACATCAATATAATCAATGTACTCAATATATTCTCCAATAAGCTGAGCTATTAACATAAAGTAACTGGGTATACACTACACTATATAATGAATACCATATAGTAAACTGATAAAAAACTAAAATATAAACTACATCAATATTTTCAATAAACTCAATATACTCTCCAATCAGCTGAGCTACTAACAATAAGTCATTATACATTACAATTCTGTTGAAAAAAGTGGCGGTTTCTTTTTTCCTCAACGTTAGCACCACGGAAAGCAGCGAGCATTGTTCAGATGGACGAGTCCATCTATGCTCGGAACGGAGGAGGGGGGAGAGAGAGAAACAACCACGATGCGCTGCTCTGTCCTGTGCTGCGTTACAACTATGCTATAAACTAGACTACTACACATTACAATATTATACCTTCCAATCTAAACTACATTGTATAATATCGTATACACAGCCCAATATAATGCATTATATTGATATGCCTCCAACTAATCTTTTTTTCTACATTACAAGACTATACACCGTAATATACACTGCCATAGACAAACCCCACTATTGAATTATACAATGCGTTACTATGCAGCACCCTATACTTTAGACTATACAAATATTAGACTTTTAATATTACACTGTATTAGTCTACCAACCCTACTGTATACCACACTGCTGTATATTCACTATACAATTACGATACTATATATTGCCTTATGAATTATGTGAAACATTACACTGTTATACTATTTATTATTATACAATATGCTATAAACCATACCATTGACCTTCTTTGGTTCTTTCGGTAAAGTCACGTAGAATGAGAATAAAATAATAAATTGATAAAATAAAATAACACAATAATATTCTCACGACGTTTCAGGTGAAGGGGGCGAGACTGTCTGGTAGGACAAGCGGCCTGATGAAGGCCGCTTGTGTTGTGGCCGAAACGTCGTGAGAATATTATTGTGTTATTTTATTTTATCAATTTATTATTTTATTCTCATTCTACGTGACTTTACTGAAAGAACCAAAGAAGATGAATCATTGCAGTCACGAAAGCTTTAAATCGAAATTCATACCATTGACCGTCGTGTGAAAGGTACTATGAGGCAGTGCCAGAGAATGGACTGCGGTCTGAAAGTCACCGTAAAATACAATCAATCAAGAACCGAAATGGTTTATCATGTCTTTCCAATGATTACTAAGCCAGAATCCATCTTCTCGGTTGAAATTGTCTCTGTTTGTATATGTGGATGGCCACATGAACGAATCTCTCATGGTAGCCGGATGGCTTGCAGAGAACCTCCGTCTTGGAGAAGTCAATGTCATGTGAGCCCACTGAATTATATCAGTGATCTGCCACGGCTGAGGTGTTCGTCCTATCATGTTTCAAGTCTGCTTTATGTTTACGGATGCGGTCCGAGATATGTCGTTTGGTTTCTCCAATGTAACTGCTACCACTGAGGCAATTTAGTTTGTAGACGCCCGGGTATTGTATGTCTGGAACCACATCTTTTACAGATGGGACCAGATCACGGATTTTATGTACTGTGTTGAATCGGACCTGGATATTGTGTTTATTCAGGATTTTGGAGATTTCTTTTGTGACCCCCGCAATGTAGGGTAAGGTGATGGTTTTGAATAGCTCCTCAAGAGGATGCTTCTTCATGGTTGGAGTGATGGCTTTGCGGATTGTGTAGTCGGAGTAACCATTAGCCTTGAGAGCTTGGTGTACGTGCTTCAGTTCACTGGCAATGTGTTCCTGGTCAGAGATGCATTGGGCTCTATGGTATAGAGTCTTGATGAGGGAATTCTTCTGGGATGGATGGTGGTGGGAATCCGGTTTTAAGTAAGCATCCGTATGGGTAGCTTTCCTGTAAACAGAGTGGCTCATTGAACCATCAGGTCTCCTTTTAATTAGGACATCCAAAAAGGGTAGCTTGCCATCTTTTTCGACTTCCATGGTAAATCTGATGGCTGGGTGTATGGAATTGATGTGGTCGAGGAATTGGTCTAGAGCAGGCCGGCCATGTGGCCAGATGACAAAAGTGTCATCCATGTACCTCTTCCATAAAGTCGGGCTTAGAGTGGCAGCCTGAATGGCGTCAGTCTCAAATTTCTCCATGAAAACGTTGGCTACAACCGGAGATAGGGGGGAGCCCATTGGGGTGCCCTCAGTTTGTTTGTAGAAAGTTCCATTCCAGGTGAAGTATGTGTTGGTTAAGCAGTGTCTCACCAGGGGGGGTACATCAGTATGCAGTCCTTGATTAACCAAGTCTTCAATGATTGCGATGGTGTCAGGTACAGGAACTTTGGTGAATAAGGAAACCACATCAAAACTGACAAGCAGGTCGTCTGGGGACAGGGAAATACCCTTGATTGTCGATACCAAGTGAGTAAAGTTTAGTACCGCAGAGGTGGTTTTTCCAGTAAAAGCCCGCAGGATTTCAGACAAAAAACGAGCTAGTTTGTAGGTGGGGGATTTGATAGTAGAGACAATGGGACGAAGGGGTGTATCTTCTTTATGTATCTTTGGAAGGTCATATAATCTTGGAGGCCTGGCCGCAGAAGGTTTCAACGAGAACTGTTTGGTTTGATCAATTAATGCGGTTGAATCAGAAATGATTTTGTTGGTTTTAGTGACGAGGCTGTTGGTGGGGTCTCTTCTTATTTTTGTATAGCTGCCATCGTTGAGCAGTTCTTGAATTTTGTTATTATATTTTGTCCATGATGACAGTGGTATTGCCCTTGTCGGCTGAGAGGATGAAAATGTCATCCCTCTTTTTTAATTGAGATAATTCAAAACGCTCATCTTTGCTGATGTTGCTAGCTGGCATCTTAGCGTTTTTGAGGGTTGCAGCGATTTCAGATCTTGCTACGTCTGCAGTGATGTGACCCAGGCCCTTGAGAGCCACGTCGACATGGGCAATTATATCATTAACTGGTATGTGTCTAGATGTAACTGCAAAGTTTAGCCCTTTAGCTAAAACGGTTTTCAGACCATCAGAAATAGAAACTGTTACTGTGATTAATTACGACTTTGTTAACGTCTAGCTTTTCGGTGTGTGGGTCCGATTTCTTGTTGGAGAGGTGGTTGAATTTGGAAATCAAGTTGTCCTTACATTTGGTCGGCAAGGTGGCAGCTGAAGAGGCAGTCATATTGTCTACATGTTCCCAATCCGATGTGGACATTGTTGCCGTCAATGATAAGTGTGGTTGTTGAGCAAAACCAACAGTTTAATACTCTAGTGAATGTGTTGACCTCCATTAAGCAGCATTAACACACTGCACAAACGCACCTGTTTGGTTTTAACAATGATGAAGAAATGGGCCTTTACCAGCTCTGAGCAGCCTGTCTCCAGCTCCATTGTATCGAGATGAACTCCTGCTTGACTGGAGCAGTTTCGTAATAATTCCCGGGCTTGGGTTTTGCTGCGGGTGCTCGTTTGACGCTGCCGCTCGCTGCTCTGTTTGTGTCTCAGGCCGTGGTCTCGTCGCTGCGGGCACTGCTGGCACTGGGGCTCAGCCGGGCGACGTGCATGAGGGCCGTGACGCAGCAGCCTCAGCTCGCGCTTACGGACGCGCTCGTCATCCAGGGCAGGGGGCGGGCCCTGAGGCGGCATGGCCTCGGAGAAGGTAGTGGCATGGCACGCTGGCTTCACACGTTTCCATGGTACCAGCCTGGCTCTTGTCAACAGCTCCTCACTAGCAGTTATAGTTTTCGTTTAGCAGTAGAGCAGCTAAAGCAGCCAAGGTGGGTTTCTGCTGTATTTAATAACTTGTGGCAGTGTAAATTAATTTGTGCGGTCAGGCTGGGCTTGTGATGGTGATACCTACAAAATGGTGATTTTCAGGTGACACCATCACTGGATGCCATGTAATGTCGCGCGCGGGAAATTCTAACGCGGGAGAGTCACGCATGTGCTGTGTGCGCGTTTGTGCTCCAGGCTGGCTGGAGCATGCTGTCGCCTCCACCCCGGAGCTGCTTGCGCAGACTGAGCGAAGCATTTCTGAGCGCGTAAATATGCTGCGCTCCGACTGCCTCTTCAATGGCAAGCAGAGCCAGGAGATCGCTCGCACGACCCCGCGCGCCCTGCTGCACACGCCATACCACTTGCAGTTTACCTTCCAGGTATCGCCACACTTGCTACTGCACACGCCATACCACTTGCAGTTTACCTTCCAGGTATCGCCACACTTGCTACTGCACATGCCATACCACTTGCAGTTTACCTTCCAGGTATCGCCACACTTGCTACTGCACATGCCTTACCACTTGCAGTTTACCTTCCAGGTATCGCCACACTTGCTACTGCACATGCCTTACCACTTGCAGTTTACCTTCCAGGTATCGCCACACTTGCTACTGCACATGCCTTACCACTTGCAGTTTACCTTCCAGGTATCGCCACACTTGCTACTGCACACGCCATACCACTTGCAGTTTACCTTCCAGGTATCGCCACACTTGCTACTGCACATGCCTTACCACTTGCAGTTTACCTTCCAGGTATCGCCACACTTGCTACTGCACACGCCATACCACTTGCAGTTTACCTTCCAGGTATCGCCACACTTGCTACTGCACACGCCATACCACTTGCAGTTTACCTTCCAGGTATCGCCACACTTGCTACTGCACATGCCTTACCACTTGCAGTTTACCTTCCAGGTATCGCCACACTTGCTACTGCACATGCCATACCACTTGCAGTTTACCTTCCAGGTATCGCCACACTTGCTACTGCACATGCCATACCACTTGCAGTTTACCTTCCAGGTATCGCCACACTTGCTACTGCACATGCCATACCACTTGCAGTTTACCTTCCAGGTATCGCCACACTTGCTACTGCACATGCCTTACCACTTGCAGTTTACCTTCCAGGTATCGCCACACTTGCTACTGCACATGCCATACCACTTGCAGTTTACCTTCCAGGTATCGCCACACTTGCTACTGCACATGCCATACCACTTGCAGTTTACCTTCCAGGTATCGCCACACTTGCTACTGCACACGCCTTACCACTTGCAGTTTACCTTCCAGGTATCGCCACACTGGCTACTGCACATGCCTTACCACTTGCAGTTTACCTTCCAGGTATCGCCACACTTGCTACTGCACATGCCTTACCACTTGCAGTTTACCTTCCAGGTATCGCCACACTTGCTACTGCACACGCCATACCACTTGCAGTTTACCTTCCAGGTATCGCCACACTTGCTACTGCACAAGCCATACCACTTGCAGTTTACCTTCCAGGTATCGCCACACTTGCTACTGCACATGCCTTACCACTTGCAGTTTACCTTCCAGGTATCGCCACACTTGCTACTGCACATGCCATACCACTTGCAGTTTACCTTCCAGGTATCGCCACACTTGCTACTGCACATGCCATACCACTTGCAGTTTACCTTCCAGGTATCGCCACACTTGCTACTGCACACGCCTTACCACTTGCAGTTTACCTTCCAGGTATCGCCACACTTGCTACTGCACACGCCTTACCACTTGCAGTTTACCTTCCAGGTATCGCCACACTTGCTACTGCACATGCCTTACCACTTGCAGTTTACCTTCCAGGTATCGCCACACTTGCTACTGCACATGCCTTACCACTTGCAGTTTACCTTCCAGGTATCGCCACACTTGCTACTGCACACGCCATACCACTTGCAGTTTACCTTCCAGGTATCGCCACACTTGCTACTGCACAGGCCATACCACTTGCAGTTTACCTTCCAGGTATCGCCACACTTGCTACTGCACATGCCTTACCACTTGCAGTTTACCTTCCAGGTATCGCCACACTTGCTACTGCACATGCCTTACCACTTGCAGTTTACCTTCCAGGTATCGCCACACTTGCTACTGCACATGCCTTACCACTTGCAGTTTACCTTCCAGGTATCGCCACACTTGCTACTGCACACGCCATACCACTTGCAGTTTACCTTCCAGGTATCGCCACACTTGCTACTGCACATGCCTTACCACTTGCAGTTTACCTTCCAGGTATCGCCACACTTGCTACTGCACACGCCATACCACTTGCAGTTTACCTTCCAGGTATCGCCACACTTGCTACTGCACACGCCATACCACTTGCAGTTTACCTTCCAGGTATCGCCACACTTGCTACTGCACATGCCTTACCACTTGCAGTTTACCTTCCAGGTATCGCCACACTTGCTACTGCACATGCCATACCACTTGCAGTTTACCTTCCAGGTATCGCCACACTTGCTACTGCACATGCCATACCACTTGCAGTTTACCTTCCAGGTATCGCCACACTTGCTACTGCACATGCCATACCACTTGCAGTTTACCTTCCAGGTATCGCCACACTTGCTACTGCACATGCCTTACCACTTGCAGTTTACCTTCCAGGTATCGCCACACTTGCTACTGCACATGCCATACCACTTGCAGTTTACCTTCCAGGTATCGCCACACTTGCTACTGCACATGCCATACCACTTGCAGTTTACCTTCCAGGTATCGCCACACTTGCTACTGCACACGCCTTACCACTTGCAGTTTACCTTCCAGGTATCGCCACACTGGCTACTGCACATGCCTTACCACTTGCAGTTTACCTTCCAGGTATCGCCACACTTGCTACTGCACATGCCTTACCACTTGCAGTTTACCTTCCAGGTATCGCCACACTTGCTACTGCACACGCCATACCACTTGCAGTTTACCTTCCAGGTATCGCCACACTTGCTACTGCACAAGCCATACCACTTGCAGTTTACCTTCCAGGTATCGCCACACTTGCTACTGCACATGCCTTACCACTTGCAGTTTACCTTCCAGGTATCGCCACACTTGCTACTGCACATGCCATACCACTTGCAGTTTACCTTCCAGGTATCGCCACACTTGCTACTGCACATGCCATACCACTTGCAGTTTACCTTCCAGGTATCGCCACACTTGCTACTGCACACGCCTTACCACTTGCAGTTTACCTTCCAGGTATCGCCACACTTGCTACTGCACACGCCTTACCACTTGCAGTTTACCTTCCAGGTATCGCCACACTTGCTACTGCACATGCCTTACCACTTGCAGTTTACCTTCCAGGTATCGCCACACTTGCTACTGCACATGCCTTACCACTTGCAGTTTACCTTCCAGGTATCGCCACACTTGCTACTGCACACGCCATACCACTTGCAGTTTACCTTCCAGGTATCGCCACACTTGCTACTGCACATGCCATACCACTTGCAGTTTACCTTCCAGGTATCGCCACACTTGCTACTGCACATGCCTTACCACTTGCAGTTTACCTTCCAGGTATCGCCACACTTGCTACTGCACATGCCATACCACTTGCAGTTTACCTTCCAGGTATCGCCACACTTGCTACTGCACATGCCATACCACTTGCAGTTTACCTTCCAGGTATCGCCACACTTGCTACTGCACACGCCCTTACCACTTGCAGTTTACCTTCCAGGTATCGCCACACTTGCTACTGCACACGCCTTACCACTTGCAGTTTACCTTCCAGGTATCGCCACACTTGCTACTGCACATGCCATACCACTTGCAGTTTACCTTCCAGGTATCGCCACACTTGCTACTGCACACGCCATACCACTTGCAGTTTACCTTCCAGGTATCGCCACACTTGCTACTGCACATGCCATACCACTTGCAGTTTACCTTCCAGGTATCGCCACACTTGCTACTGCACATGCATACCACTTGCAGTTTACCTTCCAGGTATCGCCACACTTGCTACTGCACACTGCCTTACCACTTGCAGTTTACCTTCCAGGTATCGCCACACTTGCTACTGCACACGCCTTACCACTTGCAGTTTACCTTCCAGGTATCGCCACACTTGCTACTGCACATGCCATTACCACTTGCAGTTTACCTTCCAGGTATCGCCACACTTGCTACTGCACATGCCTTACCACTTGCAGTTTACCTTCCAGGTATCGCCACACTTGCTACTGCACACGCCATACCACTTGCAGTTTACCTTCCAGGTATCGCCACACTTGCTACTGCACACGCCATACCACTTGCAGTTTACCTTCCAGTTATCGCCACACTTGCTACTGCACATGCCTTACCACTTGCAGTTTACCTTCCAGGTATCGCCACACTTGCTACTGCACATGCCATACCACTTGCAGTTTACCTTCCAGGTATCGCCACACTTGCTACTGCACATGCCATACCACTTGCAGTTTACCTTCCAGGTATCGCCACACTTGCTACTGCACACGCCTTACCACTTGCAGTTTACCTTCCAGGTATCGCCACACTTGCTACTGCACACTGCCTTACCACTTGCAGTTTACCTTCCAGGTATCGCCACACTTGCTACTGCACATGCCATACCACTTGCAGTTTACCTTCCAGGTATCGCCACACTTGCTACTGCACATGCCATTACCACTTGCAGTTTACCTTCCAGGTATCGCCACACTTGCTACTGCACACGCCTTACCACTTGCAGTTTACCTTCCAGGTATCGCCACACTTGCTACTGCACACGCCTTACCACTTGCAGTTTACCTTCCAGGTATCGCCACACTTGCTACTGCACATGCCTTACCACTTGCAGTTTACCTTCCAGGTATCGCCACACTTGCTACTGCACATGCCATTACCACTTGCAGTTTACCTTCCAGGTATCGCCACACTTGCTACTGCACATGCCATACCACTTGCAGTTTTACCTTCCAGGTATCGCCACACTTGCTACTGCACACTGCCATACCACTTTGCAGTTTACCTTCCAGGTATCGCCACACTTGCTACTGCACATGCCTTACCACTTGCAGTTTTACCTTCCAGGTATCGCCACACTTGCTACTGCACATGCCATACCACTTGCAGTTTACCTTCCAGGTATCGCCACACTTGCTACTGCACATGCCATACCACTTGCAGTTTACCTTCCAGGTATCGCCACACTTGCTACTGCACATGCCTTACCACTTGCAGTTTACCTTCCAGGTATCGCCACACTTGCTACTGCACATGCCTTACCACTTGCAGTTTACCTTCCAGGTATCGCCACACTTGCTACTGCACATGCCATACCACTTGCAGTTTACCTTCCAGGTATCGCCACACTTGCTACTGCACACTGCCATTACCACTTGCAGTTTACCTTCCAGGTATCGCCACACTTGCTACTGCACATGCCATACCACTTGCAGTTTACCTTCCAGGTATCGCCACACTTGCTACTGCACATGCCATACCACTTGCAGTTTACCTTCCAGGTATCGCCACACTTGCTACTGCACATGCCTATACCACTTGCAGTTTACCTTCCAGGTATCGCCACACTTGCTACTGCACACTGCCTTACCACTTGCAGTTTACCTTCCAGGTATCGCCACACTTGCTACTGCACACGCCTTACCACTTGCAGTTTACCTTCCAGGTATCGCCACACTTGCTACTGCACATGCCTTACCACTTGCAGTTTACCTTCCAGGTATCGCCACACTTGCTACTGCACATGCCATTACCACTTGCAGTTTACCTTCCAGGTATCGCCACACTTGCTACTGCACATGCCATACCACTTGCAGTTTACCTTCCAGGTATCGCCACACTTGCTACTGCACATGCCATACCACTTGCAGTTTACCTTCCAGGTATCGCCACACTTGCTACTGCACACTGCCTTACCACTTGCAGTTTACCTTCCAGGTATCGCCACACTTGCTACTGCACATGCCTTACCACTTGCAGTTTACCTTCCAGGTATCGCCACACTTGCTACTGCACATGCCTTACCACTTGCAGTTTACCTTCCAGGTATCGCCACACTTGCTACTGCACACTGCCATTACCACTTGCAGTTTACCTTCCAGGTATCGCCACACTTGCTACTGCACACTGCCTTACCACTTGCAGTTTACCTTCCAGGTATCGCCACACTTGCTACTGCACATGCCATTACCACTTGCAGTTTACCTTCCAGGTATCGCCACACTTGCTACTGCACATGCCTTACCACTTGCAGTTTACCTTCCAGGTATCGCCACACTTGCTACTGCACATGCCTATACCACTTGCAGTTTACCTTCCAGGTATCGCCACACTTGCTACTGCACATGCCATACCACTTGCAGTTTACCTTCCAGGTATCGCCACACTTGCTACTGCACATGCCTTACCACTAGCAGTTTACCTTCCAGGTATCGCCACACTTGCTACTGCACATGCCATACCACTTGCAGTTTACCTTCCAGGTATCGCCACACTTGCTACTGCACTATGCCTTACCACTTGCAGTTTACCTTCCAGGTATCGCCACACTTGCTACTGCACATGCCATTACCACTTGCCAGTTTACCTTCCAGGGTATCGCCACACTTGCTACTGCACATGCCATACCACTTGCAGTTTACCTTCCAGGTATCGCCACACTTGCTACTGCACATGCCTTACCACTTGCAGTTTACCTTCCAGGTATCGCCACACTTGCTACTGCACACGCCATACCACTTGCAGTTTACCTTCCAGGTATCGCCACACTTGCTACTGCACATGCCATACCACTCACAGTTTACCTTCCAGGTATCGCCACACTTGCTACTGCACATGCCTTACCACTTGCAGTTTACCTTCCAGGTATCGCCACACTTGCTACTGCACATGCCATACCACTCACAGTTTACCTTCCAGGTATCGCCACACTTGCTACTGCACATGCCTTACCACTTGCAGTTTACCTTCCAGGTATCGCCACACTTGCTACTGCACACGCCTTACCACTCACAGTTTACCTTCCAGGTATCGCCACACTTGCTACTGCACATGCCTTACCACTTGCAGTTTACCTTCCAGGTATCGCCACACTTGCTACTGCACACGCCTTACCACTCACAGTTTACCTTCCAGGTATCGCCACACTTGCTACTGCACACGCCTTACCACTCACAGTTTACCTTCCAGGTATTGCCACACTTGCTACTGCACACGCCTTACCACTCACAGTTTACCTTCCAGGTATCGCCACACTTGCTACTGTACATGCCATACCACTCACAGTTTACCTTCCAGGTATCGCCACACTTGCTACTGCACATGCCATACCACTCACAGTTTACCTTCCAGGTATCGCCACACTTGCTACTGTACATGCCTTACCACTTGCAGTTTACCTTCCAGGTATCGCCACACTTGCTACTGCACATGCCTTACCACTCACAGTTTACCTTCCAGGTATCGCCACACTTGCTACTGTACATGCCTTACCACTCACAGTTTACCTTCCAGGTATCGCCACACTTGCTACTGCACATGCCTTACCACTCACAGTTTACCTTCCAGGTATCGCCACACTTGCTACTGCACACGCCTTACCACTTGCAGTTTACCTTCCAGGTATCGCCACACTTGCTACTGCACACGCCATACCACTCACAGTTTACCTTCCAGGTATCGCCACACTTGCTACTGCACATGCCTTACCACTCACAGTTTACCTTCCAGGTATCGCCACACTTGCTACTGTACATGCCTTACCACTCACAGTTTACCTTCCAGGTATCGCCACACTTGCTACTGTACACGCCTTACCACTCACAGTTTACCTTCCAGGTATCGCCACACTTGCTACTGCACACGCCATACCACTCGCAGTTTACCTTCCAGGTATCGCCACACTTGCTACTGCACACGCCATACCACTCACAGTTTACCGTCCAGGTATCGCCACACTTGCTACTGCACACGCCATACCACTCGCAGTTTACCTTCCAGGTATCGCCACACTTGCTACTGCACACGCCTTACCACTTGCAGTTTACCTTCCAGGTATCGCCACACTTGCTACTGCACACGCCTTACCACTTGCAGTTTACCTTCCAGGTATCGCCACACTTGCTACTGCACATGCCTTACCACTTGCAGTTTACCTTCCAGGTATCGCCACACTTGCTACTGCACACGCCATACCACTTGCAGTTTACCTTCCAGGTATCGCCACACTTGCTACTGCACATGCCTTACCACTTGCAGTTTACCTTCCAGGTATTGCCACACTTGCTACTGCACACGCCTTACCACTTGCAGTTTACCTTCCAGGTATCGCCACACTTGCTACTGCACATGCCTTACCACTCACAGTTTACCTTCCAGGTATCGCCACACTTGCTACTGCACACGCCATACCACTTGCAGTTTACCTTCCAGGTATCGCCACACTTGCTACTGCACATGCCTTACCACTTGCAGTTTACCTTCCAGGTATCGCCACACTTGCTACTGCACATGCCTTACCACTCACAGTTTACCTTCCAGGTATCGCCACACTTGCTACTGCACATGCCTTACCACTCACAGTTTACCTTCCAGGTATCGCCACACTTGCTACTGTACATGCCTTACCACTCACAGTTTACCTTCCAGGTATCGCCACACTTGCTACTGTACACGCCTTACCACTCACAGTTTACCTTCCAGGTATCGCCACACTTGCTACTGCACACGCCATACCACTCGCAGTTTACCTTCCAGGTATCGCCACACTTGCTACTGCACACGCCATACCACTCACAGTTTACCGTCCAGGTATCGCCACACTTGCTACTGCACATGCCTTACCACTTGCAGTTTACCTTCCAGGTATCGCCACACTTGCTACTGCACATGCCTTACCACTCACAGTTTACATTCCAGGTATCGCCACACTTGCTACTGCACATGCCTTACCACTCACAGTTTACCTTCCAGGTATCGCCACACTTGCTACTGTACATGCCTTACCACTCACAGTTTACCTTCCAGGTATCGCCACACTTGCTACTGTACACGCCTTACCACTCACAGTTTACCTTCCAGGTATCGCCACACTTGCTACTGCACACGCCATACCACTCGCAGTTTACCTTCCAGGTATCGCCACACTTGCTACTGCACATGCCTTACCACTTGCAGTTTACCTTCCAGGTATCGCCACACTTGCTACTGCACACGCCTTACCACTTGCAGTTTACCTTCCAGGTATCGCCACACTTGCTACTGCACATGCCTTACCACTCACAGTTTACCTTCCAGGTATCGCCACACTTGCTACTGCACACGCCATACCACTTGCAGTTTACCTTCCAGGTATCGCCACACTTGCTACTGCACATGCCTTACCACTTGCAGTTTACCTTCCAGGTATCGCCACACTTGCTACTGCACATGCCTTACCACTCACAGTTTACCTTCCAGGTATCGCCACACTTGCTACTGCACATGCCTTACCACTCACAGTTTACCTTCCAGGTATCGCCACACTTGCTACTGTACATGCCTTACCACTCACAGTAAAGTTGTACACTGCCAGAAGTCCGTGTGACTGATGGAACGAGAAAAAAATAGTTTACTTTAGTACATGCTGGGACAGCTATGTAAAGAAGCCATAGTGTCTGCAGGTTCATGACTGTAAGCGTAGAGTGGCCACAAAGCATCCTTATTCAGGCAATATTCAGGCAATGAACAAGACTGGATGCTAACGAGCGTCGTGTTGTCTTGCAGTACGCCTATTTCCGCATGGGCATGTCGCACGCCGAGATGGTAACCACGCGGATTTTTGGTGCGGATCAGCGCCGCGTCCGGACACGCCACCAGTTCCTGGAGCGGCGCGGCCTGTTCAGCGTGGAGCGGTCGGGCCCGCACGCGACGCCAGATCCTCGCGGTCCATCCCAGCCTGGACTCGGCTCGTCGCAGAATCCCAAAGCCGCGCATATCATCCGCCTCCCCGATGGCGTTTTCCTCACAAAGCTTGCCAACGGGGCTTCCAAAGAGGAACTGGAGGTGTTTAGCCGCCTGCTTGCCCGGGAAGAGTTGGACGAAGAGTCGCAGGAGGGAGAAGATTCTGAAAATGAGCTTGAGGTAGAGGAGGAGGTGGAGGAGGAGGCGATGGACAATTCCGGGTCGGACAGTGAAGAGGAGAGTGACAGAAGAACGAGAAGAAAACCATGATTTGACATGGAGCAAGAGGTGCAATGCTTTTTTTTTACTTAATAATGTTGATGATAAAAGCATCCCCATCATAGGAATGTGGAATGTCCACCACTGGCTCAGGGTTGTAAATAGAAGATGAGCACCGCCTCAATTCTCATTTGAGCAGGAAATCACTTAGATTTTGACTCGTACAAAAAATGATCATCTGAGTACACTTCCCAATCACAGCTCACATCAGTGGTCAGTGATAACCAGTCCTCATTTTATCAACCCACACTGTCCTGCACAGTGAAGTATGGTCAAACACTCCCTTCAACCAGCACAGTGTGGGGCAGTCTCCGATAAATCATTTTTACATTTTATAAATCACTTAGAACGCAGTTAAATGTTAAATTAATTGTTGATCACCACCATGAATCTCATTCAGCGGCGCGGTGCTGTTAGTGGAGTGTTTTTCTCACCGGAAGGTTCGTGAATTTGAATTCTGGTCGACACGTCCCGGTATGGGTAGGCCCCCACTGTGCAGCTCTAAATGCGTTCCCAAATAAAATCTATATGTGGCTGTACCTTGGTGGGTTTGAACAATATTAAAGGAACACCTAGGTTTATGTTTAATTATTATTTATGCTCTAAATCTATATTTTTTTGTCCCATCTGGTCAGCACATGAAAGTTGTATAGCCAAGTATTTTGCAGTGAGCTTCATAGGTTTGTCCTCTGTGGCAAAATCAGTTGCATACGACTGTATTTCTATCCCAATTCTTGCACTGTATGTAATGCCAGAATATTGTTTTACAGCAAAATAAAGACAATTGCAGTTGCACGATAAACTATATTACGACTCGTTTAACATACCACAGATGCCTGACTTATTGCATTGTTTTCATTCGGTGTCCTGAATAGTTTGGGAGTAAATCTCACCCAGGGTTGGTTGCAAGGTAACTCGGGGCATCTGCGCAAGGGCTTGGGTAGCGCACTGCAGGGCTGAGCCCCCGCAGTCCCGGGTGGGAACCCAGCCAACTCCAGGCGAGGACTCGGGCAGCACACTCCTCGGGTCAACTCCAGGTAGATTGTGAATGGTGAAGAGTGTGGTCAGTGGGGCTGAATGTGTTCATGCGTTCACGCGTTCACCCCGTGCTATAGTGAGGCGACTGGTGCCGCATCTCGCGCCCCGCGCTGCAATGCGCGTTCCGGGGCGCGGACACCGCGACTTCCACGGTGGGACTCGTGGCTTCTTCACACGTGGCCTTCACGTGGATCGCATGCAGGACACATGCATGACTCGCTGAGCTCACGCGGACTTCATGCGTGATACATCCTCGTGGCTCATGAATTGCATGACTTAACATGGCTCGCATGCATTGCCCTCTCGCGTGCACCACGAACATGGCACAGTGCATGTCTCGCTCGCTTCGCTCTTCGGCTGCCTGACGCTCTGTGCCGGAGGCTGCCTGGTGCTGCCGCTCCACACGAAGCTCCCTGGGTCTTCTCTGCCCCCGTGATTATAAATGCTGTCTCTTCTCTTAGCCCTGCAAAAGGCGGAACATCTGCACCGGCTTGGCTTGGCACAATCAGGCTGACAACTTTCGAGAGAAATCGCCCTATTTCCAACCAGGCTGGATTGGAGACGCGGGCTGATAGTATGGGATAGTGGGCAGCGGTAGTGGAGCGGTTAGCGCACTGCGCCACGAACCCCGAGTTCCATTCCCGCTCACAGTCAACCAGTTGCGGTCCCGAGCCTCCCCCAGATCAACTCCGCTTCAAATTAATGCCTGGTAACAACCGCTTGTGTTGCGATCGAAACGTCGTGATTTTTTTACTTTATTTCTAAACTACGTGACTTTACCGAAAGAACCAAAGAGTATGGATTCCTGCAGTCACGAAAGCTTCAAATTAACATATGAATATTCACGATGGAGACCATATTTTTACGTATCATTGTGTTCACAGTAACTGCCTTGCTTTCATATTGCATTGCACCTTGGGGATGTTCAGCTCCATGTTGGGCCCACATCACAGCTGACTTCTAATGTGCGTGCCATGTGCCTGCCATCTGCAGCCATGGGGGAGAGCCTAATTCAGAGAAATGGTCGCTTTATGAGCCGCGACGGGTCTCAGTGTCTCAAGCAGAATTCTACCAATCACCAGAGCTGGGCGGAGGTGGAGATTGAGGAAGACGGTGGGAATCTGAAACGGGTCCTCTCACCTTGCATCACAGTTCACGCGTCGCCTGCACATTCTGCACGATGTCATAAGAATATGTTCATGTTAATAAATACCGCTGCTCATATGACAATTATGTTCATACTATTTTTAAGTATTTTGCATTTGCACGTTTGCGAAGTAACGGGCAACATGAGGTAGCTATTGCTAAAATGTTGTTTGGATTGTTACAGGTTCATGTGGTACATGGATTGCTCTGTGTTGCTGTCTCATCAAACCTGAACTTGGGCATAAATTTAGTGGAGCATTCGTGATGATTGATTTTTGTAAATAAGTCAAAGTGATTTCCCGTTCAAGTGGTCATCGAGGCAGTGCTCATCTCCTTTTTACAACCCTGAGCCAGTGGTGGAAATTGCACATTCTTATAATGTGGCCGAGTCATATATATATCAGGACCATTGTTGTCATTCCACAAAGTGATACTAATTGTATTGATGCAGGAGGGACAATGGCAAAACAACCCCCTACCTCCTCGCGGTGCCGGACGGGCAACTCTGTCGTGGACAGTGCTGTGGGGGGAGTTCCAATTTTGATTGGCTCCTCCCCTCATGGCATATGTGTCCACCACAGGGGCTAAACGGGGGCTCTGGACGGGTGCGAGGGGCTGGTAACCCCTCCACCTTCAATTAATTACCACAAAACCACGAATTAAAGTGAAATATGTAACAACTAAGCTTGTGCCGGAGGCCCCGGGGGGCCAGGCGTCTATGACGTCTCCTGGCCAAACCCCAATTGGCGGAGCCAGGAGATTGAATACCTACCCTCGGGGCTACTCCAGAAACAACGAAAAGCCACTACGGGTGGCCACGTGGAATGTTCGAACGCTCACTGCAGAGGAGAGGCTGCCACTCCTCTGTCGGGAGCTGGACCGGTACCGCCTGGATCTATGCGGCATTCAGGAGGTCCGGTGGACCGGCTCTGGCTCCTGCCACCATGAGGGGTGGACAGTCCTCTACTCGGGGCAGCAGACTGCCAAACAACAGGGTGTGGGTCTTCTTTTGAACAAAAGAATGAAGGGGGCGTGGGAGCGTGGCGGTGAGGTGTGGGAAGCTGTAAGCCCCAGGCTACTTTGGGCTCGCCTTCCCATCAACCGGAGGCGAGGAATGGTGGTCGTGGTTACTTATGCCCCCACCGAAGATGAACATCCGTGGAGGGATGCAGGCAAAGCCGATGAGTCAGATGCCTTCTATGACCTCCTGTCACAGGTGCTGGCTAAAGTGGCCCCTCGGGATAGAGTCATCATGTTGGGTGACTTCAATGCCCGAGTTGGTCATGATACTGGCACCTGGTCTGGAGTGATTGGAGGGCATGGGCCAGATCAGCTCAATAACAACGGTAGGAGGCTGCTAGATTTTTGTGCAGCCCATGGGCTTGTAATTACCAACACGCTGTTCCGGCATCGGCGCATCCACACAACATCATGGATGCATGCCGGGTCCAAGCAAGAACATCTGCTGGACTACATAGTGACGGACCAGCGAATGCGAGCCCATGTCCTTGACACCAGGACCTACCGTGGAGCTGATCTGCCCTCTGACCATCGACTAGTCATCTGTAAGATGCGCCTGCCATTCTTCCACTCCGGTGGTGGGTGTACACCCAGGACCCCATTCCAACCTAAAGTGGCCTGGTCTCAGTTATCTGATGAAAGTTGCAAGCGAGAATTTCATCATCGCTTGCGGCTGGGATTGGCATCGTCCCCGACTCCTCCTGATGTCGAGGGTAAATGGGCGAGGTTTAGGACTGTGACTCATGCAGCTGCAATGGCTGCTTTGGGTACGCGGTCCAGACCTCCCCAGACACCCTGGATGACAGAGGAGTTGTTCAGGATGGTTGAGAAAAAGCGACAGGCCCACTGTCATCGGCTACAGAATCCCACGTCAGAGAATGAGGAGGCTTACCGCAGCCTTCGCTCGGAGGTTCGGAGAGCCGTGAGGCGCTGCAAGGATGGGTGGTGGTCGCGGGTTGCTGAGGAGATGGAGTCTGCCTCAGTGGCCCGTGATCACAAATCGCTATTTAACTCCATCAAAAAAGTAACCTGCAGCGCCACACCTATTACCATCATTAGGGGAAAAAACGGTGATCCAATTTCTGACCCCCAGGAACAGGTTCGCAGATTTGCTGAGCATTTCTGTGAGGTCCTGGGGGAGGGAAAATCCCACAGCCAGGAAAACATCGTGGCACAAAGTGAGGATGACCCTGCTGAGGCTGCGGTGCCTCAAATATTGGATGAAGTCACCCCCTGTGAGTGGCTGGCTGAGGTGCCATCTGCTGAGGAAGTATTGAAGGCGATCCGGAGTCTGAGACCAGGAAAGGCAGCGGGCAGAGATGATCTCCCAAGCGAAATGCTGAGGGAGGGTGGCGTTTGTGCACAGACTGCCCTATATGACATCATAACAACAGTCTGGACCACTGGACGGGTTCCGCAGGATTGGAAGGATGCCCTGGTGGTCCCCCTTTTTAAGAAGGGGGACCGCACAGACTGTAACAACTACAGGGGCATCTCACTCCTCAGTGTGCCGGGAAAGGTCCTGGCAAGGATTATTCAGCATCGCCTTGCCAGGCACGCTGAGGAGAGGCTTGCGGAGCCCCAATGCGGTTTCAGGAAAGGGCGGTCCTGCACAGATGCCATATTTTCTGTCCGTCTGCTACAGCAGAGGTGTAGGGAATTCCAACAAGACCTACATCTCTGCTTTATTGACCTGGTCAAGGCCTATGATACCATCAGTAGGCCTGGGCTCTGGGTCGTTCTTCGTGCTTTTGGAGTACCTGACCCTCTGCTCACGATCATTAAGGACCTTCATGATGGTGAGCGGGCCTGGGTAAAACTACGTGGCCGGGAGTCAGAGCCATTCCCTGTACACCTTGGGGTGCGACAGGGATGTCCTCTGGCTCCCACATTATTTAACATCTATTTTGACCACGTAGTTCGTGAAGCCTTCAATAGCTGTACCGGGGGAATCTCCATATGGTACAGATATAATGGGAGGCTAATCGATGCCCGGGTGCGGTCAAGGGATGGCTCCCTATTGCTCAACCACGTTATGTATGCTGATGACTTGGTAATAGCTGCTCAGTCAGAGGAGGAGTTGGAGACGCTGCTGCTGAGACTGGAGCGTGCCACTAAGAGGTGGGGCCTTACCATCAGCCCCACCAAAACTAAGCACCTGCCTGGGTATTTTGTACCATCGGACACTCCACCCCCACAACTCCCAATCGGTGATGGGGCAGTTGTGGAGAGAGTGGAGAGTTTCCCATACCTGGGCAGTGTGCTTATGACTGGCTCCAGTTTAACAGCAGAGGTCTCACTCCGAATCAGTCGAGCGGCAATATCTTTTCATCGGTTGCGTAACGCTGTGTGGAAGCTACCTGGTCTGTCGCTCCGCACTAAGCTTCAGGTCTTCTCGGCCACGGTCATTCCCTCCCTTCTCTACGCTTGCGAAACGTGGACCCCCCTAATGGAACATCTTCGCCGGTTAGAAACATTTAGGCTGACCTGCCTACGATCCATCCTGGGTTTAACCAGACTGGATTGTGTGAGGAGCTCACAAATCCTTGAAAGATCTGGGCAGGGTCCCATCGGTGAGCTCCTCCGGCAGGCAAGGCTGCGATGGCTGGGTCATGTAGCCCGCATGCCCAGCCACCGCATGCCGAAACAGCTTTTGTTTGGCCGGATTGAGGGGGCTAAGCGGGCGCGGCACGGGCTAGAGAAGAGATGGAGTGATGTGGTACAGGAGGACGTGGAGCTGAGTGGACTTGCCGATGACTGGTACCAGCGGTGTCAAGATCGGCCTCTGTGGAGGAGGCTCGTGAAGGATGCTACTGGGCAGTTGGAGGCAGTCGCCCTCCAACAACAACGGAGGGCGGAGGAGCGACGCTCACAACAGCGAGCGGAGCGCCGGGTGGCTAAAGCACAGCAGGTTGGCACAGTAGGGGGCACAGGTGGTGCATCAGCCAGTCATCTCAGTCAGTCGACCCGTGGCACCTGGGTCTGCCCCGTGACCTCCTGCCAGCGGGCGTTCGACACTTCACGTGGCCTCAGGGTGCACATAGCCTGGCACAAGCGTCGTGGTGACGTCACCGCCACTTAGTGGCGAATGGCGGTTGTTGTTGTTGATATACATAGAAAAATAAATAGTTTATTTGTACCAAGTGAGAACCCACTGAAACCAAAAAGTGTATTTTTCAGGCCAGGCTTGAGCCATGAAGCAGCCTTTATTAAAATTTGATTTCGTTATGACTGCATGCGTGGAAACGAGGGCGACTTAAGCAGCAACTGATTACGAAGTCGCATACCATGTCATCACCGAATAAACCTCGCCATCGATTCTGTGAGGGTTGTGTCTGCGCGTCGTCGAGACCATGTTAATTAAGAGTGTCTGTGTGTTTTAAAGAGCGTGTACAATTTGCCACTCGGCCACGACGGCCCATGTGTGCTCCGAATGCGAGAAGGGCTTCTTCTACTTCTCTGAGCTGAGCTGGCATCTGAACACGCACACGGGAGAGAGGCCCTATGCTTGTGATGACTGTGGAAAGGGATTTTCGCACAATTCAATCCTGCGGAAGCACCGCATGATTCGCAGCGGAGAGAGGCCGCATGAGTGTGACAAGTGTGGAAAAGCATTTTCTGACGCCTCGACGCAACGGAACCACCGCGCGATTCACACCGGGAAGAAACCGCACTCGTGCCTCGACTGTGGCAAGAGCTTCTCGCGGATGTCGCACTTGACCGCTCAGCGGAGGACGCACACGGCCGAGCGGCCCTACGTGTGTGAGGACTGTGGGAAGGGCTATTCCCAAATGTCCTCCATGAGAATGCATCGGATGATACACACAGGCGAGAGGCCCTATGTGTGCATGGTTTGCACGAAGGGCTTCCTGGACAATTCCACCCTGAGAAAGCACAACCTGACGCACACAGGAGAGAGGCCCTACTTGTGCAAGGATTGTGGGAAGAGGTTTCCCGACAACTCGACTCTGCGGAAGCACCTGATCATTCACACGGGAGAGCGACCGTACGGGTGCAGCGTCTGTGGCTGAGGGTTCTTGGACAATTCCAACCTCAGGAAACATCAGATGATTCACGCAGGAGGAAAACAACTCTCCAGGCCTAACTTAACTTGAAAGGCCCTACCAGAAACACTGGTGTCAAACCAGACGAGGAACTCAGCGTTGAGATGGCCGGTTACAGAGACGGACATTGGAGTGGTCTCCATGTGTCCATGACCAAGGGGAAGACTTAAGAGCAGAACTTAGAGGTCGCATGTTGACTGTGAGCAGCCACGAGCTCTGGCGAAGTTGGAATGGTTTGGCGAGGGCTTGAATGACTTTGGCCATGGTACCATCTTGAGCTTGATAGCTGTAGGGAAACATCGACGCAAATTTTCTTCTCAAGTAGAGGTTTAAGCCGGGTACATGGGACATCCTCCTCGCATCTCCGTGAAACACATTCCTGCGGAGGGAGCTGGTAGGAACGTTGGGTTGCTCGGTCAATGGCCAGGGTCAACAACGGCGGCACCACGTGGTGTATTCAGCAAATATGCCCGACTGTGAGGGCGGGCACAAGCCGGCGTGAGTAGGTTACACGTTGAGTTTTATAAGGGCACCACGGGGTGACCAGCCCCTCCCCACCCAGCCCCACCCAGCCCCTCCCCACCCTCCCCTCCCCACCCAGCCCCTCCCTCCCCACCCAGCCCCTCCCCACCACCCAGCCCCTCCCCACCCTCCCCTCCCCACCCTCCCCTCCCCACCCAGCCCCTCCCCACCCTCCCCTCCCCACCCTCCCCTCCACACCCAGCCCCTCCCAACCCTCCCCTCCCCACCCAGCCCCTCCCCACCCTCCCCTCCCCACCACCCAGCCCCTCCCCACCCTCCCCTCTCCACCCTCCCCTCCCCACCGAGCCCCACCCTCCCCACCCAGCCCCACCCTCCCCTCCCCACCCAGCCCCTCCCCACCCTCCCCACCCAGCACCTCCCCACCACCCTCCCCACCCTCCCCTCCCCACCCAGCCCCTCCCCTCTCCACCCAGGCCCTCCCCACCCTCCCATTTTTGGATGCACGACGGACAATAATCCCCTGTGGGCTGGTGGTGTAACCAGGAGGTTCCTGCCAGTATTATTTGGACAAATATACCCATGTCTCCATCGCCAACAGTGAAACGAATCGCCAAGCTGCTGTTTACTTCAAGGTTTCATCAGGATGTTAATCTGACATATAGACGAAATAATTACAGTTGTCTAAGTTGGGGGAATTTTTTTCATCTGATTTGAGCATCGTTTCATGAGTGTATTGGTTTAATAGATTTCAGCAGCAGCACTCGGATATGAACATGAGTAGACACTGGTGTTTTGCACGGTGAATTTCCATGCAATGAAGTGTCACGTGAACTGGTGATGGCCATGATGCTGTGGTAACTGTGATGAGTCATAAATACTTTCGCAACCCGTGGTAGTGTTTCTTGAGTCCTCTCCTCCCAACACCCAACACATTCACATTTCAAACGCAGCACCCTTGACGCTGAAGCGAATGCACGAAGCCAGTGGCGAAGTCTTCTTGATGTTCGAGAAGGCGAGTGGGGGGGCGGGGCTTGAGGAGGAGGGGCGGGGCTTGAGGAGGAGGGGCGGGGCTTGAGGAGGAGGGGCGGGGCTTAAGGAGGAGGGGCGGGGCTCGCATCGCGCAGGGGATGACGGGAGTCGCGGTCGCGTCTATGGAGACGGTGGCGAAGCGGGTGCGAGTGGTGAACGCAGCGGCTTTGACACTGACAGAGGGGTGTTTAGGGAGAGAGGGGATACATCAGGGATACACGGGGGAGAGAGGGGACACATCACGGTTATTCAGGGAGAGGAGGGATACATCATCGGTACGAAGTCATAGGAGCCAGGAGACGCGAGTAGTGACGCAGGTCATGGGTCAGAGGTGGTGGTGCCGCTGTGGTTCGGCGCAGTGCGCGGAGGAGTGAGGGGAGGGATGAGTGAGTGGAGGGATGAGTGAGTGGAGGGATGAGTGAGTGGAGGGTGGAGGAGTGGAGGGATGAGTGAGTGGAGGGATGAGTGAGTGGAGGGATGAGTGAGTGGTGGGATGAGTGGGTGGGGGATGGAGGAGTGGAGGGTGGAGGAGTGGAGTGATGAGTGAGTGGAGGAGTGGAGTGATGAGTGAGTGGAGGAGTGGAGGGATGAGTGAGTGGAGGAGTGGAGGGATGAGTGAGTGGTGGGTGGAGTGGAGGGATGAGTAAGTGGAGGGTGGAGGAGTGAAGGGTGGAGGGATGAGTGAGTGGAGGGTGGAGGAGTGGAGGGATGAGTGAGTGGAGGGAAGAGATGGTGGAGGGAATGGGTGGAGGAGTGCGTGGAGGGAAGAGTGGGTGGAGGAGTGCGTGGGTGGAGGAGTGTGTAGAGAAAAGAGTGAGGAGGAGGGATGAGTGGGTGGAGAGATGAGTGGGTGGAGGGAAGAGATGGTGGAGGGAATGGGTGAAGGAGTGCGTGGAGGGAATAGTGGTTGGAGGAGTGTGTGGAGAGAAGAGTGAGGGGGAGGGATAAGTGGGTGGAGAGATGAGTGGGTGGAGGGATGAGTGGGTAGAGGGAAGAGATGGTGGAGGGAATGGGTGAAGGAGTGCGTGGAGGGAAGAGTGAGGGGAGGGATGAGTGGGTGGAGGGGTGAGTGGGTGGAGGAGTGGAGGGATGAGTGGGTGGAGGGAAGAGTAGATGGAGGGAATACTGGTTGGAGGAGTGTGTGGAGAGAAGAGTGAGGGGGAGGGATGAGTGGGTGGAGAGATGAGTGAGTGGAGAGATGAGTGGGTGGAGGGATGAGTGGGTGGAGGGATGAGTGGGTGGAGGGAAGAGATGGTGGAGGGAATTGATGAAGGAGTGTGTGGAGGAAAGAGTGAGGGGAGGGATGAGTGGGTGGAGGAGTGGAGGGATGAGTGGGTGGAGGGAAGAGTAGATGGAGGGAATAGTGGGTGGAGGTGTGGAGGTATGAGTGGGTGGATGAGTGCGTGGAAGAGTGAGTGGGGGGATGAGTGGGTGGAGGGGTGGAGGGATGAGTGGGTAGAGAATGAGTGAGTGGAGGAGTGCACGGAGGGATGAAGTGAGTGGAGGGATGAGTGGTTGTCACGATGTCTCGTGTTCCCCCCTCTGCAGGGCTGCAGCACTGCGATCCCTGACAGCGCGCGCGTCATGGGGGACGCCCTGGCCTATGAGGCGGAGCTGAGCTCCATCATCAGAGAGGTGCACGCACGTGCGTGTCTGGTGCATGCCAATGGGGGTTTCGCCCGATTAATGTTCATTGCTCTCTCTTTGGAAGGTGGCTCTGTTGGGGGCTTGGGGCCAGGTAGGGTTGTCACTGGAGGGTGGAAGGTGCTCCACGCTTGGCGTGTGACCTCCGCGTTGCGTGGGTTGCAGTACCTGAACTTCATGGAGTACGAGGAGACGGTGAAGGCCCTGGATCGTGAGTGCAGCAGCAAGGGGAAGGCCGTGCCCAAGTCCGGTGGTGTCATGAAGGACTCGAACGTGCTGCTGGTGCAGGTAGCACCCTCCCCGGGTTAAATATTGGACGTCCAACGATGTGGCCACGGAAATTTAATGCAAATTGCAGACCAGTTCAGTTTAAATCTTAAACGTTTACGAACATTTACATAAAATCTCAATGTAACTCGCGTGTAAGGTTCACGGGCATCGTGTTCTCCAAGCGGGGCTTTCCGGGATGGGGTGCGCATTGGGTATACGCAAGCTCTCCCCACGCCATCCTGCGGAATCCCTCCCGCAGTAGAACTTAAGGAAGGATATTTGTTTATTTTATAGAGAGAAAGAGACGATCATAGGCAAATAGTTGAACTCGTGAAAATGCTCACAGCAGCGTGTGGCAAAAGCATCCCAGAGCCCAACCTGGAAAACCGCACTTGGACGACATTAAAACGGGCCAGCTTCTTCTACATAAGAGGGCAGCACAGCACAGTATGAATCTCCTTACATATGTTGATATACAAACTGCAGGAGCAGAGAAGTGAACGAGACATGTGCGCTGGGAAGGAGGTTGGCTCGGGAGGAAAAAAGAGATCTGTCTAGGAGGTGTAGATGCCGCGTACGGATGCAAAGTTTAGTCTCAAACGCATTATAAATGTAATGTACTGGTGGGGTTGAAATGTAACATTGTAATCTTGGATTGCATGAAATAACTAGATTTTCATGTGGATGCTATTGTGATCTGATGATCGCAATGGGGTTTAGGCATATACGGTGTTGCAGTTGTCTGTCGGGGAATTGCCTCGAGGCATTTTTTACGAGAAAGGCTTCATATAAATTGTGCTCGTCGATTGTCAATCAAACGCCAACGACTGCCGTGACGCTCGTGCGTGGTGCAGGGGGAGCTGCTGTCAGCGTTCGATCAGGGCGAGCGCACCGAATTCTTCGTGCTGTGGGGGGAGAACATCCCCGGGACACTGTGCGATTCAGACCCCACGGCCCAGAAGCTGGAGTTCTACCTGCAGATTCACTTTGCCATCTACCCCATCCAGCACGCCGTGGGAAAGCCGGTAACTATCCTTGGAGACTACACACACACAGCGGCCACCAAAAGAGAGTACAAGCAACAAGATAAGTAAGCAGACAATGCACCTCTTTCCCATAGCTGTTCTTTCATGTAAAGAAAATGACATATCTTATCAGCCACACACTGGGAATTCATGAAGACGCAAGATGGTAAGATATCTCAATGACTTGGGCTTCATCCAATAGTAGCAAGACAATGGCTGATGATGATATTAAAATAAACTTGAAGTTATCTGCAAAACGAAGCTTTATTTGGATGTTGCAGAAGTTTAAAGGACTCTTAGCATGGGTAGTTAACTTTGTGCTTTCGAGTGACTTCATGGTGACTCACCGCGGTGTGTGTGACGCTCACAGGACAGTGCAATGGTGGAAGCGAGCATGACGGAGTTTAAGACCTTCCTAGAGACGCGCGGCTCGGCCCTCAGCCAGACCACGGAGTTCCTGCCCTTCTATGCGCTGCCCTTTGTGCCCAAGCCTGCCGCTCACCCCTCCTTCCGCCAGCTCTTCTCGGTATGCGCTTCAGTCGGTCCTTTTCTCTCGGCCGGGGAGGGTGGGGAACCTATGGAAATTTGGCCCGTGACTTGAGTTCAGATGGCCCATGACCACACGAGGCCTACCACCTCCATACGCCCTGCGAATTATACTTATCCATCACTGTAAGCATCCTAGCCGCATGAAGAATCTTGCGTAATTGAGAATAATATATAATGTACTCACTGTTTTTTTCGGTAAAGTCACGTATGTAGAAATACAATAAAATTATATAAAAAAAAATCACGACGTTTTGACCGCAACACAAGCGATCTTCATCATGTGTAAAAAACAAATAGCGAGGGAGCACATAGGGTGACATCAACGCAACACATAGAGAGCGTTGAACTTACACGGAGGTAAATACAACAAGAAGATGAGAGACGAGAATTCAACAAACCTAAGAAAAAATTACGTGATGCAAAACCAGTCGGCCAACAACACAGTTAGACACTTGCCTGGTGGACCACGAATTTCAGAAGAGTGCTAAATTTCGTGTTCATCCTCTGGGTTGAGCACACCAGCATAGACAGAGTGAACAAATACGAGGTACAAGGTAGCAGAAATACATATACAGAGACACCAAGAGGCAAGAAGAGGAAAGACGGACAGAGAAGCAAGAAAAAGGGCCAGAGGGATGAACAGACAGAGGCTTAAATAAGTACCAGAGGTGGGGGGAGGGGCCGAAGAAAGCAAGGGGCGCAAGAGCGCGGGCGGAAACAGAGGGAAGTATAGAGACAAACACAAAACCACGGTAAACAAAAAACAAAAAACGAAGCACATTCAATAAATAACAAAAGACGAAGCACATTGAGGCACTTCGAAGAACAGACAACACAGGGCAATAAGTTTAGGACGGAATTGTAAAGGTAACTTCCCCGTAGAAGTGTGATAATAAAGAATTAAAGCTTTCGTGACTGCATAAATTACTCATTGTTTTTTTCGGTAAAGTCACGTATGTAGAAATACAATAAAATTATATTAAAATAAATCGCGACGTTTCGACCGCATTTAATTCTTTATCAATATATAATTAGTTACACGCACAGTTTTTGTTCACTCTTGACAGTTAATGCGAAGGAAACTACGGACAAGCAGGAAGGAAGCCAGAACCGGTGCCAACTATTGCCCAAGCTCTGTGGTCCTATAATGGGATGTTTTGCCAACTCCATTAATGAGTGTTTTATACATGTGGGAGGAAACTGGGGTATCCAAAGAAAGCTGACTCAGGATATAGGGTAATGCTAAATTCCTGAACAGGTGGAATACAGATTGAAATTAATCCACTTGCTGTGCTGCCATCATACCCTGGCGAGCCATTAAGAGAGGGTTACCTCGAAGCCCTCGGGTAGGAAGGGAGTTTCATGAACGTGTGATGATCCACCAGGCCCCGCTGCCTCCACAGTCCTGGGTTACAGGCCACGTGCGGCGTAGCCACCAGTGGGCTCCACGATTGGGACGTTTGTCCATTTGCATTGAGCAGTTGTTTTGCAGAACTCGTGGACCCCGGAGCTGAGGACGCAGCTCGAGAGGTTCCTGTCACTCACGCTGAAGGCGAACAGCTTTCCTCGCCTTCTCACGCTGTTTGTATCCTTCAGCTGTTACCGGTTCATAATTACTATGCTGGACTACCCAGGAACGCCTCAATAATCTTTTTCAGGAGGGTCCAACAAAGTTTTTGCTTTCGCGGACGACAATTGCTATGTGTAGGGTGACAGGGCAGCTCAGCGGTAATGCGTGTGCCTTACAGCAAGAGGAATCTAGATTTTATTTCTGAATTTGGGGCCTTTGTCTGTGGGCTTTGTTTATTTCCCCCACGTTCTGCACGGATTTTCTCCGGGTTCTCTGGTTTTCTCCCATTGCTAATTACTCAATGTAATTAGTATTGGCCAAACATATAATGCTGAAAACCTTCAAATTACTCAGTTGGGATCACACGGAAGCAACACCGACCACCTGTGAAAACGTGTCAGAACCCTCCTGAAAAAAGTGTTGAGTGAGGCTTTCATGGGTAAACAAGGACAATTCATAAAAAAGCAATCTCTCCTAATCGAGTAGTCTACAAGCAATCTTTCTAATTTGGCACATTTAGACCATGACACTGGCACAGATGACCTAGTCTGCATGAAATGGCATTGCTGGATCTTTAACGTCCACTGTGAAGCAGATGGCGCTTAGCATTTCATGGTGAATACGCATTGCAGGAAGAGGCAACATGCCAGAGTAGACAAAATCCACCACGGAGATGGTGCAATGAGATCGAATAACATACACGAGCTGGATGGATTGTGGCATTGCAGGACCGTGAGGGGTAATCTGGGGATGCCTTCATATAGCAGTGGATAGAACATGAATGATTTGATGATGGATGAGGGTTTTATGATCCTTTACAAGGTGGTAATGTACAGAAGGAAGGTGGCCACGCAAGTAGAGGTAAGTGCACATTTTTCAGTAAAAAAATGCTCATTGCTTAAATTAAATAAATAGTATGCTGCTGTTTTGATTTAAGAAATGTGTAGTTAGCAAGTAAATTGCACTTATATTTATATAGTTTCTGTAACATTCTCATTTGTGCTACACAGTTGGGCCAAAGGTTCTGAAGAATAATTTTCTTTTAATTAAAACATATTTCACTTGGACAATCAGTTCTAGTTACTGTGGCTGCGTGCTTGTGGCTGAGTGACTGTGGTTGTGTGCGCGGGGCGAACAGACTTGCATGAGCGTCTGCACGAGTGCGAGCGGCGTGCCGTGGATGCCGACCGGCGTGCCACGGGCTACACGCGGCGCTACAGCAAGCTGCAGGCCGACTACCACGGCCTCATCAGTGTGACTGCCGAGCTCGTCGACTCGCTCGAGGCCACCATTAGCGGGAAGATGGTGAGAGCGATGCCTACACGCAGTGATGTCTGATTCAATCCAGCTCCGGGGTGGTGCTTGCTTCCCATTTACAGCCCTGAGCCAGTGGTGGAAAGTCTGCATTCCTATGGCGGGTGCAAATCTTCTGCTGTTGACCTTCCCACATAGCGGTATCTATTTTATTGACCCTGCAGGGATGATGGGCTGAGTCAACCCCCAACCAGGATTTTAACTCACGGCCTTCTGATCGCGAGCTGCTCGCTCTACTCGCTGTCCTGCTGCACCACATGGCAATTCACTCTTTTATGTACCACCATTGGCTCAGGGCTGGAAACAAGGAGTTGAATGCCTCAATGTTTAATCGAGTAGGAAATCACTTGACTATTCAGTGTCAAGGTGTTGCTGATGGTGGCTGTGCTGTTTAATAGATGACTCGGCACAGTCCCTGCTTTTGTCTTGGCTGCTGTTGCCAGCAGATCACGGCGGAGTACCTGCAGAGCATCTGCACGCGCCTCTTCAGCAGCCAGCTGCGCCACAGTCTGGTGCACAGCGTGGACTTCACTCGCCCCGGCACGGTAACTCGCTACTCCGCACTCCCGGGCCTCACCACCCACACAGCACGAGCTGTGTGGGTGGTGAGGCACGAGCTGTGTCGCTCACTTAGCTGGGTCGGGGCTCATGAGCTGTGCCACTCTGGTATTCTACTTGGGTACGGATACTTGTTGGTACGATCTCCCTTTAATGTCACTGACAAGCAGATGCATCTATGTCCAGCATGGGTCTGTATATATTTTACAAAACAATCATTAGAATCATTGTGGAGAATATAGCAAAATAAATACAAATACAGTATGCCTCGTTCCAATATCTCTCCCTCTACATAAAAAAATATAGGATTTTGTGTGCATCCCATCAGCCACAGGGCCTTCTGGGGGTGCATTATGTAATCAGCATTGATTCAACACAAGCAGACTCTGGAGCAGTCTTCACATTCCCATTAGCAGAGTCAGTCTCACTTGAACACGAAATGTTGAAACCGGTCAAGTGTTCACGTGTGGTAAACCAATGCTGCTGAAAGTATCGCCCCCTATTGGAAAAACCCTGGCAGGACCTTCCTATAATCGTCTTTAGCAGGGGTCCCCAACCCCCGGGCTGTGGACCGGTACCGGGCTGTGGACCGGTACCGGGCTGTGGACCGGTACCGGGCGGTGGACCGGTACCGGGCTGTGGACCGGTACCGGGCTGTGGACCGGTACCGGGCTGTGGACCGGTACCGGGCTGTGGACCGGTACCGGGCTGTGGACCGGTACCGGGCTGTGGACCGGTACCGGGCTGTGGACCGGTACCGGGCTGTGGACCGGTACCGGGCTGTGGACCGGTACCGGGCTGTGGACCGGTACCGGTCCGTGGCCTGTTTGGAACCGGGCCGCACAGCAGGAGGTGAGCGGCGAGTCCGCGCGTGGCCTGCCCATTGTTTTATTGACCACTTCCGTTCGCGCCTCTTTCCCGCACTGCGCACTTGTCTCAGTCACAATGTTGGTAAGGCCACAAGCTAACCCCTAGTAGCCACAATGAGTAAAAAACAAACGTCGCTGGAGAGCTTCTTTGAAAAGGGGGAAAGACCAAATGATGAACACCCCCCCCCCCCCCCCCCCGTCCGTGAAAAAATTGTCTTCCACAAAACCGGTCCCTGGTGCCAAAAAGGTTGGGGACCGCTGGTCTAGCGGGTTTTCTGGCTACACAGGTGTAATTATAATACTACTACTTAGGTGCTCCCGAGACTACGTTATATCTCATGTGCGTGTGCATCGTCGGTCATGGGGCAGGGAGTGCAGCAGTGTTCATGGCTGCAGTCGGATCCCTGCTCAGAGCACACGAGTGCCTTCTCAGACTTCATTCATTCTAGCATTTTCCTATTTAACTTCTGCCTGCTTTTTACAGGAGTAAAAAACATAATTTCTTATTCTCTCAAATTCTCTTTCAAGTACGACGACTATTGGTACGCAGAACAGGTAAGTATGCGTGATGGGGATGTCTGTGAGCATGTCTCAATGAGCACGCTCCCGTGTATGACCCTGCTTGTTCTTCCTTCTGCCTAATAACATTAACACCCTTTCCTTTCACTCATCCTTCTTTTCATGAGGTTTTGCTTTTTATAACATTGGGGCATGGGTTATTCATTGTTCATTACTTAAAACATTTGTACTACATATTATGAGTTAGCCACTTATTTTAATATAACCAACGTAACTGGTTCATGACGCATCTGTGCGCTAAGTTATTGTTCTAACAATAATTCAGATCTTCCCAACGCTCTAACCCACTGAGCCCCGAACTGAGCCCTGCACCTGCCTAACCAGCCTTCCGCAATGCTGCCCTGCCCAGCCTTTGCATGTCTCACCGTTGGTGGAAAACTGCCGATTGCAAAGCCAGGCCTGCATTCATAAGTTACACCTCTCACCGGAAAGAGAGTGGCATGGACCTAGGGAGCTGCCACGGTGTTTGTGTAATGGTGTGCACACTGCTGGACTTGCAATCCAGAGTTTCACGGGTTGATTCAATTTCCTGGCATAGCAGTTAAACTATGGTGTTAATGTCTTAAACCCCCCAACTGCCTCTCCATCCAGCAAAGTAAATATGTACACCACAGTATTTAGGTAGGTCGTGTGTGGTGAGGCTCATCTCTTCTAAGAAGTCTGGTTAGTGTAGAGGAGTAGCATTTAGCTTTATGTCAAACGAGGACCCCTATTTTACAGAGGGTCCTTACCTATAAGCATCTGGCAGGTAACCAGCATTGGTTTAAGCAAGCATGACTGCTGATGAAACACTGAATGTTTTAACTGGTTCAGAGTTTGCAGCTTGTATTAAACCAATGGCCGGCACGCTCACCACCGGACACGTTCACACACACTCGCCCATCGCATTCCCCTCCCGCGGTTCCCTCACAGCGGGTGGTATCAGTGCCGCAATGCGTATTTTAAATTCCCACTTACATCATCATATGCAGGAATAGGCCTTTGTGAGTCAGCATTCTAACCCATGCTCCTGAACGTGAACATTACAGACAGCTGCATTGTAAGAGTAACTATCCCCAAATCACTCTGGTGTCTAGGTATCCTGTACCAGACGCTGGAGCATAGTGGCCTCATGGTTAAATGGACTCCATCAAGAAATCAGCTCCTCATTCCCTTTGAAATATTTAATTCACAAGTTTTCAAATCAATCTTCAATCGCCACATTTGTGAGTTTACTTATTTGTGAAAGCCAGTTAATATTTCGATTTAAAGCTTTCGTGACTGCAATGATTCATCTTCTTTGGTTCTTTCGGTAAAGTCACGTAGAATGAGAATAAAATAATAAATTGATAAAATAAAATAACACAATAATATTCTCACGACGTTTCGGCCACAACACAAGCGGCCTTCATCAGGTGAAGGGGGGCGAGACTGTCTGGTAGGACAGCGCTGGAGTGAGAGAGCCACGTTCAGATCACGGCTTTTAAGCTGTGTGAGAGGAACAAAGAGCCTTGACACAGGAATTAGCATAAAATTTAGCATTGAAATGGCTGAATGATTAGCTTGTGACTGGTCACAGAAATAGCTATGTTAAAAGTTAAAGCATACACATCCGCAGAGGCACCCATTGTTAAAAGGAATTAGCATAGAATTTAGCATTGAAATAGCTAAGTTAAGGCATACACATCCGCAGAGGCACCCCTTGACAATGGGATTAGCATAGAATTTAGCATTGAAATGGCTGAGTGATTCGCTTGTAACTGCTACAGAAATAGCTACGTTGAAGTCAGAGCATACACATTCACCGAGGCACTTAGTACAAATCAAACAGGAGAATTTAGCATTGAAATAACTAGGCGAATTTAGCATTGAAATAACTGGGTGATTTGCTAGTGACTGGTCACAGAAATGACTACACATCTGAGCTATTCACAGTACTATATAGTGAACCAATAAAAACTAAAATATAAATTACCTTCATGTTATCAATAAACTCTATATTCTCCAATCAGCTAAGCCACCAACCATAAGTCGTTATATATCACAATGCTATATGGCGAAAAAATGGGTGGATTCTTACCCTCAAATTTCCGTACCACGGATAGCTATGGGCCCCGTTCAGACGGACGAGTTCGTCCATGGTCGGAACAGAGGAGGGGGAGAGAGACAGCTGCGAGGCCCTAGTATGCTCCATGTTGTAAACCATACCATTAACCGTGGTGTGAGAGGTATTAAGAGGCAATGCTGGCGAAAGAGCTGCGGTCTGAAGGACATCGTAAAATTACAATTAATTAAGAACAGAAATGATTTAACACATCTTTCCAGTGGTTACTAAGCCTGAATCCATCTTCTCGGTTGAAATTGTCTCTGTGCTTGTATATGTGAATGGCCTCATGAACGAATCTCTCATGGTAGCCGGTTGGTTTGCAAAGAACCTCCGTCTTGGAGAAGTCAATGTCATGTGAGCCCACTGAATTGTAACAGTGGTCTGCCACGGCAGAGGAGTTCGTCTTACCGTGTTTCAAGTCTGCTTTATGTTCGCGGATGCGGTCCGAGATATGTCTTTTGGTTTCTCCAATGTAGCTACTACCACAGAGGCACTTTAGTTTGTAAACGCCTGGGTACTGTATGTCTGGAAGAGCATCTTTTACAGATGGAACTAAATCACGGATTTTGTGTACTGTGTTGAATCGGACCTGGATCTTGTGTTTATTCAGGATTTTGGAGATCTTTTTAGTGACCCCTGCAATGTAGGGTAAGGTGATGGTTTTGAGTGGCTCCACAAGAGGATCCTTCTTCATGACTGGAGTGATGGCTTTGCGGATTGTGTAGTCGGAGTAGCCATTAGCCCTGAGAGCCTGGTGTACGTGCTTGAGTTCACTGGTAATGTGTTCCTGGTCGGAAATGCATTGGGCTCTATGGTATAGAGTCTTGATGAGGCAGTTCTTCTGGGATGGATGGTGGTGGGAATCCGGTTTCAAGTAAGCATCTGTATGGGTAGCTTTCCTGTAGACAGAGTGGCTCATTGAACCATCATGTCTCCTTTTAATTAAGACATCCAGAAAGGGTAGTTTGCCATCTTTTTCGACCTCCATGGTAAATCTGATGGCTGGGTGTATGGAATTGATGTGGTCGCGGAATTGGTCTAGAGCAGGCTGGCCATGTGGCCAGATGACAAAGGTGTCATCAACGTACCTCTTCCATAAGGTCGGGCGTAGAGTGGCAGTCTGGATGGCGTCAGTTTCAAATTTTTCCATGAATACGTTGGCTACAACCGGAGATAGGGGGGAGCCCATTGGGGTGCCCTCAGTTTGTTTGTAGAAAGTTCCATTCCAGGTGAAGTATGTGTTGGTTAAGCAATGTCTCACCAGGGGGGGTACATCAGTATGCAGTCCTTGATGAACCAGGTCTTCAATGATAGCGATGGTGTCAGGTACCGGGACTTTGGTGAACAAGGACACCACATCAAAACTGACAAGCAGGTCGTTTGGGGACAGGGAAATGTCTTTGATTGTCGATACCAGGTGAGTAGAATTTAGTACCGCAGAGGTGGTTTTTCCAGTGAAAGGTCGCAGTATATCAGCCAGAAAACGTGCCAGTTTGTAGGTGGGGGAGCTGATAGTAGAGACGATGGGACGAAGGGGTGTATCTTCTTTGTGTATCTTTGGAAGGCCATATAATCTTGGTGGTCTGGCAGCAGAGGGTTTCAACGAGAACTGTTTGATCTCATCAATTAATGCTGTTGAATCAGAGATAATTTTGTTCGTTTTGGTGACCAGGCTGTTGGTGGGATCTCTTTTTATTTTTGTATAGCTGCCATCGTTGAGTAGTTCTTGAATTTTGTTGTTATATTCTGTTTTGTCCATGATGACAGTGGCATTGCCTTTGTCAGCTGAGAGAACGACAATATCATCCCTCTTTTTTAATTGAGATAATTCAAAACGTTCGTCTTTGCTGATGTTGCTGGGTGGCAACTTAGCGTTTTTGAGGGTTGCAGCGATTTCAGATCTTGCTACGTCTGCAGAGATGTGACTCAAGCCCTTGAGTGCAACGTCAACATGGGCAATGATATCATTAACCGGTAAGTGTCTCGGTGTGACAGCAAAGTTAAGACCTTTAGCTAAAACGGATTTCAGACCATCAGAAATGGAACTGTTACTGCGATTAATTACGACTTTGTTGACGTCTATCTTTTCGGTGTGTGGATCCGATTTTTTGCTGGAGAGGTGATTGAATTTGGAAATCAAATTGTCCCTACATTTGTTCGACATAGTGGCAGCCGAAGAGGTAGTCATATTGTCTACATGTTCCCAATCCGATGTAGACATTGTTGCTGTCAATTTTAAGTGTGATTTGTAGAGTGTCTTGTCTAACTGATCGAGTTCGGTGCGTGTAAGTCTGATTTTTTCCGAGATAAGAGCGAAGCTAGTTCTAGCTAGAATTCGTTTTGCATTGAGAGAAGTTGCAACAGCAGAGGTTAGTGTAAATGCGGTTGGTATTACCTTAGAGTCGCGGCATCTCTTCAGAAAGGTGAGAGACTCGATTAGTTGAGCCTTCTTATCCCGAAGTCTGTTGAATGATCTTAAGGATGTGTGGAATCCCTCCCCGTAGAGGCGGTTAAATTTCGATTTAAAGCTTTCGTGACTGCAATGATTCATCTTCTTTGGTTCTTTCGGTAAAGTCACGTAGAATGAGAATAAAATAATAAATTGATAAAATAAAATAACACAATAATATTCTCACGACGTTTCGGCCACAACACAAGCGGCCTTCATCAGGTGAAGGGGGGCGAGACTGTCTGGTAGGACAGCGCTGGAGTGAGAGAGCCACGTTCAGATCACGGCTTTTAAGCTGTGTGAGAGGAACAAAGAGCCTTGACACAGGAATTAGCATAAAATTTAGCATTGAAATGGCTGAATGATTAGCTTGTGACTGGTCACAGAAATAGCTATGTTAAAAGTTAAAGCATACACATCCGCAGAGGCACCCATTGTTAAAAGGAATTAGCATAGAATTTAGCATTGAAATAGCTAAGTTAAGGCATACACATCCGCAGAGGCACCCCTTGACAATGGGATTAGCATAGAATTTAGCATTGAAATGGCTGAGTGATTCGCTTGTAACTGCTACAGAAATAGCTACGTTGAAGTCAGAGCATACACATTCACCGAGGCACTTAGTACAAATCAAACAGGAGAATTTAGCATTGAAATAACTAGGCGAATTTAGCATTGAAATAACTGGGTGATTTGCTAGTGACTGGTCACAGAAATGACTACACATCTGAGCTATTCACAGTACTATATAGTGAACCAATAAAAACTAAAATATAAATTACCTTCATGTTATCAATAAACTCTATATTCTCCAATCAGCTAAGCCACCAACCATAAGTCGTTATATATCACAATGCTATATGGCGAAAAAATGGGTGGATTCTTACCCTCAAATTTCCGTACCACGGATAGCTATGGGCCCCGTTCAGACGGACGAGTTCGTCCATGGTCGGAACAGAGGAGGGGGAGAGAGACAGCTGCGAGGCCCTAGTATGCTCCATGTTGTAAACCATACCATTAACCGTGGTGTGAGAGGTATTAAGAGGCAATGCTGGCGAAAGAGCTGCGGTCTGAAGGACATCGTAAAATTACAATTAATTAAGAACAGAAATGATTTAACACATCTTTCCAGTGGTTACTAAGCCTGAATCCATCTTCTCGGTTGAAATTGTCTCTGTGCTTGTATATGTGAATGGCCTCATGAACGAATCTCTCATGGTAGCCGGTTGGTTTGCAAAGAACCTCCGTCTTGGAGAAGTCAATGTCATGTGAGCCCACTGAATTGTAACAGTGGTCTGCCACGGCAGAGGAGTTCGTCTTACCGTGTTTCAAGTCTGCTTTATGTTCGCGGATGCGGTCCGAGATATGTCTTTTGGTTTCTCCAATGTAGCTACTACCACAGAGGCACTTTAGTTTGTAAACGCCTGGGTACTGTATGTCTGGAAGAGCATCTTTTACAGATGGAACTAAATCACGGATTTTGTGTACTGTGTTGAATCGGACCTGGATCTTGTGTTTATTCAGGATTTTGGAGATCTTTTTAGTGACCCCTGCAAGGTAGGGTAAGGTGATGGTTTTGAGTGGCTCCACAAGAGGATCCTTCTTCATGACTGGAGTGATGGCTTTGCGGATTGTGTAGTCGGAGTAGCCATTAGCCCTGAGAGCCTGGTGTACGTGCTTGAGTTCACTGGTAATGTGTTCCTGGTCGGAAATGCATTGGGCTCTATGGTATAGAGTCTTGATGAGGCAGTTCTTCTGGGATGGATGGTGGTGGGAATCCGGTTTCAAGTAAGCATCTGTATGGGTAGCTTTCCTGTAGACAGAGTGGCTCATTGAACCATCATGTCTCCTTTTAATTAAGACATCCAGAAAGGGTAGTTTGCCATCTTTTTCGACCTCCATGGTAAATCTGATGGCTGGGTGTATGGAATTGATGTGGTCGCGGAATTGGTCTAGAGCAGGCTGGCCATGTGGCCAGATGACAAAGGTGTCATCAACGTACCTCTTCCATAAGGTCGGGCGTAGAGTGGCAGTCTGGATGGCGTCAGTTTCAAATTTTTCCAACCAAATGGAACCACAGATGATCTAATTTTGATCCTTACATGGCCTAACCCAAAATAAATAAATAAATCCGACATAATTAAATGGTTACTGTTGAGTGACTCATTTATTAGAAATCTGTGGGATTGCTCGAATCCTGGCGTGTTTTTGTTAATTCAATCTCTGCTCAATGTGCTTTCTCTATGTGTGTTCAGGCCTCCACAATCCTGAGAGCCTCTGTTGCCCCTATGTGAGTATTGTGCTCAATTCACAGGATACATCATCGTCAATATTGAACAGTTTTCGTACGTATTACATTGTTAAAAGATGTTTGCAATTTTTAGTTAACTTATGTTAATTAAATATTTACACAAATGCCTTTTTTTCTATAAATAAACATAATGTATTGGCTTTGTTAATACGGGACTCTTTTTCCAGTTTTATTTAAAGAGGTCGGGTCATTGTACTAATATATGTGCTAGGGCTGTTGTATGAGCAATGTTGTGTGATGGTGGTGTGGGAGTGTGGCGAGGAGCGGTAGTGTCGCAGTTAGTGCGCTGCACTACAAACCCAGCGACCCGAGATCGATCTGAACCGGTTCTGGGCTTCCCCTAGGTCGATTCAGCCTCAATTGAGTACCTGGTGCAGTGTTTAAACATCGCCACTGGGGAGACAAAAGCGACTGGGAATGGTGCTGGCCACCCACCCCCTCGTGTGCCGTGCCGCTCTTCACAGGTGCTCACTAGCAGCACTTGCCCCGAGAGTCTGTTAAGGCGGTGTGTCACGTTGAGCGACGTTGCCTTGCCCCTCTCACGCAGGCACCCCCGCGACATCCCTCTGCTGCCGTCGCTCGACTACGACAAGCTGAGGCACGATCTGCTCCACGGCACGGACCGCCTCAAGGCGCTGCTGCTGCAGGCTCTGCGCTGGGTCTGCCCCCACACTCACCCCGCAATCACGCCGGGTTCATGACGCGTTCACGTGTCGCTGCGTTGAGATGAAGTGCAGCGCGTGCATCGCCGGCTCTGGGGAGAGGAGGGGTTGTGATTTAAAGAAAGGAGAGAGATAAATATTTGTTTTGGAGTTAGGGTGGTTACCTTTTCTACTGTAGACCAAACTGGGACATATTTCTCAATCAGCCCGAGTCTTTCAAAACTCCAGTTTATTGTACTGTGATAAAATTAAATACAATATCGGAACCAGATCTCGGTACAAATTAATTACATCCACCCGAATACAGATGCCACATCCTGGGGACTCTCTGGGTCAATCCTCGGTCACACCCAGTAGGCGGAAACCCTTCAGGGCATTAAAGCTTGAAGGACGCTGCTTTGATTTTGCATTTCGGCTTAACGCTCATACACGAGGACAGTGGTGACGTTTGTGTACCAAAGAGTGTCATGTACGTTTCTTGCAGCGCTTGACAAAGTCCCAGCAGGGAGAGCAGAGGGACACGGTGCTGCAGGCCTTCATTGCCAACGACCTGCTGGGCTGTCACGCGCGCAGCCAGTACAACGTGAGTGAGAGCTGACAACTGGTAACACAGCAGTAGTAAGAGTAGTTCTCACGCTGCTTCCTGCCCACTCAGCGCCCTATGTTGTTCGTGTCTGTGTGAAACCAGGTTTAACAGTGTACCTTTGTGGGTTGTTCACAAACATGCATGCCATGTGACCACCACACTGCATGTACCGTGCTCTCAGTGTTGTCTTGACCACCAGCTCGACAGCTGAATGTGCGGCCGTGTTATGGTTTAGGTCACCAACTCGAGTAGAGTTGATTAATGTGGCCATCCCAACAGGCAGTAATGACACAGAGACAACTTTAGGCCGTTTATGTCTTCATTAGGACTCATCGGTATAGTATAGTCATCAAGTTGATGGCCTAAACAATAATATGGCCACACGTTGATTTAACAGGCTTGGTCTGGATTTATTTAACAGGCAGATGTGCTGGGTCTGCTGATGTCCAAGAGTGAGGTTGTGCGACAGTACATGGCCCGGCTCATCAATGCACTTGCATCTCTGGCTGACGGTAAGTGCAGGATGCAAATGAACATTGATTTATTTGAAGTGCCATGTGAAAAGGTACAGATGTGATTCTATTCACCACGCCATCCTGCTTTACCAATTCCTATGCTGTCTCAAAAATATCCAAAATGTGTAAATGAAAAAAAATGTTGGACTAATGGTGATGATGATGACAGTGGTTTGATGATGATTGGTGATGTTGGAGTGACGGTGGTGGTACGCTATTTTTGTCAATGTGTTGCAGGTCGCACTTACTTGTCGCAGAGTCCCGCGGTGCTGCGAGTGCTGCAGGAGAGCCTTCAAGCAGAAGACCGCGATTCACTGACTCGTGAAAATGTGTTGGGCGCACTTCAAAAGCTCAGTCTCAAGTAAGCCATTATTTCCCCAGTTTTATCCCGGTCGTGCTACTGGTGTCATGTTGTGAGACAAAGTGGAGGGATAGGTAAGGGACGGAGGCATTATTTTTTGTTGTCTGAAATCAGCCTCCTCTAATCAACTCTGTCCTTTGTTTTGGGCGTACCAGGCGGAGCCTGCAGACGGCCATGATCCAGGATGGGCTGGTGCTGTGGCTCATCTCTGAGCTCGGAGACACGGACGCCCTCTCTGATTATACGCTCGAGTACTCCGTGGCTCTGCTCATGAATCTGTGCCTGCGCTCAGCCGGTACGCTGCTGCTGCTGCACTCAGGCACCCTTCTAGCCCGGCACACAGGATATTCAAGTCGTACACGCGTCTGCTTGTACCTGTGCAGTTGTGACAACCCAGTTTAGACATGGGTGGCTGCCCAGATTCTAACCTCCTCTCTTTTGTCCTCTGCCCAATGGCAGCTCTGTGACTCAAACTCCCTGCATCTTGCTTGACCTTGAGCAACACTCGCCTTAATTTCTCTGTGAAGTTCACTTTACTTTAAATCGTCATGCAACATTTTAACCTTTCTGCAGAAACCAAATCTCCTGTCTTGAATGAGGTACAAAATGTGGTTTTACTATTAGTCTCATGGTGTGTTGCCCTGTATCGAGTTTCTCATCCCAGTGGTGACTGTCACACCCTTTGCCATGCGTTGTGGTGCTGCCCACCCTGCCACGTGCGCTCGCTGTCGGCAGGGAAGAGGAAGTGCGCGGAGGATGCGCGCAGTGTCTTCAAGGTGCTCACCGACCTCCTGGGCCATGAGAACCAGGAGGTGAGTCCCCCGAACACTCAGCACTCAGGCCTTGCTGCAGTCATTGTCTCAGAATATCCGTTGATAGAGATATTGTACGGCGCACTCGCTCTCCCAGCTCTCTACCTGATGCAGCTCAAAGCAGTTTGAGCAAAACCTCATTGTACGTTGATGTTACATTTATCCATGAAAGGTCTTAAATCAGAATCAGAATATTTATCCTGGAACAATCCGAATAGCTATGAAGCTCTTTTTCACAGAAGTCCAATAATGGCGGGTCAGCAAGTGTCAGCAACAAACAATACAGCAAGAAGATAAGAGTGCAAATTAGAGAAAAGGAAAGCAAGTCACAAATAAATAAGGCACCGGTGAGGAGCGATATTCATCAGAATTTGAGTAAACGTGACAATCTTGTCGGGTGGTGGAGAGTTAAAAACAAGAAATTTGGCATAAAACTACCACGTGGCATACCCTAAAAACAAACGTAGATGAATAGTATCTCTTATCGCCAACTGCTGGACATACTGCTTGAAAAGGGTTAATAGACAAGTCAGAAAGCTTGTCCAACTGGCACATCATAGTTATTTTTGTAAAAGACTAACACATCTGGAGATACGATTCATAATTGATGGGAGCGTTAAGCTACTTAATGATTTGACTAAATTTGTATTGAAAGACCTTACACCACTTGACACAGCCAAACAAATTAAATTGTCACGCAGTTAATGAGCGTTTAACAACGCTCCAATTGTTATTGTTTGCATCTCCCCTGGTGAGTTTAAGAACGATTCTCACAATCACATTTAGCAGTTGGCTATGACGAACTCATACTTAAGGGTCTTTCTCCACAAATTTGGTCAGATCAGTATGTGGCCTCACCCAATAAATCCATTACAAATTAGAAGCATTGGCTGTGAAAATGTGCATGTTAAATCTGGAGATACGATGCTACGAAATTTAATTCCAATTTAACGCAACCGCGTGCAGTTGTACTTAAAGCTTAGTGATTGCCAAGTAAGTTCTGTTCTTTTAACGTTGCTGGTTGAATTTGCTATGGGAATGGTGAGGCTGAGTGTGTGGTCATGGAATCGGGGGGTGTGTGTTCCAGATTCGTCCTTACGTGAACGGTGCCCTCTACAGCATCTTGGCCCTGTACTCTATACGCGAGGAAGCCAAGGCCATGGTAAGGAGCATCGTTGGTCAATAGGACGACTGAGCAAGGCCAGAGACATCACCCGTGCACATACAGAGGCCGAGGGCACAGTTTTGGTGGCTGGTAAAATAAGAAAATAGTTTCAGATAGAGTTGACACCTGTTCAGATGTGGCCTGCAGAGTCCGGGAATGGTATCTGTGTTCGTGTGGCAGGAATTAATTTGTACCCAGATCTGGTACCGGTATTGTGTTGAACTTTATCAGAGTAGATTGCAGTTTTGATTGTTCGAGTCTGACTGAGAAATATGTCCCAGATTAGTCTGCGGAAAAGGTGGCAACCCTAGTTAGAGAGGAAATGATTGGGCTGCTGTTGGTGTGGCAGTCACCTAACACGTACTCAACATAACAAAGTAGACAACACATGCATACGATTGCCAATATAGGTGGGAGAAGTGCTGGCTGGGTCAGTTTGTGTGTCTGAGTCTGTGTCAGTGTACGCTCCAAGCCAGTAGCTTCATATTCGATGCAGTATCCCCTGGTGTAGCGTGTCTGGCGTATGATGTATACCTCTCTGTGGACATGTTTATATCAGTGGTTGTCCATCAAGAGCTGTGTTGTGAATTACGCAGGATGCGTACGGTCGACGCTGCGTTATGGCTGTCTCCCTCAGGGCATGGAAGAGATCCTCAGCTGTTTCGTGAAGGAAGGCAACGTGGAGACAAACAGACAAATTGAGTTCATTATAAAGCAGCTCAACTCAGGTAAGCTCGCTCGAACACGAACACATGTTCTACCCATCTAGGAAACTGTTTTTTTAGATTTAGAACACACATGCGTTTTGTCATTCATTCTTAACACCACAATTGGCTGAGAAATTTTATATATGGACAACAGGAGTTGCCATTACTTGACAATAATGTTGCCAAATCTCGATTTAAAGCTTTCGTGACTGCAATGATTCATCTTCTTTGGTTCTTTCGGTAAAGTGACTTTACCGAAAGAACCAAAGAAGATTGCCAAATCTCGTCTATTTTTTGTTGATTTGCCAATATTTCTACCAAAAGGTCAATTCTCCAGGTGTGTGTGCTGTGGGGATGAGTGCGATGCTAGGATCTCTGCATGCTGCACAAGTCATGCTGCTGTGTGCGGCTGGGGAAGTGAGCCAAGCTGCCTCAAGGGCAGCGCAGCAGCAGTCGCAGCATATGTTGATGTGTTGCGCTTATCCTGCAGTGTTAATTTTCGCTTGCGACGTTTCGGATCCTGCTACAATCACAGCCTGCTGGACTTGTGACAAATCTCATGAGCATTTTCTGGACTTAGACCCCCAGTTAGTTCACAGCAAAGTGTGAGTTTCTGAAATGATACACTATAGTTGTGTCCTGTATTTTACACAGCTGAGTGTTTTTACAGATTCTCCGGATGAAGGAGTGGAGTCCGATGATGAAGAACAAGAGGAGGAGGATGAGGTGACCCTCTTGGCAACGCACCCTTCTGCCCTGCCACTCATGAGCCATTCCACTAGCTTTGCCACCTGTTTCGGAATTTCCACCTGTTTTCGAGTGGCAGGTATTGATTTGAAATCTGGTGATATTGTGCTTAACTCTTATCACAGTTTAATGTTTAATGTATAGTTCTCTTAGACCTAAGCGTAACTGAGGTCTAAGGGAACTGTGCAACGAACCTGGCGACCAGTTTTATTCCTGCTCCCGACCCACAGATACAAACATTTGAATAATTTGTGGGCCTCCACTAGGTCCACTTAGTCTTAAATTAGTACCTCGTGGGTTGTGAAGCATCAGCAATGGGGAGACAAAGATGGCTAGCTTGGTGTTGGCCGCACCACCCTCTTGTGCACCGCGCCGGCCTTTAAAGGTGCTGACAGCAACTGCCCCAACAGGCCGTGGAGACTACACGGGGGATTTTTGTCTTTGTGCCATGATGTCCAGGAGGAGCAGGATGGCATGGAGCTGGACTTGGACAAAGCGGAGGTGCTGAGGCCGCAGGCTGGAGAGCTCACCGGGGAGAAGCTGCTGAGTGCGGAGTACCTCGGGGTACGTGCTGTGCCATCTCTTCAATCGCTGCGTCCTGACCAAGCCCACTTTTCTTAAGTCAATACAAAGATGTCTCTAATTTGCATTGACACCCTCATCCATGCTTTCCTCTTTCTGTTTCAGTGTAATTCCCAGAATGCACCTCTCTGCTTCTCTACGAATGAATAAATGTTCACACACATTTAGTAACTTGTGTGTACAGATCATGACGAACACTCTACAGCATCGGCGCCGGAACCCGGCCATTGTGAGCCAGAGTATGAATGAGCCGCTCCAGAGACCCGTGACGCCCAGCACTCATCGCTCGGCACTCACCGTGTACGTACTCACCACGTGATACCCCCCTACTGCCATGCTGGCCATTATAGGTGCTCGCTAACAGTCCTTGCCTATTACAGTCTGTTAAGACTCTATGGGGGATATTTGTCTTTGTGTCATCAGGCCGGTTAATTTGTCGGAGGGTGGCGGTTCGGTAACCGCGCACTCTGACGTCAGCTCGCGCCCTCCCACCCGCTCGGGCAGCCGGCCCAGCTCTGCCTCTCCGGCCAGTAAGGCTCAAACTATGAATACATTCACACCTGGGTCACCTAACAAAGTGCGAATTTGAACCTTCCTGGTGGAATAACGCCAACGTTTTGGCTGGTGCTGTGTAACCTTGTGCCACACAGACACAGCTTTCATCAGGGGGTCCGCTAGGCTAAAAAGGGAAAATAACTACAGCTGGGCATTAGAATGATTGAGATGAGATCTGATATGCTGGGGCATGTAAGCAAGTGCCATATAAATCCTCATTCCTTAACCTTGCCTCAACCTCCCTGCCCAGTCTTGTCCTGTACAGTCTTGAAATGGAGTTGTAAAATGCTTCATATATTTTAATGACATTTTATATGAACTGGCCAGGTGGGTTTGTCGTAGAGCGACATGCTCTCAATGGAAAGGTTACTGGTTAAATTTCTGGTTGGGGGTTTGACTTGGCCCATCATCCCTTCGGCGTCGTATAATGAGTACCATTTTTGTGGGGAAGTAGTAGAGTTGTTGTCCTATGGATATACTTGCTGCCGCCATAGGAATGAGGAACTTTCACCACTGGCTCAGATACTGTAAACAGGCAATGAGCAGCTCTCATTTGAGCAGGAAATCTTCACCTTGACATGCTTCTTGTGTTTGGATGCAGTATATTGAGCCAGACTGCGCTCTTTTTTCCACACAGATGGAGGGGCAGAAGCATCTCCGCGCTCGCTGAGAGAGCCTCCTTCCCACACCGCTGACTCGGAGGTGCAGGTCGCATCAGGCAGGTGAGCTGTGCAGCCTCCTTCTTGCTAAGTGTTTGGTGCAGCTTGCTGGAACACATGCGTGTAATTACTTAGATGTATATTGAGAGCGAGGCGCTTGTCATCAGTCCTGAATTCTGTTTTCGTGTGCGCTATACCACGACCACCACCATGCACCGTACACTCATAGTCATCCTGCCCTCTGGTGGTGACGCAGTCTCAGAGCGTCAAGTGGGTAAACGTGGCTCGCGCTGGAGCCACTCATGCAGAACCGGCTGGGATGTGGAAGTTGAAAGAGACCCGATGAGAAATTTGGAGGCAGGGTTCGTGGATCATACAGAGATTGTGTGTGTGTAACACACTGGCAGTAGCAGTTCGGTACCTTATTGGGCTGTCCAGTAAGTAGGTTGGTAATATAACTAATGTCAGCAGTTCTTTCCGGGTGGTCTGGTTTCTTCCCATGTGCAATAATACGCAATGTCCCAATATTGCGAGCAGAAATGCTCCTGAAAGGGTCTTGAGGCTCGGGGAGGTTTTCTTGGGTAGGAGTTAAATAAATAAAACGTAACATCTTCATCTTGAATAGTCGTGAACAGAAATATTGTTTATTTATTTAACCAAATGCATGTGAAAAATGTACAATAGGTTGGTAATTTTTTGTGTTTATATTTTGAAAAATGTATGTTGTGTCATTTTCCACAGGGCCATTGTGGGGGGGGCCCTCTTTTGTATGAGGCCCCAGTTAAAATTCCCCAGTGATCGTATAGCACGTGGCAATGCCTTGTTCTCATTTACATGTTTAAGGACAATATTCCTCTACCGCGACACTGAAATTCATTGCTGTGTGAACGCCTCGTTGCCTGTGCCGCCGCGCCGGGCAGCGTGCGAGACGTGAAGGTGGCGTTCGGCAGCCGCCCGCGCATCCCTCGCACGCCTGAGTCGCCGGCCGCCCAGGCGCTCCGCCTCAAAACCCCACCCAGCCTCGCTCCGCGCTTCTCCCGGGCCGGACCCCAGCAGGGCCGGCCCAGCTCCGGCGGCAGCAGCAAGCACAGTGAGTGGAGGCGGCGAGCGCTCGGTCGGGCACGTGGCTCGTTGTGAATCTGGGCGGCCACTCACAGCAGGGTGGCGCGCAGTGGGAACGCTTGTCCCTCAGGAAGAAGGGCCTGGGTTTAATTCGTGACTCGTGCGCCTTGTGAAGTTTGTATGTTCTCCTCGTGTTCTGTATGGATTTCCTCGGGGTTCTCTGGTTTATTCCTTATCTAAAAAAATAACAATGAAGCTGGAATTGGCCAAACGTCCCATTGCTGAAAAATTACCTGGAAACTTAGTTGAGCTTTCAATTTGCAACTTTACCCCTTTCTGTGGAAACTTGCCAGGAACCCTCCTGAAAGGCTTGAAAGTAAACGAGTAATAAATATTGATTAAACTGGGTTCTGAAGTGTCGTGAGTGGTCAGCCTGGCAAACTGATTTATAAAAAATTAACATGAAATGGTATTTTCACTTAATTTGGCCAAATTTAGATTCTTAGAAATCAAAATATCTATTGGACTGCCACGCAACAGCATGCCTCTCGTACGACAACTTCTTGTGTGGCCGGGCCCGGCACTCTGCGTGTGCTCTCCGCACCAAGTGCCGTGTCACGTCCTTGTGCAGGAGTGGTGCGCTCAGTCTCTTGCTCACGTGTCATCTTCACTGGGATTTTGAAATGTTTCAATGTGTTTTATCGTTTATATGTTCCACAGGCAGCTGGTCATCCAATAAATAAGAAGGTTAAAAACAAGTCAAGACCTTGGGCATCTGTGTTCTTGCACCTAAACCTCCAGTTATTATTCCAGGGCTACCTCACCCAGCGCACTAACAGCAGACGCTTTTGTGGGTTTAACGCGTGGACTCTCCAAATTCGATACTTAACGCTCATGTTCCACACATTGAATCACGTGTGTAAGAATCAACCCTTTTCCTGTTCTGTAAATAGTGCGGTGTTACATTTTGCTTATTGGAGCAGACAAAACTGTATAACCGACAAACACGATTGTGCAATTGAGAATATATTCCTGAATTGAGTCGAGGCTCCGTTTTGTAACAGTTCATGGAATCTAAGGTGGGGGTGAATCATTACACCCCAACTTCTGTACACATCCTCCATGTAGAGACATCTCTAAATACCTGAGTATACCCTGTATGACACTAACAATGCAGTTACGATTCTCAATTGATTACCCCATGTAAATAATCTGGCCAAATTTGTCAAACCATTCACCACCTGACAGTCAAATTAAATTGCAACGTGTACTAGTGTCTTAATACGCCGATTGTTTTGACTCACCGGTGAGCTGAAGAATAATTCTCAACCAAATGTAGCGATTAGAGATGAGGTTTCAAGCATGTTCAGGATGGAATCCACCAAGTCAGAATAACCATACCACCGGACCTGGAATCTTAAATGTCGTGACATCACAGGAACAACCAATCAGATTTAAACTCGATGTTATTTACAGGTGTGTTGCTGTAATCAGAGGGAGGGAATGAAGTGTGTTTGAGCTCAACTAAACTGCTGCAAGAGAAGGAAGCTGCGACTTGGTCTGTCCTTTGCACCGTTTTGTGATTCCCAAGTGCTGTATTGTTATACGTTTGATATCGAATACATATTTATTTTTGGTTGCTTCAATAAAAGTTAACTCGATTACATTGAGAACTCTAATGTAGATAAGCAAGTTTATCGTTAATCCAATAGCTTACTGCAATGGGGACAGGCGATAGGGGAAGAGGTGGGGCCCGAGTGGGTGGGAGGTGAGCAGTGACCCAGGCATGGTCTCGCCAGCCACGCATCCTATCTTGACGTGGCCAAATTCTGTATTGGTTCCAACTTCCTCATGCATTGTGGTCAGCTTTGATCAATCCACTGCTAAATGAAGCATTCCCAAGCTATACTCATTGTTTTTTTCGGTAAAGTCACGTATGTAGAAAATTATATTAAAATAATAAATCACGACGTTTTGAACGCAACACAAGCGATCATCATCAGGTGTAAAACAAAGTGAGGGAGCACATAGGAAGACATCACGTACATAGCACATAGAAAACGTTAAACTGTACGGAGGCAAATACAACAAGAAGATGAGAGACGAGAACTCAACAAACTTAAGAAAAATAACGTGATGCAAAACCAGTCGGCCAACAACACAGTTACACACTGACCTGCTTAACCACGAATTTCAGAAGACTGCTAAATTTCGCGTTCATCCTCTGGGTTGAACAAACCAGCATACACAGAGTAGAGTGAACAGCTCGCAATTTGGTTTTCTGTATGAAGATAGATCCAAGTTTATTTTTGAACAATATATTTTCCAATGAAACACAAAACCTCATTTACACCCATTCAAGCCTTATTCGAGCATCCGCATACTTAAATTATGCACTTTAAAATACCCACCAACCAGTTTTATACATTTCAATTTTTTTTTACAATTTTACAAAACACGTGTTCGCAACCCAGTATTATGCTCAGTCATACAACAGAGGCTGCATGATTATAGCAATTCACCAGCAGCACTACACACCAGTGCTTCGCACAACCCCTGCTGACCCAGTGACTTACAGTTGGGATGGTCACATGGCAGAAGCCCTCTGCAAAGGATAAGAGCCCATGTGCCCAGGCCTGAGATGCACTAACGTGGTCACCACTAGTGGATCAGTGTGCTGTGGCCCATGGATCAACACGAGATGGTGGAGGTTTGTCTAAAGTTGCATCTCGCCTGTTTTACAAATTACTCGATAGTTTATTTTAGACTTGATTACATTGAGGCTTTTTAAATGTAAACAATATTCATCAAATTTGAAGCACTGATATAGATTGATAGCAATTGTCTTATGGAAACTTTATATTCGTAATGCAGCCGTGTGGCTCGGCATTAGAGCGGGCTCACGATCAAACGGTTTGGAGTTCAAATCCTGATTTGGGGGTTTTGGCCCATCATGCTGGGGTCAATCAAATAAAACCACTTAAGTCATCAGTGGTTGTAATATGCATGGACTCGCCCCCATCATAGGAAGGTGGAATGTATACCTTTGGCTCAGGGCTCTAAATTGGAGATGCATACTGTCCCAATGCTCATTTGAGTACGGAATCACTTTTACATTCATACAAGGCGTAGTCTGCCATGGGATGAGTAACGTTGAGCATGTGGTGTATGGTACTGCCGCATAAGATCACACAAGACCTCCCTTCTCAATTACACAAGCACTGAAACACAATTTAGATCAGACCCACGATTCAACACAACCCCTTTAAATGTAGCAAGGTTCAAAAGTAGCGTGTGTATAAAACTAATGTAAGGCACACTTCACAGGTCCTGCCCAGCCACACAAGACCCTCTTGTCCATCTCACCCACACAGGATGAGCATCAGTGGGTATCCATCAGCCCATAACGTCCACAACAGGCAGAGGGGCTGACAGGGGAATGCACCTTTAAACCACTGCCACTGTAAACAAATATTCCTGTTATGGCAATTCATGACAAAACCAGTGCACTGATCAGGATATTAAACTGTTGGAAAGATAATTCACAATGATTTCCATTGTTCATATATTAGCAGGCGTAAGTAGCATACGAGCCAGGGTGCCCAAACACTTAAATGAGCTCGGTTCACCAAAACTGAAGATATCCGAAACCTTTCCTGAGCAGGTGTTACTGACACGGGCAATCTGAACTTGCACTCTGGTTGTAACTTCCACTTTCACTACGTGGAGCATTAATATCGCACTCCAGACTCAGCGCCGCAAAGAATAGGAGTTCACCCCCCCCCCCCCCACCATGCTCACTGGGGTCAGCGCGGCGATGCGACCCCGGCTGCCCGCTGTGGCGTAATCTCCCCGAGGACCCCTCAGCGTCGCCTCGCGTCACCGCTCCCACAGCTCCCACAGCTCCAGCCGGCGGTCGCACAGCACGTGGTCACGGTTAACAGCTGGAGCGTTGCCCGCACACGGATATTAAAATTTTAGTTTTCACCAAACGCTGTGGGAAGACTCGGAAGCAAGTGCAATAAATGTGTAGAATCCAATCACCACTGGCTGGATGGAGGACACAGCTGGAAGCTGATTTACACTGCAATGTGCATTTACTGCATTAGTTCGGGGATGAGAAACACGTGTGACATGGGCCTCAAAACAAGATTAAGAAATTGCAAAAAAATATCTCCCAACCACCAAGTTCAAGGATGATAACGTATTCCTTCACAACACACCATGGGTTAAACACACGCACAGGAACAATGTCCAGTGGTCGAACTGTGCCGGTATTTTCCGGTAGGCCACACTTCTCACAATGCCCTGACGATGCTGGGAGAACACACATGCACACTATGTGTCAATCACACGTATGACCTAAACATGTTTGCACATACTGGTGCATTACCACGATTGTATAAAGCATCCGAAAATGTATATCACTGTGGCATAAACACGGGTACTGCGAACCCACTTCCGATAGACTGTATCCACTTCCTATCTCAACATTTATTCTTCTAGGCCCAAGTCCGTGGTCTCAACCCCCATCCCCATTGTTCATATCTTGTAATTTACTGTTTAATTATCGTTAACTCTGCCAGATCAACTCTGGCGGTAACAATGTGCCCATGTTCTTGCGATGTCACAGCTGTAACTTCCACTTGACACGGCTGTGGGACTCGTAGGCGCTTTTGGGTTTCGCTGAGAGCCACCAAGTTACTAAGCTGAGGTGCGGGGAGGAAGATCGCTATTGCACAAACGCACAGCCAGCTCCACAGCTGAAAAGCACCATTCTCCATCACACTGATCACGTGCAAGCAACACATTTTTTGGCTAAGCTGACTTAGGAGAGGCCCAGACTTGTACATCTTAGACACTAGGAGTCCACAAAAATTCGTCACTCTTGCATGGAAATTGGTGAACTGGCTTTGTAATGACAATTATTGTGAACTTTTCTTTTACAAGTTGTGCAAGTTCACACTTTGGATTTGGGGACGTCATCATAACACAATGGCATACTCTTGCTAAACTATGATCTCACATGGTCTTTAACATCGACTTTACAGCAGATACATTGCGCTTTGGTAATTCCCGGCATGGCTCGGTGTGCAGCTGTGGGAACGGAACATGTGGTCGGTGCGGACTGGGTCCTGGGCCTGGCCAAACGAGGCTCTCACTCTGCGTGTGTGCGTGCGTGCCAGTGCGTGTGTTTGTGGGGAGCGGTGTGCTCCAAACCCAGTGCGCTCCGAACCCGGCCTCAAACGAGTACCTGGTGCATTGTGTAAACATCGCCACTCGGGAGAAAAGGCTGATGGGTGTAGTGCTGGCCACCCTCCCCCTCGTGTGCCATGCTGGTCTGCATAGAGCTCACTATGTATATTTATTGAACTTCTTTCGCACCATATGGAGCCAACCGTGTTAATTGGAGGTGCAGAAGGACAACAAACTAAACACAAAAAGCAGTTCTAAAGAAATTAGTTTTCAATCAAGATTTGAAAGTGGATAGCTCCAGTGGCTTCCTAATATCGGAAGGAAGAGCGTTCCATACGGCCTCAGAAGCGCATCTGAAAGCGTGCGATGCGGTGACCGTCTTTGTTTGATGGCGAGCCAAAAGCCGCTACGAGGATGACCGGAGTCCACGTGATGGTTTTTGCTTCTTGACACGAACAACACTTGCCCCAAGAGTTTGTTAAAGGCTATATGGGGGATCTTTGTCTTTGTATGTCTGTAGAGGTGCATTAACTTATAGTATCGCTTATGATTGCACATACAAACACACAAGTACACAGGATGTATGCCAACACTTGGCATTGATAATATGTTGGGAATGGGATATTAAACACAATGAATGATTGGAAATAATTAAAATATAGTTTTACAGAACGATGCTCTGTTAAGATTTGGCTGTGAGATACTCCTGCTATTACAGTGGCGTGACATCTCAATGACCCCGGTCACCAAAAGTTTTGAACGCGAATCGTTTATAAATACACGCGCGCACACGCACGCACGCACACACAAATGTACACGACGAATACCAGCACCGCTCAGCCATCTACACTGCTTCACCACTTGATGGGCCGACGTCAGCAACACTGGCGCGCCACAGAATGATCAGCCGACGCGACGCGGCGGTCACCGATCACAAGGTCAGCTCTGGGCTGGGGACTGCGTGGCTCGGCAGGAGGAGACATCGGGCGCACGTCGCCACGTCACGATGGACCGTCCCGCGATGCCACGGCGCTGCCCCGTGCCCTGCCGCTGGGAGAGACGTTCGCCTCACCGAGGCCTTCCCGAACGCAAGGAGGAGGCAGTGGCGTCGTCAGATCTTCATGGGGACTGGCAGCGCCTTGGGCTCATACCCGTAGAGAAAGGTGGCCAGGATGACGAGCGTGGCTCCTACAAAAAACACGCTACAAAGACACACGCGCGTGGATACACACGGTCTCATTCCATTCCCAACTCAGAAGCCTTTCTGCGTGGAGTTTGTATACTCTCCCACAATTCTGCAGACAGTGACTGAGTGTGTGGAGTTTGTATGTTCTCCCCCTGTTCTTCATGAGTTTCCTCCGGGTTCTCTAGTTTCCTCCCACAGCTACAAAAACAGTGTAAATGGTACTGGCCAAACATCCCAATGTTAAAAAAATACCAACATATGACTCAATTGGGATGACACACAGCAACACTGATAAAGAGTCTAGAGACTCGGTGAGGCTTACCTGGGTCAACAAACATAAAACATAATTACACCACACGGGAATATATACACACACACATACACACAATAATATAAACTTACAAAAAACAAAGATCCACCGTATAGCCTTAACAGACTTTTGGAGCAAGTGCTGTTAGCACGCACCCATGAAGGCCCGGCAATGCGCACGAGGGGGTGAGTAGCCAGCACCACCCCTGGCCGCCTTTGTCTCCCTAGTGGTAATGTTTACACATTGCACCAGGTACTCATCTGAGGCTGAGTCTACCTAGGGGAGGCCCAGGACTGGTTAAGATAATCGTGACTGGTATTGGCCGCGAGTGGCAATCAAACTTGAGTCATCGGGATCATAGCACAATGTGCTAATGGCAACCCGACCGCTCTCCACTCACAATCACAGACAGACACATGCAGCACCCAGAGTGTACCGCGCACAAAGCCACAGAGATGGGCCTGCTCGCCGCTGTGACGGTGTCCCTGCCGAGTGGCTACGGGGCAGGAGACCCCCGTCTTTTGAACACCGCAGCCAGCATCAGCACCTGGTTGGAATGAAGTCCTGCAGCCACATGTAGGAGATGAAGGAGGACAGGATGATGGAGAAGGACGCGGCAAAGCCCTTCAGGATGTTGTCGGCGTACTTGATGACGGCCGCCACCACGAGCCCTCCCACGGCCTGGGAGCACATCGACACGGCGCTCGTTAGCACAGACCCAGCGGCGGCGATGATAATGATGATGGGTGAAACGCGAGCTGGTGCCAGCCCCTGCTATGGAGGGTGAACATTGTCCAAACTACAATGGATACTGCACTGCACAGGCAATCTGGAGTCTCCAGTAGGAGGGATGCTGCGCTGTCCACAAGGCAGCACAGTAGCAGCAGTTCTGTTTTCTGTAAAAACATTGCTGGTGACTTTATGAGTACAGAGACTCTGGATCACAATAGTCCATGAACATGTGCACATATTTTAGCTGCTGCTGTGCTGCTTTTCACAGGAAGCTGTTTACCAACCAATGTGACTTGGAACGCTGTCACATGGGAGTGAAGAAGACCAATGGAATGTCGTTCATATCCGATACAAAGTAAAATCCTCTAGTTAAAAACAGTTCCATCTTTATACCTTAACATTGTAAAATACAGGTTTGTTTCTGAATGGAATGTGGATCTAAAGTGTTGCTAGAGTATATGTATGCAACTGGTGCGTTGAAACGCGGAACTTGACACTGTCGACCCTGACCCTGGGCACACGGATCTGCGCACTCGCCGCCTCCTCCACCAAATGCTGATGCACGTGAAACACGCCGCCGTGCTTGCGCAGCAGCGCGAAGTGAGCAATAGGGCAAACACTCAGCATGAGGCCGGGCTCCAATCACTGAGCAAACTCCAGCCGGAAAATCTTGCAGTAGCCGGGGACGAGAGCCTCGGGCTAGAGACCCCAGCTGCCACGCAACCTTGTCAAGGGAGGAAACCTACCGGCTCAGCAAGTCTCTCTCTGCAGGTCGCCACGTGGCTCACGGGCTAAACCACCCAGAACACCGGGCCGGCACATTCACTCACACAATCGTCACGTTAGAGCTGCTCTGTCGCTTAATTATCATTGATGGAATTAGAGTCAAGTTGATTGAAGATCTAGCACTAACTAATACACTCCAGTCAAATCTTGACTTTTTTCCTGATGACGACCGCTTGTGTTGCGATCGAAATGTCGTAGTTTTTTGTTATTTTCTTTGAACCTATTTAAGTGACTTTACCGAAAGACCCAAAGAATATCACTCCAGTCACTTGCTCATTAGCAGTCAGTCACATTTGTATCACTATTTATATTGCTACTATACCATGGTTACCGTTGGTGTGAACTTAGCTCAGCGAATCCCCCACCAATGTTGAGGACTTAGTCTACCAGACAAATGGTTTTGTCTCATTCATACGGTGTTCAACCACCACCACCCTGCAGATTACAACAACTCACTCACCCAGTAGCCCACCTACTCACTTATTCACTCACCCAATCACCCAGCCACCCAATCACCCACTCACCACACTGCAGATCGCAACACTTTTCTTTCTGCTTCATCCCTCACACTGCTAGCTTCTGGAATTCCCTTCCATCTTTCTTCCCAAGCTCATATAATGACCTTGCTCAATTCAAGAAACGTGTTACACTCTTATCTAGAACTGTGATAGTGCTGGTTGTTACTGGGCAGTTGACGTGTTGGGCATTTGGGAATGCGCCCAGCAAATGTGTTTTTATAGCTGCATCAATCCGCAAGGATACGTTTGAATAGATCATTGGTAAGTCCTGCAAAGCAGTGCACCCCGCAAATTAGGGAACGTCCTTCACAAGGAGAGATCACAAAACTACTTTTGAGATTCCTTGAAGATATTGCAAACGTAGTTCTGTGATATCTCCTTCCACAGGGCTGATCTAACACTGGTGATGCCCTGCTCACGACGAGAGTTCTGAAAGCGTTCTTCATCTCGTGGCATGATGCCGATAGTAAAATTGTAATAAAACAGGAGACAGCCAAAAAGAATAGTATGTGAAGTGCGGGAGGGCGCAGACTTGCCTGCAGGATGACCACGACCCATGTGATGCTGTTGTATCCCTGCAGGAAGCCTTGCTGCCACACCTTGTCCCCATCATACACTATTACGCCAATCAGCCCAAACAGGGTCCCAAACAGCCCTGCACGACACATATAAGACACAAGCATGACGCACACAGAACACACATGACACACATGATACACATGCTACGTATGACACATACGAAACGTCGCTGCCTGCATTATTCTGCTGTTGTGCTGTTAAATATAACCATCGGTGCCAGCAGTGGCAGGGAGACGTGGCAGGGAGACGTGGCAGGGTGACGTGGCAGGGTGACGGTGCTCACCCAGCTGGATGTTGCGCACCCACACGGACTGGCGAGAGCCCTTGAGGATCTTCTCAAAGTAGACGCCAGCGAAGCCGCTGGAGACGCACGCGATGAGCACCGCGACGAGCCCCACGACCTGCGAACCCACGGAGAGCGACTGGCGGCCACTTGAAGCCGCATCGCTCGGCCACTGCAAAGAGAGAAACACTTCTCACTCTCATCTAGAGACAGCTCCTCGGTCGCCCACACAGACACCTCCTTGCCGTTATCTCCCACACTGAAGACAAAGACCCCGTGTGTGTAGCCAACGCAGGCTGTTGGGGTAAGTGCTGTTCGCGACCACCTATGAGTACCGGCACAACAAGTGAGGGGTGGTGCAGCAAGAACCATGTCCGGCCACCTTTTTCTCCCCAGTGCCGATGTTTACACACTGCATCAGGTATTAATTTAAGGCTGAGTCAACCAGGGAGAGGTCCAGGACCAGCTCAGATGTGTCACTGATGTTGGCCATGAGTTGGTCACCGGATTTGTAGTAGTGTGCTAACCGCTGTGCCATCCCACCACGCACCTCTCATCTGCCACACACCACATACAGTGAGGGAAAAAAGTATTTGATCCCCTGCTGATTTTGTACGTTTGCCCACTGACAAAGAAATGATCAGTCTATAATTTAATGGTAGGTTTATTTGAACAGTGAGAGACAGAATAACAACAAAAAAATCCAGAAAAACGCATGTCAAAAATGTTATGAATTGATTTGCATTTTAATGAGGGAAATAAGTATTTGACCCCTCTGCAAAACATGACTTAGTACTTGGTGGCAAAGCCCTTGTTGGCAATCACAGAGGTCAGACGTTTCTTGTAGTTGGCCACCAGGTTTGCACACATCTCAGGAGGGATTTTGTCCCACTCCTCTTTGCAGATCTTTTCCAAGTCATTAAGGTTTCGAGGCTGACGTTTGCCAACTCGAACCTTCAGCTCCCTCAACAGATTTTTCATGGGATTAAGGTCTGGAGACTGGCTAGGCCACTCCAGGACCTTAATGTGCTTCTTCTTGAGCCACTCCTTTGTTGCCTTGGCTGTGTCTTTTTGGTCATTGTCATGCTGGAATACCCATCCACGACCCATTTTCAATGCCCTGGCTCATGGAAGGAGGTTCTCACCCAAGATTTGACGGTACATGGCCCCGTCCATCGTCCCTTTGATGCGGTGGAGTTGTCCTGTCCCCTTAGCAGAAAAACACCCCCAAAGCATGTTTTCACCTCCATGTTTGACGGTGGGGATGGTGTTCTTGGGGTCATAGGCAGCATTCCTCCTCCTCCAAACACGGCGAGTTGAGTGGATGCCAAAGAGCTCCATTTTGGTCTGATCTGACCACAACACTTTCACCCAGTTGTCCTCTGAATCATTCAGATCTTCATTGGCAAACTTCAGACGGGCATGTATATGTGCTTTCTTGAGCAGGGGGACCCTTACGGGCGCTGCAGGATTTCAGTCCTTCACGGCGTAGTGTGTTACCAATTGTTTTCTTGGTGACTATGGTCCCAGCTGCCTTGAGATCATTGACAAGATCCTCCCGTGTAGTTCTGGGCTGATTCCTCACCATTCTCATGATCATTGCAACTCCACGAGGTGAGATCTTGCATGGAGCCCCAGGCCGAGAGAGATTGACAGTTTTTTTGTGTTTCTTCCATTTGCGAATAATCGCACCAACTGTTGTCACCTTCTCACCAAGCTGCTTGGCAATTATCTTGTAGCCCATTCCAGCCTTGTGTAGGTCTACAATCTTGTCCCTGACATCCTTGGAGAGCTCTTTGGTCTTGGCCATGGTGGAGAGTTTGGAATCTGATTGATTGCTTCTGTGGACATGTGTCTTTTATACAGGTAACAAGCTGAGATTAAGAGCACTCCCTTTAAGAGTGTGCTCCTAATCTCAGCTCGTTACCTGTATAAAAGACACCTGGGAGCCAGAAATCTTTCTGATTGAGAGGGGGTCAAATACTTATTTCCCTCATTAAAATGCAAATCAATTTATAACATTTTTGAAATGCGTTTTTCTGGATTTTGTTGTTGTTATTCTGTCTCTCACTGTTCAAATAAACCTACCATTAAAATTACAGACTGATCATTTCTTACTCTTTGGTTCTATTGGGTAAAGTCACGTAGGTGAAAATAAAATAACAAAAAATCACGACGTTTCGGCCACAACACAAGCGGCCTTCATCAGGTGAAGGGACGAGACTGTCTGGAGGACAGCGCTGGAGTGGAAGAAGCCACGCTTAGATCACGATCTTTAAGCTGTGTGAGAAGAAAAAGACCACGCGCCTTGACAAAGCAATTAACATATAATTTAGCATTGAAATGGCTCATTGAAATAGCTAAGTTAAAGTATACACATCCGCAGAGGTACCCCTTGACAAAGGAATTAGCGCTGAAGTGGAAGAAGCCACGCTTAGATCACGACCTTTAAGCTGTGTGAGAAGAAAAAGGCCAAGTGCCTTGACAAAGGAATTAGCATATAATTTAGCATTGAAATGGCTCATTGAAATAGCTAAGTTAAAGTATACACATCCGCAGAGGTACCCCTTGACAAAGGAATTAGCATCGAATTTAGCATTGAAATAGCTGAGTGATTAGCTTGTAACTGGTCACAGAAATAGCTATGTTAAAGTTAGAGCATATGCATTCACCGAGGCACCTAGTACTCATCAAACAGGATAATTTAGCGAAACACAACCACGCTCAGACATCGGACCTGTGTGCAAGCAAACAAGGTGTTCTGACAAAGAAATTAGCATAAAAATTAGCATTTGATTGGCAGATTTTAGGAAAGAGGTGGTGTACGTGCCGGTGGACTCGCAGTTTGGTGCGGGGGGGGGGAAAGGGGGGAGGGGGGAGTTTACCTATTGATGGTGTGAAAAGGGGGAATTTATACGAGCTGCAAAAGTTTGGGGTACCACTACTTGAAAAATATACTGTACCATTGAAATTAGTTTAATGTTTAGTTCGATTTAGAACATCTTTCCAATGGTTGCTTAATTTGAAACCATCCTCTCGGTTGAAATTGTGTCTGTGTTTGTAGATCTGAATTGTTTCATGAACAAATCTCTGATAAAAGCCCGTGGGTTTGCAAAGAACCTTGGTATCGGAGAAAATTATATCGTTATCCCCCACAGCGTTGTAACAGTGATCAGCCACGGCAGAAGAATTCGTTTTGCCGTGTTTAAAATCTGATTTGTGTTCCCGAATTCGGTCAGAGACATGTCGCTTTGTCTCACCGATGTAGCAATCACCGCAGGCACAACTCAATTTGTAAACCCCGGGGTACTGTAAATCAGGAATGACATCCTTCACTGATGCGATCAGATCACGCATTTTGTGTACTGTATTGAACCGGATCTGGATCTTGTGTTTGTTTAGAATTTTGGAAATCTTTTTAGTGACGCCTGCTATATATGGAAGTGTGATGGTTTTGACCGGAGTATCAAGTGGTTGTTTCTGTATGGAGGGAGAGACAGCCTGGCGGATGGTACGGTCAGAGTAACCATTCCTTTTGAAGGCCAGGTGTACATGTTTTAATTCACTGGTCAGGTGGTGTTGGTCTGAAATGCAATGAGCCCTATGGTATAAAGTTTTGATGAGAGAATTCTTTTGGGCTGGGTGGTGGTGGGAATCAGGTTTCAAGTAGGAATCTGTGTGGGTGGGTTTCCTGTAGACAGAATGCCCCAATGAGCCATCAGGTCTCCTCTCAAACAGAACATCTATTTTCACCTACGTGACTTTACCCAATAGAACCAAAGAGTATGGATCCTAGCAGTCACGAAAGCTTTAAATCTAGAATTGTTCATTTCTTTGTCAGTGGGCAAACGTACAAAAACAGCAGGAGATCAAATACTTTTTTCCCCTCACTGTACACACACGACCTTACTCAACATCAAACATGCAAGCTTTCAATGCAGTGTTTCTTCTTCAGTTTTTGTGGAATTGCCAGCGGTTCCATACAGATGAGCTCAATTGGCTGCTCAAGCAACATGCTGCGAGCGGTACCTGGACCAGCGCCACCCCCACCACGAGGATGAGCAGGGACAGCCACTTGTGGCCGCTCAGCTGCCGGTTGAGCATGAACACGGAGAAGAGCGCTGTGGTGAGGATCTTCAGCTGGTACGTCACCTGCTCGCCACGCGCAAGACAGTACTCACAAGACGTGCCAACATCCCACCACATGGCACGCGCAGCAGCACACCTCCACGCTAGTGTCACATGCTCAGTGGTAGTGTGTTCGTCACTTGTTGCAGAAGTTGGCGGTTCGAATCTGACGGGCCGCCCTGGTTATTACCGCGAGTGTATCAAACACCTTGCAGTCCACTTCACAGTGGAGATTAAAGATCCCCCGACGAAACGAGAAGCCCATTGTGTGCCGGGTGTCATGGCCCAAATTAGAAAAATTACACTGCAAATTACTAATTTGGGGTTACACGAAGTAACATTGCCCCCGAATGGCAAACTCTATCCATCTGTGAAACACAGCGCCTTCATGATGGCCCTGCGCTATAACAATGCCGCGAAAATCAAATCTACTAAATCATTCTATTAATATTACTATTCAATGAGCGCGGTTCACGCCGGCGTCACCATCCATCACCGTGCGAGCGCACTGAGCGCGAGACCGTGGGGACTGCGGGGGGGACTGCGGGGGGGACTGCGGGGGGGCCTGAGGAGCACCTGGTAGGTGGCGGCGTCCAGGTTGGAGAGCGCCACGTAGAGGAGGTTGTTCTGCAGTGTGTAGATGCCGGATGGCACGGCCAGCTTGAGCGTCTCCATGGGCTTCCCGATGATCTCCTCCCGCAGCACCAACAAGGCCGTGCGCCCGCTGCTGCCTACACAGCGCAGCTACGTGATGTCAGCACCGCAGTGCACGCACACCGTGTCTGTGCCGTGTATGTAGCGTACAGTGACCACTGTAACTAGAATCTGCACAAAATGTCCACACTAACTAGGCTTAAACATTCTTAGTTTCTAAGAACTGTTGTGATTTGTCAGATTAAGGGTGAAGCATGCCCGGGCTACAGCTCTGAATCTTGGAAATCACATTCAATAATGACTCTGGAAAAAAAACACAGGTTAGTTACACAACACATCAACAAAAGAAAAATGATGCCTACCATGTTCATCCACCCACAATTAACACAGATGCCACTTAGTGGAGATACAGCCCTGGCAGTTCCCATGATACACAAGCTCTGTTGGACAACACCGACTCATTCTGTTTGCAGCACTCATCTGGCGTCTGACACAAAGGGCTTCTCTCTACTGCTCTGCTCCCCACCCGCCCTGCTCCCGTTCTCCCAGCAGGGCCACTGCTGGCCTCGTCACCTGCAGCACGAGCGGCGATCTTAACGGCAGCAGCAGCCACTTGTTCTGGAGGCTCGGCTCAAGGTGACTCGCTCACCGGGAACGGGACTCGGAACATACGCCGCTCAGAATACGGCAGAATCTAAATCAGACGTCCGTGAACACGGGTGACGAGCCGAGCCAGCTGCCGGGCTTAGCGCAGCAGTCACTTCGGCGGTGACAAGGATGGCCGAGCGGGCGCCGCAAACGAGGACCCCACCGTGCTCGTAGCCGATGAGGAGGACGCAGGTGGCTATCTTGAGTAGCTCCGCGAGCACGACAGCCGTGGAGGCGAGGTAGCGCGGCCCGTCGAGCGGCAGCGTGCGCGAGTAGCGCATGATGAGCACCAGCCCCGTCGTCTGCAGCACCAGCACCCCCAGCGACAGGTGCTTCAGGCTCACCATTGCCTCCCCTCTTTCCGGCTGCTGGTACGGCGACACGGCACAGCGGCAATCAACCGTAAGCACGCAGACGACAACGGCAGCTGCCGTTCACCACGAGGTGGCTGTGATGTCACCGGAGTGCCAGGCTAGGTGCACTTTGAAGCAATTACGTGAAGTGTCAAAAGCTCTCTGGCAGAAAAAGGTCACGAGACATACCCACATGGTACTACTTGTCTGACTGATGACCGACAGATGCACCACCTGTGCTCTCCACTGTGCCAACTTTCTGCACTCTAGCCGCCCAATGCTAATAGAGACACACACACACAGCGGAGCTAGCCATATACATGCAGAAACACAACAATAATACTTCCTCTCTATAACCTAAATATAACTCACAACAACAATAAAAACACCACAAGGATTGGTGCTGAAGCACTTTTTTCCCACTTTATTTCAAAGTGAACGTTGGATGTATGTTGAACTTCTTTCGCACCGTATGTAGACGTGGCGGTGCGTGTGTGTGAACAGATTTAACTTCATTGGCAGTGGGTAAAGTTGACAACAGTTTTTGCACTACGACTCAGAAGGTTGAGGTTGGAGGAGGAAGCGTTTAGGAGTGGGGATAGAGACAGATTCAAGGAGTCGAAGAACAGGTTTATCAAGGGGGTGAGAGAGGCTAAACGACTGTACTCAGAGACTAAAACACAAGTTCTCTGCTAACGACTCTGCTTCTGTCTGGAGAGGGCTCAGACAGATCACCAACTACAAGCCCAGAGCCCCCCACACCACTAACGACTCCCGCCTGGCTAATGACCTGAACGAGTTCTCCTGCAGATTTAAAAGACAACTGGACTGTCCTGAACTACCCCTTCCCACCCAAGAGGCCCCATCCCCCGCCCATACTACAGAGATGACTCTCTCCGTTAAGGAGGGAGAAGTTAATAGACTTTTCAAGAGGCAGAACCCACGCAAAGCAGCCGGGCCAGACTCTGTCTCTCCAGCCACCCTCAGGCACTGTGCTGACCAGCTGTCTCCGGTGTTCATCAACATCTTTAACACCTCCCTGGAGACATGCCATGTACCAGGCTGTCTCAAGTCCTCCACCATCATCCCTGTGCCCAAAAAGCTAAGGCCAACATGACTAAATGATTATAGACCGGTCGCCCTTACCTCTGTGGTAATTAAGTCTTTTGAGCGCCTGGTTCTGGCACACCTCAAAGCCATCACAGACCCTCTCCTGGAACCCCTTCAGTTTGCCTACAGAGCCAACAGGTCTGTGGACGACGCAGTTAACATGGCCCTCCACTTCACCCTACAGCATCTGGACTCCCCAGCATCCTATGCCAGGATCCTGTTTGTGGACTTCAGCTCTGCCTTCAACTCCATCATCCCTGCCCTGCTTCAGGACAAGCTCTTCCAGCTGAACGTGCCCGACTCCACCAGCAGGTGGATCACAGACTTCCTGTCTGACAGGAAGCAGTGCGTTAAGCTGGGAACACAAGTCTCTCACTCCAGGTCCATCAGCACCGGAACTCCTCAGGGCTGCGTCCTTTCCCCACTGCTCTTCTCCCTGTACACCAACAGCTGCACCTCCAATCATCTGTCCGTCAAACTCTTGAAGTTTGCGGATGACACCACCGTCATTGGGCTGATCTCTGGTGAGGATGAGTCTGACTATAGGTGGGAAGCTGACAACCTGGTGACCTGGTCTAGCCAGAACAACTTAGAGCTAAATGCTCTAATGACAGTTGAGATGGTTGTGGACTTCAGGAAGAATACAGCCCCACTCACCCCCATCACCCTGTGCGACTCCTCAGTCAAAACTGTAGAGTGCTTTCGCTTCCTGGGCACAATTTTCTCCCGGGACCTCAAGTGGGAACTGAACATCAACTCCCTCATCAAGAGAGCTCAACAGAGGATGTACTTCCTACGGCAGCTGAAGAAATTCAACCTGCTAAAGACAATGATGGTGCACTTCTATACAGCAATCATTGAATCCATCCTCACCTCCTCCATAACCGTCTGGTACGCTGCTGCCACTGCCAAGGACAAGAGCAAACTGCAGCGTATCATCCACACTGCTGAGGTGATTGCCTGCAATCTACCAACCCTCGAGGACCTGCACACCTCGAGGACCATGAGGCGAGCGAGGAAGATTGTGGCCGATTCCTCCCACCCTGGACACTCTCTGTTCCAGCTACTCCCGTCCGGCAGAAGGCTGCGATCCATCAGGACCAAAACCTCAAGCCACAAAAACAGTTTCTTCCCATCTGCTGCTGGCCTCTTCAACAAGGGCTTACACTTTAACATTTTATCTACAAAATGACACCTTGCCATATTTACACTGTTACCCTATTTGTATTTTTTGTATTTTTAGATTGTATCTTATAGCTACTTTATATTAAATATTTATTCAAAATTTTACATACTTTAGCCCCTTAGGGATAGACTTTGTACCTTTAGTATAGTTTAGACTTGTATACCACTTATTTTAGATTTAAGTTTACTATATGTTGAATATATGCACCTTCCTGCCAAAGTAAATTCCTTGTCTGTGCGAACTTTCATGGCGAATAAAACCCCTTTCTTGAACATAACAGTAATACAGCTAAATTTGAATTACTTTATTGATTCTGCACAAACAACTTTATTGTCTGCAGCACCACTTTTAGCATTACATGACTAAATTCCATAACTTTATTTAAACAGTGTAGTGTTAGAAACTTTGGCACCACACAGTCACTTCCAACATTATCGTCTTTTCTGTATGATGCACCTTTTCCCCAGCGTCCATTTTATATTTGTTAACGCTACATTTACGCCCTTGTTCACGCTTTCCCAAGATGTAGCTTTACCAGAATTTTTTTTGTTAGGGTCATAGAACCCCCATGACGGACACAGACCAGTTAAGCCTTCATCCAGCAGTGGATTGAAAAAATGAGTGTGGAGGGCGAATCGTCGGATATTCAGATAACACCCAATACCATACAGAATAAGCTATGTACTGTAAACAGACAAAACGAAAGAGAATTTTGAACAAGGGCCTTCCTCAAGGCTTGGTACAAGCACCGTCATTATTTAACATAATATATGTGATCTGCCATGTACATGATCTGGCAGTACATATACGTAGATGACATAGCCCTTGCTGCACAGGGCATAAACATCTAGAACATTGCCAATACTCTTAAACGCTGATCTTAATAGCATATTTCATATATCACATGAAACACATCACATCACCGCATCACATTCCATACATCACATTTTACACCACATTAGCGCCTAACCTTCAAGCTCCAAATAAAACAGATTTGTGATAAGACAAATTCAAGAACCGCCCTGCGACAGAAACTTTCAGGAGCAACTTGGGGCGCTTCGGCGGTTAAACTGCGACCTGTCGCCCTCTCATCGATGATCTGCTCAGTGGCAGAGTCCCCTCCTCCACTCCAGCCTGGGCCCGGAGCTCCGACACAAAGCTACCAGTTGCAACATTCGATAACACGATGGGCATCCTGACCAGAACACGGCCACCGACACCAATCACCAGGCTCCCTGTTCTAGTGACCATGCTGCCACCAAATATCCATAGACACGCAAACTGCAAGGGAGTTTACCGTATTTTCCCGCATATAGCCCGCATACGCATATAACCCGCAGACACCCTGCAAACAATAGCGTTTTGTGTAAAACAAATTTCAGATAGCACGCACCTCCATATACCCCGCAGGGTCATGTTTTTCTTGTAAAAAGTGGTATACCCCGCGGGTTATATGCGGGAAAATACGGTACACGTTTTTTTGCCAACAGTAATCGACCCATCCACCACGACTTAAACAATGTACCTTACCACTGACTTAAGTCCTGATTCCCCTTCTGGGAACACGCTGTCACCATCATAGAATACCACCCAGATCCAGAAGAACGCTGCTAGCAAACAGCGGAACATCTCGGGCGTCCAGAACAAATTCCTCATTCGAGACCCAAACATCACATCTGCTGGCTTTGACATTCTTCGAAGACACTGGTGTAACCAACGACCGCATCAAAACATCAACAGACCGATGCACACATCTAATGTAGAAATAAAGACAAGCCAGAGAAGTGCAACTGTAGTCATGCAACTCAAACTACGGACCATACAGTAAACCACCATAGTTAGCAATCCTTCAATGAAGGATTGACAAAACTACACAAACTCTATCCTTAGGCCCTCTCATCGTGGCCAGCAGAACTCGATATTGCCATTTTGCTCGTGAACATATTGCCATGCTCAAGGATTGGATCGCTATGCATCTTTCACAGCTTAAGAGCATCCATTGATGTATGTCAGACTCATAACAATGGCTGACTTGACAGTTTAACTGCTATGGTTCATTTTTTTAAAATAATTTTATAACAATGGTTGACTTGACAGTTGAATTACAATGATTGACATTTATATTTAACAGAAAGGGCACCCACAAGGACAGATAATGTGCCGATGTAAATGACTGGACGTTAAGGAAGCGGTTCCATCTCACCAGTTTAGACTAAGGAATGCGCCCAGAGGTTACCAGAGTTTTTCTGCCTTCGTAAAAATGTCCCTTCTACAGTAACTTGGTCTCCTTAAAGCAGGAGAAAAAGTGCAAATCGTTTCCACAAAATCTGCAAGCGTTCCGTCAAGTTCTCGCCTTGCGTGCTGCCGTAAACACCTCGATGTTACTGTAGCTTCCTAAAACACATTTATTTGGCAAAACTATTAATGAGTTTTAAAACGTAAAAAATGAACGACACTTATGAAAATCTTTATCAGAATGTGTATTCAGACTGGGGGAATCCGGTGAGCTATGAAGCTCTTTTTCACAGACGTCCAAATGAAAAACGTGAACCGAAAACCCGGTTAGTGTAAATACCTGTTTTTAGAATATAATTCTGTTTAACACACATTTCATGGTTAGTGGGCGATCAATGAAGCGTTTATAACACGGCAGTAAAAGAGGTGCTGTACTCCCGTCTATGATGAAATGACTTTTAGTTCATAAACCACGCGCGGCGCGGAGACTACCTCAAGATTGAACGTCGCTCGCGATGGGCGAGCTCAGCGCGAGCGACTTTCAATCTTGAAATTCTGGTTTTGGGATTTTTTTTCAGCCACAGTATTTCAATGGCAGTCTGTGGACCACACGAATGTGAACGCTGCTACTTTTTTCACGAGTTGACGTCAGTTCACACTTCCTCAATCGACACGTTGGGATTTTGTCGCTGTAGCTTTGGAGTTAGTAACTAAAACGCTTTCTATTGTACCCGAACGCATAATCACACGCAGTGAAACCACAACACATCACCATTATGTTCGCTGCGGTGACACAATTCACACCCATAAAACTCGAGCCGAAGAAGCGGATCGACACATTACCTCCTTGGCATTGCTGCTGTCCTCACCC